CTAAGGCTTAGGCTACTAAAATAAAGTATCCTAAGTGCTAGTCTAAGCGAGCCTAAGATGATCAAATTCTTTCGTCTCTTAGGCTCTCGGCGGCCTATTCTTCTGACACCCCGACGCACTGCCATGAGCACATCCACCAAGATGGCACCCAGGAAGACTCGCAACAAGAGGACGACAGTGGCTGCAAGACAGACAACAGGAGACGACACTACGACCACAAACAATGATCAGCTAGCACCGACAAAATGGCATCATAACTTTATAAGTGTGAAGCGGATTTTCGACGAGGACAACCAGCACCCGTCCATGGAGTAACCCCAATGGCTTCGGGTTATTATATACACGTCGGCCCCATCACGAGAGCTCCGTTCCCCTGGTTTGGGAAGATGACTTTCCGCACAAGCAGATCGAAGACACAGCATTTTGCCAACATGGACTATGGTTGCCGCTACCCATGAAGTCCTGCTCTGAGCGAAGCGGAAACTGCCAGAATCGCAAAGAAGCACCAAGACTTCAAGTACCCGAAGGGGGTTTGATCAACTTCCAATTCTAAGCGACAATGGGGGCCAACGCAGAACTGGCTCCATACTCAGCTTTCAAAGGCGTCCTCGAGATGAATTCGTATGTTGACATCGTTGGTAAGTCTGATATCGCGAGCGCTGCCATTCCGGATTATGTTAACCATCATATAGTCCCCGACATAGTTCGACAAGCAGTCCTTGTCGCGTTCAAAAATTTCGAGATCGATCAAAACACCATCAACTCTGAAACGACAATGGTCTAGCAGACCAACGACGACGCAGAGGGCCTTGAGTTTGAGTTTCAGAGCTTCGTCAGGACCATGAATTTGGACCTTGAGAAGCTTAAGAAGAACCAGAACAACGACACTGCTGGAACAAGAATCTCCCGTCCCGCACCCATCGACGTTCTTAACGAATATGACTCAGACCCGCAAGTAAGATTGTTGGTTGATCGGGGTGTGAAGCTTTGTCCCAGGCCTACGCTCATCCCTGTCTAGAACAAGCATGTCACCACCGGACAAGCAGGCAACCGAGACGAGATGGCGGTCGCTCCAAAGGCGCTCATACTGGTACACGCTGTCCAGTTATTGCTTTTTACTCCACAAGCATGGGATAGGGACCGACCCTATACTAGGATCGCCAGCGATTACCCTCATCGCTTCCCAACGCCAGTCGAAGTTGGCGGAGACACTGAAAAGCGTGTTGCAAACACATTTTCAATGGAAGACCTTCATCGGGCCATTCTTCTCTTCTACCAGCTGGTCATCCGTCGTTTAGGCCGCGGTGCCTGGATTGGGCGTCCCGCACCGACGATGGAGTCCCAGTTCCCTGGGTACGTCAAACCCGAGCTCGCCCGCTTGGCCGATGTCCCGGATGTTCCTATATCAGGCACTGCAAGACTCCGACTAGCCGAGGCTGTCCAAATGGAGGACGTCGCCATTTCTCAAAGGGAGATTCGCGCCCGCGCCCGGGAATACGCCAGGCAAATAGGGGAAAAGGAACGGGAGGAAGGACGCATTCCGTTCCCCAGAGAAAAGTTGGTGGCTTACAGTTCCCAGGCTATGTGGACCATGATCTCGTTCGCTTCGCCGTGTCCGCAGCCGCAAGCGAGAACGCGCACGGGAACTTAGGGAGCTAGCACGAGAAGAATGGCGCCTCTCAGACTCTGGTGCAGTCCTCCCCCCGACCCGGATGCCCCAATTCCACTGACCGGCCTGGACGCGGTCGATATCGCCACAAAGTTCCTGGAGATAGCACAACCAGCACGGATTATCAAGACCCAGGTTCCAAAACAGGCCCAGTGCAGCTCAGAGGAAATACGAACCCGCACCTCGAGAAACGCGAAGCTTCTTTACATTTCATCTCACTTGGCAAGCGCCAATCGAGGAGATGGAGCCAATCTCGGCGGAAGGCTTTCGTGCGGAGATACGACTGCTGAAGGAACACCACAACCAGCCAGACTTCGCGGAGAGATTGAAGAGGACCCGAAAGACTATCACAAGGCTGGATCGATTCGTCCCAGAAGGAGACGTGAATGCCTTCCTCGAACGTCAGAGTCGATCAAATGTTGTGGTGGACTTCCTCCTTGACCATCCAGACCAACAAGAGGAGATGATGTGGCTAAGTCGATTCCAGTACAACCTTGAACACACTCTGGCTTCACTTCAGCCCGGCCACGGCCATGATTTAAACAATATTTGTCGACAATATGACATTACGCCTTGGCCGGATCTGAAGCTTTACAGTGCTGACGATGGAAGGTTTGTCCAGCCGTTGAAGCTACATCAAGTTGATGGTAAGCCGTCGGTCCACATTCACCCGTCTTTATTCCATATATTGAGCTCACTGACTGCCGGCTAAGACAAAGAAGACTGTCACCAACGTGAACAAATAACCGAGAAGGTGATGTGGACGCTTTCCTGGAAAGACAGCGACAATCTGAGGTCGTGAGCGAGCTTGTTCGACTGCACCCAGAGCAAGAAGAGGAGATCATGAAGCTCAGTGGCTACCAGTGCCAGCTAGAGCACACTCTGGCTTCAATCCAACCTGTCCAAGACCGACCTCTGAACGATATATGCGATGAAAGCGACATCACTCCTTGGCCTGAGTTGAAGCTGTACAATGATGATAATGGAAGGCTCGAGAAAACAGCCCCTTCGTTGTGCGGCCTGTTTGGAAACTATATATATATATACCTCTTTCCGCCGTGAGTCAGACACCTACAATCGTGCGGTTGCCTTTTCTCCAGCCTCTGAAGCCACATCAAGTTGATGGTAAGTCGTTTCCAATCTTCAAGCTCCAGGCTCGTCCACGCGGTCCCGTTTGGGATCATTCAACTGACCGGATAACTTGAATAGATGCTACCATCATCGTCTCTCGCGGTCTCAGCGGCTACCACCACATGTTCTTGTCCAACGACATGGGCGCAGGGAAGACCAAGACCTACTTCACGGCAATCGGACTGAACAACCGAAGGAAGAACAAGATACATGAGCATGATATCGCCACACAAGGATAATCTGACATCAAGTCCCCATCGGGATGTCAGAGAATTGGCTGCTAGGAGCATAAGAGACGAAATGTTTAGGTCACATTAGGCTAGGATTTAGGCTACTTTATTTCTGTAGCCTAAGGCTTAGAGCATATCTCTTCTAATACCCACCTGGTCCCGTCCAATGCTCATCTTGACGCCAGTCAATTCGATTTTCCAGACTTGGAAAGAGGGAAGAGACCATTTCCCAAACTTGAAGTTGTATGTCTACTACGGCGCCAGCGTATCGCAATTCCCAGACTCAACAGCCAGAGTCATAACACTCGAATCCTTCCTGGGTCTGATGAACCAACTGGGTTGCAAGGAGGGTGATTCGGAGGTATGTCCAAACGGTACCGTTTGGGATTGGGAATCTAGCATGGTTGGAGACCGGACAACTTGTGATCATATCGACCGACATGGCCCTCCTGCACTGTTTAAAAAGACGAGAAACTGTTCGTGTTCAAGCATGACAGCGAGACCTTGCTGCTGCCGTCAACCTCATTTAGGCAATCTCAGGCCACTTCTCATCTTACTTCTTTCCTCCCACTGGCAACAACAACAACTCATAGGACTTGGAGTTACGGAGCTTGAATCCAGGATCCTAAGGCTAAGGTCAAAACTACCTATTTTTGAGTTTTTTTCGAGGCGTAAGTCCCCAATATACATATTAAATCAATGCCAGAATAATCGCAGGTTGTGAACCTAAATGCTAATAAAGGTCTGGTCTAAAGATATGTTTTGTAACTTATAAAGTTAGTATTACAATAGTTACTATAAGAGCTATTCTTCCTCTAACAGGTTAGTTGTTAAATACTTCCTTATTAACATCAAAAAAACTATACAATAATACAATAGTACAAGATAACATCCTTTAGAGTAATAATTGCCTATGGGCATAACTGTGCCCAAAAGAGCATCTATAGGAATACTCCTAAGATTACTAGTATTACTACTAGATACAAATTGTATATTAAGCGGTCCTGCAGCTATTGATACCTGGAAGATAACAGCCCAAAGAGCGAATTGATTATGGAAGACGACTAACTTATTGCGCTCGCCCTTCTTAGCTGCGAGGCTATACCTATAGATATACATCTACAGAATAACCCGGTAGCCTTTAGAATCTTACTACGGGATAAGAAGAAGGCCCTCAACAACCTCTATGATGACGTTACAAACCACCAGACCAGGGATAGATCAGACGTCCAAGCCAGTATGGTCAAAACTACCGATGAGGCGATTGATAAAATAAATTAAGAAGTTGATAACAGGGGACAATCTACTGACTTATTTGAAGTATCCTATTCCATTGGATTGAGAAGAAAAAGGAAAGGAAGAGGAACATTATATCTCTACTACAAAGGAAAGTCTATTGTTCTATTCTATTACGTAACTGTACAAACATAACTTTTTATTCATAACGTCATAAAGCACCACCGAGTTGTCTGAGCCGTGTCTCAGGATATAGGTGATGCAGACCATCGAACAAAGCTCGCAAAGCTTCGCGGGTTGACGACGTGCAACCTTCACTCACCCTCGTGCCTCCACCTGTGGAGAGCACCGAGAGTGTTGGACAAGAAAGAGCAAGAATACAAAGGAAAGTCTATAGATTGGTCACCGCTCTTTCTCGACTCAAGTGAATTCCCTTTTTCTTTTTTTTTTTTTTTGGTTTCTTTTTTTTTTCCCCAGGGCTCATGGCTCCTTCTTACTTTATGTCTCTGCTCCCCTTGAAGGTTGTTTCTTCGGTCGTCCCTTTCTCCCGATACTGCACCGATGGATATGAGCTTCGTGCAGTTTGATCTGGGGGACTTGATGACCACAAATACACCGATAAAGACCGCTTCCGACGCAGTTGGTATTTGAACGCAAGTGACGAAGATGCTTATCTCTCCGTCCCGAATGTCCGCAGCAACAAACATACTCGACTCGCAGATGTATGTTGGTCAAGTGTCGTTTCAGAGATCTTGAGTCTTTAAATGTTCTACAAGTCTCTCGGCCGCAACGAATGCCTGAAGAATGAGCATGTTGTTCGATTATGTGGGCACTACGGTTCATAAGCTTCAGATCCTGTGAATGGCATTCTGCACTTACCAGAGAGAATCCACATTGATGAATGAAACCATGCAGAAGTCGCAATTGAGTTGAGGCGTAACTGATGCAGGGCTAGATGTTGTGGACGACTGGCTGTACCCAGGGGATGCTGACGGACTGGTGGACTGAAGAGTACCAATATTCGACGGAAGTGAGTGAGATCTGTGTGATGTGGTAGATACGGGAGAGGGTGTTTGTAGTGGCGCCCATTCAATAGGATCGGACGAAGGGGAGAAGCGTAGAGTAGGAAGAGGCGAGCTTCTGTCTACCTGCCCAGCAGCAAGTGCAAGGAGTTGGGGATCAATACCAAAGGACTGCGACGATTGAAGAAGCTGTTCCTCGCGGAATGCATTTGTATGAGCTTCCTGGTGAGTGGAAACGCCAGCATTGCGATGGTCACTTCTTGGGCCTTTGTCAAAGTCCAATATGCATCGATATCCAAGACACTCAATGTCAGGCAGGGACAAAGAAACATCGTTCCAGTCATGAGAGCTGAGAACAAATAACCACCATTGCACGTCGTCGTCACCGCTTGTCGTTGATTCTAAGTGATGATCATGATGGCCGCCACTTATGTCTGGTGCGCCGAGAGGATACCCGGCGCTGAACCTCGCACAAGAGCGACCTTAAAGGTCGAGATCCTGCCAACCAGGCAGGTAACAAAGTGTTATGATGGATAGCCAATGATGGTAGAATTGGACTGACTTCTAATGGGCCAGACCTAGCTGCATTCACGGTTGTAGAGAAAAGAAGAAAGGAAGAAATTCGGACAACTGGGGCCTTGGTTAAAATACCAGGCTCAGTCAGCTTTGGCATCATGGGTTGAAAGCGGTCAGCCATGGCGGAGACAAAGGGCCAATATTGTGATTCGACAGTTCATATGTAGGTCTTATGTGTGGCTGAAACGTCTAAGGACGGTTCCAAGCTGAGGCTCCGAGGGCCAATTATCTGATTCGTCAGATGCAACAGAGCAGGGATTATTCTGTTGACCGAATCCCCTCACTTACCAAACAGCCAATGAGTTATTTGGCCCTGACAGAATGAATTGATGACGCAGCTTTCAAATCGAAACCTGCGTGGAGAGCTGAGAGCTGAGCAAGGTGTTCGAGAAGCCTACCCAATAAGATATATGGCCCTTGGAGAGACATGCCCGAGTACTATCGCGATGGGGCTAACGAACTCGACAGGAATACTTACCGAACACTCAGTCCATTCATGAAAATGGCCCTGATGGTTTGGTGATTGTGCCAATATGCATCATGGAGGACAACTGTCACAGCAAGCCCAATGGAAGAAATGGCCCTGGCGGAATGCGAGTTTCTTCTGCAACGGATAGAAGTCTAAGCAGGAACTAAAAGTAGTTACTTGTTGAGAGGCAGGGAAGTTGGAAAGATATATATATATGACCTCTGTCAAAGGAGACTATCCTTCTTGATAAATTATCTTGAATAGGACACGTTGCCACGTTTCTTCTACTCGCGTCGATATCAATATAATATAGTCTGCTCAGAGCCTTGGAGTGCAACTATGAACACCAACAACAAAATTTCAGCATCTCAAGACGGTGCTTCTTCAAACTCATATACTCTTGAGAGTGTACTCACCAACCAAAAGCCAGGTGAGTAACATTCTGTTATGATACACTGTTGCTCACAGGAATACAGATCCACCTTCACCCTTCTCAAGATGGTTAAACCAAAGCACAAAGGATGGGCCGTGGCATGGATTCACTATCGTTTCAACTGAGAAGCAGCGTGGTAACTTCGTCGCTGATAAGTCTAATACATGGAGTACTCAGGCTGAGGCCGGTTCTGTCAAAGAGCCATAAGAAACTTAGAAATACTCAAAGCGTTTCGGATTCTCAGCCATAGCGGGCTTGATAGTATTAGTATAATAAATACTGAGTTTCAAATACATTGCTTGTTTCTTACTTAAGCCAGCCCAAATCCCATGTGGCGAATATCTGTCAGAAGAATATGTAAGCTTAATTCTGACGTTGGATCTGCACCGGGCAATGACCGTAAATAATCTACACGCTCTTTCCTATTAGAGACAGATCCGGGCAGTTTCGGACAGCGAGATTGTACCGTCGGAAACTCCGGACCGTAAGCACAATATGGAAGGATTAATAAAGAGGAATTGCATAGAGACAGAGAAAAGGAATTTAGAAGAGTATAAAAGGACATAGTTCCGCTACAATTAAACAATATTAATCTATCAATCTATCATTCATTAAAACTATAATATCAATACTGTATCAATCTACTCTTGTCACCTCACAAAATGTCAGAACATACCATCCTATCAACAGGTCTAAAAGCCTTCTCAATCTTCTCCATGGCCACAGGCACCGCCGATGTAATCGGCGGCCACAAACTGCTCATCCCCGCCAACGAACGAGCACTACTTCCAAAGACTACACTCTTAGTAGTAGATAACCAACTTCGCTTCCTAGGAGCGACATGGGGCGGATACGGCGCGATGTTGTGGTGGATTAGTAACGATCTTCAAACGAGACAGACTCCTCTGGCTATTCTTGGTGTTGTTGCGTTTCTGGCTGGTGTTGGGAGGAGTATTTCTGGACTGAGTGTTGGTTGGGGCGCGGCATGGTTGAAGGTCGCGGCTGGGATTGAGCTTGTTGTTCCGCCTTTGATTTATTTGTTTGCGTTCTAGAAACTTCAGATCCCTGGCGGATAGGGACTATGAGCAGCTCATCCGTCCTTCGGCTACAGTCAGCCCTTATCCCAGGTTTGATACATTCAGCTCTTGTCCGAGGCTTGATGATATTCCATATGGATTTCTATGTTATTACCATCCCAACTCAGAAGCAAAACACAATTTTTGTTCCATTTTCAACTAGTTTCAGCTCTTTCATTTGCATTGAAATAAGCAGTTCGTACTGAGATCAGGAGCTATCAAGAATTCAGACATGATATCGACGGCATCTCTCATTATAGGCCAACCTCCAAACAAATATCGTCTAAAGATAATTCCAAGTAACAGGAATCATCCCCATGTCAATGCTCGAAATAGCCTGGAAAGCCCCGTAAGACAAATCCAGCCAATTCCCATCAGTACCACCCTTAGTCGAACCCGCAACAATTACATCAACCCTCCTCCCCGCAGGAGTAATAACACGAATCTGTTTTCCACAAAGACTAGTGTCGAATCGACGCTCATCAAGAGCTACCACAAAATCACCCTTTGTGTAAGAGATGCCGCATTGGCTGGTTTGCTCACCGGGATAGTAGTATGAGGCATAACCCTTGAATCCGGTGGTTGTCTCCTGGGTGGGAGTTGATGGTTGAATAGTGTTTGGGTTTGATTTAACCACTGGGGCGGGCTTTGGATTGGGGTTGGGCTTGACGACTGGGTTTGGCTGTACTTCGGGAACTGGTTCGGGTTCAGGTTCTGCTGGGAGAAAGGATGGTTTCTTGACGACCGGCTTTGTGTAGATTTTCTGTGGTGCTCTGATGTTGAGAGCGTTTCCATCAGAAGGCGCAGCCAGGACGTCAGGAGTGACGGCAAGGGCCATGAGAATAGCAGAGAATTTAGAGAAATGCATTTCGATAGAACAAGATAAGGAACTTGAAGAATTGCATGTTCTATCTGGGGAAGTCGGTGTATCATAAGTGTTCCAAGCCGCCGAATTCCTTATTCCCAGCTAATCGCGACTATTGAAAAACTACAGGCTGGTTGTTCAGGCGATCGATCATTTCAGGGGCTAAAATACGCCGTCTCATCTTAATTGCCAGCTTGCCCCTGCGCGATCTGGACGCCACTAATTTGGGACATCTAGGGCTGAAATTCCAACTCCCAGTCACACGGTAAGTTGTACGCCCAACGGAGACTAACAGGTTAAATACAGCTCAGCCCGGAAACGGTGGATACTATGATTTGTAGTTAGACTCTACTTTCAGGAGAGCTGAGCATGTCACTAATAATGAATAGATGAACTACACCGCCCTGAACACGAGAGTCTGTAAGCTGAAAGAAGCTTAAACAAAAGAAGATATACCGAAGATTAATAATCCTACAACGTACGTCTTCCGGGGACCAGAGACGAAGATTAAAAGAACAACAGTTGATATCATTTGCGAAACTACCTAAACACGCTTCTGTTCGAACACCATCTCCTAGTAAGTGTAATGGAACCTGGGGTTATGCTCTCCCAACTCCTCAGCCTCCTCCTCAGTCAATCCCTGAATTCTCCAATCCTCCTTACCCTCATCCTTTCTCTTGTTCTGTCTTCTAAACCAAGCCCAGAAAGCAAGATAGATGAACGAAGACATAGCTACCAAAGCCATAGAAACAGCATGACCCTTGACGAATCGAGGTCCTTCGTGCGTTTTGTACAACTGACCATGTTAGTTGAGTTCTCGTAAAGCAGGAGGCGTGACTTACGAATGGCGCGGGAATTCCGGCTGAGTTACCGATAGTAAGCTGCAGTCCCGTCGCAACAGTCCTCTTTCCATAACGAGGATTGTTACTAGGAAGCCAAGCAAGAGGCAATCCAACAATAACATATAATCCCATCGCAGCAAGGAAACATCCAAAGTATCGAACTCCAGAAGGCGCAGTACTAACAAGGATCGCATATCCAATAGCACAAACAAATCCAAGTCCAACAGTAAACACAGCTCGTCTCTGCGTTCTATCTGACCACCATGCCACGACGATATACGTAATAGCACCCATCGCATAACAAGGAATCGTCAAAGCTTGAACCTGCGCATTATTCCAATCTCCCAGACCTCTAATAATCGTAGGTAAGAAGGTGCTGTATCCGTAGAGAATGGTATCACCGCCGAATTGTCCAATGCAGAAAAGCCAGATCTTCCAGTCTTTTAGACCAGCGTAGACATCCTCTTTGTGCATTTCGGTAGAAGACTTTGTGTGGCCTACTTGGCGACGCATGCGCGCGTCGATGAGTTCGCGTTCGGCGATGGTGAGGTAGTGTGCTGAGTCGGGGGAGTCGGCGAGCCAGAACCATACTGCTATGCCGAGGATGAAGGTGGGTATGCCTTCGATTATGATGATCCAGCGCCAGCCGCGAAGACCTGCCACGCCGTCCATGTGACCGATGCCGTAGGCTAGAAGACCACCGAGGGAGCCTGCTATGGCTGCGCTGACGAAGAGGTAGCCGATTCTAAGGGCGTATTCTTTCTTGGTGTAGAACACTAGACATGTTAGCTTGTGGGTATCTATGGAGGAGGAAGAATTACTGGTGAGATAGATTGCGAGACCGGGGAAGAGACCGCCTTCAAGGGCTCCGAGGAGGACACGGCATGCAATGAGGCCCTTGAAATCTTGGACGATACCGGTGAGGGTAGCGACGATGCCCCATGAAGTAGTGATGAAAGCGATCCATCTTGAGGGAGTGAATTTCTTGATAACCAGGTTCGACGGCAACTCGCTTGCGATATATGTTACGAACAACACCGAAACCGCAAGTTGATACTAGAAATCCAAGTCAGATCACAACACAATTGAATGTCCAGAGATGCATACATACCTGATCACCGACCAACCCAAGATCCTCCTCCATACCATAAAGTCTCGCATTACCAATATTAACACGATCCAGAAAACTCAGTAGGTAAAGCAACATGACAGGCGGAACAATCCACATGTCCAGTTTTCTGAGAAGAGCCTTTTCGGCAGCTGGGTCGATGTAGACGTCATACTGGCCTGTACCGCGTTGTTCTTCGATTTCCTTGTCGGGAAGGATATCTGTTGGTTTGGAGGTCATGGTGCCGCACCAACAAATCTCACAATCTTGAGAGAGAGTGAGGGATGAGAAGATGGATGGAAAGTTGAAAGAAGGGTAGCAGTCTCTCCCATTTAAGAAATCATGCATCTAGCTTATCTCCGCACTACCCCAGATGCACATAATTATTGGGTAAGACCCCAGGATTTTGGAGATATGGCTAGCAGGGATCGGCTAACCATTTTCCTAGGATGGATCGGCTTGTGAGGGGTTTTACCGTTGATGCATGAGTCGTGGACTCGGCAACTCTGAAGTTGCCGGGTTGGATCGTCATGATTAGAACATTATTGGACAGTATTATCATGGCCGGTAATATTGCCGGTCATTGGGAATAACTCGGCTACAAGAATTACCGCATGGATGGACTTTGATTCAACTTGGGATAGGACTTTGGCTCAATCATGTGCTCGTCGGTAATTGAAACAGCAGTACGGCAATTCTCCAACTCTTTACTAAGTGGCGTCAATTAACGGCGTTATAACGGCATTCATTAACTGTGGAGAAGATAAGTTGAGACCGATATCTCTCCGATCGGATAAGAAAACATCATGCAATCTCATGATATCGCTTAGCGAGTCATGGTGGATAAGAGTTACATCAAACGGTAAAATGTTCCTTGCTGTAGTGAATCGTTATTGGTAGACAATTTGATGAGATACGACAACCTCTTGGCTCAGTTGCAGATTTACCTGAACAAAAACTGCTCTTCAATCTCAGAAGCACAATCCTTCAAAGTCCCATCCTCAGCAAAAAGTACATCCAACCATTGAACTTGGTTTCCATCCAAAAAGCTCCCAATAAGCGGATTTCCCAAAATATCCACGTTTTCATAGTCAATTATACCTGCTTCGTTTAATCCTGAGCCATCCATGCTCATCGGCGTTTGAAAAGCGCTGTTCTCAGTGATATTCTGTTGCTCCTCCGTGACCGGAGGTATCCCATCCAATCTCCCCGTCGCTCGTAATGTAGAAACTCGCGTTTGTATGTGAGATAACCTTTCACAAAAGTCCACAGCAGGAATATTTCCATCATTCTTTAGAGATCGTAACACACTTAGCAACGTCTCCAGATGATCAGAATTCACAGCCGTGGGCTTCATAACAGCCGACATAATCAAAATCATAGCCGCAGAAAAAATATGATGAGCATCCCAATATCCAAACGTAGCGATACTACCATCCAGAAACAAACCCTCTACAATCCTAGACGAAGCTTGTGCGGCGTTTACACAACTTTCTGCAAGGGCTAGCGTTATGGAGGAGACGTTTTGCCGAGGTTTAGAGGTTGGGGCAAGTTGAAATTGTGTTTTGAAGAGGTGGAGGAGGACGGGGCGCGTGGTTTGGATTATGCATTGGTTGTAGGCTAGATGGAGACTTGCGACGGGGCGCGGTGTGCCGCGTTCTTTGACGCGCATGTCGGGACGGAGATCGTCGTGCCAGGCGCGGAGTTGTTTGAGGATGCCGTGGACTTGATGGATGTAGAGACCATTCGTAGCTTTGGGGATACCATAAATATGCGTCACTAACCAGTCAGTAACCCACTCCTCAAATAGAACCATCTCAACTTACAGATATTCCCAATGATTCTCGCCAACTTGATATTCGTAATCAGATTCTGCGGATCCAAAAACTCGGCCATCTCTTCTTTTGTGAGTCCCTCTTGACTCGGCATCTCAACGTCGATATCTTCGTCTCGGACTGTAATAGGTTGACCGAGCTTTGATGCGGAGAAACGATCGAAGAAGTATAACACCCACCATGTTCTTCTTCGACTTTCGCGCTCGACTGGTGTGAGGGTTGTGTGTCGTGATGCTGATCTGTGCATACCCAGACTTTGAGCGATGCGCATTGCGATGCCGCTGTAGCAGTATGCTGTTCTTATTCGACCGAGGACATTTGAAGCCCAGGCCTGTCAAGATATTAGCTACTAATGCTTTTCTGAGGGTGTAGTTTCCTTACCAACAATGTGAGAACCTCCACCTGCATCAAGGAAGGCTCCTCATAATAATCCTGATTCTCCTGCAACAACCCAACAGCCCTAACATAATAGTTCGTCCCCGGCACCCGATTATTATCCCCTACTCCTCGTCTATGCGTATAAATCTCTCCCAAAGCCATAAGCGCATAAAACTTACACAACCAAAGCGAACTCGGCACCATCTCTCGTCTATACACCGCATCGATCTCCTTCATGAACGTCACCTCCAGAAACAGCGGGTGATAATTCCCAATAAAGCGTCTCGCTACATTGAGAAGGAGTTTAACGTGCATTCGTTCTGGAAATTCGGGAACGGGGAGACGGTCGTATGTGTTGAGTTTTAGATAATTTGATAGGCCGGCTGTGGAGGGTGTGTATGTGTCGTCAAGACATGAGAGGAGACGATTGCTGAAGGCCGCGCAGGAAGCTTCGCCTATGAAACCTGGTTCAGAGGATCGTTCTTGGATGGGCTTTTCGGGTTGACGGTCGAAGAGGGGATTGAAGAGGTTGCTTTCTTCTTTTGAGAGGGAGGGTGGTGAGTCATCTTGGATATTAACATTGTTGAAGGGAGTTGGCTCTGGTGTTTGGTTATGTGTAGAGATGGCTTGAAGTTTGCGACTATCTTCTTCAAGTTTCTTGAGATAACTAAGAACATCAGTATAGTCTCATGATAACTTCGGGTTGGTGTACCTTTCAGAAACGGGTATCTTGCGCTCTTTGTTCGCAGGGAACTCACACTCATCAGCCCTTCCAGTAGAATTACATGACTGACAAGGCTTCTCTCCCGAACACTTGATTTTCTGAGAGTGGCACCTATGACAACTATTCACAATTCAATCAGACATCATCTCTGACATAAACAGCAGGGAGTCTCACGCAGCCAAAAGTCTTTTCGGACGTCTCGTGCTCATTTTGCAGGATACCGATCAGTTGGTAAATCATTGAGTAATGAAAATGATTCCAACCTGGGGATATGCGGGTCCGGGGTAAATGACCGGTTTGAGATGCGATTGTTTTCGTTGATGATGCCGAGTGGAGATGTCGTCGGTAAGTGAAAAGTTGCCGGTTGAGATAACTCGGCTTGAGGGGAATTGCCGATGAGTAAGCACTCTGCTAACATCCACTGTCGCTGGTGTGAATCCACTCACTTACACGGGGAACATTTACCCCAGACTCTTTAATATAATACATCTTCAACTCACAGACCAGATACCCATCATTCATTCTCATTCACTCTCAATACCCCCTTCCCTATCTATTCTTTTATACCCATATTCTCACAATGTCATCTCAAGGCATCCGCATCGCCATCGACAGAGGCGGCACCTTCACAGACGCCTGGGCCGAAATCCCCGGCCGAGACGAACATCTCGTCTTCAAAATCCTCTCCGTCTGTCCAGACGAATACGCCGACGCCCCCACAGAATGTATCCGTCAAATTCTAGAAAATGCTCTAGAAAAGACAATACCCAAGGGTTCATTACTTGACTTAGACCCCATCGAGTCTATTCGCATGGGAACTACAGTCGCTACAAACGCTCTCCTTGAAAGAAAGGGTGATCGCGTAGCGTTCCTTGCGACGAAGGGCTTTAGGGATATTCTTCTTATCGGAAATCAGACTAGACCAGACTTGTTTGATCTTTCGGTTAGAAGGCTTGAGCAACTTTATGAGACTGTTGTTGAGGTTGATGAGCGTGTTACTATTGAGGGTGCTAGTGAGGCGCCTAGCAATGGGGAGATTGACGTTGAGTCTGATGACGCGCTTGTTGTTGGTCAGACGGGCGAGGTTGTTAGGATCATGAAGAAGCCTGATCTTGACGCTGTGCGTGTTGATCTTGAGAGACTCAAAGAGCAAGGCTTTAAGAATATTGCTATTGGTCTCATGCACTCTTACACATACCCCGAGCATGAACTACAAGTCACGAAACTCGCTGAAGAAATGGGCTTCAAAGTTTCTGCTTCTTCAGTTCTCCAATCAATGGCCAAGTATGTGCCTCGAAGTCAATCGGCTGTCGCAGATGCATACCTTACACCAATGACAATGGCATACCTTGATGGCTTCAGAAAGAACTTCAAGGGTCAATTAGAAGATGAGAGTGCTAACAAGCTTCTCATCTGTCAATCTGACGGTGGTCTCACAAGTTGGTCCAAGTTCACTGGTCTACGAGGTGTTCTCAGTGGTCCTGCAGGAGGTGTCGTCGGTCTGGCGAGGACTTGCTACGATGATGCTGACGGCACACCTGTTCTGGGTTTCGACATGGGCGGTACAAGCACAGATGTCGCTAGATACTCTGGTGCATTGGAGCATATCTTCGAAAGCACCATCGCAGAAGTCACCATTCAAACTCCCCAACTCGACATCAACACCGTCGCAGCAGGCGGTGGTTCAATCCTAGCCTGGGAGAACGGTCTTCTCAAGGTCGGACCAAGCAGCGCTGGCGCAAATCCCGGTCCTGCATGTTATGGTCGCGGAGGTCCCTTGACCGTCACAGACGCCAACTTTCTCCTCGGTCGCATCATTCCCGATTTCTTCCCCCGACGCTTAGATCGGGAGGTTGTTAGGGAGAAATTCGCTGCTTTGACGGAGACTGTGAATAAGGAGAAAGATGGTGGTGAACCCTTTACACCGGAGACTTTGGCGCTGGGTTTCCTTGCGATTGCGAATGCGACTATGACACGACCTATTCGAACGTTGAGCGAAGGTCGTGGATACGGTGCTTCGAGTCACAACCTTGGATCATTCGGTGGTGCAGGTGGTCAGCATGCTGTTTTTATCGCTCGCGATTTGGGTATCAAGCGTGCTATCATTCCTTGCTACTCTAGTATTCTTTCTGCTTATGGTATGGCTCTTGCGGATGTTGTGGTAGAGAACCAAGAACCCTCCGCCATCACATTCTCCGAACAAGTCGTTCCCGAGATCAAGGCCCGCTTGGAGTCCCTGTCTGCTAAGGGCTCTCAAGGTCTTGTAGCCCAGGGCTTCGACGCTGCGTCTACCGAGCACGAGTACTTCCTCAACATGCGCTACCAAGGAAGCGATACCTCCCTCATGATCTCTGTCTCAGATAACGTCAGTGACGCAGGCGTCGCTTTCACGCAGCGACACACCCAAGAATTTGGCTTCTCCCAATCGAGGAATATTCTCATCGATGACGTCCGCGTTCGAAGTGTCGGCAAGTCTCGTGTTCTCAACATCTCCAGTCCCTTCGAGGAACTGAAGAAGTACAAGTCCGACGGTCTTACTCCTGTTCCTACACCTATCTTCTCCCGCAAGATCTTCTTCGAGAACCATGGCTGGACGGAAACTCCTGTTTATGAACTCAAGTCTATGAGTCCCGGTGTTCACATCACTGGTCCTGCTATGATCATCGATAAGACGCAGACTATTGTGGTAGACCATCTTAGCAAGGGTGTTATTCTGCCTGAGCATGTCATTCTTGAAGTTGACAAGGCTGAGAAGCAGAATGTTGCGACAGAAACTGTTGATCCTGTTACGCTTAGTGTCTTTGGTCATCGCTTCATGACTGTCGCTGAGCAGATGGGTCACACGATGGAAAAGACCTCCATTTCTGTCAACATCAAGGAACGACTCGATTACTCCTGCGCCATCTTCTCCGCTGACGGTGGCCTCGTCGCCAACGCTCCCCACGTACCAAGCCACTTGGGTTCTATGAGCACAGCAATCGCCTACCAAGCCCAACGCTACAAGGCTGGTGAATTGAAGCCCGGCGATGTAATCATCAGCAACCACCCCCAAGCAGGCGGCACCCATCTTCCCGACATCACCACCATCACTCCTGTCTTCGACGATGAAGAGAATCCCAAGGAAATCATCTTCTTCGTGGCCAACCGCGGTCATCACGCTGATATTGGCGGTATCGTTCCTGGTTCTATGCCTCCCAACTCCACAGAGCTGTGGCAAGAAGGCGCGGCTATTGAATCGTTCAAGATGATCGACCAAGGTGTTTTCGACGAAGCAGGTCTTATCAAGCATCTCTACGATGAACCTGCTTCATTCCCTGGATGCAGCGGTACACGAACTCTTACTGAGAATATCGCTGATCTCAAGGCTGCGGTGGCATCGAACCAGAAGGGTATTGAGTTGATCAGATCGTTGATCAAGGAGTTTACATGGCCTGTTGTGCAGCTTTACATGCATGCTATCCAAGATAATGCCGCGCAATCTGTGCGTGATTTGTTGAAGCAATTCGCTGCCAAGTATGAAGGTGGCGTGCTTGAAGCGACGGAGTATAACGATGATGGTATTCCGTTCAAGTTGAAGGTTACGATTGACAAGGAGACTGGCGAGGCGGTGTTTGACTTTACGGGGACTGGACCTGAGCATTCTGGTAATTTGAATGCCCCTCCTACTTGTTCATACTCTGTCATCATGGTAAGTCACCCACATCTCAGACGTCGCACAACAACTAACATGTACAGTACTGTCTCCGATCAATGATCAGCACCGACATCCCCCTCAACCAAGGCTGTCTCAAACCAATCAAGGTCATCTGCCCAGACAACACCATCCTCTCTCCCTCACCCACAGCCGCAACCGTAGGCTGCACAACCGAGACTTCCCAAAAGGTCGCCGATCTTGTCCTCCGCGCCTTCAACGCTGCGGCTGCATCTCAAGGAACTATGAACAACCTCAGTTTCGGCTGCGGTGGTACAGATCCTGTTACTGGCGAAGTCACAAAGGGTTTTGGCTACTATGAGACTATTTGTGGAGGAGCAGGTGCTGGATTGGGTTGGAATGGCGCGAGTGCTGTGCATACGCATATGACGAACACTCGAATCACAGATCCTGAGATTCTGGAGAAGCGATATCCCGTTATTCTGCACGAATTCAGCATCCGTGAGAATTCGGGCGGTGCAGGAAAATGGCGCGGAGGAAATGGGTGCATACGCGAAATGGAATTCCGCATGCCGCTCCAAGTCTCCGTCCTAACCGACCGCCGCGTAACAGCACCATACGGACTCGAAGGTGGCGAGGAGGGACAGCGCGGAGTGAATATTTGGGTGAGGAAGGATCCTGTTACCGGAGCTACGAGACAAGTTTCGCTAGGACCAAGAAAGACGTCGCATTTTGGAGTGGGTGATCGGGTTATTATTATGACGCCTGGTGGTGGAGGTTATGGACGTGTTGGGGATGAGGATGTTGGTGTTGGTGTTAAGGAGAGGGATGGGAGGTCATTTTTGACGAATGGGAGTTTGGGGGTTAGACATAGTATCGCTACTGGGAATTAGATAGGCGTTGGCATGTAATTGTATTGTTCATGAAATGACTTTGTTCCAAGACTAGTTGTTATTGAAGTCCTCTTTAAGAGGCACCAGGCGAGAACTCGTCACTGCTATGAGTCCAGAAATGATTGAACGTCAATTTAGACGCCGGGTATGGGCCACGCAAGACAGAAAATAGATTCAGAACGTAACAATTATACAGTCATGCCTATACAAACAATATCTATAAGAACAGTATTACCACTCCATGTCGTACAAGTCTACCGCACTCCAAGCCCCCTTTCCCTAAGAGAACTTATGTATCTGACTCTTCTCAAACCCAAGCTCCCCCAAGATTCCTCCTCGTCCCCATCCTCCAACAAGCGCATCCTCCATTCCCTTAGGTCCACAAACAAAAACCTTTCCCTCCCGTTCCTCGCCAAGCACCTCCTTCAGAAACTCCCCATCAACCCGTCCCCTTCTCAATCCCGAGCCCTCCTGAGTCTCGCCAACGGTATACCTAACCTTCAACCTATCCGGATACTCTCTCGCAATGCCATCGAGTTCTTTCCTTAGGAGTACATCCTCGTCTGACTTGGCCCCGAATACAAGTGTCATGTTTGTTTTATCTTCTGGGTTGCGTAGAATGCCTTGGATGAGTTGGAATATAGGTGTTATACCGCAGCCTCCGGCTATGAGGGTTATTTTTGGGAAAGCGTTGGGTTTCCAGGCGTAGTCTGTTTTGCTGCCTAGGAAGAAGAGGGTGTCGCCGGGTTGGAGGGAGTGGAGATATGTGCTGCCCTTGCCGTTGGGGTATTTCTTGACGAGGAGGTCCAAGTAGCCTGGTTCATCTGGGAATGTTAGCGATTGAAGTGATAGTGAACGGGGGACATACCAGCTGGGGAGATGGGACTATAAGGCCTCGGCGTAGGGAACCATGATCCCTCAGGCCATGTAAACGTCAATACAGACGCTATCACAAGTCAGCACTCCAATCCAATCTTACACATCCATATCGCTTACAAGATATAGGAAGTCCAGTAACATCCGTCTCCCGAGGCAGTTTAAACCGTAACCTCTTCGTATCATGAGACTCATACTCGGAACTATGCAGCGGTAGCTTCACCGGAGCAATTCCTCCCTTGAGAATCTTCTGAGGAGCATTTGACTCTGCAGATGCTGTGCTGAACATCATTCTCGATAAGACGCCGACGCCGATTGCGCTGGCGATGAGAGGTGCTGGGCGGGATAGGGAGAGACGAAGGGCCATGTCTGGGTAACTTTGGAGGAAAGTGATGGTATTGTAGAAATATGTATCTAAATTCTTACCCGTCTTATATATATCATTCCCTCATTCCTGCTATCGTATGTTTTCCCTTGTAGTAGTTTTAGTATCGGTATTACGGACAGCGATCGGCCTTGTCAAATTGTCCGGGCTGGATCCACTCCGAACCCGAATCTTGTCAGACGGCACCGAATCCTTCAATCGGGTTCGGGGAATTTGTCCAAAGTCCTGTTTTCCAGCCGGAAAATATCTACATTTCCCTCAACTTTGTCAATTGTCCAAGCTCGTATAGCGCATTTAGGCCGGAATATCACGGAGTAGTCTTGTCTGTACATCGCAGTATAATACATCGTCCATGTCTTGTTCCCATGATCGTTCATACAAATGTCTCTATGTACATCATATCAGCTTTAATGTCTCATCAACATCCTTCGCAACATCTATAGCCCTCTTCAAAACATCCTTCTCTCCACTCTCTAACTCCTTTGCTGTCTTTCCTGCCATACAACTCATATCCTTCTTACTCCCGCCCTTATGCCACGTCTGATCAATCATCCAATGCGTCGGTACTTCGAACTCCTTCTGATTAACAGCTTTGTTCTTTAGTAAACCGCCGTTGTACCAGAGGAGTTTGTCAGTTTGGTCGACGTGTGCTATTACGAAGCTGCAGACGCGGACTTCCTTGGGTTTGTCTTGGAGCCAGCCAACTATTCCGCCGTAGTGAGGCGAGAAAGAGTATCTCGACCCTGTCGCTTCGAATCCAATCCACCAACTCTCCTTATCTCCATATGTAATCTTGTACGTAACTTCATTTCGTACCCTCTCTGAATTCTGCCACCCGATATGTATCAATGCCAGCAGGACATCAAGTCTTCCTTTGTCAACCACCACAGTCCCCGAGTCTCCTTCTTCAGAATATCGCTCTGTCCAGACAAGCGATTTCTCAGTCTCAGGACTCGGGTGTTTAATCTGATCATGCCACCAATCCTGTCGGTCTTTAAATCCACCCTTCCAAAGGAGTCGATCGTGGAAGAGTAAAGCACCAGTTTCGTTGAACCGATCTTGGAGGAGGAGTTGTCGTGGATCCTGTAGGAATACTGTATCTGCGTCTAGAAGAATTACTTTCTCATAAGGACTTGCTAATGTGGCAAATGGTTTTATCGCCCAGCCACCATTCGCGAGATCCAGAGTCGTGTCGTCGAAGACAGTAAGGATATCCAGCATGTCAATCTTGACGCCATCGGCTGCTTGTTGTATTTTCTTTCGTCCCTCGGCTGATAAGTCCTTGTCGCCTGCGTACACGACCTGGATCGGTAGGGACGTCTTGTGTACTCGCGTTAAAGAGGCGATGAGGTGACAGGCGAAACGTAGGGTTTTGTCGCCGGTAGGTATTACTATCCCCGCTGACCCTTTCTTCACTTTCGAAGCGCTCGTTGTTTTGTATGACAGTCCAAGTCTGTCATAGATATTGGCTAGAGGCGGCGAGATTCCCTTCTTCGAGTTAAGCCATGGATATAAAGACTCGGTCAATCGTCCGATCAGTTCCGCTATCTCACGCTTCTCGTCCCGACCATGGTGCTCCAGTTCTTCGATCCACGTTCGTATAAGCTGTGTCCTCTGTCCCAATTCCCCAAATATCTCTTTCGGTTCGTCTTTTAGCGGATAATCGAGGAAGTATCGTGCGCCCAATTTGATCGGTTCCAAGCTTTGTGCATGCGGATTTGTATTTATCTTTCGAGACGGCGACGGAAGAGGAAATGATGCATCGCGAAAACTGTAGAACAAGACTATAAGTATCCAAATGGAAGCAATAGCCGCCGTGATCTTCACGGTCTTTGCAAAATTGAACATGGCAACATAAGAATATAGAAAACCATGACAACAAGTGCTCACAGGAACAGAGGACTCTATATCAATTATACAGGTACTTTTGTTTACTGCCTACAAGGATCTTTGTCACTGCATTCCATCATTACTTCCTTAATCCGTGATTGCCAAGGCGAACCTGATAGCGTTTAGATAAAGCGACGCGAATGCACTAATACGGGACGTCAGCCGCTAAAAATACGAAATTTCGCACTGAAACAGTACTAGCTTTGAAATTCTCCCACAGCGGATGGGCCGCGTCTGTAGACGCGTGTCGTAGGATTGGATGACTGTCGGCCGGAGTTGTCGAAGGAATCGGAAGGATTCAACGCCAAGGCCAGGGAAGAATGTGAGCAAGTCATCATGACTAAACAGTGATAATCTTCCTCGTGTTACATGATATCCTTCCTTGGGATGGGACACTCAATCACTCACATAGTCAACTTCAGTCGTTCAGAATTATGTTCATACAGTAATGAGTAACAATGCCACGTCATACCAATCTTCTAGATCATACAATGCAATGCCCAAACGCCAGGCCGTTAAACTCCAGGCTCATAAACAATCCATCAATTCACAAAACCCAGCTGCTCTTCATCGCCATGTACCCCCGGAACTAACTTGGCGGCGAGGCACGGCTGACGAGCCAGTACCGATAGTAATCCTCCTCGCAGGTCCGCTAGCCATACCGCCCTGGGGGCTTCCGCCGTTGACTTCCGCCGGTCGTGCGCTGCTCATGTTCATGCGTCTAGCTTGACCTTGAGTCAAGGCTCTGTCTATGGTGAGGTCGTTTGCGAAGCAAGCCATCGGGGGAGATCTTCTCCTTTCGACGCTTCCTCTTCTGAGTCGAGAGATGCCGTTTGTGGTGCTGGCGAGGGCGCCGGAAAGACTGGGTCTGGGAGCGCGCTCGGGGAGGGATCCTATGGAGGAAACACGTTTGGAACTGGAGGCGCCTGTGCCGGCCATGATGCTCGCTCTACGAGCTTTCTCTTTCATGGCGGTACGGAGAGCGGTTTGGAGTTTGCGCGCGTCGATTGTGCTCGTCTCAGAGTCAGATCCAGATCCGGGAGGATTGTTTTCGTCATGTACCTTGTTGAGATGTCGGATCGGTCGTGGAATACCCAGTCCCGATGGCGATGGAGAAAAGTTGCCGCTCTTAGTGACATCTAGTGATCGCAGGGGTGGTGTTCGCTGAACGTCGGGGGAAACGGAACCTAGGTTAAGAGACATGGTTGGAGCCTGTGGTGAGCCGCCAGCAAGAGAGTGTCTAACCCCCTTGGATAGGAATCCAGCTTGAAATCTGCTTGACTTCGCGCCTCCTAAGATACTGGTCTCGGTGACATCGGGGCTGGAGCTGTCATCCAGTGTCGATTCTTCAAACTTGGGCTGTTCGGGTTCGAGGTAAGATGGCATCGGGGGTGGAATAAGGCTCTTCTCGGGTGACGAAACATCTGGAGAGTTAAACTTTTGAGGTGTCTTCTCAAAGTCAGCTAGCGTACCCTCCTCAGTCTCATCATCTCTCCATCGAACTCCTCCCTTCTTCTTCATCTTCACCGGCGTGAAGCTAATGCCCTTCTTGGAGGCTCCCATCACCTTACGTCGTCGGGGAGAACCCTTAGTCGGGCTGAGTGGTGTAGACTCAGGCATGAAGACGGGCTGTGCAACAGGCTTGGGATGGATGGCGATAACCTTCTTGCGCTTGGGTGTACCTCGCTTTCGGGGTGAAAAGACCTCAACCACAGGCATGGAGCCATCAGGCTTAACGACGTGACCAGCAGCAGCGAAGCCTGTCTGGAGGAGACGGTTGATCATCTCCTTGGCGTGAGAAACGGCTTCCTCTTCATCCATCTCGAGAGTATCGTGAAGTGATGAGAGGATTTCGAATTGGGCGGTAAGAAGCATCTGGACCATGGCAGCATCACCTGCCTTGTCCTGCTCAAGAACCTCCCTGTATGCCTCACGGTTGAAGTTGGCCTTGAGCAACTCGGCTTCACGAGTCAAGTTGTCAGTCTCTCCGTTATCGGCTCCCTCAGTTCCTTGAAGCTGCTGCAAGCTGTGCGACAGAGCAGTGTCAATAGCTCGCTCCCAACCAGACTTCTCCAGCTTCTGGTGAATATGGTGTCGGCTGTTCTCCAACTCAACAAGAATGCCCTGGGCCGTCTTTCGAATAGCGACCAAGTTCTGAGGCATGGAGTCCTCATCACCTCGCTGATCGCAAACAGTGTCGAAAGCAGCAATCCATCCTGACAGCATGCCGATGCGTCGCTCGAAACCCTTGAGTCGCTTCATGTTGTTAATACGCTCTTGGCGCTCGGTAGCAGAGTATTCGTAGGCAGTTCGAAGTCGTTGAACACCCTCTCGAGCCAGGGCCTCTCGCTTGTCGGCTTGCTTTCGGAATTTGGCAAAGAACGTAGCTTCGGCGTTCTTCTGCTGGGCCTTGAGCTCGTTGATCAAGGCCATCTGCTCGTCAATCTTGACCAAGAAGTCCTTGACGTGGCGGTTCACGTTGAAGACGTTTCGCGTCACCTTGGTCTGGATGTTCTTGGCTCGGTTGGCGTATCGGAGAGTGTTTTGTGTTTCGTCGAAATGCGCACTAGATGGCGAGACACAAACAATCATGACGGTCTTGCAGTTGCCGCCGAGGGAGAATTTTAAAAGTCGGGTGAGCTTGCTGTTTCGGTAGGGAACGTGTTGCTTCTGGCGACGATCGCAAAGGGCGTTGATGCAGCTTCCGAGGGCGAGGAGGGATTTGTTGATGTTGGCACCCTCTGTAAGACGCTCGCCACGGTTCTTGGTGACTGAGGCTCGTTCGGAACCAGCAAGATCGATAATGCTGAGGGTGGCCATCGTGTGAGGCTCGTTGGTACCGGCTGAACGGTCCTTCTGGGCAATGTTGATTTGAAGAACAGCGTGCGATCGGGAAGATGTAGCGTTGGCCTCGGTAGCCGATACTGTGCGGTATTCGTTTCCTCGAACAATCATGTCCATGACCTCCTGGACATCCTTGGGGTGATGACTCGTCAAACCCGGCACAGAAACAGCCTGGTTGCTGTCCTCTCGGAGCATCAAACCAGCCTTGCCTCCACCACCAGGAACCAGCAAGTCACGAATGGTCTCGTTGTAAATCTCAAGATAACTGAGACTCAATTCTGTGACCTTCTCCTGACTGCGCTCCTCAATCTTCTCGAACAATTCTTGCATGGTCATAAAGATGATACCAGGGTGTTGTGCGGTACCGGTAATGGTATGCGTCTTTCCACAACCTGTGGCACCGTAGGCGAAAACGGTCGCATTGTAGCCCTCAAGAACGCTGTCGAGGAGAGTTCGGGTAGTGCCTTCGTAGACTTCGGATTGTGTTGTGTTGTCGTCAAACACGCGGTCAAAGGCGAAAACTTGATCCTTGACCTTCTTCGATGTGGGGAGAACTGAGCGACCGAATTTGTGGACGGGGTTGTCCTCTGGAGGGTCAAAGACTCTGTGTTCTGTCAGCTTTGATCTTGGTGTTTGTAATCTTGGAGCGCATACAAACAACGGTCGTCGACGACCTTGATCACACTTCGAATACCGCGTTGGTGAAGCATGGGCGTAGGCGCAGCGGCCAAAGAACCGTCACCGAGAAAGACCGTTCCATTATCGTTCTTTTGTCTGCCATACAATTAGCCATAAACTTGACCGTTTTGCCATGCCGAACCTACAATTGCGCGGCTTCTCGAATCGTGAAAGGACGAACTCGAACTAAAATAACGGTCAACAAAGTGCAACACTCCAATCCGAGAAAAGTGTGCGCATACCAGCAACAGTAATTGAAGACTGTCCTGAATCGCTTGGAGCGGCCGTAATAGCCATGATATCCTCGTTTCGCTCGTTTCGTGGGTGTTGTTGCAATCGGGGAGCTTCAGATCACCACCTCAAGCTCTTTTGTGGCGTTGCAGCACGGTTTATCGGTGAGGAAGGCGTTATAAAGTAAACAAAAGCGGGACAGCAGTTTTTAAAATGAGAGGCGCGCTCTATGGTTGAGCAGATTTGATCATAGAAAAACAAATAGTTCAAGACTTAAACTCGAACAGAAAACAAAAAGAGAAGAAAATGATGCACCTGTTCGTTAGTATGCTCCCGGTAGTTTGTTTAAAAGAGTGAGTGTCAGTTTAGAGCTGCCGAAGCGAAGCACGGTTATGGGTGACGTCTGGTTTGGTTTGTTTTCTGATCGTTTTGAGGGTCTGGGGGGTCGTGTTGCTGTGGTTACCCCCTAGCGCCACTATTTCTAGGGGTACCCTGTTAGTCTGTAAGTGCTTCAATGCGAGTGCTTGAACCCCCCTATCGATCTGCCTTAACGGAGACGGAGGAATCAATTAAAGATATGGAGCTGAGTCAAGCGATGGAGCCACTTGCCAGGTGTTTTTGAGCTATTTGTTTGTTGCTTTTTGAGGCTGGTGAGGTTTTGATACTGAGGCTGGTGTGACATGGTCCTCCACTGAATTATCACAACAGCCATCATTGGTTCAAGATGGACAACAAACAGGGGACCATGCAAGACCCACGACAATAGATGTCAAAATAAACATAGGAGAACAAACATTGAGTGACGTGGGCTTCTCATATCGAGTACTAGGAACTATGGAGATATGGTTGGAGCCCAACATGAAATTCTGGGGAAGTGCATCTCCATTGTAGGGTAGCTTTGACGAAAACGGTCAACACAATGCTGCCCAAGATCTCTCGATCATTTGATAGGTCATTTTCTTCAATACGGTGCGGTCTTATTCAGTTGGTGTGCCTTTTCTCTTCCGAACTAACGCGATGAGGCTTCAGGGTGTTAAAAGAATTAGCCACTGAAAGCATAAGAGACAAAAAGATTTGGTCACCTTATGATAATTTAGACCAGCACTTAGGCTACTTTACTCTAGAACCCTAGGCCTTAGAGGACCATTCTTCTGTTACCATCTATCTGGCTACGGGGCATTCAGCTCACTATGAGCATTTCGACACGACTAAGAGCTTGCTTATGATGGATATCAGGTCATCATCGACCATTGAGCTGTCACATCTACCAGGCCGAGTCTCACCCAATTCCATTCATGATGTCGAGTACAGCACTTGACAATGGGCTGCGAGGCGAAACTTCACATCCTCCAGTCACACGTAACGACACCTCTCTTGTCAACTGCATGTCCATTGCAAACACAAAAACCATCAATTAACTTTAGTTTACAACCAAACGCCAACCATGCAATCAATTCCTAACAAACCCCATCTCTTAAGCCTCCACAAACGCATACCTCGGCAGCGCAGCCATTCTCTCCTCAGGACTAATCTCCGCATCATCGTAGAACATCCTCGCCTTCTTCTCCTTCTTCTTCTTATCACCCTCTCCCTCGGCCGCCGGCTTGATGCCTGCTTCCGCCATGCGGATCAGGTTGTCAATGTCGTCAGGTGCACCGGGTCGTTGGGGAAGACCGGCTGGTGCTGCTGCGCCGGATGATGGGCGTGCGGGAAGGCTGCTGGCTGCGTAGGGGTACGGTGGTACGGCGGCGGGGGCTTGGAAGGTTGGTTGCTCGTAGGGGTTTTGGGGAGTGTATGCTGGAGGCGCGTTCTATATTTGTTAGCAAGTCTTCAACCATCGCGATGCCAGGACAACTCACAAAAACAGCTTGAGGCTCAGCGGCGGGAGGAGCTGGAGGGGGAGCATTGGGATCAACGCCTCCGTTGGCAGCAATCTCCTTCTTCCTTTGTCTAAACTCGGCCATTCTCTTCTTCAGCTCCTCCGGCGTCTCAGTCTTGATCTTCTTCTGCTGATGACCCTGTCCCGGAAGAGGGTTTCCCGTCGCGATCTGTCTATCCTTCTGCGCCTGCTGGAAGTTCTGAAGAATGCGGTTGCGGTGCTGGTCGAGCATGTCCTGGGGGATACCCTCCATGCCAAAAATTTCCACCTCGAGACCTTGTCTGTTCGGCAGCGCGTTTTCGACCTGTGTGAGGTTTTCTTTGTGAACTTGGTTCATGTGCACGGAGAGACCTATAGTAAAATCTGTTAGTGATGATTTGGGTGAAAGCTTTGGATGGCTTGAGCTCACCTCCTGCGGTGTTAAGACGACGACCACAGCGGTCGCATTTGAAGTGCTTCGCCTTCTGATGCGAGATAAGAAGCTTCAAATCTTCAAAATCACGTTCACCTGTGATAAAAGCTGTCAGCGTTGAGGTTCAAGAGCGTACGGCGCAAGATTTCGTACAGTAGTAGCACCAAGGACGGTGCAAGACCTCCTCGATGTCGGGGTGACCGCGCCTCTTGCCCATCTTGTCGACGACTGTAGATATACCGAGTAAGTCTGCAATGGTCTTACGCGATGCGATAAAGCTGCGCAAATGTTCCTGATAGAGGTCGATTCGCAATATCCTGGACGTGGAGCTTGCAATTGAACGCGACAAGAAAAGAGTGGGTAGCTTCGACCGGAAAAGGTTCGGCTAAACAATTTGACAAGAAGTTCAACACCAGACAAAGCAATCACGACCGCCGGTTCAGTTCAATTCGAGCGTCAAATAATTAAAGTTTCTTGAGTTTTCTGAGGCAGAATGTGTCGAAATAATGGTGCATTCATACATTGATAATGTACAGTCTATAGTAAATGGTAGGTATATACCACAAAAGCGTTCAAAGCAGCATCCAAGCACATCTTCCCATGCCGATGCATATTTACCACCCAACCCCAATCCAATCGTTACATATCTCATCAATATGGCCGCCCAGAAAAGTTACCCACTTGTTAAATCGTGGCGATTCTACCCATACAAAACGCCCCAGTAAATGCTCCATGTTCCCTATTCCCATAATTAAGATCCGTTTGGCGCCACCTGGTCGAATATTATCAGTGGCCACTGGCCTCCGTGTTGTATGTTGTTGATGTCGTTTGCTGATGGGTTGGCTGCGACGCCCGGGACGCCTGCGCCGGATGAGGCATCTCGTGTATTGCCTCCGAGCGTCAAAAGAGTGGATGCACTGAACCGATCCTGGGTGTCAGCGATGGCCGAAGTCCAGTCGTGCCAAGTGTTGCCGCGTCCCTGCCAGAGTATGTCGGCCTGAGGTACCTGGGCTGATTGCGAGAAGGCGAGCATTGGGTTCACCTGCGCCACAGACGATGGTAGGGCCGATGTGGTGACTGCGGCTTGCGCAGATGTGCTGTAGAACATGGCGCCGGCGTCGTAAGCTGTTGGAGGCGCCATGCCATTTTGCGGGGGTTCGTTGTAAGTGAGTGTTGGGTAAGAGGTCTGTCCATTCATTTCTGGCTCTGGGAAGTAATTCTTGGCAGATGAGACTTCACCTTGAGCGCTAACACTGGTCACTGTAGAGGGAATCTGAGAAGCCGGGTAAGCCGAAGCCTGTGCAGCCTGCTCTGTCTTGATCTCTGGTGTGATTGATGGCTGAGAGCTCTTGGGCTCCTGGTTGCGCATATCATGATCGATCCAAGCGATGGTACGATCAACAATGGTTCCAATTTCAGCACCCACACTAGATCCCGATCCTGGAGTAATGTTAGTTTTGTCAGACTTGCACGCTATTCGTGGAAACTTACCGAGCAGAGAGCCAGCTTCTTCAAGAATGCCGACCCAGCCGTCCATCTCCTCCCGCAAAGTGGCGATGGCCTCAGGTGTCGTCTCGAAACGTCGCTTCCACATAGCGGCCAGCATTGTAAAAGCGCCAGCAGTGTACATCGAAGTCTGGTACCACGTAGTATCGAGGCACTTGCACTTCTGAATCTCAAGCTGGCATTGAAGCATTTGGCGAGAGACGTCCTCGCAGATTGACATGTTCTCAGCCATCATCGCCTTGTCGCTTGTCATGGCCACTGAAGGATGTCGCAAACAGAGTCGGAACTCGAGCGCCCATGTCTTGGCGTAGACAGCTGCCATGCGTGTCTGTTCAGTCTGCTCAGCGTGGCCCATCTTCAGATGACCAGGGAGCTCATCTTCCCACTTCTTGATAGCGGCCTCGAGCGCGTGAACAACACTGACGTAATTGCGCGCATCTCGTCGAACACTGTAAATATTCGAGTACATCTCCATGTAGATTGGAATGATCTTGAAACTAACGATGCCTGGCCAGTAAGGGCAGGGAATATCACGAGATGTGTCAACGCCCTCATCTGTCAGGAGCTCATCTGCGATAGGCTCGGGGAAGCCGACGTCAAATTCCTCAACAGTAATAGGCATTGGTCGGCCACGGCGACCAACAACAGCGATGTAAACAGTCATAATGACCCAGAAAGCTCGCTTCCTGAGTTCATGCTGAAGGTTTGTGCCCTCGCCTGGTTTTCTTGACTCTCGATGAAGATTCAATTCGAGCGCACGTTGAAGCGCAAGGTTGACGATGATCGAGACACAGCCAGGCTTGGGGAAAGCTCTGGTATGCTTGACAATCATGGCCATGGCCTGGACCGAAGCCAGGTCTCGGGAACATGACAACTCAAAGAATTTGCTCAAGGCGAAATGGTAATGCTTGTTGGATTGGTCGTTCATTTGAGTGCGCTGATCGACTTGCTGCCAATTTCTTGTACCGTATTGGTAGCAAATGATGGCGAAAAGCATATGCACCGTAACAAGCTCCGCCACAGAAGGCTGAAAATTAGGTTCGTCGTACATGCGCGTCAACTATCATGCGATTAGTATTTAGAGTAACACAGATTCAAAGAAAACTTACTAGGCGCATAAATGAAGGTTTGTGGAGCACTGGAAGGAAAGCAGAGAATGTCATAAAGTACCACTCAGCGTAGGTGAAGGCGTCTTCACGAGAAGGCATGTCAGCGTGCATTGGGGGATTGACTCGCATGATGGACTGAAGGAAAGCTTGTGGCGATTTGTTGTACAATGGCGTTGATGGCTTCGCATCGGTTGGTGGCTCCTCCATATCTGGGGCCTCGAACTTTGCGAGGTCGACTGTCATTCCGAGGATGGACAGTTTCGTTCCGCCAATTGAGCTCAGAGGAGAGCTGTCATATCCGACACCGAGATGGTTTCCATGAGGGCGAGATTCCAGTGTGCGAGGAAAGGTTGGACTGGAATCAGACTTGGAGCTGGCGTTTGACGAAGAATTCTTGACCCATGCGCTGCCGACTTGAGACCATGTATCGCCAGTATTTGGATCGGGAATTGGGTTTCCCATATCATCAAAGTTCACGCCTGAGGGGTATTGCGCGTAGGGCGACCACTCCCAAGGCTTGACTTCGACGCCTTTGTTGTCGAGTAGCTTCTCAAGATCGCGAATGTGGGAAAGCATGTCGCTCTTTTCCCTCTCCAATTCCTGCATGTATCCTCTTCGCTCCGTACGACCTGTCACGCGGTCGGTAACATAGCATTCGAGATTTTGGTTGGTGCAGTGCGAACATCCTTCGGGGAGAGCATCGCATCGAATTTTGCGAACCTAGAGTTTGCGCGTTAGTTTGGTAATTGGGAGGATATGGTCTGACGTACCTTGCATCTGTCGCAAGCTTGACCAGTGCGTGTATAAGATTGTAATCGGTTCTTGACAACGCTGGAGAAGTCATCGGGACCTCGTTCTAATCTGGCGAGCTTGGCTTTGCCTGGAGGGTGGATGGGGCCGTCGTCTTCACCACTGCTGGCAGCCCGTTTCGGAGGTCGTCCGGGCATCTTGGGCTTGAGGCGCGGGGAGAAGCCCGCTGGTGAAGATCTCGCGGAAGAAGCAGCCGAAGAAGAAGCGCTCTTGTAATCGACGCTCGCAGGAGACGCGGTTCTGGCCTCTGTCCTGGCCGTGCAACGAGATATCGCGGCAGGCTGGCGCGGGCGGCGCCCAGTGGGTTTGGTGCAAGTCTGAGCAGCGGAAGCCTTTGCAGCGGCGAGAGAAGAAGGGTTCAGGTTGAAGTTGTAAGCGAAGGTTTCAGGCGCCCAGGCGAGGGCGGAGTAGGATCGCGCGTCAAAGGGCCAGTATAAGGGACCTCCGGCTGGCTGCTGCGACGACAGCGACAGTGACGTTGGAATGGAAAGGTTGGCGATGGAGGAGGAATTGAAGTTGCGCTGGGATATGGCCTCCATCATATTGGCTCTACTGCGAGTCACTAGCCGTGGCTGCTGCTGCTGCACCTGCAGTTGGTGGACTCTAGCTGGAGCTGTCTCTGCCGGCTCTGTACAGGGGATGGGATCGGCGGGGAATGCGCTGTGCATTAGCGGCCTTGAAGGCTGCGCAGCGGTCTCCGATGGGCTGTGTAGGTGGAGACCTATGGCGGCTCGACGAACCCGGTACAGAGGAAGAGAGGGTAGTCTAAGAGACGGGATGAATTGGAAGGGATGTTTGAGACTGTAATGGTCTAGACTCTATAAGTGGCTGTATAATTTGTATGATATGATATGTTGCTGTGCAGAATAAATAATGTCAGATAAGACAAGACAGTTGAGTATGCTTATACTTGTAAACGAATGGATAGATTCAATTGACGACAAGATGTAGGGGTTATAAGGCTGGTCAATGTCTCGGTCTTATAAGCTGAGATCCATCTGGATGCTCATCTGTCTGTTGTATACTTGGCAAGTTGTAACCATCCATCTCTCACCACACTAAATCTTAGCTTCATGAGTTAAAATAGATACACCTACCTCCAGTACAGTACGCCAACCCTGCAAATGATCGGCGTTGGCGTTTGTCACTGGATCTCAATCGTGAAGCTCTCGTGGCCCGGAAGGACCGCATGCGTCTCCAGATCCATTGCTGAGAATGAGGAAGAGATCTCATCCAGAATCCGATCGAGATTGAACAGTTGAAGACAAACGGAGATGCCTTCTAGAAAGAATAACGGTACGCCAGTCACGGTACTCAGCAAGCCATGGCCATACCGCCCAGACGATAATTCTCCGTAGAACAGAACAGACCACCAGTATCCAATGTTCAGAGTTTGGAACTTGCAAGGCTCTTGGCTGTAGGGCCCAAGCGGGCTGGCTCACAAGGGGAAGGGTGATCGTCATGGTGGTTGAAGGTCCAGGCCTGGTTTCATTTCTTGGACAAGACCAAGCCAAGCCACGAGGCAGATGTGCCGTGCGAAGCGTCATGATGCTGTGGTTGAAGGAGACAAACTCGGCTATTCCGTCAAACAGCGATGACGATTCGTCACACACACTTGGAAAAACGAGCTGGATAGCGGAGCTAAGAGTCCCCAACTACCGGTAGAGGAAGCTGTCCAGGTCCTAGTAAGTTGACGTGAAGATCTCATCGTATGATTTGCATGTAACATGCTCAAATGTAACCCTACTATACCCTAAATGAACACGATAATATTCGTGTTATTTCTGGTAAGGCATGTTTTCAATCATCACTGCCTTGCTTGGCTGCAAAACTGTTTCCGGTCATGTACAAGTGCTTTAGACCAAATGGTAGGTAACAACCAATTATTCCCAGTATCCCGTTCCTGCTACGGCACTTGTCAACCTTGATGATGGTGGCGCGGCCTAGCATCGGCAGTATTTTGACAAGGAACCCATTGTCAACGGGCAGTTCAGTCCCGACGACGATCATTCAGAAGCGATGAGCACGTGTGTAACCGGAACAATAACGGACGAGGGCGATCCAAGATGGCTTCCAAGAGCTTATGGACGAATGCATATTCTTGGCATTATTCCTGACAGAGTCACTTCTTTGTCAAGTGGCTTCTCCTCACCATCGTTGACGTGATACAAATTGTGAGTCTGTGCAGTAGTGTAGAAAGTGAGAAGTCCTCATTGTAAAAGAGATCGAATACAGTATGAACACAGTAAAACGACATGTGAACGGATGGATGGATGACTCCAATGAATGGTGCCCCTCACTCACCAACTCTAACAAAATTACCCCTCCTACCGGGAAGAAATGTCCTTCAAAGTTTAGACTGTCAAAATAAAGTGGTCTGAATGCAGCTCTAAACTGCAACAAAGTGTCTGTGTTATTTCGACTCAAGACCCTGGCCAATCTTTGACGCCCTCCGCACTAAACTAAACCTGTCCAAGACACAGAAACCTGCAACTTCAGTTCCGCTTGCAGTCAACAATCTCCTCGAACCGTCGCGCTACACCAAAGACTAAGGTTACAAGAATCAGCAGATCTTCTAAGCGATCAACTTGAACGAACTTTTGTCAACACACTCCTGCCAAGAAAGACCAGAACCGGCCAAGACAACGCAAACGACTCACTCGGTTCATCATGTCTCTCGAAGCAGTCACCCTCGAGCATCTACCAGCTTCGCACAAGGTCTACATTGCCCTATTCAGTGACGTTCAGAATGCGGCCTTCCTGCACCAGCAGCTTCTCGCTCGGAACCCCGAGTTTGAGTACGCCTTCATTGATGCCTCAGTGGTGAGTTCCGTCGGAACACCCGATTTGAGCTAGGGCAGTTCTTATTCTGATGACTGTGATTGTTTCTTTGAGCAGGTTGTTTCGAGGCTTCAATTATTATCCGCTGTGTTCAAGGCTGCGTCGACGGCTGTGAATGGCGCTTTGAGGACGCCAAACGTTCACTCCGAGATTGTGTGTGCCATGAGTTCGTCTAACAACGTAATATGACCCCCTGCCTAAAGTATATGTCTGGGACTGACTTGTCCAGATCTCTGATGCTTACCGTCGCTATGGCATTTCTCCATCAACAAAGGATCTCATTGTGGTCAAGATCACCTTCCCAGGAGAGGATGGTGCTGAACCTTTGACCCAAGACCAGATCTGGGAGCACCTGAAGACCAACGTCCAAGGAGAGGCTTTGTCCATTACAGACGAGCAAATATCCACCGCTACTGACCTACCAAAAGTGCGCAAGTACTACAAGTTGAATGGACTCAAGTGGCTTGACGATATCAAGGATGAAAAGGTCAAGCAAAAGGAAATGGAGTCGCTTGTTATAGGCGCCATGGCTCTACGAGGTGTTTGAATCATAAAACGAGTTCAAGTGCTTCACTTCACATAAATGCTTCACTTTTGTCAAATGGGAAATAATTGTAAGGACTAAAACGTAAGTCATTTCTTCATCTATGCTTGATCTATCTCGGATATTGAGATGCTAGACGCCCCGGACTCCTGATCGCTACCCATGATGCAATAACAAAAGAAAACCCCAAAAGACACGAATGATATAAAGCTCTTTTCTCTTTCCCATTCCCAGTTTTTGTTTTATTTTTACTTTTTTTGTTTGTTCGTTTAAGCAAGGCCAACGACGCTCTTGCATCGTCGGACAAGCTCAGCCCAGAGAGCATCTCGGCTGCCCTTGGTTCGCTGGACGGCGTCCTTGTTCTCGTGCGCGCGGCGCAGGAGGTACTTCATGCACTCGCCAGTGGTTCCCCAGACGAGGTACTTGTAGGCGGGCAGGTTGCGAGTCTTGTCCAGCTGGTTAGCCTCGACCAACTCGCAACTAACTTCGTCGGCCATGCCCTGCAGCTGGGCGAAAGCAATGTCGGACTTGGCGCGGCCGGCCTCCATGATGGCACGACTCTTGCGGACGGACTCGGCGTTGTGAGAGGCGACGACAAGGCTGGCAACGGGGTACTGGCCGGATCCCTTAACATCAGCGTTCCACTCACGGGTGAGGACACTGGCGGAGAGGGAGTCGAAGCAGGCGTCGGTGTCTTCCTTGGTGTCGTGGAAGAGCTCGCGGGGGTCGGAGTTGAGGTAAGCGCCGCGGACAAGCTTGACACCGAGAGCGAAGCCCTCCTCCTGAGCAAGCTTGAGGTGGTCGGAGAGAACCTGGGGGCACTTCTTCTTGTAGGCTTGGTAGGTACCGAAGATGACAGCCTCACCGAGACCCTTGTTGTACTTGCGCATGAACTCGAGAGTCCAGTCATCAATACCGTCCTGGAGCATGTCCTGCTCGGCGTCGAAGAGGAGACGGACACCTCGCTCGTGGGCGAGCTGGCAGATAGAGTCGATGGCCTTGTACATGGAGGGGCTGGGACCAAGACGCTCCTTCAGCTGGTGAAGGGCGATGGCACCAGCACCAGTGAACTTGAGAGCGACAAAGTCACCAGCCTCAGCAAGTCGGACAGTCTCCAAAGTGCCTCGGGCCCAGGGGAGGATATCGTTCTGGATAGCCTCGTCGGTCTCGATAGCGGCATTCTTGAGATCGGCACCCTCGGCCTTGGAGAGAACAACCTCCTTGGCGTAGTTAAGAATAACACCGTTGAAACCAATGTTCTTGAGTCCATCGATAGTCTTCTTGATCTCGGGTGACTTCTCGCCAGCGCAGAATTGAGCGTAAAAGGTCTTCTTGAGGAAGAATCGGAGAAGAGGGTTCTTGTCGGGGTTGAGGATAGGGTTGTGTGTGTTGGCTAGGATTCCCATGACGTGCAGAGAAGGAGGCAGGAGGAGAGGCGAGGAGGAGACGGTCATGGTGGCCAGAGATCGCAGGATCATGATCAGAGGCAGAACGGAGAGAGGAGCCTTGCTGGCGGCGGGAGGAAGAGGGTCGCGGGTCTGCTCGACGATGGTGTTGGTGCGTCGCTCAGAAGAGTGGATGTGACGGCGGGCGGCGAGGCATGGTCGGAGAGTGTTGATGGTGATGGCGCTGGAAGATGCTGTCGCCCAGCGAAGGGGCTGGGCAGTCCCTCGCCGAAGGGCCGAGCTCATTATATGAGATGTGCGGTGGTTGTTGTTGTGAAGGTTTCCTAGAGGATGGAGAGGCGAGGCTGGATCAGTATGGAGGGATCCAGGCAAGCAATGTGTGTGTTTGTTGTATTTGTTTGTTTACGAGAGGAATAGGCACGACAGATAAAGGAGGTCGGTGCGATGATGCAAGATAAGTTAGTTCTATCTGGTTGAGATTAGGAAAGAGCAACGGGTGGCAGGAGAGCTTATTATATCTCTGCGGCTGTCTAGCAGTGACACTGACGGTCGGTTGACTGCGGTGCCTGGATCTGTCTAGCAAAGTCTAGGGGTGTGTGAGGGAGGTGGCGCTATCGTGAGCTTTCCCCATTCCAAAGGGTTAGTTTTTTCGCCATTGATAACCTCTAGTCATGGTAATGGTCATGTTTACGCTATTCTACCCCTGGTCTGTGGTGATTGTTTCCCTCCGCAAAGGCCGAGCTCGCCCGGACCCGTGACTAAGTGAACCAGTCCCCAGTATCAAAAACCAAGGCCGCCAAAGACAAGGCGAGGGAAAGCCCCAAATTACCGGGACTCTGACGATGGCGAACGGAGCTTATCAGCCGTCACGTGGCAGCACTAGCAAGATGTTAGTCTTTGCTGAGAGAACCGAATGTAGCCGTTGAGGGGCGTGGGGGAGTGCATTGATGATGGTCCAAACGCTAATTGGTTGAGGTAGAGATTAGAAGCTGGGGAAAGAGACGCGAGCGCTGAAATGTTTCTTTGATGCCGCAACAGGCCGCGATCCCAGTAAATACGTGTTATGTAATTGGTGAAAAGACAACAGAGTCGAGGCTAACTAACAGCACAGGGCATTGTGGGGAAACCTGGGAGATGCATCACAAGCATTCTATTAACTGTAAAGAGACTGGCATTGACAAGGAAGCTTGGCTTGTGCTTTTAAGATGAGACAACAGGAAGGGTCTTGTGACTTGGAATGATGACGATTGATATGACAGAGATTAACATCAGTGGTCAATGGAAGCAAGGGGTAGAAACGTTAATGCTAACTGTCAACAGCCAACGTGTCACCGTCGTTGCAATCGGTAGACAAGATGATATGCCGCGATGGAACATGACGAATGGGGCTCTGCTGTCGTATCTTTGGCCCTGCCTTGCTCTCTTCTGCATGGCCTGGAACCGACTAGCTCCAGTAGAGACAGAAAAAAAAATATTCGATCTCGCTAGAAGCTTTTTTCCTTATCGATGATGTCTCCATAAAAGACCGAGCAAAGCCGCTCCCCTCTCTGACTCTGGGGCTGGTTCACGGGAGAGGCGTTTACCTAGAAGGAGAAGAAGAGGATCCCAAACTCGGACTGCCCCGATAACGAAGGGGCACTAAATTTTTTATTCCTGGTGATCTCTGCACCGGCTTGATTCTATCCCCTGTTCTAGTCCATGCGTTTTTGGAGATGAAGCAATTATGGGTTTCATTATTTACAGTGATTGTGTACATGTTTGTTCTTGATATATGCCTACAACGCAGTATGACCATCATCTTGGACATTCTTTGTTCCACGACGTCGTAGAAACTCGACATATCCGATCGGTCTGCCTCGGGCTAAGCCAACAAGATCCTGAATCCCACCATACGCGAGACCGAACATGAGCCCGTATCGCGCGGTCCGGGCGGCGGTTGTTAATGACAGGCGATCTAGATGCACACGCCGATGTTCGGCGCTTGTTAGCTCATCTGATTCTCTCCACTAATGAATGCTTGCAATATCTACCCGTCGCTTTCCATCAAAACAGTGCCATACCATGCCATGCCAATGCGGGCAATACCCCATATGGGGTTTTCACGCAATTGCCATTACCTCTTAGTCAATGTATGCATGCATGCAGCCGAGGCAAAAAGAGGACAGATAGTAATGAAAAAGAGGTACTCACGCCAGAGTGAAAACGCGCCAGCTACTGTAAGCGTGGCTATCGTGGTGGAAAACATGTCGCTGGCCCCGCGATAACGATCGACCGTGCTCTCGAGCGACAGGGCCAACAAGCTCCAGAACCCCGTCTTGAACCCCATGCGAAAGCCCTCACGGATGCCGCCCTGCATGGCGTGGTAGTTCTTGCTCTTGTGGTAAAAGTACCACCCTGTTGTCGTGTCGGGCATCTTGTGTGCGTGCTCGGCCCGGAACCGCAGCTGCGCCATCTGACCACCTTGTGTCGCACCAAGCGAGAAGCCCACGAGGGCTGACGAGATTGTGCCCAGCATCAACCGCGTGGGCGTCGCGACGGACAGACGAGGGAAGGCATCCTGCGGGAAAGCAGCTGCCAGGTCCAGGTCTGAGGGTATCGCGGCGCCGGAGGGTGCTGTCAGACCGGGCCGGGAAGACGGAGCGGGAGCGGAAGACATGGCTGCTGTTGTGCAATTGGATGATTTCGGTTTACCAGGCTGTGTCTCTTTTTTCCCTCCCCTTTCAAGGCCGAGATTGACGCGAGCGAGGCTCTGCTGTTGCTAGCTTGGCTTTGCTGCGCGGCTGATTCTCAGGTAGTGGAGATCCCTTCCGCTCGGCGGTGATTGCGGAGAACGACCCAGGTCCGGAGTTTACAATCCCGGCGGTGTTGGCGGTTTTTTTCTTTTTTGCTCAGGCTCGCTTGCGCTTGTTGTCGGTAATGAGAAGCCAAGGCTGGGCTTGGTATTAAATGCTGATAACCTGCAAAGGCCCGATGACTACTCTTTTTTTTCTTCTCCTCGTGATAGATTTGAATAGGTAATGTGAATTGAATGATGGATGCTGCTGCGAACTGAAGGCGCATGCCATGATGGACAGTGCGTTTGTGCATTAGTACGGTCTACACGCACGGTTTTGTCATGGACCCCTTCTTTTCACCAGTTTTCTACGACCACTGAGAGGGAGTGTCCAGGGTAGTGACAACTGACAGACCTTCTAGAAAGCTTGATGGAGGGCATGTCTTTGGTTTCGGGTCTTACTGTAAGACTTGGTTCCTGGCTATCAGCTGTCATCGACACATCCTTGATCAAAGTGACGTATCAATAATGCGGTTGTTATCAACGAATAATGCTTGCACCCTGTCATGTTCAGATCCAAGGTTGATGCCCAGCATGGTCCGATAACCAAGATATCAACCTGACGTTGTGTCAACGAAGTGAATCCGCCCGTGCCTGGGCTGAAGTGCTATTGCGGCTCCGCTACCATGCTTCTTGAGCTCTACAGCATGCATATGTCATGTCGCTTCAATTGCTGAAGCCTCTTCATGTGATTCACTGCTTAATCGATAACGATAACGATAGCACTCTACGCGCTCACACGTGATCTCGTGCCGAACATTTCGTGATTCGCCCCGCCGAATTGAATGCCATCCATGTCCCTCATGAATTGAACAAAGCAGAGTCCAGAGGCGACTCCCCAACCTCTGACGTCTTCCCCAAACTCTACACCTCCCAAGATCGACAAAATGGTAAGGATATCTCGCCTCACTTCCCGTCCAAACTAACTCTCAAACGTCAGAGTGAGCTCGATGACGCACACATCTCCGTGCGCTTCAAGCACGGCATCCATACCTTCTACCTCTTCATCGACGCCCTCGCCCCCATGTCTGAAGTCACCACCGAGCTTATCAATGTCATAACCGACCGCTACCCCCGAGGCCTTACCACGCGGATCGAGCCTCCCAAGCATACTCCTGTCAACGAGAACTCGAAGTTTGTGTTTGGCGCGTTGAAGATTCCGAACGATCTTTCTTCGGGATGGACTAAGCTTAAGACGGGGGGTGGTGAGCACTCGCCGACGAAGTTGGGGTTGAAGAATAATAGCTTGATTGCGTTTGCTGTTGTTCGTAATGAGGATGATGATCCGGGTTTTGACATCGAGTGGCCGAGAGAGGAGGAAGATCTTTACGAGGAATGATGCGGATGAAGACAGAATGCGTGCGATTGTCAACGGTCTCTTGTAATGCCAGAATCTGATGTTGTGAGCTGGTCTACTGCGTGGCGCTCGTTAGGAACTCAAGACGGTCTAGGTTAAGCCTTACGACCTTCACCACGAAACGGCGACAAGCGGTGCCCGTTGAATCATCTATACGCAAATGACATGCAATCAAGAATTGATATGATCTCACGAAATAAAGTAGATACCCAATTGAACACTTTACAAATTGTACAAGGATGCGGTGCAGATCGATCAAATAGAGTAGCATGCGGATTGACAGAGGGAGACCCTGGACCTCGTATTCAGTGAGCAAAACACCACAACCGTAACGCCCAACATCTAAACGTCTCTACATATTGAATCCAGTTTTACAAACGGATATAAATAAAAATACCGTCATATAGCACTCTGAAACTATAGCACAACGTCTCAAACAATGGTGTCGTTACTCCCTAAAAGGGGTCCTATAGCATGACTAAGCCATTTTTTATCTTCACGTGTCGTTAGCATCCGCATTCCAGGGGTATCATCAACCATCATTCTCCTTTTGCCAAACTTTTGCGCCGCTCGAGTTTTCGGTGGCTATATTCTCACCACACAACATTCGCCAACAAGGCTCGCTTATGAGGTCGGCTACATGAACGTCGTGGCTTTTCTCCGCCATGGCCTGCGCCTGCTGGTGCCGCTCTCGGTAGCTTTCACTCTGTATTTGTACCTCTTCCCCGTCATCCAGGGATGCGCATTCCCCGTCGAGTCCCGCGATAGCCAGGAGGCGTACTCGTTGACGAAAAAGTTTCACTGGCCTTCGAAACCTACCGCCGATGACCATGCGAAGCTTGCGCCGTTTCGACTGCTGGCGCTGGGCGATCCTCAGTTAGAAGGCGATACTTCGATTATTACAAATTATTTGGGGACGTTTCCGCATATCAAGACTGCGTACAAGAAGATTACTTTTCAGACGAGCCATTGGTGCTTCCGCGAGCGAGTTAGACAGATCATTCATGATATCGTTGATATTTTCATGGAGGATCTTCCTTACTGGCTTATGTCGCAACGCAAACGGTTCGATCTTTGGGGAAATGATTTCTACTTGGCGCATATCTACCGTCAGGTAAACTGGTGGACCAATCCCACCCATGTGTCAGTACTCGGCGACCTCGTCGGTAGCCAGTGGATCGACGACAAGGAGTTTGAGAAGCGAGGCCGACGATTCTGGAACCGTGTGTTCCCCGGAACCGAGAGACTTTCGGACGAGTTGGCGGCACACCCCAAGAACGATTATACATTGGCTGGCGTTTTGGATGGTAGCGAGGAGCAGAAGGTTTGGAGAAAGAGAATGCTTAACGTGGCAGGAAACCACGATATTGGATACGCTGGAGATTTGACTGAAGAGCGGATGGAGCGTTTTGAACGAGTTTTTGGAAAGACCAACTACGAACTTCGTTTTGATCTCCCTATCGACGATCCTGAGACGAGAGCTACTCTGTACTCTCCAACGAACCCCGAGTCTACGAGGGTGTTGCCTCAGCTTCGCATTATCGGTGTCAACGACATGAACCTCGATACACCGGCCAAGTCTATTCCTCTTCAGGATGCTACATACGGCTTCATCAACGATGTCATCGCGACTTCAGGCGCTGTGCAATACAAGGGACAGTTTACGCTGATCCTCACGCACATCCCCATGTACAAGCCCGCAGGCATCTGCGTCGACGCACCGATGTTCGACTTCCACACCGCAGCAGACGGCGGCGGCCTCAAAGAACAAAACCAACTCAGCGTCGATGCCACGAGGGGTTTTCTCGAAGGCATCTGGGGCATGAGCGCAAAAAGTACCGCCCCAGGCGGCGGCTACGGTCGTGACGGCTTAATGCTCAACGGCCACGACCACGCTGGCTGCGACACGTACCACTACATCAACCAAACGAACGGAACAGACCCATCGCAGCGCTCATGGCAAGTTGCGAAGTGGTCCGACGCGCAGGCGCAGCATATCCCCGGCATAGAAGGCATTCCCGGCCGTCGCGAGATTACCGTGCGCAGCATGATGGGCGACTTTGGCGGAAACGCTGGTCTACTCTCCCTGTGGTTCGACAAAGAGGCTTGGGAGTGGAAATTCGAGTACGCGACTTGTCCGCTGGGAAATCAAGTGTACTGGTGGTTTACTCACATCTGGGATGTGTGCGTCATCATCTGGACCGTTTTGTACTTTACACTGTCTGCTCTTGAGAAGCGTGGTGTTGATGTTGATGCTGGTGCGAAGAAGGTGTGGGATTTTATGTTGAGAAGAAAAAGGAGGGACGTTAAGAGAGGAATTACTCCTTCGTGAGGTGTTTGGCTAGAGGCTTTGAATAGAATAAACGTTGTTATGAGTTCCTTCTGGGTTGGAGTTCGCTTGTGATTTAAGGCAGATCCCTTCAAGCAGATCAAAGCATGGGTGCATCTCACTCGAAGTCGCCAGGAGTTCGCTTGTGATTGCCTTCGGTGAATTATGTTGTTGAACGGAGATTTTGGCCGAGACATTTTTGATGAGGCCAATCGCATCTTGGGAAGAAAGCGAGTAGGCGTCGCGAAGGGTGTTCTACCCTGCTGTACATGGGATGGTGAGGTGTAGCAAAGAGTGAAGATCTCGTTTAGCAGTCCGATAAGGGTTTAGTTGCTGAATCTGGTATTCTCAAGTGTTGGAGTAGATCATGAGTGAGATTGTAACGGTGTCGTACAAAGATGCGGCCGCGCGGCGAGGTTGCACGATCGTCTGTCTGGTGTTGCTGATGTTGGGACGATCTGGGGTCGGAGCGTTTGCAGGAGAGATATTGTCTTGGGCTGTTTCTTCTAGAAGACGATGAATGAGCAGTTGAGACAGACCCTGAAGTCTCAGCTGACATGCATGGTGAACATCTCATCACCTGTAATGTCAAAAACTAGCAGCCTTCGTTATCACAAACTCAATTAGCACCCATCGCAAGCAACCCATGCCAGCGCAACACCACAACCCTACCGCGCAAAGTTTGTTCACGTCGCCTCTAAAATGTTTGTTTTTTTACCTTTCAGCTGACACGGACCGGCCCCAAGTCAAGCATGATGTCAAGACTCTACACGTGTTTCCCACCATCGCTATCTCGTGGTGATACAAGCCCGTTGGCGTTGCCCCGCGACTCAATGCATCTGCCAGATCTGGTGATCCGTATGTACTTCAGTATTCTGCTGTGATATCTTCTGTAGTATCTGCTATGGTGATGTCTGTTGTGGTAGTGTCTCTGTTGTGCAGGATCGTGTGTAGGCGAGAATGGTCTTGTGCGAGATCGATTGCCTGGGAAGGATGACTACATAAACCCAGAGCCAGGCGCCTGGGTCGATGTTGAAATTTGCATCGACCGTATCAGAAAGAAAATAATCGCCATTGTATAGTTCTTTCCATTGCTAGGGAAAGTTGTTGTCAGTCTTTCACCATGCTGTCTCTACATCGCATCGCCGTCATCCTCCTCCTCACCCCCATCTCCCAAGCAATCCTGCACCACAACAGGACAAATACACTAGGTGAAGTCCTTCGCGAACTCTCACCCAAGCCAAACCAACTGGCAATCAATGAGCGAGACACAACGGACTACAGAACAATGCCACCGGGCACTTACACCGAGACCATCTCCACAAGCCTGATCAGGATAATCATCGTCAACGACCCCACGCCCACTCTTTGCCCGGCCGAGTGCGACTGCTCGGGAATAAAGGATAAGAAAAGTCCCGAGTATGAGCCTCATTTGTCTTGATAGATATACATCATGGGGCGCGGCCTGTTAACTACTTGCTTACAGATACTTTCAGTGTTTGACGAGTTCGAGGTGTAGACCTTGTAGGGAGCCTGCTATTACGGTGTCTTCTACGACTGCGAAACCGACGGCTACTTGTCCACCTGATTGTGATTGTACGAGGGTTAAGGATAAACAGAGTGAAGAGTGTGTTTACGACTCAAGATGATTGATGTTTCTCACGATATTGGGATGATTGATGCTGATATGGATCTTCAGGTACTTCCAATGCTTAACCAACGCCAACTGTCAAAAGTGCCGAATTGGAGGACCGCCAAGTATAGTTTAAACATGCACTAGCAAAACGATCATCCCATCTTGACGGGAACTACTTCCTCATCTGAAGTTTAAAAATACGACATGGCTTGGCAATGAGAATGTTCAAACTGCAATTGTCACTGGGTTGTTTGGTCATGGATGTAAGCATTGATGGCTGGGCCACTCAGAAAACTGGTGTGTGGTATTGATGTGTAGGCCGTTATTCAGTCCTTAACTAGGTAGGAGGAAATAATAGGGTAATAGGGTAACAAATAAAACAATAATGCATCGTCTTGTGTCCATGCGCTTAAATGCAAGGCTAAAGTGGTTGTTTGAGAGGGAGGCGATTAACAGCAGCAGTCGAGGCACTCAAGACAGCATTCGCATGTCTCACCGCAGACCCAACAACAACAGAGGGTGGCGATACATGTGTAAAAGCAGCCGTGGCTCTTCTCTTCTTGTGGAGGAGGAGCTTGCTGGTATTGCATCTGCAACTTGTTAGATGGCGATGCTTACTTGAGAGTCAAGTCAAACTTACGGGTTGCTGTGGGGGAGGATATTGGCCCTGAGGAGGACCGTAGCCCTGAGGAGCGTATCCCTGAGGGGGAGGGTAACCTCCGTAGCTGCAATTGTCAGTATACCCGTCAAATTATGTCCTGGGGACAGCGCTTACCCTTGGTTGGGGTCGTAAGGAGCAGACATTATGTAGGTATGGATGGTAAGATATCCGTACAGGTGTAAAGTAATGTTATGTAAAGGTCAAGTTCACAGAAAAGGCGGGCAGCACTTGTTAGATATAACCATGCCTTTGGGTCTCTGCAGGGGGGAACCGCTCAGACTCAGAGATGGGACGGTAGTTGGGTATCCGTACCGTATTCCTTCTGTTGATGATCTGTATCCCCTCTTGGCTCTTGCTTGTGAACCCTTGGCGTAATAACGCTATCCCCGTGAGCAGACGCCGAGTTAACCGTGGTCTTGGCAAGCAGTCACTCACTACTGGTCAGCCATTAACCAGTGTTGTTTCTTAGTTTGACAGCTTCACTTTCTCTACTTGTCTCTATTCCGTTAGTTCAGGAACGGTCCATCCCGTCCTTTTACGAGTTGACAAATAACATCACTTTTACCGTATTAAAATGGCATAATTGACGGTCCTCTGTTGACTGTAATTAAAAAAAGGTAAAAGCTAAATGGTAAGGGGTCTTGGGCTATCCACTTGTGACAAGGGTTAAGGTACAGCTGGGTCTTGGCAATTGCGCGTCCTTATGGCTGAGTTGATGCTCCTGCATAAAGGGTCTACTTGGCATAAGAGATGATGCCCTATCAGTCCCTCAGTCTTTTATCAAGGGGAACTGTTATGGAATTATCATATGCTTGTCAGACACAATCCGAATGAATCATTCATAAAGGCTGCTTGGCCTTACACGTGTCGTGTCTCTTTCTGAGTCCAAAAGAAAAGCTGCTGAGGTAGCCCATGAGATTGACACAGCTAATTGCGATAACCGCCTGTCTCGGGAAGCGGAAGCGGCATGCTTACCCGCGGTATTACCGGTCGACTCTGCTGCGCCCAAATTGCGGCGCGTAAACTTTACGACTACTTACCGCCACAGCTGTCGCCAACGAATCAGCCACCCAATGCATCTGCACAGCCCGTCGAGCGAACACTTGCCAAGACGTCGCAAAGGATGACTATTCTTGAATTTGGGCCCCGAAGCTTGCGTTGACTTTTGGACCTCTTGAGGCAAAGCTTCGCGTTGTCGCCTCGTTCGTAGTGGCTTTGAGAATACGGTCGTAAACGATAGCATCAATGCGATAATCGGTGAATCTGAGACAACACATACGATGATGGAATTGGTCAATCATGGTCGATGCGCTGTCTCGGCAATTCACGATGAGAATCCCACGACTGACCGACTCTCTTCCCCGGAGACGCAACGGTCGTCATAAAGGATCCAGTATCGCCTGGTCAACAATTCCATGTGAACACGTCAACAGAATCTCTTGCATGGTGCACTTTCGATCAACTTCGGCGCGAGCAACTCGCTTCTGGGATACGAAGACAAGAATCGTCCTGGACTGAGAGTGCAATCGCGAATGATGGATGAGCCGAGTCAATTGGATATGATACCGAACCTTAAACAATATGCGTATGCTACGAAAGAAGCACCTTTATCTTGATGCTTGTAGCGTGCGGTGCTTTGATCAAGACTTTACCACGAACGCTTTGGACAGATGGAAGGTAGGAGCTTACCTGATTGAGAGCGGATGTGAGAGAGATGATACTCTGGATGTCGACCGCGCGGAAAGGTCGGTCCTACCTCAGGCAGGCACAACACCTCATCGATCAGCGATGGATCACGACATAAGGGCGAGCAATAAAGCCGTTCGCCTTCATACGATTCACGATCTCCGCCACCAAGAGGGGTCAACCCCTAGTAGCATATAGTCTACAAGAATCTATCTAAGTTGGTAAGATGGCTGGTTATGGCACTCACCGAAGTCTGCTGGAAACAGTGGCTTGAATCAATCTCAAGGGACAGCATGGTAGGTCAACTGGAATCCATCGAAACCATGATGATCATATTGTGTGATATGACGAGTTGTTTGCAGAGTCATGCTGAGAATCAAAAGTCTTATAGACTCCATGATAATGCAGTTCTAATCCGTTTGTCAAGGATTCACACATTATAGGCCACAATGCTTCTATCTTCAGGAGCAGGTCCTTCAAAGTATAGAGACAAAACAACGCGCGACAGTACTTCGTTGCGGCTTGGGAGGAAGAAGGCGTATATCGAGAGATAGGTTGAAGGAATAGTTGGAAGAGTTATGCCGCTCTTTTAAGTAGTGAGAACTGAACTGAGTTGTCCTCTCTTCCAGGCCTAAAATCAAAAAATATTTATGAGTTCCAAAGTCTCTGGTCTGACTCTCATCTAGATCCGGACTAAGGTTTAGGACGACTCTCATCTAGATCCGGACTAAGGTTTAGGACGGTAACTATCCTAAGACTGACCTAAACATCTCAAGTTCTTTCGTCTATTATGCTCTCGACGAGGAGATCTTCAGTGGAAAGGATTGGTTCACACGGGACGCCCATTATCTGCTATATGGCCTTGGCGTTGAGGAGCCGGTCAAGATACTCTGGCATCTTGCTAGTTCTTGTCCCCCTTGTTGGGCTTGGTCTCCATGGTGACTTGTGACTCAAGCTTCCAGGTGGTAGTGAGAAGCTCATTATGTTGCTTATCGGTGGCCTGGCTTTTGTCGAAGGGTAGAATGGGCCGACATGTTGCACGGTATACCTATTATCAAATCTTGTTTTTCGATAATCAACTGTTATTATCCCAAGCATACCACGCAAAGCCTATCGAAGGTTCATTGAGCTAGCCACTTCAAGGCATGAGTTTACAATAGATGTGACCGCATGGGAGGATGTAGGTAATGCCTTGCTCGCACCCGCCGCTTCTCTGGTGATCATCCTTTTCGATCCCAAGTCTTAATCAAGCCTACACAACCAGCTGTACTGCTCCCGAACCGTCCAATGTGGACTTATGATGCTTTGATTGTGTAAGAACCTCGACTGTCATTATCACAAGCCTACTAGGTATGCAAGGCCTATCTAAGATTTAGGACTCCCAGGGATAAATATCCTAAACGCCAACCTAAACTCCACAAAATATTTCGTCTCTTAGGCTGTTCATGATGAGGCTGGTTGGGTGTTACCGAAGACCCCGATTCAACCATTGCCAATGTCATCAGAAGTCTGGGTATCATCGGGCCCTTCCTGAGCGATAGTCTCCTAGACTACCTTCTTGGTTGGTTTGTTCACTACTGTGTCAACCCAGATGATTCTAAGCGCCGATAGAGCCCTCTGCTGGCTCACTTGGCGCGATAGATTCGTTCGATGTTGTCGCAGTATGAGTTGTTGATCTTCAAAAGGTGGAATGTCACAAGCTTCTAGTTGATTCGAATCAGGAGTCCAATGATCTGGAGCATCGACTTTGCGTTCTGAGCCAGTTCAAGGACATGCCTTTTGAACAGCAGCCATGCATGTTGACGCCAGTTCCCATGGTATTCACATTGGCGATGAACACTTCGTTCCTGGATTTTGGGTCGTTCCAGGCAGCGATTACCTTGGATTTCTCGTTCACGTCATGGTCCGGTCGGACGGTAACGGTGTCAAAGCCGGCAAGTCGAAATAGCCCAACAGTAACACTAGGGACAAGTTAGTACCTATAAAGCCACAAACCCAAACGGTACCGATTGGGATGTCCAAATGAGTCGCATTCAAGGGGAGATTGACTTACCACTGTATCCAAGGGGTGTCCACATAGATGAGAACTCGCTGGCCTTGGTCTCTGACGTACTGCCATGCCAGTTCAAGAGCGCGAACCATGACAGGGCTCTTGTAGCCCATCTAGAACAGGTATGCGGCTCTGTCCCTGGGTATCCGCGTTGAAGGGTCGTCCGAGGCTGTGTAGTAAAAGTAACTAAGCCCACCGTGAGGGTCATTGTGGACTACTAGATCGTAGACCTTCACACCCACCACTGGAGGGGAAGACTTGGCCTGTTTTTTCTTCTCCCGTTCCATCTCGGAGTTCGTCCGCACAAGATCTGGATCCTTAAGCATGGCGATAGCCTTATTGACTTCTTCAAGTGTCCCATACAAGGCTGGCGTCTTGGGGTTCAGGATTTTGTCATTCCTAAATCGAAAGCGCCAAGGACACCCTTCCGATTCTCCCCAAAATCCAGTCTCGGGGCGCTATCAGACTCCCCAGTGACCTTCGTGGACGCACTGTTATTTTGAATGTCCACGATTGAGGATGACTTGTTCTGGCTGTACAGGCGCTGCGCGTGTGCCTTGCCCATCGACTCAACCAAGATCGCAAGGTCGGACGTTGGGCCGTTTTGTGTCTCCTCGACCACGATAGTTGATGGAAGAAGGTCGATTGCCGGAAAAGAGATATTGCCGTCTGGTAGTTCCTGTGGTGTCTACATGGTTCGTAAGTAAGTTCTGGAGGGGTCTTGCGAAGTAAAGACGTAGGTAAGAGACTGGTATACACACCTTCGTAAAGGACTGTCGCCGAATATGCTGGCTGTAGTCCTGCTTCTAGCGTTTTGCTGCCTTGGCTATCAGCAGTCAGGAAATGTGCCGGCTGTATCGCCGGGACGATGTCTGTGACCTAGTCCCCGTGGCCAGTAAGTGAATTTCTGGTCAAGCGGACTTATCCTCTGGGAACTGCGTCCGTGGAGCGACCAGAAAAGCTTAAGAAGCTTCGGGCAGGCCTTTGTTGTTTGGCGTAAGTGTTGGATGAACTTGTATCGGGGGCACAGTACGACCTCGAGATCTATGTTTCAAGCCTTCCCCAACAGTGCCTGAGGCGACGGCAGATTCCTCAGGGAGTTTCACGCTGTCCTCGTCGGTGAAGTCGTTGAGGCTGTTGGGGTAAGGACCTCGAAGAGTGGGATCTCATGGGAGCTCAGGATGAGCGTTCCAGTCACCCATAACAGCCCGTCTCATAGAGAAGCAGCATGTGTATGCCATCTCTCTTCTTGGAATCCCGCGCCTTTAATGCGTGACGTCCTCTCCTTCGCAGATTGCCTCATCGATCTCCTCCTGAGATGTAGATTAGTATCAACATTCGAACCTCATAAGGTTATAGCAAGTAGGTTTCGCTTACCTTGAGATCTTCCAGTTCGTGCTTCTGGTCCTCACACAGGACCGTGAGGCGCTTCAACTCATATTCGTCCTCCATGAGGAAGAGGTCGTCGGCAATGACCCATTCGAACAGACGCTCCAGTGCGCCTCGTCCTTGGGGGAACACTCGATCAGATTGCCGTCAGCTTGCTAGGAGTCTTGTCGGGAACGCTCTCTGCTCGGCTCGATCGGGGAGGAGGTTGTGGAGAGGATTCGGCTTCGTCGTATGTGAGAGGCGTTGGTTCCAAAGACCTGTGCATTTCATCCGCGACTTCTTCCCAGATGATGCCATGGATGCTGTAGCTGGGAATACCCATGCGCTTTTGCACTTCCGAACCAGATGGTGCGAGGTCCGTGTTCGGCCAACAGTCTCTTGTTCCGGAGTCACCCCTGGAGAATTACTTCAGCGCTGTCCATTTGCCCCAGCTTGATGATCAGGCCATGCGGTATCTTATACTCCCGCATTCGGTCTGCATACTCGTTTCTGGCAGCCCTATCGCCCTTGGTCGGTGGGACCAGGAAGAAAGCATACACCCCGAAATAGCAAGGAAGAGAGCAGCGACCTGTTGAATCAACGCGGTTAGTATGAGTCTAGAGTTATGAGGAACGAATCTTCTCTCTGCTCCTCTCGCACTCACAGTGCTTGAAGTCATAGGATCGTAGAACAATTCTTGTAGCCCTTACATATATATAAAAGAGAAGAAGCCCTGCTTTAAGCTTCTCTAGAGGATCGGCTTGTATTGGGGGCTGGTGCGATGGCGAGATCGATGTCGTAAGCCTTCCACATGGGTGAAGGACGTGGCCATCTGCGTTCTTGTTCGGCTCGACGTTGAGATCTTCTGGTGAGCATCAGAGCCATGATGGAGGAATTGCTTTTTTATTTTTTTTGTGTGCCCGTGCCTTAGGTAAACATCGGTCGAGGTTCAAGGAAAAAATGTCACTTGTTTGCCAGCCGTTTGGCACTGCAATGGCACCGCACAAAACAACCATTGGTTACCACGGCAGCTCGGTTATTATATGCCATTGCCAGAGCAGTAGAGCCCAAAAAAAGAACAGAAATGAACTAATGTCTTGAATTCTGTGGAATCAAGTCCCCAAAAAATAAAAAAGCTCCTGTAGGATGTGTTCAACCGTTGAAGACTGTAACGAGGCATGCCGCGCTCTATATCGTTTCCGGCTGGCGTTCTCCAAATACCTGGCGGCGAAGGTCCATGGTAGCTTGATGAAGCTCAAAGGCTTTGCTGTATTGGCCCTGCTGGTTATACGTCGCCGCGACGTTTGCCATGCTCTTGATGGTATCTGGATGTCTCTCCCCAAGTATATCTCGTTGAAGTTCTAAGGCTTCAGTATACAATTCCTCAGCCTTATCGTATCGACCCTGCTCATAGTATATCGCCCCGATGTCCGCCATAGCTCTCATCGTATTAGGATCTTTCTCCCCGAGTACTTCTTTTCGGAGCTCTAGGACCTTTGTTGCAATATCTAGAGCATCATCCTCTGCGTTATATGTAATCCCAGAGTCTGCCATTCCCATGACAGTATCAGGGTGCTCCTTGCTGAGCATTTCTTCTCTGAGTTTCAGTACTTTTCTTGCGATATCTTGAGCTTCAATATATTGGCCCTGCGCATGGTGTATTGCCCCAAACTCTGCCCAGCTTCTGATTGTATCAGGGTGAGTGTTTCCGAGAGCCTGCTGTTGAAGATGCAGGGCGCCATCTTTCAGTGTCTTGGCTTTGTCATATTGACCTTGTTGAAAGTATATTGACCAAAGGTCTGCCGTGCACTTAATCGTCTCAGGATGCTTCTCTCCAAGCATTTCTTGTCGGAGTCGCAAGGCCTCATATTGTAGCCTCTTAGCCTCATCATACTGGCCCTGCTCGAGATGTATCGCTCCGAGGTCTTCCATGCTCCTAACCGTCTCAGGATGTGTCCCCAAAATCTCTTGTCGGAGTCCTAGTACTCTTGTTGTAACGCCTTGAGCCTTGGTGAACTGGCGTTGTGCAAGGTATGTCGCCCCGATTGCTGCCAGGCTCCTGATTGTATCTGGGTGCTTCTCTCCAAGAACTTCTCGTCGGAGGCTCCATGCCCGACTATCCACTGATCTTTTCTCCTTCCATTGTCCTTGATGATACAAAAAGTGCGACACTTTCTCAAGCATGTTCGCTGTCTCTATCTCCGTCTTGCTTATTTCTGCATACTCTGCTACTCGTATAGCATGTGTCAAGTACTGCTTGCATTGTGCCCACGATGTCGGTTCAGATATCGGAAACAGGCCGTCAACTACCTGCAGTGCCCTGCCACTATATAACGCCTCGTCCTGCGGGCTGTGAATCCTCAACCCATACTGCAGAGCCTCTCGTACGAGCTTATGCAATTCGTAGCTTCGTATCCCATCGTCTGATTGACACATTGTGAGAAATGAGAACTCCGTCAGCCGTGCCACGGCCATACGGACCTCAAGCTCTGAAACTTGTATAGCGAAGCCTTCGTCACCTTGATCATCCTTGATACCATTGTCGAATGGATGAGCTGCTGCGGTTATTAGCTCGTGTGGCATGTCCTGGCTATCCACATATGCAATCGTATGTAGGATCCGAAATGACATCTCACTTTCCGCTCTGATCCGCTCTGTCGAGATCCTCCATGTCTCGAGCACACTGTTCGATACCTCAGGTCGTCGGTGTCGGTCTGTGTCGCTTACTTTGAGCACCTCCCACCGATACCTGCCTTGTATAAGTAGGGGCAGGTATTCTTCAGCTGTCATGGACATGCGCCGCATATATGCACCAGCTTGCGAGACGGCCAGCGGTAGGCATTGCAGCTCTTCCAGAAGGTCGTCTACTCCCACCCCATCTGGTATTAGCGGGTAAGGGTCACCCCTCGCCATTGCCAGGAGTTTCGTCGCTTCATCTGTTGCCATAGACTGCACTTGCATACTGCGACGTGCTCCGACGAGTGTACCCCCGATATGCGCATCTCGACCTGTCCAAAGCACTGTTCCTTGTGAAGAACAAGGTACGTACTTGTAGAAGTTCTGACTTTCACTATCCGTCGCGTTTTCTCCTGGTTGCTTCCCTACGCCAAATAGTTTCAGGTCATCCGCATTATCAAGGATCATGAGCCATTTTGACTGTCCCTCAATTGCATTGCGTACGGCATCCAGCAGACCCACCCCGTCCAGCTGCTCGTCAACCCCAAGCTTCTTGCTGATGGTCTTGTAATCAGCCAAGAAAGTCGCTTCGCTATCAGCATGCACCCAGAAGATACTGCACTTCTTATCGGCGTCGCATCTCCGGTATGCATAATCCAGCGCGATCTGTGTTTTACTGTTTTTCGTTAGCCCTCCCGGGTAGCGTAGCATGGCAAAAGTGAATATATACCCTGATCCTCCCAGCCCCCAGAGTGCTGCGCTACAAGATCCCGAAGCAGTTTGCGGCAGAAGTTTGTCCAGCTTGTCAATGAGGTCTGATCGATGAACAAGATCCTCGTTGCGGGGATAGGGAATCACGCGGACCACTTCGGCACGGGCCGACGGGTGTGGCGCTGTGCCATAGTACACATTCCCTTGGACGTTTCCCTGATGGATGATGGTGTGGTCGCCAAAGTGGCTGCGACTAATGTGCGCCGATGCTGACATTGCTTCTGATTCCAATGAAGAATTGCTCTGGCTTGTCTTTACCTCTGGCAGAGAAATATGCTGGCCTCACGCAACTCGACCTCCACGTGATCGAGTGTTGCAAGGATGCACACAAACCCCTCAATTAAGCGCTGGGTCGTTCATCTTTAACAGGCTTATTAGGCAGACTTTTCATCTTGCCCGATGCCGTGATAATCACACAAAACACGATGACAACCGTGAAACCGCCTGCCAGCCGCAAAGACTTTCGTGTCGCTATAATATGTGCTCTGCCTCGCGAGGCTGACGCTGTCCTCCTACTATTCGATCAGTTCTGGGATGAAGTCCGTGATCCCTATGGCCGAGCCGATGGAGATCCGAATATTTACATAACTGGGCGCATGGGAGAACATAGCATTGTCCTAGTTGTACTTCCAGGTATGGGCACCATTAGCGCGGCGGCTGCAACTACTAGCTTGCGGTTGAGCTTTACGGAGCTAAGCATCGCCTTCCTGGTTGGTATCTGTGGCGGTGTTCCCCGTATCGATGGCGTCGATGCACTTCTTGGTGATGTAGTAGTCAGCAACACAATCATCGAATACGACTGTGGTCAACTATTTCCTGGTGGTCACTTTGCTGTAAAGAACCCAGTCGCCAATCGCCTCAATAGAGCTAAGAGGGAGATCCGAACTCTGCTTGCAGCTTGCAAAGACGAGCTCAGGAAGGAACGCTTGCAAGAGGAAGCATCGAGACACCTAGAAGCGCTACAAGAAGCAGCCAAGAAGAAGAGGAGACGCCGAGCTAATTATCGATATCCTGGAGCAGAGGAAGATAAACTGTTTCCTCCCACATATACTCACAAGCATCGGGGAGGGTGTAGTGTCTGCTCAGATGACTCTGAAGTCTTTTGCGAGGCTGCTACTTTAGCTTCGTGTCTTGAGGCTGGATGTGATGCCAAAAATCTGATTGCGAGAGACCATTCTCCAAGACTCACTCAAGGTAGTGGCGAAACGTTCACGCCCGAGATCTTCATCGGCCGTATTGGGTCGGGCAACACAGTCATGAAGAGCGGAGAGCATCGTGATCGCATTGCTGCCGCACAAAACCTTATAGCGTTCGAGATGGAAGGCGCATGTGTAGGCACATGGAATCAAGTTCAGTGCATTGTTGTCAAAGGCATCTGTGACTACGCAGACAGCCACAAGAACAAGGGATGGCAAGACTTTGCTGCAGCTACTGCAGCATCTGTGATGAAGGCCATTTTGGGAAGATATTCGTTGCCTGACGAAGAGCGCACTTCGACTTTGACGAATGAAAAAGCCGTGTCTTCTGTCTCGCAAGTTGCCCAACGACGATCTAACGGACGAAGTATTGCGAATAATTCATTCGGAGATCAAGTCTGGATCAACCAGGGAGATGTGGCAGGGAACGTGACATTTACGTAAAATGTCCAAATCCAGAGTCCCTCAAGATTCGTCGTTGATGATGATGCAGCTCGGTCAGACGAGTTGGTAGAAGGAACTTGTAGGAGGAAGGTACAAGCTGGGAAACGTGATTACATATTTCGATTGTGACCACCTTCCGTCCATACAAACTCACTCATCCACCAAGCAATTGTTCATTCCTTGGTTTCCCTAGTGCAGGCAGCAGAACGATTATCGTCCAAACCTTAGGATGACGGAATAATTGTAGCCTAAATTCTGGTCTAAATTGATATAAAGTGCCTGGATCCTCTCATCACCCAGGCTCTTCAGTACGGAAGTTGATGGCAGATGGCAAGTTCACGTTGAGAGACTTGGCTGGCCTTCCACCTTTCACGCCCATTACCCTGACCGCAAGTCCACGGGTATTTACGTGCGTTTCTACACCCATATGAAGGATATGAATCCCAAAGACGTTGGCGCATATGTCAGTCAATCTCAAGTCTCATTTTGGGGACGGTAGACCGACCATGATCTGAGCACTTCAAACAGTGCAAACAAGGGCCCCTATTACTACATCGCTCGTCGTGCCCCCGACAGCTGCCGCCATGCTGTACCAATCATCCTGTTTGATCGGACGGATACTTCCATCTCATCGGACAACATCCATCTCGCCGACAAGACAGTTGTTCTGCTTCCCAATTCTTATACCAGCGACATAATGAGTGTCAATGAGGATGTGCAGGGCGATGTCGGTATGCATACCATGATGAGACCGAGGGCTGTGCTCATGGGTCGACTTTCCGACAAAGCTCACCGGGCCTCTGGTTAGCCCTTGCTGTCACCAATGGGATGCAACAGGATCAGCCCAATCTTCCAATGTCACGCTGCCGATATCAAGGCATTCGACGTGAAACCAGCAATACTAGGTGCGCGCACTTATACCGTTTACAGAATGCTGGTTATTCCAACGAGAACAGACATCGCAATGACTTCAAGACTACGATTCAGATCGGCAAGACTGACGGGACTTCACTTGTTCTACCGTTCGTTTGAAGGGAAACCCATGAAGCGCTACGGCTACCCAAGCAGATGGAGGCTTTCTTGGTATTCGAGATATGCACGATGGGAAGTCCCATGATATCCCCGGGTTTCATGTCCCTCGGTTAGGCCTTACGACAATTTCGAAGTGTTGTCATTTTTAGGTGTTCGAGTGGAATACCGAGAACCTCTTCTTGACAAGTGGTACTCAATCCCATTCCAGTGTGCTCTGCGTATCGACAATTGGAGCAAGTTGATGGAAGCTAACAACACTTAGGACATGATCCAACAGTGCCAGGTGGGTAATAGAAGAATTATCCTCAAATCTTGAGTGCTCTGAAACAAAGTAGCCTAAGTGCTAATCTAAAGCCGGCCTAAGGCAACAAAATTATTTCGTCTCTTATGCTTATGACAGCCAGTTTTATGACAGCCTTGTGACAGTGCTCCGGGTGCTGTGGGTCCAATGAATGTGCAAAGATTCATAAACGCAGCTCTCGTTCTAGCACGGCTTTTCAGCCAGTGCCAGTGTCAGTGCCAGGGCGTGAGCTGAGCGGATCGATCCTCCGTGGCTGCTCGACTGCATTGTAGGACCCGCTGTTCATGTGCTCGTTCTAAAATCGAAATCTTCCAGCGATACAACAACACTCTCTTTGCTTAGGTGCCGAAGGATGACGAAGAGTTCCGTCGCCAGCATGCCGCACAGCAACAGTATGTCAGCGAGCTGTCGCAAACTGATCGTAGCGAGCGCGTCCGTTTGCCTCGCCCTTTGCTCCCCCAGCTCCATCAAGTTTCGAAGTTTTTCTTCGAGCAGAACTTCGATGAGCGCAACGCTCTGAAAGACTTCATGAGCGCTGCTACGGAGCCTAAGCTTTTTCCAGTGTTACACGTCAAGGAGGCTACATTCCACCCCGAAATGTTCATCTTATTCCATGCTATCCAGCTCTTACTGTTCGCGCCGGCCGGAACTCACGACCAGACTCGGACCAGAAGGTTTCCTATCTGATTCCCGGAACCAACAGCAGGCGGCCGCCCGGCCCTCGGTGACTACAGTGCCGGTGACCTCTTCAGAGAGATTATTCTCATGTACATCATGCTCGAACAGCGAAATGGACCCAGGACTCACTCTTTCGCATCAATGCCGCGTCCTGAACAGCGCGGAGTATGAATGGGTTATGTTCAGCGCAGAATGAAACCTCGATACCTCGATGAACAGTCACCTTAAATTCAGGGCGAAACTCAGGTATGTATCTTGAGGCTTCTTCAACTCCGGCTCTGGCTGGTTGCTAATGGCACCAGGATATGTTGTTTCCGCTCATTCGACTCCCAAGAGAATTGCAACTACGCATCATAGAGCTTGGTCTAGGAAGTTCAAGAACGGTGGCAAACACATGCGACGAGCACTGGGCTGACGAAGGCTCCCCCGAGATGAGATTCCGGACTGTTTTGTCAACGTCCGAGGACATGATAATCCCCCTGAAGCTATCGTGAAGCCACATATTCAACATGATCAGGACACTTCGAGCAGTCGAGGCTGTCCCCTACGACCACTTTCTACTCGGCGAAGGACGTCTGTTTTGTATCAATCTTGACCGACATACGTTGCGTATCTTCGACAACGCGCTACCGCAGTACCACTCCAACACTGGCTACCGCGCTGCTATCCCCGTCCGAAGAATACTCAGCTAAACACACAACATGCCAACTGGCGTCTTCCGGAATGCGAGCAACCCGAATGACCAGAGCAGGCGCGACAAGGACAACGTCAAAGGAACCAAATAAACCGCGTGAAACCGAATATACGAGCCGGGCTTTCATCACCGCCATGGAGTCCAAGGACGTACTCGACGTCATTTTGACCTCCGGGGATGTGTGTCTCGACACGTAGAATGGCCGAAATGCGCACCAGATTCTCTGCCGCCATTTACAGCCCCTCTCCCGTCGTTCAAACTGGGATCGAGAAGCCAACGAAGCATTACTACGGATGGCAAGGTGACTTGGAGATGGAGGTTTAGGGTATCAAAGCTCGTCACAAGTCGTACCTTGCTATGTACTCCCACCTTCCACACTCACCTCAAGACTGGTATTTCAATGGCGAGGGCATTTGTCGAGTTGCGGACTGTCCCGCGTTCAGGAAGATCTATTCCCACAGACGCTCTTTAGATGAACATCTCAATAAATTTCCTCACAACAAGATTGACACTCGACATCGTAACACCGCAACTGGGGACTACGAGTCGGAACCTCCTTTCCCAATTTTGGATGTGACACATTATCTGGCAGCATGGACGTTGATCTTGTTGACGCGCGCAGTGATCACTCTTAGTCTCGAGCAGACCTGGACGAGCCGTGTGATGGCACAGACGCTGAAGGCTCCAGGAAAGGCGCGCACACGCTGGAAAGCCTTCCTGACGGACAATCCGATACTTCGTCAAGCAGCGTGGAGGTTGACCTTGTTGACTCGAGCAGCGATTACTCCAACGCTCGCATAAACCTGGATTCAAGTGACGACGAAGACCATTCACATCATTGGATACTTGGTCCGCATCAACCAGGAGAACCCTGTCACATTTCACCTCCTGAAGACAAAGAACTCCTAATGACAACATCGATCGAATCTGTTGTACTAAATGGGCCACTCAACTGTCTGCAGAGGTCGCCCTGCCAGACTGGATGACTGGCGGGTTGCGGGAGATGTGCATCTTTGAACTTATCAAGACTTCATGGCATCAACCGTTCAACCGCTATGTGTGGGTCGTTGAGAGGGAGATACAGGGGAGGGACATGTCATACCACTCTAATGACACCGTCCGTCTGGGTCATATATTTTCTCTTGCCTCCAAGGTCATCCTGAACATTGAAGAGACGGGAATTCTGGGAAGAGAATTCCATCTTCCTGGTTGAAGCCTGTCGCAACATGCTGGAATACTTCAAGACCCCTGAGGAATTTGAAGAATACCTGTTTCTCACACCCTCTGAGATCTGGTCGACATTTGCTGAACAATTTGAGCTTGCCATCAACAACGTCAAGGAAGACAAGGACTCAGACGAAGAATTGATGGGACGCATGACTGCATTGGAGAATATGCCCAGGGAAAGGGCTGAGGGAGAGGGCCCGCCCAGTGAAGAGTTCATCGACGACGATGCTCAGCTAGTGGAAAATGGGAGCTTTCTTGGTGTAAAGCTCGCGCAGAAGAAGGTCGCTATCGAGAAGGAAGGAGAGAAACAAGCCAAGGCGATTCGAGCCAAGGAACGAGAGGGACACTAAGAAGTAGAACACTAGGTCTTGATAGATTGGCGTCAGGTATCATAAGAAGTCGGCGCTAAGAGCCTAAGAGATGAGATATTTTGGTTACTTTATGATATCTTAGACCGGCCTTTAGGATACTTTATCTTTAGCGCCCTAAGCCTTAGAGGACATTTGAACCCAAGATCTTACATCCAAGTTGCAACCCCTCCTAATTCCAGCTTTGTCCTTTGAGCATGAACATACCATCCATCCTCTACCGAAATCAAGCTTTCTTCGAATTGACACGGTTCAACTTGGCCCTCTGAGCAAGCATATGCCCAAACAGCACATAGAAAGCAGGAGCATAAATCGCCAATCCAAACCACAGCAAATACTGATACATGGGGTTACGAGCCTGAGAAGGTCCAATGACCTCGTAAACAAGCTTCATCTCAGAAAGGATACCGACGGGGTAAAGAATGATGAACATATTGTATCTAAGATTGTTAGTTTCAATGCTTCTGTGAATGTAAGATAAGTACATACCTCAACCATGTTAAACCAGCAGGCACACTTCCCAAACCCGTCTGACAAGTAAAATACAAATATCTCACAGCATCAGCAGCATTCCACGCAATAAGCATAAAACTATACGCGTTTTCTCTCGCGCCGACTTCAGGATAATTCCGGGTGATTGCCCAAACAATGGTGTTTCGTCCTGCGACTTGGAGAGCTGTGGTAGCTGGTGCAGCTCTAACCATGCCAGTCGCTGCGTGAATAATTTCCATTACGGTCAGTGTTTCTATCCATCGTGCTGTGACGTTGAGATTTGTCCAGACTGCGCTGTTACCGGATTTGATGAAGAGAGATGTTGTTTTAGCGAGAAGAGCGATGCGGAGGAGGGCGAAGAGGGTGTTGTAGATGAAGAGGTAAGTCGAAGACTTTTGAGGTTTAGTTGCTACCGCCATTTTGCGTCTTCTCCGAAGCTGTGGGCTTCGAACAAGTGGTTAGGATGAGGGTGAAGGGACCGTGGAAGATCTAAGATTTGACAGCTTGAATCGAAATTTTGAGTTGCACTAATATCCGCTAGCGCCGATTTGGAGCGACCGAGGCTGTCGCTGAAGAACTTCCCAACAGAGATATTGCGCCGATGGAGATAATTACGGGTCTTATTGGTGATTGGATCATAGTACGAGAAGGCCATCACTAGAAATTGGAATGAAGATGGACAAATTAATATTTTAGTGCTGACGACTTTTACAGTCTATACATAGATACGCTGAGCGAAACACAGTTCCCTACAGATGGCTTCTCTCAGACAAGCTAGATCGAAGAGTCATAGCAGCGCGTGTTCCCTCTTCAATAGCACCATCAATAAAACTACGCCATCCCAAAGCCCAGTCTGAGCAAGCAAAGATGATGTTTCCTTGGCTGGCTCTCATGTCGCTGAGATGATCGCTCAATAGACCAGGTCGAGAAAAGAACCATGCGCCCTTTGCAAATTCATCTTTGGACCAGTTGTGAAAAACCTATACTCTGTCAGTTCGGTTCATGGTTGGTTAGTATGATGTTGGACTTACCAATCGCTCAATCTTCATAGGCGTAAATCCATGGAAGGCATCCTTTGTAACCTGAATATTCTCCTCAGGATGGAAATGATTCGAGTCTCCCCCAAAAGCAACGATATGCGTGTTTCCCTTTGGCGTAGTTCCGTCCCCAAAGCCATAAGAAAGCTTATTGTGCGGATAACTAATACCCGTCATCGATCTCAGATCTTTATCCGAGATTTCGGCGTGGACTTTAATACACTGGTTGACATGTCCAATATCTGCAGCTGCTTTCTTCCCTGGTGTCAGCGGAGGATCGAATTTGACGTCGTTGAGGATGTTTAGAGGCATCGCGCTGATCATCTTTAATGCTTTGAAGGTCTGACCGTTGCGAGATGTAACTTCCACTCCAGCGGAGGAGTTTCTCACCGAGGCAACAGGTGTACTGAAAGTGTATGTCAAATTCCCTGTAGCCAGCGCTTCTTTGAAGAAATTAATCGCAAAGCTAGATTGACCGCCCTTGAACTTGTACTTGGCGAGATACTCAATACAGCCGACATAAGTATAATTGCACATAGCCCACCAGTGCAAGAATTCGTAGAAACTGGTCGTCTCAAGCGTGGCACCACTGCAGAGTAAGATAAAAGCTTCAAGACCCATACGTTCGTTGTATGTGAGATCGTTCTTGATCTCCGCGATGCGGTCGGCGATGGACATGCGGTCGTATTTTGTGGCGATGGGATCGAGTTTGGCTTGGTGAGGGAAGATGATTGCTTCGCGGCCTGATGCGCCGTCTATGTTGACTAGTTTATGAAGGGCGGATTGCATGAGTGCGTCCTATACCCGTCAGTCTTGTCCCCATGAATACACATGGGAGTAACTTACCTCTTCTTCATGGGTGAACTGTTGCGTCCCTTCTGGCGTAGCGAGAAGATACTTGTTGATTCCCCTAGTGAAATCATACGAGACTTCAAGTTCATTCTGCATGTTGTACCGTTGGATTTCGCGCCAGACGTGTGCTTGACCCCAGTGGACCCAAGTTCCGCCCATTTCGTAGGGGTAGCCTTCTATGTTTGAGGACCATGATCGACCGCCGATGCGATCACGGGCTTCGATGAGAAGCACTTTGAGACCTGTAATCTGTTAGAGCTGTTTCGTGTAATGGTTGGGTGTGAGACTTACTGGCAATGCTTGCGTCGCGAGCTGCGGTGAGACCACAATATCCTGCTCCAACGACAATAACATCATATTTCGTATTGGTGTCTTTGAGGTTTGAAGGAGGACTGATTGCACCGATGGTTGGAACACCGGCTTTGAGGCCTTGAGACTCTGTCCATGAGTATCCGTCCTTGGAAGACATTGTGTACGCAGAGTAATTTCGATTGAATAGGTAGACAAACACTAGAGAGCGTTGAAAAGTAAGAGCGGCCACAGCAAGTTTAGTAAGGACGGCAACTCATTTTATCCTCGGCCCGGGTTGCATTTCATGAATCTCATCGTATCATGTCTATCTGAACCAAATGATAAAACTATTCCCTAAAAGAGTAATTTCTTGAGAGAACTCCACCTTCGGCGCCCCGGGCTGTCCTTGCTACCGTATCTCAACGGGGCCTTGGATCTAACTGCGGAATACGCGAGATATCCTATCTTTCAATTGGATTGCCCCAGCCTGGATGAAGATCTTAGATAACATATCTCCCCTCTCCTTTTACCGCAACAGGTAATTTCGCGAGAAATAACAATCTAGATCGTTTCCCCCGCAATCCACTAGTGATGTCCAAGGTTCTGACAATCTGGATGATGTGGTGGTGTTGACGCGCCAGAACCCGGTAACCAATCAGCCACACCATTATTCTCGCAAAACTTCCGCTTTTGGTATATTCAGTGGAGATCACCACCCAGCTGTTCAAAACCTGGGGTAGAGTCATTAGCGTTGGACTTATCAAGATACAGTGTTTCGGTATCGGCAGTTTAGATACGATATCTACTGCATTCCGTTTGTAGTTTGTAGGGAGAGTGAGGAGGATCAGGAAGATGGATTGTCGGTGCTGCTGGTCTTATCGGTGTACGACCGTCTTGAGACTAACACACGCCATCGTGTGACCTAACAAACTATATGAACCAACCTCTCCTCCCAAATCCCAATTCTCTGCAACAAAGACAAGAAGACCTCACCAACCATGACTTCACACACGCAAGAAGGCGTGCTGCAGCAGCGTCTTTCAACATTAACAATGGTCGCCATGGCCTTTGCAATCCTCAAGTTCGTCCCCCGTCACTCCTTTGTCGTTGTACTAACGAACCCCGCAGTACGTGGATTGCACTCGCTGGTGTAATGGCGTATATTCTCCCTTCTGGAGGACAGGTTTCGTTTATTTATGGGTTTTTGGTTTGTGTGTTTTGTAATCTTGCGTTGGCGGCTAGTTTGGGTGAACTTGCTGCTTTGTGGCCTACGGCTGGTAAGTACTTGATCCTGAGACATGTCTTGGGAGAGTGGTGCTGATTGGCGCAGGTGGACAGTATCATTTTATGTACGCTTTGTGTACACCGAGATGGAAGAGATCAATGGTATGTCCCTTATTCGTTGATGATGCAATGACTAATGGGAGAAGAGCTTCTTTGTTGGATGGACCAACATCGCTGGCTGGTTAACTGTCGTCACTACCCAAGCTTTCTTCGCCGGTACGTCCTGTTCCTTACACTTGTCTATAGATACTAACTCTGCTAGCCCAATTGATATCAGCAGCCGCAGTCGTCGCATCCAACAACGCCTACGAAGCCACCGCCTGGAAGACCTATCTCTTCTTCGTCGCCATCCTCTCCTTCGGCACGGTCGGTAATATCTGGGGAAACAGAATCTTGGGTCGATGGAATGACTGTGCCTGTAAGCATCAACCCCTTCACCACATATATCTGTCTAATAAGATGTAGTATACTGGTCTGTCCTGTCCGTCGTCATCATCAGCATCATCTTGCTGTCCATGTCCCCCAAGACCGACGCAAAAGAAGTTTTCACGGGCTTTAACAACGAGACTGGCTGGTCTGATGGAGTCGCTTGGATTCTTGGACTTCTGCAATCTGCTCTATCACTCATTGGCTTTGATGTCGTGTTGCATCTTACAGAAGAGATGCCCAATCCTTCGAAAGATGCACCAAGGGCTATGCTTCTAGCTGTCGTCATCGGCGGTGTCACGTAAGTCCTTCCTCTATCCCTTGCCATATACCTACTGACTCTTCAGTGGCCTCTTCTTCATCCTAGTAATCCTCTTCTGCCTAACAGACCCAACAACCATCCTCACCAGCTCAACCGGCATGCCCATAGTAGAACTCTTCCTCCAAAGCACATCCTCCCGCGCCGCTGCCACAGTCCTAGCGCTCATGCTAAGCATCTGTTTCATAAACGGAACATCAGCAAGCATAACCAGTGCCAGCCGCTTGATCTTCGCCATGGCTCGCGACAACGGTATTGTCTGCCACAAGTTCTTCGCGCACATATCACCCCAACTTGACGTTCCTGTCCGCACAATCATGTTCTGCTATGTTTTTAATCTGTTGTTTGGTCTTTTGTATCTTGGTCCTACTGTCGCTTTTAGTGCGTATATTGCGAGTTGTACTATTTTCTTGAATGTTTCTTATGCTAGTCCTGTTGTTGCTTTGCTTGTTAGGGGAAGAGGTGTTTTGAGGGAGTATCAGACTAAGAAGACGCCTGCCAGGATGGGGTTGAGGCTTGGTGCTGTTGTTAATTGTGTTGCTGCTGCGTTTGTTATTGTTACTTCTATTGTAAGTGACCATATACACTTGGACTATCGATTGATGCTAACTGATTTAGTTCTTCTGCTTCCCTGCTGGAATTCCAGTATCTGCCAATACCATGAGTAAATCTACCCTCCCATCATCTGACTAAAGAGGAGACTGACTTGTCATAGACTACGTTTCTCCTGTTGTCGGAGGCTTCTACTTCCTTCTCGCGGTCTACTGGCTTATTTGGGGCAAGAACTTCCAAGGACCCGTAAGTCAACCTCCAAGTAAATATCAGCTACCAAGGTTCCTGACTTGTGATACTAGAACTTCGATGCTATCATCGGACAGCCGTTGCAGGAGAAGGATTCGGGGGTTACGGAGACAGTGCCAGGTAAAATTGACTCTACATCGAAGGTTTAGAGGATGATCGTTCTTAGATAGCAGAAGAATTTTAGTAATAGATGGAATTTCATGGAACTTGTCTATTTACCATCGAAATGCTTCGTTTGCGTATTCTTCCACATTTTCAATTTAATGTAGGAATACGAATCAGTTGAGATTCGATATCGATGGGTAGATGCCAATGCCGACAAGCAAATTCTTTCATCTCGTCAAACGACCAATCAACTCCCGGGTATGACAGTGTCCCGAAGACGCCATTCATGGATTTTATTGTACAGCCAATGGCAGCTTGGACATGACACAGCCCCTGACCATGCTCAATTCAAAACTTTCTTTCCTCCCTGATGACGTGTTCTCAAGGGTTTACTCAGATTCTGGAATTGTTGTCTTATCGTGATAAGAATAAAGTACAATCAGCCACACCTTAACTGATCTTAAGTTCACTCGAACCCTCCTGTCAAGGCTTCAACGGGTTTCATTGTTCTTATTGTAGACTGTAGTGATGTTCATATTACAAGACTCTGCAACTTGCCAGTTTCATAATGCTTGAGTACCTAGACAATCTATCTCCTTGCCCATTATCGGTCGGTCTGCCAGTCCCATGGCCAAGCCAAGCTTACAGCACGGTTATCTCAAGCCCAAAATCCACTCTCATCTAGCCCCGATCCTCCTTGTCATATAAAATGCCTGACCCTCTGCGGACCCGCACTTTTTGTCTCCAATGTTGTGAAAAATGCGTGTCATCTTTCGTCCACTACTCAACATTACTCGAACAGGTATCTTTTACCCGCGACCCTTGCTTTCCCAGATACATCACCGTCAGGTTAGCACGATGAGCGGCAACGGAGATTTGAACAACACTCAAGCTGGAAGGACAGCAGTCGAGTTTGCCGCCGATCCGTCCTTTAAACACAAGTCCTTCGCCATTTCCCGAGACCAAGATGACGCCGCAATCCGTGACCAATACCGCCCTTATCTGTTCGAAGGCGAGATGCTCTCTGACGATTGGGTTGCCGATCTAGAGCTCAGCACAGCGATGAAGATGGTACAATCAGAAATCCTGGACAAGAAACTTGATCGTCTTCGTATTCTGGTTCTCTATGGTAGTCTGAGAAGCCGGTTAGTATTGACGAACCCCAAGCCTTGTTATTCTTGCTGAAATGTTACAGATCATATTCTCGTCTTCTCGCCCTTGAAGCTTCACGTATCCTCTTCCGTCTTGGTTGCGATGTCAGAGTTTACGATCCAGCTGGTCTACCTCAAAAAGACGATGTTCAGCATACTCATCCTAAAGTCCAAGAACTTCGAGAGCTGAGTAAATGGAGCGACGGACATGTATGGATCAGTCCAGAACAACATGGCAACTTGGTAGGTCACTTGACAATAATAGTATGAAACTAGAAAAGGCTAATTCTTTGTGGACCGGCATCTTCAAGCAACAAATAGACTGGATCCCCCTCTCAACCGGCTCCGTCCGCCCAACCCAAGGTCGCACCCTCGCCATGGCCCAAGTCAGCGGCGGATCCCAATCCTTCAACGCCGTAAACTCTTTACGTATTCTCGGTCGCTGGATGCGCATGTTTGCTATTCCGAACCAAAGCTCAGTACCTAAAGCTTATACCCAATTTACTCCTGAAGAGGAGGGAAGTCGAATGATGGCTAGTGGGAATCGCGATCGGCTGGTGGATTGTATGGAGGAGCTTGTTAAGTATACTATTGTTATGAGGCCGCATTTTGATCTTTTTGGGGATCGTTTTAGTGAGCGGGAGGAGAAGAGGGTTAAGGAGGAGGGGAAGTAGATATGGTGTTTGTTGTGAGGGAGCTTCCCGAATGTAAAAGCAGTGAATTCGTTTGGATATTGAATGATAGACACAGACCAGAAGTAGCTCTCCCCGAACTGACAAAGTCAAATACCAATCGATACACTGACTGTAAGCCCTGTCTTACGCCGCGTCAGGCTTGACAGCATAGATCTGGAATGAGCCTAAGGAGAGTCAGTCAGCCACCTGGCAAAGAAAAAGATATGCTTGCACGTACCTGCCCACTCATTGAAGTCAGTGACACCTGAACGGTCAATTGACATGCCATCGCCTGGCTCCAGGGAACTCGTTGATTTTGAAGGAGCATACGAGGATGAGTCCCCAGCTAGATCTCCACCTGCGCTCTTGCAACAGGAAAGCGGAGCCTCATTGGCAGTGAAGTAGACATTCAAGTCACTCTTCGTGTCAACAATCAGAATATCTATCAGCAAATTAGTTCACCTTCTTCAATTCCAGCAACACAATCCAACCTACTTCCAAAACCAGCATTATTAAGAAACTTTTCATACTCGCCAACAAGACTAGCACCAGCAATGCATCCAACATACAAAGCGACATCTCGTCTTATCTCATCCGGCAACTCCTTGCGCGCAAGTATATCGCTAACTGCGACACGTCCACCTGGCTTCAGGAGTCTGAACATTTCATTGAAGACGAGTTGTTTCTCTGATGCTGGGACGAGATTGATGACGCAGTTGCTGATGATGCAATCTGCGGTGGCGTCAGAGAGAGGGATAGATGTAATGGGGCTTTCGATAAATTCGACGTTTGAGAGGTTCATAAGAGTTTTGTTCGCGTTGGCTTTGTCTATCATGTTCTTCGTCAAGGTCAGATTTGAGTTGTGTTAGTGGCTCTAACAAAGGTGAACTCACTTTATTCATATCCACGCCAATGGCTCTACCCGACGGACCAATCTTCTTAGCAGCCGTCAAGATGTCGAAGCCAGCTCCAGAACCAAGGTCGATGACGGTCTCGCCCTGCGATAGCAGTCAGTCAAAATCTTTGCGAAGGTGTGCAAGACCTGAAGAAACTTACCTCTCTCAGCTTCGCGAGTGCAGTGGGATTACCGCAGCTCAAACCAAGATTTGCATCCTCGGGAATGTCTCTGAGTTCTTCATCCGTGTATCCGAATGCTTTTGCGACGGTTTGTTCATATTTACCGGTGGCGCTCTTGGAAACTGAGCCGTAATGGTCGCTGACCTGTTTGTAAGTCTCTTTGGCATCCATGTTGTTGGTTAATAGTTTGAAGAATGAGTTGATTTTAGCTCGTGTACAATGTTCAGTGGCAGGTTTATATGTTGTTCACATTGAAATGTCGATATGTCACCGTTGCAAAACCCCAAATGTGAGATACCAATGAGCTCTGTTCGTCCACCACCATACTGCACATCATCCAATCACAGATCGGAGATGATTACTAAGGTTGGGGAACGATATGTCACCATTTTGGGTCAGAACTCCTCGTCAGTGACATATCGATCTTCACAAACATTTCACCATGCCTAAAGCAAAGGCAAAACGAGTTTCTGTTCAACATACTCGAGACCGAGTCCGGAACAATCAGCGTCAACATCGTGCTCGGCGGAGAGATTATATCGCCACCCTAGAGGGGAAACTTGAGGAGGCAGAGCGGACCATCTCGAGGCTCAAAGAACACATCAAGGGCCTAAAGGATGCCGACGGTGCTTTAGACGCGACAGAAAATATGGATCCTACTGTTGCTGGTGCAAGCGACTCGATAGTCGTTGGCTCTCCTACGGATAATGTTGATCTTCCCGTGCCAATATTCGGCGACCTTCTCGGATTACATACCAGTCCGCCTATCGCATCACCTACCCTGAATCCTGCACCCATCTTCACATACTCTACGCCATGTTTCTTGTCAGAAACTACAAACTACACATACTCACTCCCAAATCTGCAATTACTCGTACCGACACCGACATTTGCGACGGATCCAACAACAAATTCATCTTGTCAAGAGTCAACAATTCTTTGCTCAGAAGCATACATCCTCATAGCCCACCAAAACCACAAACACCTCTCCGAAAGCACCATAGCAGCCTATCTATGGCCCAGCTTCCGCGCATCAACATGTCCCAACGAAGGATGTCGCGTTGCCACAAGCACGTTATATACCCTCTTGGCATTCATCAGCGACGTTTCCAGCACTTATCAGGAACTTTCCTAGTATTCGCCAGGAATTATTTCTTGCCTTGGCTCCGCGATGTGGGCAGTGATCGGCAGGCTGTTTCAGGTGTCGGATAACACATCCACACTCGCTTACGGAGGAAAGGGAATGGTTTCCGGATTGAGGGGGTAAAGCTTGTTTTTCATCTTGTCCTGTGCTTGGCGAGGGAATTTGACATCATGAGTTTTGATGAGAACTTCTGGCTGCTGGTTGCTGACCCCCACGTGGTGGCGATATTGCATGTGCCATTTGCTTGCATCGGCAGTTGTCTTGGTTCAATTTCGATCTTGAGCTAAAATTGCAGACAATGATGGCATGGGTTGAGATCTTCTACAAAAAACAAATGACTTGATCTCGCATACAGAGCGGTAAGGTCTAGACCTCAGCAAGAAAAGCTCAAGATCAATCAATGCGAAACATGCTCTCCTATCACCCCTTCTCACCAATCATTGCCACAATTCCCTCAACATTGCTTTTTCACAGAGCCTCCATTCACCCTTAATAAAATCCTTGCCGAAACAAAATTCGAGCCTCAACTTTAACTTTCAGGAACTAAAACATCCGCCAATCAGAAACCTGCCATTTGAAACGGCACCTTTGTTATCGTTGGTGCGCTTCCAATTGACCAGGGTTGGCATGATCCACCCAAGGAAGCGAGATGTTATCACTCTGTTCTTGATCACGTATTTTGGAAACAGTACCAGTTTGAGAGAGTTGAATCCTGGTAAATCCTCCTGTCAAAGCTAATTTTGACGGAGAAACATACATATGTTGGCTGAATATGGTTAACGTCCGGGATATTAAAGGTCTCTTGCATATGTGATCGTCATCCATCAAGCATGCAAGCAAGTACACCAGGATAGAGAGTGAGCAAGGATAGTAAGGGCGAGCAGCATAATATATATCACATCCCACCTCCATCAATGTGGTTTCTCTTCCCCAAGCCACGCTTCTGTCATTCTTTCCACCGCAAGCCCGGTGTTTTTCCAACTCTACCGCAAGCGGTATCCTTTCTTTAAACGACCCTGGCGGTCTACCACATTCATTCACTTCCAACATGCGTTTCACACTCTCTACCATGGCAGCCCTCCTGGGCCTGTCCTCAGCCCAAGGAATTCGCTCCTCCGCCTACACCGATCCCAAAACAGGCATCGACTTCCAGCGCTTCGTCGACGATGACTATTCCGTAGGCTTCGCCGTCCCCGAAACTCTCGGCAAAGACCTCATCGCCCAAATGGTCTTCCCCGCTGAAAAAGGCGCTGGATGGGGTGCTATTTCTTTCCGCGGCGGTATGATTGGTGGTATGCTCTTCGTCGCATACCCTAACGGGGATGACATCGTTACTAGCTTCCGCATGGCTAGCTCGTATGCTAATCCGGAGGAGTATACTAACTCTACTGTTAAGGCGACGCCTATTCCTGAGGGTACGTTCGTTAACAGTACGCATGTTTCGTATACTTTCCTCTGTGAGGGGTGTGTGGAGGAGAAGGTTACTAGTTTGTTGAACGAGAGTCCTGTTTTGGGTTATGCTTGGAGTTCTATTGCTGTTGATGCTCCTGCGGATCCTCAGGCTGTTCTTTCGTACCATGGTGCTGGCTTTGGTCAGTTTGGTTTCGATATTAAGGGTGCTGCGTCTGCCAAGTTTGCGGACTGGGCTGCTATGGCTAAGGAGACTGTTTCTGCTCCTCCTACCGGTGGCAACGGCACTGTTCCTGTTCCTGGAAACTCTACTATCCCTCCTACCACTTCTAACATCACCTACGATGTCATTGTCGTCGGCGGTGGTCCCGCTGGTATCATCGCTGCTGAACGTCTTGCTGAGAAGGGTCTTAGCACTCTTCTCATCGAGCGCGGCCCAGCCAACACCGTCGCTCTCGGCAACACCGCCCAAGCACTCCCCTGGAACAACACCCTCACTCCCTACGACATTCCCGCTCTGGGAAGCAGCATGACCAGCATGGCTGGTACTAAATTCTGCAGCGACACCGCCTCCACAGCCGGTTGTCTCCTCGGCGGATCCTCCTCCATCAACGGTCTGAACTTCATCCACCCACCAGAGCGCGATTTCCAACGCTGGCCTCAAGGCTGGAGCTGGAATGATGTCTCTGCTGCCGCAGACCGTCTCTACGAGCGTAACCCTGGAACTACTCTTCCCTCCGACGACGGAAAGTACTACGATGACATGACCTATAAGGTCCTCGAGAAGTACCTCAGCGGCAAGGGCTGGAAGGAAGTTGACTCTATCGAGTCTCCCAACGAGAAGCACGAGGTTTACTCTCGTTGCTCTTGGTCTATCAAGGATAACATGCGTGCCGGTCCTGCGCGAACCTACATGCCCTTCGCCAAGGCCCTTCCCAACTTTACTCTTAAGCTTGAGACCAAGGTCATCCAGCCTATTCGCAAGGGAAGCATGATCACCGGTGTCCTTACTCAAGCCGCGGACGGAAGCAAGCAGGTCATCAACGTCAAGGCTGGTGGTAAGGTCATTCTTGCTGCGGGTGCCATGTCTACTCCCCGTCTTCTCTGGAATGCTGGTATTGGCAAGTCTGATGCTCTTGCTATTGTCAAGGAGGGTTCTTCTCGCACTGGTGTTACTCTTCCTGCTGATACCATTGATCTTCCTGTTGGACATCATCTTCAGGATCATGCTCAGGTTGTGTTGCAGTTCAAGCCTAAGACCAACTTTACTGCTTACAAGTTCAATGACATTGCTACTAAGCCTGTCGCTTCGGACTTGGATTTGTACATGCAGGGTTCTGGTCCTATTACTCAGGCTGCTCAGCGCATGCATCTTTGGACATCCGCCAAGGGCGCTGATGGTCGCACCCGTTACCTTCAGGGTACTGCTTCTGCCATGGCTGACGGCGTTATTACTGTCCGTACATTCCTCACCCATGGAACTTCCACCGTTGGGGAACTCGGCATCGCAGCTGCTGGCAACACTCTCCTCAAGACCAAGCCCTGGTTGATCGACCAAGAGGATCGTAAGGCCATGGGCGATTTCGTCCAATACTGGCTCGACCTTACATCCGGCAGCAACTCTACCCTCTCCTACATCACCCCCGGCGCCACCGTCGAGGACATCCTCTCCACCAAGATGATCAGCGGCGACCACTGGATGGGCAGCGCCAAGATGGGCACCGACGACGGCCGCAAGGCGAACGGTAGTGCAGTCGTTGATCTCAACACCAAGGTTTACGGCACTGATAACCTTTTCGTTGTTGATGCTAGTTTCCATCCTGATTTGCCTACTGGTAACACCCAGGCTATCATCATGATTGGTGCTGAGCATGCGGCTGAGAAGATTGCTGCTCTCAAGGTTGTTGGTGGTGGCAGCAACTCTACTATCCCTGATCCTGTTTCTGCTCCTACGCCTGTGCCTACGCCTTCTAAGGGTGTTAAGTGTAAGCGAGCTGCCCGGGCTGCTCGTCGCTCTATGCACTTTCGACGATCCATGTACTAGATGGTAGTTAGTATTTGATGGATCTTGGAATCTTCTTTGTATATTCTAGACAGCTGTAGATAAAAATTAACCTGTTCAATCACCAATTCATATCTTATCTTATGCCAAGTGAAGTGTAATCAAGCATCATCATGCAAATGCCATTTCGGGACGCCCCATTTATAATCCCCTTCCTTTCATTCCAATTGGTCAATAGACCTCGGTTTCGCATTCGTCATAAGCTCGGGATCGGGTCCTTCCAACTCTCCGTCAACATCCTCCCCCAAAAATCCTAACCTTTCTCGCAACGAGTGCGAACATATCATTCCCACTCCAGTCCCAACGCACCGGTACCAAATGGACGACCAGTCAAAGTCCACTCGCGTGGGGTACAAAAAGTCCCGAAACGGCTGCATACGCTGCAAAAAGCGGCGAGTCAAGGTTTGTGCTTAAACTATCCCGTTCTGACTCGTACTCCCCCTACTGACTTGTGACTGTGCAGTGCGATGAGGAAATTCCTTGTTCAGCATGCGTTAGGCATAAAGTTGCCTGCAGTCTTGAACATTCTGAATCAGAGTATCAGCATAGATCTCTACGTCCGCCAAATCCGAGCTTATCCGCACCCAGTCCTGCGTCGCTAGTATCAGGCTCACTATTCTCGAATCCTCTGGATGAACCGGATTGTTGGGTTTCTACTGCTGAGCTTATGATGCATTATACGACTGTTACCTATAAGACTATGATGTTTTCTGAGGCTACGACTGCCACGTTTCAACAGCATATGCCGCAAGAAGCGTTATCGTACCCGTTCTTCTTACGGCAGATTCTTGCCTTCTCGGGATATCATCTTGCGCATCTACATCCGGAACGTCGACATTTCTATCTTCTTCAAGCATCCAAGCATATCAATTCTTCTATTCGCGGCATAAGAGAAGCACTATCCGAACAAGTAACTTCCAAAAACTGTCACGCGTTATACGCCAGTACGACATTTATCGTGGTGAATAAATTCGCCGCGTTTCCCAACTGCGATGATTTTAGAAGTCATAGTTGTTCATTGCCTGTGCAGAGTCTCATGGAGATTTTCAGTCTGGTGAATGGCATGGAAGCAGTGCTGAATTCACCTGGTGCAGAAGGACTCATCAGTGGACCTTTGAAAGAACTTTTCTGCGAAACGACGAATTTGCACACGACGAGTTATCTCCTCCGTGGCTTAAGCGCAAGATTACCTGAACTTGCCCAACGAATATCGTCTGACTTCATGGAAGATCAATGCAGAGCAGCTCTCGCATCCGCTATCGAAGCAATCACCGCAAGCGTGAACGATGCATTAGCGAATCTAAATAAAGCGTCGCCTCCAGAGCTACGAGTAATTTTCTCATGGCCTATGAAAGTCTCGCGAGATTTCTTGGATTTAGCTGTATCTGGCCATCCGTTGGCGTTGGTTATTCTGGCGTATTATGATATTTTGTTGTACTGGGGAGAGTCGGAGTATTGGTTTTTTGAGAATTGGGCTGAGACGCTTATTGTTGCTATTGTTGAAAAGGTTAGGGGGTCTACGTGGGAGGATTTGTTGGCTTGGCCTGTTGAGGTTATTTTGCACAAGTAGAGTGGTAGACTGAGTAATGGTAGAGATACAGACTAATTCTGTTTAGATAATTGTATTAATTTGAGAGTTGATTACTTGTCGCTTGGTCTTTATTGATCGTCGTCGGATGGCTCCGTTAGATAGCACTAATGGTGGCGATCGGTCAGCTCTAGTGCTTTAGTTAAGCGCCAGATCTTCACTTGAAAGACCAGATGATCTTGAGGGGTAATAAAACAATGAATATCAATCCAATCAAGGTTATAAAAATTCATCGTCTGTCTTTCTCTCTTTCATTGACATAAGACAGGAGCGACGCCACCAATTGAAGTTGTGAGATACAAATTTCTCAAAGGTGCACCGATCAATTGACATTTTTGTGCAACGCCAGCCACTCACCACAGCTCGGTTTCCATTAATCAACACCAGAAATTGCCAATCATCTCCAAATTGAACAGTCACGATGAGAAAGCCTTGCCAAGATTGTTAATCTGATTTTTAAGGCTTACAATTGATTTAATCTCTGCAGAGATAAGCGAAGGATTCGTCCCAATTTTATGTATGTCTCTGCCATCTGGCAAAAGCAAGGGTCTACCTTGATTAGGAATGTTTGCTTACGCTGCGCCTGTTGGGAAATGACGATCATCTGAGTTTTTCATGCAAGGATTCAATCCTTCTAATACTTATTAAAACAATCTCTGCACATTTTTCTATCTCAATTGCTTCATCCAAACATCATGGCAACTACCGGTACCAACACAATGGCAGACACAACACCCATGTCAGAAAAAGTGGCGCGACCACCCCCGATTCTCTGTCTAGGCGCTATCAGAACAGGCACGGCCTCCCTAATGAAAGCCCTCGAAATTCTAGGCTACGCCAACGTGCACCACGGCTGGGAAGCTTGCGAACGAGACGACATGCAGTGGCAATGGCCCCTTCTCGACCGCGCTGCCGACGCAACATACTCCAACATTCCAACCTACAACGGCAAAGGCTTTTCTAGGTCTGATTGGGATGAAATATTCTCCGAGCACGACGCGGTATCGGACATTGGCTCTTTATTCGCTGGATCGCTTATCAAAGCGTATCCTGATGCGAAAGTCATTCTCGTGGAGCGCGATATCGAGAAATGGTACAAGAGCGCTCTACCTATTTTCGAACCAGCGCAAAATCCACGATTAAGAAAATTCGGTATCAAGATTGGTGATTTATCGGGTATGGAGAGTGCGAAAGCGAGTTATAAAATGCATCAAGGCTGGACAGGCGCATCAGATCCGAATCATACTGTCGATCACATGAAGGAAGCTTACGTGCGCCATAACGCTCTAATTCGAGAGAATGTACCGGGCGACCAACTTTTGGATTTTCAGCTGACGCAAGGATGGGAGCCGCTTTGTGCATTTTTGGGAAAAGACGTGCCGGATGTCCCGTTTCCGCATGTTAATGATTCCAAGGAGTATCAGGCTCGGGGAAAGAAGTTGGGGCAGAAGATGATGGGGAGGGCTGCTAGGAATGTTTTGTTGCCTTGTGCGAAGAAGGACTACAGGATTAAGGAGTAGAGTTTGATATGGTGTTTTTGGTTAGACGGCAGATGTGAATCGCAATGATATCAAATGCTTTTTCGCTTGACGTCCAGTTTGTTCTCATCATGTCTGATGGTTGGTTGTATTACCATTTTAGGCCAAGCGTACTCAACTCTGCCCACTGCCATTGCTCCAAGCCAAGAGTTCGTCCTTCATCCCATTGGCTTCATGTGATACTATTTCAACCACTAGTCCAAATCTCGGGATTATGATCTCAATTACCCTTGGTTTAACCTTGGATTAGCATTTTAAACAACAAGATTGGATGAAGATGACCGGCCGGAAGACGGCTCGAAACTCCGAGAGCGGAGTAAAATCACCTCGACGTTGATTGAGAAGAAGGTATATCAAGAGGACTCCAATCACTCTGAGATCTACAATTCCCTTTTTCTCTATATCTTCATATTCTCAGATCAGATATTGTCAAACTAAGCAAAGATGACATCTCCCAAAGATTACAACTGGCACCAGTCCCAGCCTGGAGTCTGGCAACGTCCCCTCGACGAACTCGAGCAATTCTACACATCAATGGTGGTTCTCTACGAGGGTAGCGGCCGCATGTTCTTTGGAATCACAGGCCATATCTCTCTGTCCATCAAGACTATCACCCATGCTGGATACGAAGTTGACCAAGCGTTGCGCAAAGCATGGCTTGCCTTGCGATATAATCACCCTACACTAGCCTCCCAAACTACCCAAGGCTCAAATGGAGAATGGATCAAGACATACAAAACTCTTGACACAGAAGACGAGAAGAATGCTTGGGTTGACAAGACTCTTATTGATATCGCCACCACTCAGACAGGAAATGAGTTTGCAAACTCATGGCAACCAACACCTAAAATACCAACCATGTACGTTGTTCATCTTCCTACCGAAATAGGTTTTATTCGGAGAGATCTTGTCTTTCGTTCTCCGCATGATATCATCGACGGCATTGGAACACTCATGCTTCTGAACAATTTCATCGCTCTTGCGGCAGAAGCTCACGAAAAGGGCGATGCTTACGAAGTTCCTGCTCTGGACGGAAGTGAGACTTCAAACTTGAGTCCTTCATATCGCATCGCTGCCAAGATTCCCGATAAGCTTTCAAAAGCTCAGGTGGAAAGACTAGATGCGATGGCCGCTCAAAAAGAAGAAGTGGCATCCGATCCCAACGTCGAAGTCCTCGCTCTTCCTTATCGCAAAGGCGAGACTGTTCCAGGTCGTCATCAACGCGTGGCTCTTACCCTTACTCAAGAAGAAACTTCACAGTTGCTAGCTGCTTGTAAGAACGTTAAAGCAACACCAACTCACGTCTTCCACGCAGCAGCAGCCATCGTCATGCGCGATCTTCAAGATAAACCTGCTGAGACGAAGAAAGTGCGGTATATCAACTACATCCTCCAAAATGAGCGATCAAACTGCTCTGAGCCGTTTAATTCTACGAGGCATCCTGCTGCTGTGTATCATTCTGTTTCCGGACAGAGTTTAGTGGTGGATATGGATCTCTGCCCGCCGTCAAAGCACGAACTTGACCGTGAAGAGTTCCTTACCGTCTTACAAACTATCAAGGACTTTTATCTCACCGTCAAACAAGACCGGGAGTTCTACATCCTCGCTCCAACGATGTTCGCCAATCTAACACCCACTCTTCCCGCATCGCCCCGTCCATTGCCCATTGCCCCACCAAAAGTCCATCCCTCAGTATCAATCTCAAGCATGGGACGCGTTGAAAGTATCATAGCACCTGAGACCAAGGCTTTCAGCGCAAAGAATCCGTGGGTTACGGGTGAAGAGCTTGGAAATGGACTGGGATTATTCCTAGGGACATTTCGGGGCGAGATGGAGTTGAGTGCGGCGTATAATGATGCTTGGCATACGGAGGAGGATGTGACGGGGTATTTGGAGCGTTGTAAGAGTGTTGTTTTTGGGGGGCTTGGGTTGAAGGCATAAGTGAGGTAGATCGGGACAGATCGTGGAGGCGGGTGTGGCTTGGTGGCGCGATAGAATCGTCGGTGGCGTTGGGTTGGAGATTTGTACCTGTTATCGTGAGAATTGCGGTATCGAGCATTCAGGACATAAGGAGGCGCTAGATAAGACTGCTTGTTCCAGAAGAAAGAGTAAGCACTTGCTTCGATTGAACATTATTCGATCGAGATGGTCCAAGGTCCAAGGCTTATCTGGATAACACTTATCAGTCCTTCGTCAGTTATCGTCGCCAAAGTCCCAGCAGACAGCATCCAACATGCTGAAGGAGATATCTAGGTCCACAATCTGTGTTTGTCGCTGTGTTGTTTTTGTCCATATACCTTGGAGGATCTCCTCCTCAAAGAGAGACTCAAAATAGAAAGGAAACATCACCAACAAAGTTCAAAGGAACAGAAATCCTAAAGCGCTTAGAAATCCGTCGTTATGTCACGCTCCCCGCCCTCTCAAAGTTCCAACACGCCAGATAAGTAACAATTAACGACATCCGGAAGGTCAAACAACCCAACCTTGATGGATTACCACGCCGCAGTCCCTGACCCAACACACCGGGAACTTCTGTGGCAATAAAAGGTTCTTGATCAAATCGGTTTATCAAGGCCCGCTTCAAACCGTTCGCCTTCTGCCCTACCAACAGACATCGCCAGCCTATCAACATCCATCAAGATGTCCAAACATGCATAGATCACCAGTAACGTTTTATCGATCTACCCAACCCATCCTATCTGGAGTCTAGTGGGGCAAAACGCGAGGTCACCGAGGTGTGCCCCAAAATGGAAGCTCCCCCAGGAACCTTTGACAGGCTGGGGTAAAATCGGACCAGACTACTTTAGGAAGCAAATGATATGGGGGTTGATAGGGGCGAGAGTGGACTTTGCATGGGAGAGGGCGGGATTGGGTCGCGTGCATGGCATGTGAAGGAGCTGAAACGGGATGCAAGAATAGGAAGCTGGGATGATCGAGAAATGTTGTCTTGTTGGACGTGTTGGCTATGTTATGGAGTGGCGATGGAATGTCGATGTTGGTTATTACAGGTGGTTGGTTTCGTTACTAGAGCCAACAAACTGAAATCTACCCGGTATTAATTTCACACTTCAAATATTGTTCTCAACCTGGAAATCAGTTGCTTGGGTTAGATCTCTCATCATCACAAAAAATGAAGCTTACTTACCCTTGAGCCGCGCGACATCTCCAAGTACCAATCCGAAAATACAGTATGAGCTTACTAACTTGAATCTAGACCATTAATCACTCCAACAATCAACAGGGATCATGATCCCGGTTATCATCCTTGGATCCTTCCAAAATAGACATATCTCTCTCGCGTGGCAAACGATTGATAGCCCATCGCGCCCTTTACAGATACCCATCAAATGTCAATCCAATTGTGCATATCGCCCCAGTCTTGGCCCATCGCCGAGATATCCATGATCGTGGCAGGTTCGCTGATCTTCTCTTTATTTAATAATTTTCGGATTTCAGCGATTTCTGGAACACTTCGATATTGGATATGATCACCGTGATGGCGAACAGACATCAAATGCATGAGGTTGCATTGATATCAAGAGGCAAACATGCCCCCAGATTCCTACAGCTGAGATAATTACCATCACGATCGCGGAAATCGTCCACTATGGGTCGTTGGTTGTACAAAACAGGGCGCGTAGACGGCAGATGCGAAAACAGGTATAGTGGATTTGACAAAAGTCCGTCTTGTAGCCGCTCGTGTGATTTGATTCCTACACAAAGTCCCGCTGGGAAAGGGATAGCACAGCACAGCACAGGGCTCTTGTCCTTGGCAGTACTGACCTCGGCACATGGGTGCGGAATTTAGGGCCCTGCCAAGGGATGTCAGTTTAATGCGGGGGAGGATCTTGCAGTCATTGCAGTGAATTGATGCAGTAAACTCATCAATGCATCTGTATATTTAATTAATTAAGTAGATGAATATTGTGGTAGTGTGTGGAATATCGATGACGTTGGACATCTCGTGATGGTCTGTACGGCAGTGACCCAAGACAATGATTAAAACACCAGATTTGTATCTTCTTATCTAAACGACAATCCTATTCCGTAGTCGGAACCAACAAGAGCCCCACGTATCGCATCCGTTATCCGTTCCGTTGGAGATAGCCAACCTAACAAAAAGGCCCTTCCTCTTTACTCCAACACTAACAAAGGGTCCCCGCAGGGCCATGCCAAGCGCAACAAAGGTTCCCCGAGAATGGTCAACCCTGCGCGGACACAGACACTGTTTTGGGTTTAGGCTGTTGTTGGTTCTGATACAGCGCTGTAATAACATGGACAAAATGAAAATGATATGGGCTGGGGAAGAATGAGAGCTGCGTTATCGGACATTAATCAGGAGATTCTACAAGAGTCATATAGGTCTAGACTTTTTGTTTGGGGGATTGCGTGATGTTTTTGGAGTAATTTATCTTGGCTACTTGGCGGAACAGGTCAAGAGATCTTAGACCGTCTGGGCATAGACTCTACTGTATTGGAGTGGTACTGTAGTGTTGTAGTCGCACCAATTGATGTGACCCAATTGATCGCCCAATTAATAACCACCAATTATGCATCAAGTAACCATCAAGATAACCATAAACCTTGCACCCATTAATCAGTGGCGTTGCCTCCCTCCCTCTCTGCCCGTTTATCCTTCTCGGTGCCACCCGCCTGCCCTCTCTCTGGGGGTGGAGCCATACCATGTCCCCTCAACCACCCATGTAAACAAAAGTTCACTGCCATTTCGGGCAGCTCGTTTTGCTCCAATCCGGTTAGACAGCCACAGATAAGACTGGCGTCGCCAATCTTTGTAACGATTGTCGTAAAAAAAGGATCGTTTGTATCTCTTGCTTTTTTGGGAAGTCGTGTACCGAGGATTTCTTTGATGGTGGCACTTTTGAAACCGCCTCCCGAAAGAGTATGGACCTTGAGATAATTGCCCCATGCTGGTACTGCACTGCGACATAGATAAATATCCCATAACCCACGCCTAACTGCTCATGCTTTTGTCTTCTCAGCCAGCTTTCTTTTGGGGATCAACGATTCAAGTATTGAACTGAATCAAGCCAATCAAGCCAAAATGGTTGCCGAAACTGTCGTCCCGGACCGTGTCCCTGCGGACACCCTCCAGCCTGGCTACGATGAAAAGGAGCCTCACAACATCGACATGGACCTCAAGTCCGAGGCTGACAGCGAGGATGAGCGCATCACCGACTTGTTCTCCAGTTTCCCTCCTGCAAAGGGTGTCGAGCACGAGCCTAACCCTCTGACTGCTCGTGCCGTCATTGTCGGTATCGTTCTTGGTTCTCTTGTTAACGCTTCCAACGTCTACCTGGGTAAGCCTCCCCTACATCTGATATAATGCTTGTGATGTGGGTGCTAACGATTTGTAGGCCTCAAGACTGGTTTCACTTTCCCTGCTACCATGTTCGGCGCCATCTTCGGATACGGATTCATCCTCATGCTCACAAAAGCCCTCCCCAACATCCCCTTCCTCGGAGGCAAATTCGGACCCCAAGAAAACTCCATCGTCCAAGCCGCCGCCACCGGAGCCGGTGGTATGTCCGGAGTCTTCGTCGCTGGTCTGCCCGCCATGTACCGTCTCGACCTTCTCTCCGACGACCCCAAGAAGGATTTCGGCCGTATTCTCACCATCACTCTCGTCTGCGCCTTCTTCGGTCTCTTCGCTGCTGTTCCTCTCCGACGATTCTTCATCATCAATGTCGCTCGCGAGCTGAACCTTGTGTTCCCTACTCCTACCGCTACTGCTATGACTATCCGATCCATGCACGCTGTTGGATCTGGTGCTAATGATGCTATTCGCAAGATCAAGTCTCTTGGTATTGCTTTCATCATTGCCCTGCTCATCATCTGTGTTGGACAGTACGCTGATGGTATTCTTCACAACTGGCACATCTTCACTTGGTTCTACGCTTGGTCTGGATACACCGCTACTGGTCTCCTTGAGCCTGAGAACTGGGGTTGGTACATCCAGCTTACACCCGCTTTCTTCGGTTCTGGTATCCTCGTCGGTCTCAACGCTGCCTTCTCTTGGTGGGGTGGTACCGTCGTTGCCTGGGGTCTGATCGGTCCTCTTCTGGTCCACTACGGCGAGTGCATTGGTATCCAGGTTGGTGAGGGCAAGTGGGAAGGCATCACTCGATTCAGCGTCATGACCGGTGTCGACGACCCTGACTACGTTCCCTCCCCCCGATACTGGATGCTTTGGCCCGGTGTCATGGTTCTCATGGTCTACTCCCTCATTGAGTTCTTCCTCCACGGAAAGGTTGTCTACGACGGTTTCAAGTTTGCTGTCCACGAGTCTGCTCGCTCCATCAACAACCGCCTCGTCGCCCGTGGCACCCACAACTCTTGGTTCGCCAAGCAGGCCGCCAAGGCTGATGCCGACGGTGGTGTTGAGGACTTTGCTTCTGCTCAGGACCAGGTCCCCACCTGGGTCTGGGTCACTGGTACTATCGCTGCTCTCATCCTCGCCATGGTCGTCACCGAGGTCCAGTTCCACATGAACGCTGGTCTTGCTCTCCTAGCCTGTATCCTTGGTGTCGTCTTCGCTTTCATGTCTATCTACGGAGGTGCCGTCACTGACTGTGCTCCTCTCACTGCCTCCGCCAAGGCTTCCCAGCTTGTCTACGGTGGTATCACCAAGGGCAACTTCGACGTCAAGTCCGCCCAGCGAATCAACCTTGTCGCCGGTAACATTGCCTCTGGTACTGCTGATGTCGCCAACTCTCTTGTCAGCGACTTCCGCGTTGGTTTCCTCCTCAAGACTCCCCCCAAGCTGCAGTTCTACGCCCAGGCCATGGGAACTCTCGTCTCCGTCTTCCTTGCCCCTGGTATCTTTGTCCTGTTCATGTCTGCCTACCCTTGTGTCTTCAAGCCCAGCGATGATCCCGCGGATATCTGCCCCTTCGCTGCTCCCTCCGTCGCTGCTTGGCAGGCTGTTGCCACCGCTGTGACCATGCCCAGCATTCCCATCCCCAAGTCTTCCGCCTACTTCTCCATCGCCATGGGTATCCTCTGCGCTGTCCAGGCCATCGTCAAGCACTTCTGGCTCGTCGGATCCCGCGAGAAGTACCGTGACTGGCTCCCCAACTGGATGTCCGTCGGAGTCGCCTGGGTTCTTGGCCCTGACTCTGGCTACGCCAACGCCATTCTCTTCGGCTCCATCACCGCTTGGTGGTGGCGCAAGTGGTTCAACAACCACTTTGAGATGTACGCCTTTGCCATCGCTGCCGGATTGATCGCCGGTGAAGGTTTCGGTGGTGTCATCAACGCTGCCCTCGAGCTCGGCAAGGTTTCCGGTTCTTTCAAGGGAACTGAGATTGCTCTGCCCGGTGCTGAGTGGTAAATGCCATAAATAATAGTCTAGTTAATGCGTTATGAGCGTTTGAAAGGGTGGTGGTTGATGAGAAAGTTAGCGATAGTTTCATGATCAGTTCTATGTCAGTCAGATACGAGTATCTGCATATACCCAATAGATCAATAATTTGATAACCTACTCTTGCATACTTCAACGTGAATGATTTTTTTAATCTATTGAACCATGATTGCATGGAACTGTCCTGTCTGGCCGTTTGATTAGAGACAGTTGTGGCGAAATCGTCGAGGAGGACGTTGGTCGCCGTATCGGGAAACGTGGGTCATCGTCGGCCCGCCCCGCGAGATAACCCAATCGCCCTCTCTAAGCTTGAAGTGCATCGAACCAATGACTCAAATGCTAATCCAGAATGGCAGGAACTATCCACTGTATGTAAATCAATCCCAAGTCAAACATCGATCATGTAGGTGTTCGTTTCTCTTCACTCGGCTGGAACCTGACCAGGACAACTCAACATGTGATTCGTTTTTCGCTCTCGGACGATTCACTCGAACAAGGTTACAGTGGTGGACAACCTTCCTCTCATCTCATCTCCTGAATTGTGTTGATTTGAACTGTACCACTTGATGACTGACCTTCAAAAACCTTGAATAGATCTCATCTCCTGATCCGTCAGATAGCTGTGCCATTATTCGTTGTGTTGATTCAACCTGTACGCGTTAAGAGACGTGACTTTCAAAAGAGAAAACTTAGCTAGTCATCCATCAGACTAGCTTTTCTCAATGCCCTTACACTTCCAGCAAAACATCAGAAATTCTCTGCTTCCACGGAACCTTCTTTTTTTCCCTGCCTAAAGACAAGGTTTTGGCTGGGTATATAATGCCTCCCTCCTTCCCTTCTGTTCCTGTGCTCTTTCTTCCCGCAACATCAACCGCCTACGCTACCTGCCCCTCATCATCAACATACTCCATCCTACATCTTTACCCTCACACATCAATCACACCTCAACTTATATCATCACACTATGGCGTTGAACAGTCTTCAAATCAAACTGATCATCGGCACTTTCATCCTTATGGCCATCGATATCATCTGGTTCTACTTCCACGATATCCTGACCGACTGGTTCGATCGTTTGATCGCGCCATAGACTTCGCTTTCTTCTGGCCTCAAATCATCAGGTAGAGAGCATATATGATTGGTGTAGCACCATATACATCGACACAATCCGCAGGTATCTTCCATTAAACAATAAAATCCGAAATCATATTCTAAAGCCCTGCTTTGGCTGCAGTATGTAGACCATTTGTACAGTCTTTTCCACGTGGGTTAGCCCCTTTAGAGAGTAAAAGTTTGGCTATCTTGCTTTTATTATTAAGGAGAGAAAGATAAAGAGGAATAGCCAAAGTGTCTTGCGCGCTACTAGTAGTGTATAGAGGTAGGAGCCCGGCTACTATATCTATTATTCCATAGTATGCAGCAAAGGAAACAAGGTTAAGAGAAAGAAAGTATTGTATACTTTTAAGGAGTAAAAGTAAGAGGCTATTAATAAGACTAAAAGTCTAGGAAGGGGAAGATATTAGTAAGCGCAACCTCTTCCTTTTGCTCCATAGTGAAGTAGATGTTATAGAGATAAGCTCTAATAATACTAACGGTGAGTCTAAGCAGCGAGAGTCATTTGTAATAAAGCAGTTCCTCAAGGGCAAATATGGCGACGAAAAACCTTTAGCTGGGAAATGTTGTTTCGATGGGAGGTGAGAAGAGCGAGTAACAGCCGTTCACAGTCGGGATGATGGCATCATTATATAGCTGTATATGAGGTTCAGTGGAAGATTCTAATCAGCCTAGACTGTCCACTCGAATTAACCCATTCGCTGAAATATGGCCTAAGACAAGCCTACCAACAGATATAAGATATCTTATCTTATTATATTTACCGCATATGGAAACTATGGAAACTCGAATAAGTTGGCCACCCCCATAGAGCATTGGCAACTTATATGCGGCTGAAACTACTGTCCTTCCTTCTTAACTAACAAGCTAATGAACTTAGTATGTTCTGGCATATACTTTAAACCCTAACTAAAAAACAAGTGTATATAAAATAGGTTTTCTTAATATACTTCTTTTATTCCTTCTAAGTATACCTTTCTTACTACTTTTTACCCCTACTAAGGATAGTAAAGCTAGAAAGCCTTAGAAGGGAAATAGGGCTCTTTATTAGTTTATTAGTATAATAACTAAGGTTAGTACTACTAATAACAAGGATATATGTAATAAGATTGAGGCAGATCGTTAAGTCTTTCCAGCAACAGGCACTGGTTACGATATAGTCTATTACGTTCGTTTAACTTAATCCAGAAGAGTATGTAGTGGCTAATAAGAATATTAGATAGAAACCAGTATTCGAAACTAAATCATTTCACTTGCAACATGAATTCATATGGCTATTTGTTTTGAAGGACTAGAGCTATCCAACGGGGAGCCTTTTATACGAAATATATATATCGAATATAATTCCCTCCTCAGCTTCCTGCTACTTGCACCATCCTTCTGTGGGGGAAGCATCATTAGTACATTGAATAGAGGGGTAGGTTATACTCGGGCATACCCAGAAAACACTGACTTAGCAGCCGCGCATGCAAGAACCGTTGCAGCATCGGATACCTTGAACACAAGCAGAGCAGCCAGCTTGGCGAATGGCAAGCTCAAACTCCTCGCGTGTGACTAGTTTGCCCGGGATCTCGGGCTCGGGAAGAACAGCAGCCATGGCAACAGAGGCTGAGAAGAGGGCGAAGGCGACGGACAAGAACTTCATTTTGGTGTTGTGTGAGAGGATGAATGTTATGAAAAGATGTTTTGTGGTCAGAATGGTGAGATAGTTTGTGCAGGATATCTGCTGCCTTTTATGTCAAGAAACTACCTCCAAACCGCTTCCTTCTCGAGTACGACGGCGGTCACCGAGATCCGAGAACCTTCCGAGATGATTGGATAAGTGGTTCACTCCTCGATCCTTCTCGTACCGGGGCCAATAGCAGGTGATGATCATATCAATCAGTGGGACAACATGTCATATAAGCTTACTTTACAGTTACCGCTCGGCAAGTCTTGCAGTCAAGTAGACCAGACCTCGGACATGTTGGATGTAAAGGGTGAGGGGTTTAAATTTCTTCCATTGGGGGCGAGTCTTTGAACCCTGCTGGGGCCGGGACCTTGGGATTCCCTGTCGCCGGTCGGCTGATGTACCTATTCTAGCATGGAACACCAGGTTAACATGCCCAAGGCTTGTTATTATATCGACATGTTGGGTCTCCAGAGCTAGTCTGAGTGCTTCGTATAAATTGGCTGTGAAATCATTTCTTTGCTGTGGCCCACAGAAGGAAGAGGCGTATGGCGGGCGAACAAGCATAAATCTGACGACAGTCATGGTCGCTAAAGAAATATCCAGACTCCACTACTGGAGCAGTACTTCGGAAGTCACATGCGAACAATTTTGACTAGATTGAAATATTATGATGAGTGGTATTTCCACGCAGAATTACCAGGAGGAATCAAGGTAGTTCCAGGGTCACATCTGCCTCAATTTAGGCAACTTGGAAGTATGTGAATGAGGGACGTCTGACTTACTGACAGTCTTTGTTCCTGAAACACAATGCATCTAATCGTACAAACATCACCTGAGCCAGCAGTAGTACAACCATCACAGCACGAGTTGTAAGATATGCAAGATCAGAATTATTAGTTTCGATTTACTATCATTACCTACGGAGAGACTACATACATTAGCGTTTGGCGCCGTTTGCCATAATCAATTAGGGGACCCCTGCCAAACTCGCCATCAGCCCCAATGGCGTCCAAACTATTGGGTTAAGGTGCTACGCTAATGTACTAGATTGGGCTCTAGACCCGTCCTCAATCAATATTGTTAGGTTGAGGAGACAAAGTAACGGGTTGTAAACGAGAAAAAAAGGAGAAGTAAAGACAAGGTTGCAACTGCATTAAATAGAGGCGTTATCTCTTACCGTTTTCCAATCTATTTCGCCACCTTCTCAGTTTTTTTTTGCACGAGGATTGTCTAGCAGAGATGTCTCGTCATCTTGTTCGTTCGTTTATCTTGGCCACGGTCCTGAGCCCTCTCGTTAATGCAGGACCATGTCGCCCTTCTCAGATTTCCGCCTCAAGCGTTGCTGAGAGTTTGACCCAGAGTGCCTCATTGCCGGCAATTACGTCTTCTTCTGTCCTCACCGAGACGGGCTTGTACTCTGATACCACCTCCGAGGACACTTCTACCGCGATCTTTTCGACACATGACGAGCCCGACTACGAGACTGCGACTACCTCTGCTCTCTCGATAGTCGTCATTCTCACTACTAGCGAGACGATATCATCCCTTGCTGTCTCGACAGATACATACACGGCCTTTAGTGAGACGGAAACATTAACCGCGACAACCAATGACCATCTCCCGACAACTATGACTGATGCTTCTTCAACTACATCTGAGCCCGAGCCCGAGCCCAGCTGCAAAGATGGCTTCAAGAACCCCTTGCCCGAACACACTGTTTGTAACTTGAAGGGCGGCGCTACTGGAGATCTTACAAAGATTGCTGACGGCCCTGGCCTAGTTGATGGGGTGGAAGAATGTCGCGCCGCCTGCAAAGAGCTCGATGGCTGCGATTCATTTGTTCTCTTCAGTGGCCAGCCTTGCGCATTGTTCTCTGGTCGCCCTGACTTTGTATCTGTCGTCAGCTCTTCCTCAGTAACATGGTTCGATATGAACTGTTTTTGCGAAGAGGAAACCACGATGCCAGAGCCCCAACCTGAGCCTGAATCCAACTGCAAGAACAGCCTCAAGAATCCCCTTCCTGATGCTAAGATCTGCGGCAAGAAAGGCACCGCTACAGGTGGCGTTCAGTCCCTTGCTACTGGAGACAGGGGCTCGTTGGAGACGTGCTTCAAATCTTGCAAAAACAATCCCCAGTGCGAGTCTGTTGTCTGGAAGCAGGATCTACTCTGTACCTTATGGTCAGGCCGACCACTGGATGTACAGGCCTCTCAAGCGGACTCTGAGTGGTATGACATCGACTGTTTTTGCGAACAAGAGATCAAGGAAGACGAACCGAGCTGCAAACGTTCAGAGGATGCGGTTTGCGGAATAATGGGAGACGCACTTCCCACGATGCATTATTATGGTGAGGGACCTAAAGACTCGCTTATAGAATGCGCCGATGCTTGTAGTGCAAACGATAGTTGTGGCTTCTTTATGTTCGAGGATAAGATCTCTTGCGATATGTATACTGGTGTGCTTTCCCGTACAAATGGCAGGGCGACTTATCAGAAGTGGTATGACGCGACCTGCTTTTGCGGAGAGGAAATCCGCCCATTGGGCTAAGGGAGCCTGATGAAACTAGACTCGAGCCAAGTCGAATCGTCTCGAGAGCCCAGTTCAAGCAGGGAACATATATCTATAAACCACAGAACAGGCTCATATGAATAGTAGTGTTGGTCGAAAATGCTTTTTCACACGTGTAATGTAGCATATTGAACCCTCCACTTGACCTGGGCTGGAATAGGTAATAGTAATAAGAATAAGAGTGGTTTTACCCTCGGACTTCAACAACCAACAACATGTTGCATTAAATAAGGGTCCTGGATTGCACTAGACTGTGAACGCGACTCGGCTACATCTTCTTTTCGGCCGACTTGGCAACCTTGGCTCATCTTATTCCACGCGATCTCCTTGGCAGTCCCACTACAACGGGGTGATTGACACATGGTTTGATCACGACTGAAATCACAAACCATTTCCCTTTTATAATAAATAAGTTTGCCCTGAGGAAGGCAATTTCTATTTAACTTTCCTTCACTCAGTTGTCTTAGAGTCCGGAATCATACTACAATGTTGTTCTCTACGCTCCTTCTTACATCTCCCTTCGTCGGGGCTGTAAGCGCCTTTACTATATACAATGAGCTTTAGGCCAAGAACTGGATAGAGAAAGACCATTTAACCAAAGCTTGTGGCAAGGTTCTCTTGACCAACATCGACTGCGATAGCGATCTCGACGGCATGGGAACTACAGGCTGGCAAGGCTTGCTCGAAGATGATCAAAACTTAACCAGAACTAATGGTATCTGCGCCAAGAAGTGCGGCGATTCTCTCATGAAGTAGGTTGAAGCCTTAAACAAAGACTGCGCCGAGGAAGACTTTAAGGAGGGTGGTATCATGATCGAGGGCCAAAAACAACTTTGCGACAAGGATACCAAGACAGGAAAATATTGCAAAGGTCCGTCCACAAGGTGCTCTTTAAGTGCCGCTAAGTACTAACTCTTTTCTCAGAAATCATCGAGGAGTTTCCTTATATAGGCAATGATGTCGACAAGGAGTTGCCTCTCAAGTACCTCTGCGAGCCTTGCTATGTCAGACGTATCTGGTCACTCGATATTAGCCATTGTAGTCCCGCCAACGGCTAGATCGAGGATCAACGTGAACGCATAGACAAGGAATACCCCAAGTCAGTCTTGGCTGAGAAACCCGCAACAGCCGCCGCCGATAAGACTCTCACTACAACTGCGACGTCATCCAAGTTCTCAAAGGTTCCAACCACAGTCCAAAGTGGAGATGAGACCATCACTACCGCCGAGACCACCCCAACCTCAACAACCACATCGGCAGAAGTGACTGATTCTCCAAAGGACAGTCTAGGCGGCAAGGTTGAATCTGGCAAAGCCGGAAACTATTGGGGCTTCGTGCTTGTTCCGGGGTTGAATGTGTTTCGACTTTGAGGTTCAGGTGTTTCTTAAGTAAAGAGCAGAAATTAACTTCGCATAAGCCAATCTATGTAGGACCCAACGAGTGTGTCTGAGGGCCATGGAAACAATCCGAGCCACTGCCAATGCCTTCTCCTCTTCAAACCTTGGTGTAACAACCTGAACACCAACATGCCCTAAAACCTGAACTCGGTGTTTTCTGCTACCTCGTTGAAAGTACTTGATCTAATGACCAGCGGTACCTGGTCCCTTAATCTCAATCTCAAAACCTGTTGCTCGAAGGCGATCTACAAATGTCGCCCCCAGAGTTGAAGGGGTCAACAGACCAGCTTTCAACTGATGACCGTCTTTAATTTTGAGCTTATCGTTGATCGTCGCTGCTGCCTCGACAGCTAGAATGGCCACCATGTCAACCAACGCTCCTTGGAAGGCGAATCTGGAGAATGCTACTGGCTCTGGTGATCCATCAACGTAACCGACAGCCTTCCACCCTGCGCTTTCAGCCTTTCGACTTTCTGTTCGGTCTGGTCCTTCTCCCGGATTGAAAGACTTTCCTCGAAGAAATGTTCGGAGCCACGGAATGGCAAGCAGAATGATGCCTAGCTTGGTGACAAGGTGGATGCACGCTGCCGAGAGGAAGCCTTTTGCTGGACTATACTCTTTATAACAGAACCCTTTACTAAAGGTCTCTTGGTCCAGTGCTGCTGAACGTTGAACAACTGAATCATTTCCCCAAGCAACAAACGATATCGCCAGATGTCCGAGATATTTATCATAACGATATCCCAGCAAACCCTTGCCATTACCCTCCGTGAGCTTGGTATCAGGTAACAATACAAATGGATCAGAAGTCAGCCATGCCCCAATCCCATACGTTTCGGCGACGTCAAGAACAGTGTGCAACGAGCCACCCTGCATGCCAAGCATGGTCATCTTTCCATAGCCAAAAACCTCAGATGCTGCCGGCAAGTTATGAATGCCAATATATCGTGCGATGAGCCAGGCTGCAAGGTCGGACGGGGCACTAGATCCTGATATCGCTAGGATGATGGTTGCACCTGGTATCATGGTCATTTCATGATAGTTGTATATCACTTCAGCGACCCATAATGTCTCGGTGCTGAAATCGACATAATGGGTCCCATTTCGGGCACATGATTCCACCACTGGAGTTCCCAAGCGATGGTAAGGTCCAATTCCATTGATGATAACCTTGCTGTCCTCAACAATAGGATCAAGACCTTCTGAGTCTAGCCGAGGGATGATGTAGATGGTCGGGTGAAGTCGGTCTGGATTCATAGCACATAACGATTGACGCGAAGGTTCTAGCTTTTCTCGTGAACGGCCTGCGAAACACCATCCACGGTTTACATGAACCACCCTTTTTGCCATGCTGCGTTACGGGCAGCATATGATGTCCGTCGAATGGAAACGGCCGGAATCAATTGGACGAAGTACAGTCTTTCTCATTAAACAGAGCATTCTGCGGGACACGCCAATCCCAACAGCCATTTGCTTCTACAAATATAGTCGAGTGACCACGGGACAATACTCGGCGGCGAAGCAGCAGTTTACGCAAGGGAGATCCAAAACAAAATCAGAGGAGGCGAACCAGACCGCCCCTCGACGGGATCAAGGCGGATAATGGCTCTTGTCATGAAATCCACTCCGAACTAGATGGCTATGCACTGGGCCGTGCAGCTCGCCAATAAATTGAAATAGGTCCGGGTGTCGCATAGGTGCGACACATGGTGTTCTGGGTTCGGCGTTCGGCCATGGCGGGCCACATATGCCCGCTTGTGAAGCAGAGAGGTGCTTTAGATGGCCGATACCTTGACGGACAACTTAGTAAGGTCTCGAGACCTACGCTTCGGAAAAAATCAAGAACAGACTTTCCACAAGGCATTACAAATCTTCTTCCCACACATGACCTTTTTATGCCTTACCCGCACATAAGGTCTAGGCAGGCTACATGATGCCTGGCTTACTTCGCTCCGGGCTTTGTCGTGGTCCTTCCACCAACAGCAACTTTTCGCTGGCGTCGGAAGAGAAAAATTCGGTCGGCAGCTAGTAGTTTAGAAAATTCACAATAAAATATACACCTTAAACTTCACCGTACTTTTTGCAATTTTCAGTACCTTGAGCTGTGACGATATTCTTTCGGCCGAGGTCTCTGGTACTCATACATGATGTTCTTCCGGGTAGTTCATCTGCTTATAGATCTCAACCACCGAGCAGGAAATGATCTACAAATTCCCCGCGCTCGGTACATCTCCCACCGAGCTCACCAACCACCTGTTCGGATGTTAACGAATAGATTTCTTCCAGAATTCAACGTTACTTCTTGGCCGTTGTACTAGCAACCCCGGAATCGACTAATGCATTAAGCATAATTCTATCATAGGGCCGCCTCGTGGCAGCTGCATACCAACTTCCAATTTCATGAATTAGTTCTCTCCGAGGTGCATTAATCCTGGGGTCAAAAGTGCCGGGCTGAACCCTGTAAGACTAATGTTTTGACTTCTATAACTGGTGGAAATGGTCATATCCTTGTCGGCATTGCGGAGAGAGGCCCGGATCAGGTAGCTTCGGAGGCTAGATCGGTACATTCCCGTTTCGTGTAGATGTTGCCTTAATTCAGGGTGTTGATGATATGCGATGCATCGAGTAGATATAGAACCTCAGATCGCCAAGTTCTTGTGTCTTCTTGTCTTGTCTTGTCCCAAGGAACATCATCAACCATGAAGTTCTCTGCATCTTTCGCGGCTTTCGCCGCTGGAGCTTTCCAAGTCGTAGCTGGTCAAACAGTCTACTTCGCTGGTACGTCTCACCCTCTCTACCCGTCATGAACATGTTCTAATAACTTCTAGGTGACTCCACCATGGCAATAAGCGGCGCCAACGACGGTGCTACCGACGGCTGGGGCAACTACATCGGCAGATACCTAAAGGTCAACGCCGTCAACAAAGCCATCGGCGGCCGCTCAGCCCGATCCTACACCAACGAAGGCCGCTTCAACGAGATTATCAACCTCGTCAAGCCCGGCGACGTAGTCGTTATCGAATTCGGCCACAACGACGGCGGTTCACCCAACAAGAACGACAACGGCCGCTCTGACTGTCCCGGCACAGGCAAAGAAGTCTGCACCTCTGACAAGACAGGCGAAAAGGTGTACACCTTCGTCTTCTACCTCTCACAAGCTGCAAAGGCGCTCGTTGCCAAGGGCGCTCATGTTGTGCTTAGCACACAGACTCCTAACAACCAGTGGGAGACTGGCAAGTTCGAGCCTGGTGCGCCTCGATTTGTGGGATATGTTCCCATTGCGCATAGGGCTCTGGCTAGTTCTAGTGTTACTTGGGTTGACCACTTTGCTGCTGTTACCAAGATGTATCAGAAGCTTGGTAACCAGAAGGTTAACAGCTTGTACCCCAGGGATCACACTCATACTAGCCCCGAGGCTGCGGATTTGATTGCCAAGGCTTTTGTTCAGGCTATCAATGAGGAGATGAATGGACGAACTGGTCTTAAGTCTTTGATCAAGACTCCTGTTACCAACGTCTACTAGATGTGTCGAGAATTGGATATTATGGGGAAGTTCTGGAGATGAGTTATGATACGATGAGTATATATGATTAGTGTATATACGCCAATTGGCAAGCTATCAATCGATTACCATTCCCTTTGTCGTATAAATCCAAATCCAGTCCCGACTCATTCTAGTGACTGCCGTCTTGACAAACTCAGTCCTTAATTCCGAATAACCACTTCCTCCTTAACATACAATCCCTCCACCGCAACCTTGACCAGAAACTTCGCAGCACTAGCAGGCGTAATACTATCACTCATACTCATTCCAACTCCATTCTTCCCAAGGGTCACAACATCCTTCACACTCTCATCTTCATGCTCCAACTTGACAGGTCTAACAAGACTCCAATCCATCCCCGTCTTTCTAATCTCCTTATCCAACAAATTGTGATCCTCAAGCGCATACTTGATATTCGTCAACCCCATAAAAGCCCTACTCAAAAGCGGCAAATTCTCCCACGAATCACCCACGCCAGCCGTAGACATGACCACAATACGTGTAACACCAGCTTGCGACAGCACTTCGCAGAGGTTGGCGCATGAGTCTGCTAGCAAGCGAGGAGCGCCGACTTGGGCTGTGAAGGGACTGTCTGATTTGCGGGGTGTGTTGAGCGTGAAGATTGCTGCTGCGGGAAGTCTGGTGGCGATGGCTTTGCGGATGTCGTCTTTTGAGAGGGGAGAGCCGATGATTGTGGTGAGGTTTGGACTGGCTGTTAAGGAATCTGTGCGGACGAGGGCTGTTGCTGTGTGGTTTTGAGACAGGAGTTCGGATAGGACGTGTCTGCCTGTACGGCCTGTTGCCCCTAGGAGGAGGAAGTGCATGTTATGGATGGGAGACTGTGACAGCGAACAAGTGGATTTGTGTTCTCTCGGTTTCGTATAGTAACTTTTAAAGGTTGTGACAACGATAAAGAGAATAGATGTTGTGTTTTTGATGACGAAGAGAGATTGGAAGAGCGACTCATTTATACATTTCATTCATCACGAAGCTCAGAGTCAAAGTTGAGCTGTGATTGGTCCGTTCGCTCATGATGCTCTTCTGGAATAGCGTCACATTCTCACGATGGATCTTAGCACAGACGAACGGTTTTAGCGTCGCCGAGAGAAGCTCAGCCTCTGATTGGCTTGTTCGCTCAGTATACCACTGCTGTGATCTCAAACGAACCGCGGAGACGACTAAAATCTGTGCTTAGAAATCTACAATTTGTCTCAACTGATCACTTTTTCTGGCTTAGAAATCCATAGCGATGTGTTCAATATGAAGACCCTTTTATTCATGCCGTCCACTTTCTATACCCTTGCGCATATCATAATCTTTGAGCCGCTCGTTAATCTCATTCGCTACGGCTTGAATCTTTTCATTCTCAGCTTCCAATCTTCCCCCATAGTCCAAAGTCCCTAGTAGTACAACACGAAGGATGTAATGCAGTAGGGTTAAAAAGAGGTCGTTGACACTTCTTGTTTCTTCAGCCTCGATACCATTGTACCATTCTTCTAGTAAATCATGAAGACGCTGTCGCTCCTCAAGTAGTTGCCTAGCTTCACGCTCTGATTTGACAAACGACACGTTGTCAAGAAGCTGAATAGCGGAGTCTTCGATTCTTCTGATCCCAGTTCGCCTGTTCGGCGCAATCTTCCGATCAGCAGAGACCTCAGCGGGAGGCGTCATCATCGCGACCTCAGCAGTAGGTTGTTCCGTAAACTTGCAAGGCGCAGCAAGCATTTTGATTATAAAGACATCCAAAGATGGCAAATCCTTGTGCTTCGCCGGCATCAACACACTCCGGACCAAATATGGCCTCACACGGTATTCTCTCATAATATCCAACCCACGAACAATATGCATTCCCATAGCAGAGAAATTTCCCCGAACTTGCTCAACACTTATCAACACTTGACAACAAAGCAACGCCGACTTCAAAGTCTCGGGGCTTGGTGATGATAGATTTGATGCAAGACCTGATAACGCTTTGCTGTATTGTTGAAGACCATAATTATAGCTCAACGTCTGCTGTTCAGGGTCATCACCTGTTTCAAGATCTTCCCGTAGAGTCCGCAGACATAGAAGAGCATGACGGATCGATGAATCGTTTAGACTTGCTTGGAGGACTTGTTCGGCTTCTTGGGTACAGCTGACGTCCACGTTGAAGATTGTTTTGGTGGAGAAGTACCGGTTTAGGGATGTAGCATCTAGCGGAGCTGACTCTGGAGAGACCCTTGCCTTGGCGTCGCTTCGGGGAGCTGGACTGGCGAAAGATCTGAAGACCGATTCATACCCATCGCAAGTCCGACCCGTCTTGACACATTTCTGACAAAAAGGCTTAGCTTCATCACATTTGATCTTGCGGATCCTATCAAGTCAGCATAACCCTTTCACCACTAGCGCCTCAACTCACCTGCACGTCGCGCATCCCGTCTTGGTCTTTCTCCCACCCGCGCTCTGTTTCCGCATCACTATGTTTGAGAATGATGAAAAAGGGGACCTGAGCCAACAGACGAATGAAAGGTGAGAGTTTAGAAGGATTCAGGATGGATCGTGGTGGATATGATCGCCAGGTAAGCACTAACCCGATTAGGTTGAGGGAGCGAGCGGGCAAATGGTGGTTCATGGTTTGTGCCTAAACACCATGACAAATTCACGAAGGATTATGGAGCTCGCGTTTGAAATGGACTATGGAAAACTTTGAAAGACCGGTAATACGCGAGCGCGAAGTCGGAATATGCGGATTAGTGAACTTGAAAATATTTTCCTCATATAAAGTATCGCGAACTGATTGCTTTCTTAGGTCTCATCATCAATCATCTCTCTTCCATGTCATTTCCAAGATCTTTCTCAAGACTCATTAATACTTCCAAAATGCCTGCCTTTACTCTCTATGGCGCTCGTGGCTCCACCAACACTGATAGAGTCCGTTTGACCCTTGCAGAAGGTGGTTTCAACGATTATGAGTTTGTCTTACTTGACCTTGCAAAGGGCGAACAGAAGGTACCTCACCCAAGCATCTCTACTCAAATATTGCATACCTAACATAAACTGTAGTCAAAAGATCACTTCACTCGCCACCCGTGGGGCAAAGTCCCAGCAGTCACATTCCCCGATGGCTTCACCCTTTATGAATCTCGTGCAATCTGCACCTACCTTACCCGAAAATACTCCTTCCCCCTCCTCCCCTCACCAACAGACCTTGAAGCCTGCGCGCTTTTCGACCAAGCTCAATCTGTCGAAACACAGTACTTTGCAGAGCCTGCCGGCCGAATCGCCTTTGAGAAGTTCGCCAAGAAGTTCATCGGTATACCAGCTGATGAAAAGGTTGTGTCTGATTCGTTGAAAGCTGTGGAGGCGTTCTTTGATGTAGCGGAGAAGATGCTGGGAGGGAGAAAGTATATGGCTGGTGATGAGTTTACGCTTGTGGATTTGTATTATGTTCCGCTTGTTAAGAGGTTGTTTGTTTGTGGGTTTGGGGATGTTGTTACTGAGAGGAAGAATGTGGGGGAGTGGTGGGAGAGGGTTAGTGGAAGGCCTGCCGTGAAGGAGGTTATAGATGGATGATCGTCACAGCGATTATAGAAAGCATGGAGGGTCAGAACTCTACGTAGCTATTTGCCTTTTACTTCCTGTTTTACCACAATAGACTAAAGTCTCTAAGATCTAATTGACTTTTTGAAAGTCTGGTTTGAGATCAGCTCTGCAACTGCCTCCAGTAGTCAGAAGAGTCATTCTGGGGATCCTGGCAGCGACGTGATATGATAACATATACACCGCTGATGAAAACAACCGTTTACAATGAAGTAGTTGCGGTGTGATCATGATATCCTGGCAAATCATGTTGCCAAGACCGCCAAGCCCTTGTCCAGAAATTACTTCATGCGACATCACGCCAAATTACATGTCATCCAAAGCGACTGCACTTTTCCGAAGTCTTCATGATCGTTCATGGTCGGAAATGCATCTAATAGGACTTGATACTGATCACATTCAGTATATGAGACAGACTTTTGAGAATACGAGGAAGATTGCTGATTCAAAATGTCGTCAAAAGCCGATGTACCGTCCGAGTTCCGCGATTCGGGTAAAGTGCATGCATACATAATGAAGAACCACAGTCCTTCATCCCGTGTCAACAAGCGCACCTATCTCCATTAAATACAGTAAAAGCAACCAATAATCCGCTCCAATTAGCCACGACCTTCCCGATCAAGAAATCGGAGCTCGGAGCATTATAAGCATAAAGACAAGCGTCACCCGCAAGTCCACAATTATTTCCACGAATAATGGCTACTCACTGACACATTTGGTCTTGGATACTACATTCACAGGATATCTTACTGGAGGGATTTCTGGTAAGCCTTGGGGATGAATACCACCCCAAAGTTTAACGTCGTTGTTCAGAGATAATTGGAGAGTTCAGCCTTGGCAGGCAGGGTAGAGATCTAGAGCCACGGGCCAAGCCTTATGGAACTTTCAAATGGTGGTCAATGAAGATCATAAAAGGCCGGTTATTTCCCTTATGAATCCACTTTGAAGTTTCAGACTCAACTGGCATTTCAACATTCACCATGCACTTCTCAACTCTCGCCACTGTTCTAGCTACCGTCCCATCGACGCTTGCCTGCCTAGGCTACAGCGGCGGTCTTCCCAAGCACACCGGCACAAAGACTCTCAATGCGCCTCAGTACATTCCTCGCGGAACTACCTTTGATGCTGGCTGGGTAAAGTACGATCGCGGCGTCGCATGCACTGGCCAATCCGAAGGCGGTGAGTCTCCTCGGCCTCTTAGTCTTTAAACACCCACTAATAAAATCTCAGGCGAGAAAGACACAGTCTTCGTCCTTGAAGACGGCGCTAAGCTCCGTAACGTCATCATCGGCGCCAACCAACGCGAAGGCGTCTACTGCAAGGGCTCCTGCACACTCGAATTCGTCTGGTTCGAAGATGTCTGCGAAGACGCCATCTCAATTAAGGGCGGCGGCACAGCCAACATCATCGGTGGAGGCGCATTCAAAGCTGCAGACAAAATCATCCAGCACAACGGCTGTGGCCATGTGAATATTGTTAACTTCTACGCCAAGGACTATGGAAAGGTTTACCGATCTTGTGGAAACTGCAGTAACAACTGCAAGAGGAGTGTGCACATGGAGGGAACGACTGCTGTTAATGGTGGGGAGCTTATGGGCATTAACCTCAACTACGGTGACAAGGTGAGTTATCTGATGATGAGAGATGTGAAGGTTGCTAATTTTTGTAGGCTACTTACAGCAACAACTGCTACCCCAAGGTTCAGTGCCAGGGATACCAGGGTTGTGACAAGAAGAACGGTGCTTGTGAGCCCAAGAAGACCAACACTTGCTAAGCGACTACCTTGTCTCTTACAACGCTTGATTGGTATCTTTCCAAGTATCTAGGGCATGCTTGAGGCGGATGTGCTATGATTCGATGTGACGGGGATTCTATTCAATGTATATATGTCGGTAGAGTATGTCTCTGCCGGTCGCTGCTTACGTCGGTACATAACCAATCTATGATTACACGCGTTTGCCCACAGAATCTTCACCTTGAGGTTGCTTCCATGTGAAATTTTGTTTTATTGACAACTAAAACTCAGTGGAACGTGCTATTTGACGCTTTATAAGGATCATGCAAAGACCGACTATCCACTTCGACCTGACTTTCTACTATGATATGTCTTGCGCTCGAGTCATCATCGAGTCGATCCCAGTTTCCCTTCCCCGATACTTGAGAGCGCGTATGCCCACCAGGGCTAAGTGGATGGAGTGGCGTTGAACCATTATATGGTAGTTTCTGTCATGTTGTCAGTACTATCCGAGATGAATATGGGGAGGAGCAACTCACTGGCTTAGGTGTCCCCTTTGAACGGTTCATAGATCTAGTCAAGCAGCCACCGAATACCTTGAGCGATGGCAACGAGCACGCAATGATTGCCAGACTAGATTCTAGGACAGACCATAGAAGAAGTCTACCTTGGGCAACTAAGCACTATTAGTAACATCTCAGTCACAGACCGCTTCAACTCACCATAGTGATCATCAGGATATTTTCGTATATCAATATACCTGTACGAAATGATCCTCATAAGAGCAGCAATACTCGCCAAAACACCCAACCCCAGAACCGCCACAACAGCAACCTTACTCCTCCTCGTCATCTGCAACTTCCACACCACAAAGAAAGGCGTAGTAGCACAAGCCCAATCACTCGCCACCTGCGCCGCCGTACCCACGTAACTCAGATTCAAGAACCCATCCGCAGCTTTACATTCGCCCACCCCCGGATTCCAATATCCTTGGAATGGAACACAGTTGACGAAGAACCAGACCACACAGATACAGCTTGTTATGGCCATTATGCTCATGATTGTGTACATTATGTACTTGTACCGATGTTCGACGCAGATGTAGAGGATTGTTACTGCGATGGCGAATTTTGTTAGGGTGGAGGAGGCGTAGTAGATTAGTTCGTAGAGAATGAGGTATTCCATGCCGCGGACTGTGAGGAAGTTGCGGTTCGGGTGGGTGTCGAGGGTTTTGTCGGTTGCGCCGATGCCGTAGTGGACTGATAGGACGCCTAGAACGCTCGCTGGGATGTATGGGAGCTGGATGATGTTAGTTGTGTTTCTTGGCGATGATAATAGGTAATGGAGACTGGACTTACAAACCCAATCACTGCCAAATAATCATTCAACCTCCATTTCTGATCATTCTTGACCCTGAACGTCCTCACATAAGCTCTCAAACACACGACAGCCGTACAAATAATGCCGAATGTATAGATAAGAAGCTCGCAAACGGCGCCTAAGCCAGAAGGCTGTATCGGAAGGTGGGCATAGGCAATCTTGGCGATTTCCTCACCCGTGAGGCCATCCAAAGACTTGACAGCCATTGCGCAACGATATCCAAAAGCAAAAACAAACTGGGTTCACAGGACTGCACCGACTATATGGTTCACGTAGGTGATAGGCGAGAGGGACGTGGGGTGTTTTCGAGGGACTCAAACGCCGAGGTGGTATCCGGACTGGGGATATCACAGTTGAATGCTGCCTTACTGGAACAAAGGATCAACCTTAGCCTCGGATTGTGAAATGAGAATTTTTGTATCGTGTATCGTTATCATTGAGGAAAAAAAAAACAATAGCATTTTAGCTAGTGATCGATCAGATAGAAAGATTGTCACTTGTCAGTTCTTCATCTGCTGAATCTGCAGCAAATGTGATAACTCGAAAATCGTGCTTGTAGTTTCGTCAACGAAAGCTTGAGAAAGAAGGATCGGGAGTCGAGGAACAATGCAAAGTAGTGGACATTGTTCCACGTTATCTATTACATCACCAACAAAGGTACCTTGAACTGGGAAAGATGGATCACCGGGAAACACTAACAAACACAGGAACCAACAGCATATCAAAAGTCCTTCTAATCAAATTATCAGCTCACGGCGTGGATAAGATACCCTGTTCCCCGGCCGTTGAACCAACGCTGCTCCACTATCTCGGTAACATCGCTTAGATAGGCACTCCATCGAACCAACACAACAATACCGGCAGTGGGTCTTTTCCGAGCTTCCCCTTCCAGACCCTTAAACCTCATCTCCCCACTAAACTGATCCCATAGACCCTTCATGTCTCAAAATCATGTCGTTCCTTGCCAGCCCTGTCGCTCCGGCGCGTATACCCACGGATGAAGTCATTACCTTACATGCCTGGGATGATAGTCCGTTGTATAGAAGGATTGCGCTGTATAATTTGAAGGTATTTGATGATGTGCTTGATCCGGAGAAGTTGAGGGGGAGTTTGGAGAAGTTAGTTGCAGAGAGGACATGGAGAAAGTTGGGTGGACGATTGAGAAAAAAGGTATGTTCCATGCCGTCAAGTCTAGTTGAGAGTCACTGACAGAATTGCAGGACGATGGGTATCTTGAGTACCATATCCCAACGCAATTCAACAAAGAACGACCAGCGATCGCCTTCACTCACGTCAACTTAACCACGATCACAAAAGACGACCATCCAATCGCCTCCCGCCTACCCAAACCATCCTCCTACCCCTCCATAGTAGGCGATCCAGAAGAAACAGTATCTCTAGCCTGCGGTCGCGAATGTCCCACCTCCATCGACGACTATCTTTTTACAGACCGACCATCTTTGGGTCTCCACGTCGTCTCTTTCAAAGATGCGACGCTGGTCACATTACATTGGCTACATCTTGCTTGCGATGCGCTTGGCATGAAAGGCTTGGTAGATGGGTGGGTTTGTGCTATGAAGGGAATTCCCATACCGGAGCAACAGGGCTATGATTATGATCCATTGAAAGAACTTGGACGACATCCTAAGGAAGAGCATAATTTGGCGCATGAGAGGATGGGGACGGTATCGTTGATGAAGTATGTGGCTTGGAATGGATATAGTCTCGCCTTGGGCAAGAAGGAGACGCGTATGGTTTGCATACCGGGTTGGTTCCTAAAGCGACTTCATGCTACTGCTCTGGAGGAACTTGTCGTTGCTGGAGTTAAGAATCCCTACCTCACAGAAAACGACGTCCTTGTGGCCTGGTGGACACGCATCGCCCTATCCCATCTCCCTTCAGATTCCGATCGTCCAGTAACCATCCAAATCGGCATGTCCCTCCGCAAATCCCTCTCCAAAGACCTCCTCGACCCTGACAAACCCTTCATCTCCAACTGTTTCGGCTTCACAAACCTCCTCCTCCCCGCAAACACCATAAAACAGAACCCAACCAGCAAAACAGCCTTTCAACTCCGAACAGCACTTAATGAGCAAAGAACACGCGAGCAGGTAGAAGCATACCAAGCTATGGTCCTAGACTCCATCGCGCCTCTACCCGTATTCTTCGGCAATGGGAACACGTATCAGATTTCGTATACGAATTGGACGAAAGCTGGTTTGTTTCAAGCAGATTTTAGTGCTGTGACTGTGAAAGAGAGGAGTGAGCCGTTGTATGCTTCGTATATTGGGCATTGTCAGGTTCCGTTCAAGTTTCCGGAGGGGTTTGTTGTTGTTGGGAAGGATGTTAAGGAGAATACTTGGCTTTGTGCGTATCGGGTTGCGGGGTTGTGGGAGAGGGTTGAGAAAGAGTTGAAGTCTTTGAAAGATCTTGAGGAGATGAAATGAGTCAGTTTTACCAAGACAAGGATGAGGTAGTGGTTTGGACAATTCCACGTGCCAGTATCAAATAGATAGGCCTCACTTGCATGACATGTTTCGACTTCAGGTCACTGTTACAACGCGTCCAGGCGACAAAGCTCGTTTCGCTCAAACATAGATATTATTCTTCTATGCCTATCGGGTTCATTATTGCCTAAAATGGCTTTCAGAATGTCACTCATCCTCGAGATGATAAGATTGTGACTACGGGTACTTGTCATGTTGGTGGTAAGAAGAACAGGAGACCACAAGAACATCATCAAGGGAAGCCATTTTATACCTGATTAGGAGCTAACATTAGTGTATGGTATGACAGAATCTTGTGCACGTGAGTCGTAGTCCTACAGTTAACTCCAGTGCGGTGGATTGTCTTGATTCAGCCAGTTCATCCTAACTGCCTTGGTAGACACTCTAACAGATGACCATCAGATACGCTTCTCCTAACTTTCTGCAAGACATGTAGCACTTCCAGCTGATTACCAACGGTAGAATATAGCACGGCTGGTTGTGTTCAAGTACTTAGTTTCCATACTTAGTTTCCAGTACTCATCCATTACGCTGTAATAAAACTCAATGCACCACGTCTGGCCACCAGGGCCTTCCTCCAAGCGTCTCATGTAATTCGGTGTTGCTTTACATTAAAGTACTCATTTCTTCTTCGTTGACACTAAAGTTGAATCGTGTCAGATCCGTAGACAATCGCTAGCCCTTTTCCAGAAGTGCAAACTCAGAACAGGGAAAAGGATGATATGCAAACATCGAAGTCATGGTGGTTTGTGTGTGTACTCCGTTTGTCGGAGACGTCAACTGCAGATAAACCGAGTGTGTTGTGTTCTCATGAAGTGTAGTTTTGTACTAATCCGCTGTCGTTTGAGGTGCTCGTGGCCACATGATCGAGGGTTATAAAGGATCAGGAAAGTTTTATGCCGGGCTATGGGCCATTCGACCTGGATTGCAAAGTAGATGGACAGCTCAGTACCCCTCAATGTCCTCACTAACCACGCTCTTGAAAATTGGAAGACTCTTACGGCCGAGGGGATTCCATTGACTGCTCTGCATTAGGTAGTCTGTCTGGGATGCACTCCTTTCTTCCGTCCATAATAGTAGGTATATACCCCGTTGCCCTTCAGAAGATCAATAGCATAAGGTCGCACAGCTTGCATGCATAGCTACCCCCCAAAACATTCCAAAGGATCAATTATTGACCGTTCCACCTTTACCACAATACCCCCTTCCAATTCCCCATTTCTCATCATCCTTCTCGATCAGTGAAGTTGATTCCCTGTTTCGGACCTTTAGATCCGTATCACCCGATCTTTCAGCCGTTGTCAAAGCATCTCGTCGGCTGGGGGGTGCATGTCTTGAATTCTGGACGCTTTCTTTACTGGACGGCACAGTATTGGCCTAACTGCGAGACGAATGTCGTTGTCTCAACTCGACCGCCATCATCTACGGGTTCAGCATCAGTGGTAGCGGTGCTGCTGGCTTCAGCATCTGGGCTGTGATATCCCGCGAATTGGATTCCGTTGGGGCCCGGAACATTGCCGACCCAGTTATGTTGCTGGCGTCGATCGACCAAGTAGTAGAATAGGAGGATGGCCCGGTGGAGGTCCTCCATGAAGAACAAACCGGCGACAACTTGGTCCGTACCTCCTCCAATAAACTCAGGAGTGGGGAATCGATGTTCGTACTGAGTCATGTCGCGAGAATAGACACGATCAGGACGCCAGTCCTGGGAAGCAAACAACAACAGCTGAACAGCATGCACTAGCACAAAAGCTTCGGGGTGCACCTCCCTCTTCTCGTTCTGAAAGATATCCCTGCGTACGTGACGGAAATGCCAGTTTCTCGCAGGGATAAAGGTTGGCTTGGGGCAATAGCTCACCACCTGGTCGACGAAGGAGCGAATTGCTTGATTTTCGTGGTAGGCCTTGAGCAACTCGAGGGGACTGGGCTTGTCGAATGCGTCAGTGAAGTCGTACTGACCGACCCGACCTCTGTATCGCGGTCCGCCAGGGTTGTAGAAGTCATTTCGTTGGATGAACTTCTGGAAAGTTGAAACGTCTCCTGTCGCTCCTCTCTGGTGTTCCTAGACCAAAGAAAGGCGCTCATGGCCTGACAGGACTCCGATACCAACCCCGACTGGGTCGGAGGCAATAAATGCCGCTTCATGGACAATGTCGGGGACTGGATCATAAGAGTCAGTAACAACGTCGTATGGAAGGATTATGTATCATTTACCGATCATGTCGACGTAGGCAGTCAGCTCTTGGGTATCTCTGAAACCGCAGTACTGAGCCAGATATGCCGAGTCACCCTCAGCGGACCATGTATGATTGACCATCACGCCTAGGCCCCTTTGTTCCTTCAGTTCGTCTGAGCTCTCATCAACAGAGGCAGTTTGACCATGGTGAAAAGGCGTGAAAGTGGTGTGTTGCCCATATAGCCCGGGCAAGACTTGACCGTTGTATCTTTGGTCAATGTCGAAGAGGCGTACGACGCCCCAAAAGTCTCTGTGACCCTACTCAGGGTCTTTGATCTCAACCTGCTGATTCATTGTGTTGAAGGTGATTTGAGTCGAGACAGCTGACAATAATCCGGAACGCGAGCGGTTGAAAACCCTTTCCGATCGGTACCGTTCGGGATTATGGTATTGGAGGTTTCCACAATAAAGCTTTGTCACAATCCGGATCTCGAGCGCTCGAAAATCGTAGATATCAAGGTCTCAGCAATCGAGGAGAGACTGATGATGATGATGAAGGAAGAGGAAAAGAAGAGAAGGGATCAGGAGGGAGGAAGAGAGGTTTATATAGTCGAATTTGGACCATGCCGTAGCCCTAAGCCCCGAGCCCTCGAATGCACACACGGATAGAAGGAATAATCAATTAGCTTGTGTCAATATTATTATTGTCTTGATGAGGGCGTCGCGATGTGGTTGGCGAGTGAGTTGTGGTGTTGAGGCTGATGTTGATGTTGATGTGGCGGGGCATGATAAGTGGGGAGTGACTGAGTCCAATACCATGATAGCGTTGAAAGGATATGACATAAAATTTGATTATGTAAGATATATGTCAATGAGAAATAAGGGGGCAATGTTAAGAGGAGAGGTAGTCAAGTTCTTGTATGGTTAAGTATGGTAGCTAGCGTGGGTGTGTTGAGAGACTATAACTGGAAGTACCTATCCTGAAGATAAGATACGTAGGGACTATGATCGTTGTGATGTTTACTAATCTGTGAGAAAGGTATAACACATCTGTACTGATGGTGAGATGGTGAGAAAATGAAGGTTTATCAGAAAGGATAACTGTCGAATGACAGTTCGTGTGATGTTTTACTAAGTACGCATTGCGGGCATCTTTATCACCAGATGTGTCACAAGCAAACCACGAGTAGTGAGAAAGTGAACCAAAGTGCCCACAGTAGAAGACCCATTCAAGATCCGCAACTGATTATGCTTACAAAGCGAACTCCGAGGGATAAACCATCACATCGTAATGGTACTAGTATGTTAGGGAAGGTTAATATCTGTGGTTATTTACTTCTGTTGATTTGAACTGTACGACTTGATAACTGACCTTTAAAAACCTTAAATAGGGGCAGGGAAAAGAGAGAAGGAAAAAAGGCTCCGTGTAAGCGGAGGAAGTGAGGGAATTTGTTGAGAGTGTAAGTGTTTTCGGACTAACACATATCAAGTCTAGGTAGTTGACGGAAGCTTTGCCCCGTTCAGTATATCAGAGTCAATGGCATTTCTTTACCACAAGCCCGATCAGGATAATAAGCAATCACTTGCAACTTAACCACGAGCACGAGAAATAGCAGTCGCTTTATTAGACAACATGTCTTCAGCATCATCATTCATCACGAAGCAGAAGAAGCAAGCAAAAGAGAGCATCAAATGTGTGTAAGATACGGTGTCTTATTAATCTAAGAAATTATTTATCTAGAAGGTAATAAATAGGTGCAGGTAATAGGTGCATATCAAGATGATACACAGCGTATATATAAGTTTCCCCAATCCGTCATATACTCGTTTGCTCCGTACCGAGCAGTTGAATTAAAAAAGAATTTGTTGTTGGTATTTACAGGAAGAAAGCGACAATACCAGCAGCGAAGACAGCAGCCGAGATGCTACCGCCAACACGTCCAGCAGAGTTGATAACCTCAACAGGCTCGGAGGGAGTAGCAGCAGGAGGAGCAGGGTAAGTCTCAGCGGGCTTGGAAGGAGCAGGGACAACGGGAGCAGTCTCGGCAGGCTTGGTGGGAGCGGGAGGAGCGGGGTACTCAGGCTTCTCAGGCTCCTGGGGCTTCTCGGGCTGGGCAGGGTGCTCAGGCTCTTGGGGCTTCTCGGGTTGCTGAGGCTGCTCGGGCTTCTCGGGCTGCTCGGGCTGAGGAGGAGTGGGGTAGGTAGGGTGAGTCTCCTTAGGAGGCTGAGGAACAGGCTTGGTCTCCTTGGGAGGCTGGGGCTGCTCAGGGTGCTCGGGCTGCTCGGGCTGGTGAGGCTTCTCAGGCTCCTCGGGCTTGCCAGGGTGCTCAGGCTGAGTAGGCTTGCTGGGAACGGGAACGGGGACAGGGTATGTCTCCTTAGGAGGCTGAGGCTTAGGAGGAGTCCAGGTGCCGTTGCCAGGGTGAGGAGGCTGAACAACAGGGTGAGTCTCCTTGGGGGGCTGGACAACAGAGTGAGTCTCAGTCACAGGGCAGATGGTGGTGCCAACAACGTGAGTCTCGGTGGTGGTGTGAGGCTTCTCAGGGCAGTCAACAACATCAGGAGGGCACTTAGTGACAGTGGTGACCTTGGTGGTGTAGATGGTTGAGGTGGTCATGTGAGTGGTGGTCATCTGCTCAGGCTTGGTGTAGCTGGGCATGGTCTCGACGTTGGTGGGCTTGGTGGGGTGCTCCTCAGTGACAGGGCAGACCGTGGTGCCAACAATGTGAGTCTTGGTGGTGACGTGAGGCTTCTCGGGGCAGTCGGTAACCTCAGGAGGACACTTGGTGACAGTGTAGACATCAGTGGTGTAGATGGTGGAGGTGGTCATCTCAGTGGTCTCGTGTTGAGCAGGCTTGGTGTAGCTGGGCATGGTCTCGACATTGGTGGGCTTGTCGGGGTGCTCCTCGGTGACGGGGCAGACGGTGGTGCCGACGACGATGGTCTCAGTGGTGACATGAGGCTTCTCAGGGCAGTCGGTAACCTCAGGAGGGCACTTAGTGACGGTGTACACACCGGTGGTGTAGATGGTAGAGGTAGTCATCTCAGTGGTTCCGGGGTAACCAGGCTTGGTGTACGAAGGCTTGGTGTAGATGGGCTTCGTGTGGCTGGGCTTGGTAGCGGAAGGAGGAGGGTAAGGAGCCTCGTGTCCCTCAGTGGTGGTCTCCTCGGGAGGAGGGTACTCGCTGGTAGACTCAGCAGGAGGAGTGTAGTCGCTGGTGGTCTCCTCAGGTGGAGGGTAAACCTCAGTGGTGGTGTCCTTGGGAGGAGCATACTCGGTGGTAGTACCCTTGGGAGGAGGGACCTCAGTGGTGTCCTGGGGAGGAGGGTAGACCTGAGTAGTAGTATCCTTGGGAGGAGCGTACTCGGTGGTTACGCCGCCAGGAGGAGGGTAGACCTCAGTGGGCTGAGTCTCGTGAGGAGGAGGGACCTCAGTGGTATCCTCGGGAGGAGGGTGCTCACCTCCGGGAGGTCCAGGAGGAGGGTATTCACCACTAGGCTCGGTAGGCTTAGGAGGGTGAGGCTTGTCACCACCGGGAGGTCCGGGGGGAGGGTACTCGCCGCCGTGTCCGGGCTCAGTGGGCTTGGGAGGGTGCTCACCACCGGGAGGTCCAGGGGGAGGGTATTCACCGCTGGGCTCGGTAGGCTTAGGAGGGTGAGGCTTATCACCACCGGGAGGAGGGTACTCGCCACCGGGAGGAGGATGAGGCTTGTCGCCGCCAGGAGGACCGGGAGGAGGGTACTCGCCGGAGGGCTTGCTGGGCTCCGGGGGAGGGTACTGGTTGCTGGGAGGAGGGTAAGCTCCGTGAGCGGGCTCGGTAGGCTTGGGCTCCGGGACGGAGGGAACGGGCTCCTCCTGGCCGGGAAGAGGGTAGTGCCTCTTCTCGACGGCAGCGGCGTTAGCAACGGCAACGGCCGCGCTGAGAATAACAAGACCACGCATATTGTATTAGGTAAAGTTTAACGAGTGCTATAAAACGAGTGAAGACTGGTTAAACGAAAGGTGGGTGAGGAAAGGGAAGCAAACCAGAAAATGGGGAGATTGGGGAAAGGATTCTTATACATGCTGTCCCTCCTTCCTTTTCCATGTACCCCAAGAGATCTTATCATCTCCTTGGCTCGTCTGTCGGCCCAACTCCGCTCAGTCCCGGGTGTGAAATACGGGTTGGTCTCCATAGGTATCCTGGTAACGTGATGTCATCCTTGTCAAGTTGTCAACAAGGGGGCTGAGGTTGGCGGGTGCAGTTCGAGTGGATATTGAGGACAAGACGAAAAGGGACTCCATAATAACCATGTCGAGAATCACGATGTTGCAACATTTCGGATGTGACGGCGAGTCGAGATCCTGGTTCCTGGACACATCGTGTTCGTCTAATACGGTTAATTAAGACCCAAAAGCGGTTGCTTCTAGAGCCTCCGCCATTGGTCAACTTCCCACTCGTAACGGTTTTATTTTAGGTCGCCTTAATTAAAACGCCACTACCAATTGTAACCTCTGCGGTCCAGGAACCGTATAGCTAAACCTGCGGGGTAGAAGATAGAGCTAGAAAACCCCTGTCTCCTGCCTTAGACTACCACCATGATCTGACGCCGGCGTTGGTTGGATGGGTAAGGAACTTTTTTGCGATCTGCGGGCGACAGAATCCCTTGTCACAATGGCACAATTATATTGGGCGTCTACCAGTTGCTACAGCAAGCTTCGTGGGGCTGGTCTGCCACTTGGCTACATACACGAGGTGGAAAAGTTCCCTGTAGATCTTTACCGGTTGTCCACTAAAATCTCGCGTGCATACCCAGTAAACGTCCTTGGCCAGCAAGATTCTCCTCATTTGTTAGGCATTGCGAGTGACGGTGGAGAAGAAGCAAAAACCAACCGGTGGACATCGGAGTCAGCGAAGCCGTTAACCTTTTATGTGTAATTCCAAGCTTCATCGTAAATGTACCCTTGTTGATTTGGTGATCAAGACCGTATTTGATGTTACTTCCGAGATTGGATCCCTGCTTCGAATCAATCCCACTAAAATGCGCTATACGACGCTGAGTCAACATGGTTACGATGGGACCAGTCCTTTCTTTTCTCAACAGAAGCATCAATTATCATCATGGCATAGTCAGAGGTTTATCATCGTTCGCGAATAAATCTACGTTTGTTGAATATGCCGAGACAACCTTATCGACACGCGGCTTTGAAAAGCTTGAGTCTGTTCCTGCATGGGTCTCCATGTCTCATTGGATGTACTCCTCTTTGCACATGGCATGAGTTGTTCTTCAATTGACTGTGCGACATCCACAAATTGTCCCCAGATAAATGCATGCACTTATTCATTCAATGCGAATTGTCAGGCAAGCCAGAAGCACTGATGACCAGAGTTGAATGCAACCACTCTGCAGATTGAGCATTCATGTGCAGTGGGATAAGACGATAAAAGCACTGAGCCAACAAACAAGCTTCAGGGTAGAATGTAAGCATCGTATCATGGTTAATTGGACGAACACGAGTTTCTCACTGTCCTCGGCCGATATTGCCGAACCCGCGAGCTTGGCCAACGGCTCCACGTATCACCACATCATGACGGGAATCGATCAGAAAATCAAGGATAAAATATGGATCATAAAAACGTCCATTAGTAAACACCAAGCCTCAAGCCAAGATCATCGTTCTTCTGATTGAAAAGTGTACGATTGAGGCTTTTTTGTCGTGGTCGTTGACGTCAAGTTCTTTGGTACATGCAACCAACTCGTGGAATACGAACTCAAATTCTGAGCCTAAGTCGCTTGGTGTAAAGATCAACACGCGGTCCAAGATTTAGTCCGTATAGCAGATGAAAAACAAAACAGCGACCGATTGACGAGCGGTGGTCGATGATTGTGATCAGCTGTACCATGAAAGAAACGAAGTAAACGAAGTAGGGCTGTCTAGCTGTCAAGGTGCAAGCTCGAGCCGCCGTGAGGCTCTCATCATAGCGCCATCTATTTATACCAAACGAGAGAAGGGTCGGGTCAGGTCACATTCACCGTATTCCCATTTCTTTTTAAAATTTAATTCCCATCCCGTGTGTGAATGTCACGTTACCTCCAGAACAGCCGCCAAGGACTGTCTCTCTGCAAACCCCTTTTGCCCAACACCATCACAAACCAAACAGAGAAACTGCTGCTTACTTTTTGCTGTAGAACCACTGTAATTTTCAGTTCTAGCCTTCTAGAGGCAGTAAGAACTGCGATCGACAGGGGCTCGTTTCATGTGGATGGTGGATATCCGCGGCCGGACTCGAAGAGGCTAGTTCTCGTATTTCATCTGTACTATGATGGTTTGGGTTAAAGCGGAATATGCTGAGCCGAGGCTTGATGGGTTAATCGGCCGAGCGTTGACTTACGAAAGCATTTTTGCCTTAATGTGAAGTGAGATGAGATGAGAGTGATCGACATGAGTGAGACTCACTGAGTGAGATATGAGTGAGATGAGACATGGACTTTAGTGAGATTTGACGCTCAGTCAGATGTGAAGATTAGTGAGATTTACTGTGGCTTTGACTGAGATTGAGATAAGCGACGGTATTTCCTCTTATGATTGTCGATAAGATAAGATAAGATAGATGAGTATCTTAACATGACGATTGGATGCCCTTTACATGCTCTCAAGCCGGAGACCGTCTCATTGACTCCAGCGACGCATCGTCATTCTCATTAGACTCGTAGGTCTCACTGATATATCTCTCAAAGCTCTAGTCTGGAGGAAGACTTGAAACCCGTTGGTGACATGAGAAAAGATTTGTTGTTTTTGTGTGCACCCCTTCGTGAATATGCTCGACGGATCTGTTGTCGCTAAGAGCTGGATAGTTATTCATGGATCACATTGATATACTGTGAGATCACGTCAACTCTTGTAATCGAATTCCATTTTTTAATAGACAAGGTCATATGAATTGCGTGATGGATTGTCATCATGGTGTTTATCTTATGTAGGATTGCGTACTGCTTCGTACAAACTCTAGGGTAGTGATCTTGAACATGATGAGAACGCGATGATGTGATAAATGCGATGAGAGACACATGGACCTATTTCATGGCATTACTTCTCATCTGAGATTGAGTCATAGAATCCATCCTATCCGTCTGACTATTTCTCTACAACCTCGCCTTCAGCAAATTCTTTGCCGTACATCTTGACCAGTCCAAGCTTACACGCGAGATATCCTCCGAAACTCTACACTCACGCGCAAACGATCAAGAACCCATCAAGATAGATAGCGTCAAGCTCATACCTCATACTCTAGAAGCTTACTAAATGCGACAAGTCGGTGTTTTCGAGGATATAATATACGCGTCAGACTTGGCGAACCCTGGAGTATTGTCTCCGGCACAAGCCACATTTCTCCAGCGGCCGCTTGCAGGAGCAAACATCCCAGAACCATGGATAGAGGCTGACACATTAAACTTTGTGCGCCTAGTTTTGGCGGGGGTTGTATTTCCTGCAATAACTGTTCTGGCATTCCGAGGTAAGAAACGGCACTTTGCCCTTAAGTTACAACCCACGCAAGGATGTATCTTCAATAGTTCCGCGATTATGCGCACACGTTTCGTTGTATCAACCATCAAGATCGGTTTATGCACATGTCTATTTGTGCTTTTTTGAGTGGCCCAACTATTATCGCGTACACAGCCTACGGTACGCGTATAGGTAAGTAGATCTACCGGTGGCAAGTAGCTGCATATCGTAAAGCTTGAGTATTGCCATTGGAAAAGACCCTGTGGCTGGAAATCAATACATGCCATTCACTACCGCGACGATTTACAATGTGTCTTGGACATAGATCAAGATAGTTATTGGCTCTTGCTGGAACATGAAGCTCCAACATCTTGACGGATCAGGCCTTGTCAGCCACCTGGGTGTTCGGCGAAGTGAATCTACTCCCCAACCGTACTGCCCACGTGGAACACATCCTCACCATGAGCCACAACCCAAATCCACGATTCAACGTGTCACACTCATTCCAACTGAAGTAATCCAGATTCCCTGCAACTATTGCCACGAGCTTGAGGTCTACCACCAACACGACGATCCGGTTTAAATATAGTGTTTGGAGAGAACACAGAACTTGCCAAGCCCATGGTAGCATGTCCCGAAAGCGCGGTTTCGGATCCAGCTGTCAGATCTACATCAAAAGTTTTGCTCAGAAGCTATACGCCACATGATCTGACTCGAGCGGACGTCCCTGAGAGGCTGACTGTAGATGGCCAACCTGAACCTTTCCTCCTCTCATCGCCCCCCAAACCCCAAATCAATGGCGTTAATTATTTCCCAGCGGCCGCGCCAACGGGTTGAAACAGGGTCCAGATCGTCAGCTAGGGCTGAAGCTGGGTGTAGTCCGGAAACAGTTGCTCTGTAACTTTCACGTAGCATTCCAGACGGATCCAATCGCGTCTTTGTATGCTGGCGGATAGCGTTCCGGACCGGTGCGTTGGGGCACTAGCTTCTTGACAGCGGATAAGATGTGGTCAATGTGGTGCCTATAGGGAATAGTGCGCCGCATGAGGATTGGTATATTGAGCTGAACTGGATATGGCATGGGATCTAACGCAGGAACCTAATCTCCAAACCAGATAAATGTTGTTCGTATTTTGTATCCCTGATCGATATCCAGCACATTGGCATATGTTTCAGAGAAAGATTATCGCCATGAGCACTACGGATGAGCAAGAGGGATATATATCTATAATCATCCGTTAACCCGATGATGTCTCAAACCAATCTCGCCTAACCCGCTGTGGCGCATAGGAATGCACTTACATTCCACCACATTCCAACCACGGCACACTCTTAGCCTTGGCAGGGCATACTACCATGTTTTAGGAAGTGCGTTCCTGACGGAGCTGAAGAATTGTTAGCTTTGCTTTTTGTGATCGATCACCTTGTGATGAACTTAGATGCAGCCACTACCGGATATAGCACCAACAAATGTCTCAGCTTGGATGGTGATAAGACCATTCCACGCCCCCCGCTTGTCTTGTCTTTATTTCTCTCGTTTCTTTTATTTCCTTCACTTAACTGTTGATGGAAAGAGCGTTACTTTCAACATGGCGCTTGTGAAGCGTCTCGTCTTTTTGATGGTGCTGGCAAGAGGTGCTGCTGCGCAGAGTCTTGCTTCGGTACTTTCAGATGCACCACAATGTGCTGTACGTCACCACCCACTGCCTGGGACGAATGCGACTATTGAACAATAGCTGATGGGGTTACAGGCCGACTGCTTGATCACGATATTCAGCCAACCTGCTTTTGCGGGGAAGAACCAGAGCGCTATCTGCGACGACAAGCAATTCGCCGATGCGATAGGTGATTGTCTAACGGCGAAATGCACGGTACGACAAACTTTGGATTTTATTAAAATGTCAGCGGCGGTATGCGGAATCGAACCGACGGATAATATCCTCCTATACCGAACGGTTATTCTTACCATGGCTGCGTTTGCTCTTGTGTTCTTTGCTCTGAGGGTGTTGACGACGGTCAAGTTGAAGTTGAGATGGGCTTTGGACGATACTTTGACTGCGGCGTCGTTTATACTTATGATTCCTACCGTGGTACTATTACAGTTCAGTGAGTCATTCTGCGAAGTTGAACCGCCATTTGGCTGACTGGATAGTGATTAAAAACGGCCTTGGACTCGATATATGGTATCTCTCCGACTACGAAATAACAGAAGGCTTCAGGCTCTTCTTCTTCCTCGAACTATGCTACCTGGCAGCCTTAATGCTCGTCAAAGCCGCGATCCTCTGCTTCTTCCTACGAATCTTCCCCGACAACAAATTCCGCATCGTAACAAAATTCACCATAGCTTTCAACGTCCTCACCGGTGTCACGTTCTTTATACTGACATTCTTTCAAACACAACCGTTGAGCTTCTTTTGGGTGGGATGGCAGACGAAGGAGTCGAAACGGGTCATGACGGGAATTATACGACTTACGATGCCCCATGCGGCATTAAATCTGGCGTTAGATGTTTGGATGCTTGTTTTGCCGCTAAGTCAACTCTGGGGCGTTGGATTGAAGTTTAAGAAGAAGTTGGGTGTTATTGCCATGTTTAGCGTTGGTATCTTGTAAGTCAAAATGCTGCTTGGGTCATGACTGTACTAATCATCAACAGCCTCACGATTGTCGCCGCCATTAGAGTCCACGAACTAGTACTCTTTGCAAGTTCACGCGACTTGACAGGTACGTCTCAACCCTCAGTCTAACATTCAATACTGACTATATAGTCATCAACGCTCAAAAGGCCATGATCTGGTCCAGCGTCGAGATTTGCGTGGGCGTCATGGTAGCTTGCATGCCACACATCCGCAATTTAGTCCGCCACATGCGATCCCGACACCGCGAAAAGAAAGGCACCGAAAAAGGACCCGGTAGCGAACAAATATTCGTCGATAGATCGCTTGCGACAATAACAGTAGACGAAGCGACATCGCGACCAGAAAATGATGAGGAGAAGGGTACGAAAGCGTCACGGACGATGACCAGTACAACAGCTGCTGGGACGACGAGTATACATACAGGATCAATTAGTTTTGCAAGCGATGCAGATACACAAGTTTAGCCATAGCATAGCGATTTTATTATTAGATATTAAACTGTTTTGATGTTTTATTCCCGCGTTTGTCGCTATCGAGATGACAGACGGGATCGACCGCACTAAAACTTGGTCAGTGTCGGTAAATTTTCTAGCGCCATCTGATAAACAGTGCACTAAAGAGTCCTGGAGTTTAGTGGTGAAACTACTGCAAAGGAACAGAGGTCCACAGTAGAGAGAAACAAAACAGCTCAGATCACAGTGACAGACAGGGGGAAAAAGAGACATGCAATTGAGGTCATCATGTAATTGTCATTACTATATTATTTTTGGTATCGTAAGGTCATTAAGAGATGCCCATTTATCGGCAGGTGTATCCACCGTCAATGATGAGATCGCTACCAGTAGTGTAGGTAGAAGCATCAGAAAGGAAGTAAACGTAAGCAGCCTTGAGCTCCTTGGCGTCACCGTTGCGACCCATGGGGATCATGCCCTTCCAGAGGTTCTGGGTCTCCTGGTCGACAAAGTCGGAGAGGCCAGTGTCGATGTATCCGGGGGAGATGGAGTTGACACGGGCAAAGTCGCGCCACTCGTTGGCGAGAGAGCGAGCCATGTGGATGCAGCCAGCCTTGGCGACGTTGTAAGAGGTCTGCTCTTGAGGGTAGTTGGCGATGTGGCCGGACATGGAGGAGGTGATAACGAAGGAGCCGTGGCCCTGCTTCTTGAAGACGGCGCCGACGGCCTTGGCGCAGTAGGCTGTGCCGTTGAGGTCGATCTGGATAACGTGGTCCCAGTCGGAGGCAGAGCCGTCGATGACACCAGCGTTGGCAGTAGCACCGGCGCTGTAGAAGTTAGCATCAATCCCAACCGTCAATGGGATACAATTGAAGGGCACTTACTTGGCGACGAAACCGTCAATTCGGCCAAAGTCGTTCATGACCTCACCAACAAATCGCTCAACATCATTGTAGTCGGCAGCGTTAAGCTTGTAAGCCTTGGCCTTGACACCGTACTCCTTGGTGAGCTCCTCGACGTTCTTGTCGGCGCCCTCCTTGCGGGAAGCGTAGGTGATGGCGATGTCGGCGCCCATCTCAGCGGCACCGCGGGCAGCCTCGATGCCCATGCCGCGGGGGCCGGAAGCGCCAGTGACGACGACGACCTTGCCCTTGAGGCTCATGAGGTCGATGAGCTTGTTGGCCTTGGGGATTTCTTGAACCATGTTTGCGGTGTTGGGTATTTTATTTGGTAGGGTGGGAAGATTGATGAGAGATTGTATGAATGAGGAGATGGGAAGAAGGAGGGAGAGGTTAGACTATTTGTACAAAGCCATGGGGTGATAATGCCGAGAGTGTAAAAGCAGCATTGGTACATGCATTGGATGTTGGTGTTTTGGTGGGTGGGATGGATGGGTCCAGTGATGTCATGGAAGTTAAGAGCAGACATGTCCCGAGTCTGTTGTCTACATCGCCGATTGATCCATAATAATTGATGGAGAATTGAGCTGTGACAGTTAAATCTCCAGTCTAACCGTTCAATAATGTCCGGTAGTGAACAAACTCGAATCTTCCAAGGATTGATGCCAGTGCTGATGCCCCTCCAAAGACAGACGCGTCGAGGGGTAATTTGTTGTGTTGTGTTGGGTGAACACACAGTTACACCACATCCGGTGGGAACGAATAAGACATGATCCAACGTTTTTTTCTGTTCTGTTCCTGTTTTGTAATCTACCAATTGGATTACTCTGTAGGTGATTGACTTTTTACATGGCGCGACGTGTGGTTGACTACCTACCTACCGTGCATACAAAACACCACCTTCAGACCAGGCGTGGCGGGGTAATTCAGCTTCACTTCATGGGGGTCACGACTCAATTCTCGATGCGATCGCTGTATCAACGAATATTGTTTACTTTCAATGGGCCATTTCATCATTGATCCATAATACAGTTCTATAATACCTGTGTTTGCTGTGCTGTAACTGACTCTTTCTACAAAATACCACCGAGAAAGTAGCCCCGCGTGTGGATATCATCAAGCGTCATTCTCCCGTCTCTCTTCCTTGCTTAACCGCATCAAACCCCGCAGAACGGCCGGGCTTCACCGCTCCTAAAGAAGTTTAGTTCAACAATTGAGTCTGTGTCTTTACCTTGTTGGACCAGTGAATGAATGGGTGGACGCGTTGCTTGGACGTGTTGGCGCATCAGACGATTTGTTGCTGGGCTGATTGATGGAGGGGTTGGTGATGGATCATCAATCCCGGTCCGACAGAGCTTACCCTGGACAAGACAAATGATGAGTTAATACACTACCAATGCTTACAGAGTCTTGGTAGATATGAGTAATTAATTGACACTGTAAAGTCATCCATCATTAATTAAAGTCATCAGTTAGCAATTGAGAGTCATCAATCGTAACGGCCTACAAACACAAGACAAAGCAGACAAACATCATGGATGCTGCATTCAAGGCGGGGTACAACGGTCATAGTCAATGTCTCAGCCATGTTGAGAATGCACATGCAAATTGATGAGCCAAACAATCTATTCCAGGGATTATTGAACCCTTACTACAGCAACCCATCGCCGCTTTAACGTTATCATAATCTAAATCTAAATCAGGTATCGGAAATCCCGCTTCATCCTCAATGCCTCATCAGGACTATCCATAACCTCAACCGCCGCCGTATGCGCCGCAACATCCTGTCTCGTCTCCCAAGCATTCGCCTCACCAGCCTCCAACTTCTTGTTCAGATCAATCAGAACAAGTCGGAAGATATAACATCCGAGCACTGTAACGCCAAACATGGACAGAACGATACCATAACTCTTGCGGTAGCCGTTCTCCTTCAGATCCCACACGTAAGAGCCTGCGACGTTGCCCAATTGACTGAACGCGTTGATCATGGCAATCGCGACAGCGCGCTTGGCGGGAGGACGAGGGAATGATGAAGAAATCCACGAGTAGAAAACGATGAAGCCTGCGTAGGATGAAGCTTGCAGGAAGAGTGCCAAGTATCGCGCTGCGACAGCTTCGGTGGCCATGCTGATGATGAAACCGATCGTTCCGATACCAATTGGACCGACAATATGCCAGAACTATTTATTGTTAGTATTGTATCAATTGATGCGACACCAAAAAACTAACCTTTTCTTCTGTCTTGTCCGAATGCCAAGCGTTGATGACGGAGACGATACAAGAGAAGACCCATGGAGGGGCACTCATGAGAAGGGTAGGCACGTAACCGAATCCCAGCGTCTGCGTCAAAGAAGGCTGTTCAATCGTTAGCAACACATCACATCAATTATTTGACGGTAAAAAACTTACGAAAAATGCGTTGAAAGACAATCCGACGACGTACGCGGTAAAGGTAAGCATCATGATATAAATCTTGACATCCTTAACCGCAAGCTTCAATCCGTAAAACGCGCTCTCCTCAGCAGAATCCTCATCAGCCTCACCAACATCCTCCACCATTCTCAACTGCGCAACCTGGCGCTCCTCCTCGGTGAATCCACGCGAGTTATGAGGAAGATCAGGCAGAATAAACGCAGCGGATACAGCGACACCCATGGTGATGGCGCCTTCGATCCAGAACAGCCAGCGCCATGCTGCGTGGCCTAGCACGCCTTGCATATTGGACAAAACACCCGCGCCGACAAGAGCGGAGAAGGCGTTGGAGATGAGGTTACCGCAGAACAGGATCGCATTGCGCTTGGTCAATTCGCGACGGGTGTACCATTTCGACAGAATGAGTAGCGCACCGGGTAGGAAAGCAGCTTCAACAAATCCCAAGAAGAAACGAATGCAGACCATACCCGCAAAATTATGCACACTACCACTCAACGTGGAAATAAGACCCCAAAGCAACATGGCAGCCGCAATATATAGACTCGGGCGCTGAATGCGATTGATGAACATGTTGGAGGGCACCTGCATGAGAATGTATCCGACATACAGAATACTCAAGCAAGTAGCGTATTGGTTGTAGGAGAGGTTCAAATCTTCTTGAAGACCCTTGAGACGCGCGGCGGCCATGTTGTTTCGGTCGAGGTAGTTCATGATGTAGATGAGCACGAAGAGGGCGCAGCGCGTGTCGAGCTTGCGCTTCATGCGCTTTTCGACGGCGGCGCGATGCTGCGAGTCCATTGCGAGGGCGGCGGCACGGGCATTTTGGGCGGATTCGATGGATGTTTTGGCTGTCGCCGTGTGATCGTCTGGCTTTTGGTCTGCCATGGTGAATACACTGGCGGATAGTTAACTCGCCTCGTAGCACAACACCTAGAGAACTGAAGAGGTATGTGTTGAATCAGTTGGGAATGGTAGCATTTATGAACAAATGGTTCCCCGACATGTTACATCATCCTCACCCCGGAGAAAGAGCAAGAAAAAAACATGGGGAAAGGGATTTATCCGCTAAGCTTGACTCAACTTGGCCGAGGTTGATCCCCCAGATTGGTTTGTCGGTTGACTGTCACCCTCGCTTCAAAGTCAAGATGCAAAATTTGAGTGTCACACTTTTTAGAGCAGGGACCAATTATTACAGGGCTTGTGGAGTGGTGGTGCTGTAGATCTTGTCCTTGTACAGCGTGGGGATGGTCAGTACTGAACCAATTCAGCGCATTGCAGAAGGGGAAGAGGATGCTGTTACGGACTGTTCAACAGAGCTGATTGATTGATGTGATAAACATTTCTTATTAAAGTAAAGTTATTAGACTATCACATCCCGTTTAACTACCGCAAAGGATTATTTCTCCTCATCTTTAGGTGTCTTGTTGGAGAGAATGCGGAGACTCCGCAAAAAATGAGGGGAACAACCCAACCCCCGAGCAAATAAAAGGCCCGAATACACACGAGACCACCACACACAGCCAAACTCCCAGTCTCAGTGAACTCTCGGACAGCAGAATTATTGCCCGTGGGGAAATAATATTACAGTGGAGAAATGGTTGGGGAAAGAATTGGAGACAACGAGGTTCCGTGCTGGGGATTGAGTTTTAGGTATGGGGAGGTTTAGCTAATGGGGAGGGTGAGTGTCGACCGAACCGGGAATTGACGGTAAGAGTATTAGTCCCAATGCCATGGAATGGGTACGAGTATTCAATAGATCTGCATTAATTCAAGATCTTGTTGAGTGTCGGCTTGGTTATTCACTTCCCCGGTTGTGGATTGGAGAGGGTGACTGTGACCTGAACGGTTGTTGGAGACGGGTAGCCAAGGAGTAAGTTGACTTGGCGTGGAATTATTCTAGAAGACTTTTGTTCAATTGACAAGTAAAGTTTGGCTTTTCATCGGGTGTTGACCCGATGCATTGATCGCCAGGTACTGAAGGATTATCCCCATGCTAGCCTCCCTTAATCACCATCACCCACTGTTCATGCACTCAATCTCTTGAACAAATATAATTACTTCATATCTCATAACGAGGCCGCAGCACTCTATCGCTAATGTCTATCATAAATACTTCTCTCATTCTCTCTCCAATCGTCCAGCTTCACTAGTCTCATCACGACTCTGCTTCAAAAACGGGACAAGCGTAGTCCCACCCGTCCCCGTCAACTCCTCCTCCTTCCCCTTCTTCAAACTAGAACTCGCCAGATTCTGCGGCCCGCCTCCCATCTTTCCCTGTCTCGACGGTAAAATAATATACCGCGTGACAATCTGAATATGCTTATTTCTAAACACCGTCAAAGCATCCGTCGCAGCAGTAAACGTCGCTTGTAGCTTCTCTTGTTCAGCGGTGTGGGGAGTTTGGAGTGCTAGTTCGCGAATGCTGCCCATGCGCGCAATGTGTGTTAGGAAACGACGGTGAGGACCCGGCATGTAATCCTTCACTATGTCGTGATAGCTTCTTTCGCCTTTTGCGGCTGTGTTGTTTCCTGTGGGAATGTGCTCTACGCCTAGCACGATGTCGAAGAATTGGATGAGAGAGGATTGTCCGTTACTTCCACCTCTCAAATGTCTCCATTCACCCTTTCCATCACCCTCGTCGTAGAAAACACCATTGGGAAGACCCGCAGCTTCCATGTTTTTAGATCCTGCTAAGAAGGGACGGATCTTGTAGTAGAATGTATGAGGATCGCACTTTTCGTACATACGCTCCAACAAAACGCCCACACTGTCAATACAAGTCTTCAATTCTTCAAGCGCTGAGATAATGGTGGCGTAGTCGCGGGATTTTACTGCTTCGAGAGCTTCCATCATGCGAGGAATTATGCTGCCGGCCCGTGCTTCCATGGCGACACTGATGAGAAGAAACCATGATTCGGATTCTGTGCCGGTGAAGCTATGTAGTGTGGACAGGTGGGAGAGGTTTGTGAAGTCGGATGAAGAGGATGTAAAGTTCCATAAATTGGCAGCTGCGTAGGAGAGAACGGGAGGGAGTTCGAGATGTTTTGACACAGCCAAAAACGGGACAGTAATTTGAGGAGGAAGGATCTGTAATTGTTAACACCAACACCTTAACACTATGATGACAAGAGGACTTACTTGAGCAGGCTTCTCACCACCCCAAACATAAGCATGCGTCAAAAACGCAAGAACACTATAAGCCCTCCTCCACTCGGCCTCAGATCTAAGTCTATGCGTGCCGAGCACAGGTAGAGTATCAACAGCACGTCTGATATCATTATACCGAATCAGAGCGGGAAGATGCGAGATGACAAGTTCCCATGGTTGGTAGTAGGCGTCGGGGAGGACTTTTAGGGGACTGTGTTCGGGGAGGAAGGCGTTGCTTGTTACGCCGAATTGTTTTAGCTCTGATGTGAGTTTGATGCGCGGGATGGCGTGGTGGACGGCGTGTGGCGACATCGTGATGGTCTAAGTGATGGATAATAATAGACAATGGGATTGACAAAGGCTATGCAGAGAATAGTTCTAGTAGATTGACATGTAAGAGAAAGAAGCAATTGATCAGAGTTCATCTAAAATAATATTCTCATCACCGCCAAGTTGTCATTTCCCAGTTTTCTTTTCCATCCGTCTTCCGTGTATCCTTCTAGACCTCCGAACTTCCTCTCCGAAATATCATGATCCGAAGTTGAGGTACATCCGTATCCTCCTTCCGCATCCGATCTAGACCATGTGACCAATCGCCAACGCCCACTAAATCAAAAATGGATAATGACGTCCACCACGCGGATCTCGGCGAACGGAACTTCGGGTGTTTGACTAGAATCCACTCATTTTTATCACGACTTCCGTGTTTGTTAACGCCGGGACTGGCCGGTGAGGGGGCATAAAGTGATTTTGAGATCCCCTCCATCATACGACTTTCTCATCACACCAAGCATCTCTTTCTTACTCAGATTTAATTCTCCGACCACTATCATGGAACTGTCATCTTTCGTCGAGCGTATCCGAGGTGGTAACGCCGCTAAATTCCCCTCTGACGCAAATACCCTTGACTTTGCGCGCAATTTGGATTCGCAGGATAAATTGAGTCATCTACGTGATGAATTCGTTCTTCCCACCAAGGAATCTTTGAAGAAGAAGGCTCTTGATGGATCAATTCGTAGGTTCCTGTACAGTTGAAATGAAATGGGTTGGTGCTAATGAGTCTGTAGCAAACGGTGTTGCGCAGAATGGTACAAATGGCCATGCCAACGGCGTAGATGACAACACACAATGCATCTACTTCGTCGGCAACTCCCTAGGCGCCCAACCAAAAGCCGTTCGCGAGCATTTGAACGCTCAATTAGAAACATGGGCTTCCGTCGGTGTAAACGGACACTTCAGCGCCCTTGAGAATTCACCTCTTCCAGCGTGGCAAGATCTCGCAGAAGACTGCGCCATCAGATCAGCCGACATCGTCGGTGCATCACCCCACGAGATCGTCATCATGAACACCCTCACCGTCAACTTGCATCTCCTTATGGCAAGCTTTTACAAGCCTACGGAGAAGCGCCACAAGGTTATTCTCGAGTGGAAGCCTTTTCCTTCCGATCACTACGCCATTGAAAGTCAGGTTGTCTGGCATGGACTTGATCCTGAGAAGAGCATGATCAAGATTGAACCTAATGAGGATCATATTATTACTACGGATCTTGTGCTTGAGACGATTGATAAGCATGCTGATGATACGGCGCTTATGCTCTTGCCTGGTATTCAGTACTACTCTGGTCAATTGTTCGATATTCCCCGAATTACAGCTTATGCGCAAGCGAAGGGTATTGTCGTTGGTTGGGATCTTGCACACGCAGCTGGAAACGTAGAGTTGAAGCTTCATGATTGGAACGTCGACTTTGCATGCTGGTGTACATACAAGTACATCAACGCCGGCCCTGGTTCTATCGCTGGTGCTTATGTCCATGAGCGTCATGGCAAGGTGGAAGTTGATTCTTCAACCGGCAAGGCGAGCTACAGACCGCGTCTCATGGGCTGGTACGGCGGCGACAAGTCCGTTCGATTCAACATGGATAACAACTTTATTCCTACCGCTGGAGCAGGAGGATACCAGCTATCCAACCCCAGCGCAATCGATCTGGCCAGTTTATCTGGTGCATTGAGCGTGTTTAACAAAACAACCATGCATGATCTCAGGTCAAAGGCTTTGGTGCTAACAGCCTACGCTGAGTTCCTTTTGGATCAGATTCTTTCTGAGGCTGGTGATTCTACCCTTTTCAGAATCATCACACCACGCGATCCTCTTCAGAGAGGTACACAGTTGAGTGTCCTGTTGAGAGATGGATTGTTGGATGATGTTAGTGCGGCTTTAGAGGAGAATGCTGTGATTTGTGATAAGAGGAAGCCTGGTGTTATTCGAGTTGCGCCTGTGCCTTTGTATTCCAGGTTTGAGGATGTTTGGAGGTTTATGCAGATTCTGAGAGGGGCTTTGAAGGTTTAGAAAAGTAGAATAATAGCGTGAATTAATTGTTCAAGATGATCTATGATTACTTTTTCCAGTGAGGTTTTGTCTTTGAGATTGTCTGGTTAATTCTGTGTATGCGAGACCTTGTCGTTGAGTACAAGGTAGTCGTCGGCTTTGAGCCAAGTGATCTATCACTTTCTTTTCCCTCTTCTATCCGCATATCAGCATCATCATGCTTACTCTCGGTTATCCATGGCCTTCCGCATCCGAAGATGCCGTCTGCACAAACGAGGCACAACACCATCGGCTCAGATATCAGGAACATACCCGATGCCATGACCGAACTTCCGTATCCGATTTATCCCTCCAAGATATCAAGCCCCATTGCTGGTAAGATATCAAGTTTTACAGCCAGTACACGACACCTACAAATGATGCGTCAAATCAATACCCCCACCCCCATCCAACAAAGCAAACAAGTTAAGCGCAGACCCCGAATCACCCTCCGCAACACTCCAATAACTCGGATCAGGTGTCTGCATCATACTCTCACTCAATCCCAAAAAAGCAGAATCCAAATCCCCAAACAACGGCGACCCGACATTCTGCAATCCATTATGTTGCAAGAATGATCGATCCAACGACTCTCTACCCGGGGTTGCAGCGGTCGTCTCTCTGCGGAAGGATGGTGATGCTTCGGATGGTATGAGTCCGAATAATTGGCTAGAATTTTCGGTACGACGTTGCCGTTCTGCGAGTTCGCGCTTTTCTAAATGTTCGAGGGCTGTTGTGAGGAGGGATTGGGCGATTAGGGAGTATTGACCTGCGTGGGTGTCGTGTTTGGAGCAGTGGTCTAACGCATGAATGGCTAGGCGGGTGTATTTTTCTAGGACGCGACCAAAATTGCCGAGAAGACCAACTCCCAGTACTAGAGAGCTAGCAAATAGCCAAGATCTGTAAAATTAGACATTGATCAAGTGACGAGGAGTGGTGAACTTACACTAGAATGGGAACATGTCCAACAAGAACACCTCGTTGAATCAAATCAAGTATCGGATCAACCATCAAACTCGCCGCATCAATACAAGCATCCGCAAGCTTCGACTTGCCAGACGTCAAAGCAGACCGTCCATTCGGAGCGGCAGTATCCGATAACCGTCGACAAAGCTCATACATGAGAAACGGTCGAGACACGAGCATGACGGCGTAATAATACGTCGCCAAAATCTGACACGCACCACTTGCTTGGGCTCGATCTTGAATATCTGGATCAGCTACTATATCCTTCAACTGCTTCAACCATCTCGACGACCAATCTCGTAACTGAAGGGATATACCCTCTGTGAGTTGTAATGAGATTTTGCGTCGTGAGTAAATTTCCGTGACGACACCTTCTAGCACCAAGAAGATTTGTACTGACGCGTTGAGTAAGTCGAGAGGTTCATCCAGATTCTCGTATGGTACCGTACAATCCACATCAGACGTCGCAGGCGGTCTTCCCATAGACGTACTCAAAAACAAATCCACAATCCTCAAACTCTTCCACAGCCGGTCACGCTGTCTGTGAATATCCGGTCCAAACCTTGCGTTGACTTCAGTCCTGTGAATACCGATTGAATAAGCTGCACGCACAGCTGTGCCGAAGAAAAGAAACGCCCCGTTGATTTGACATGAGCAGAGCATGTAGAGCGTGATAAGCGTAAACATCTGAACTGTTGTGACGCTCAAATTGCCTGTGAGGTTGGAATATGCTTTTTCGCGCGCATACTCAAAATATTCCTGCGCGCGCTCTTCATTGTCGATTTTTGTTCCGATGGCTAGGACGAGGAGATTCACGACTGTTGTTGCGTCGTCTGTTTTTTGATCCATATTTGACCAAAGAATGAGATCTTCTTGTAACCGTCGATGATCAAATAAATCCACAAGCCCTGTCGCGATAGCTAGATAATTGGATACAGCGAGGGGAATGTCGTTTGTGTGAACGGTCGGAATGCGGTTATCACCCGGCATTCGTCGCGATTGATTCGCGGTTGCATTTTCGAGGACGGAATACCGACTTGTCTGTGGCGCGAAGGCATTTTGTCCGACTCGAGTGGTGACGAGTTGTCTGACAGATTGAAAGAAACTCAATGGTGCGCAATCACCCACGAAAATGAGTTTACCCTGCGCATCGCAAACAAGTCTCGCCTCCCTCGGAACCTCAGTTTCCTCCTCAGCATCATGCGCCGCCTCTACATTGCCCTCATCAACAGGCGGCGTAGTAGTAGTAGCAGGACTATTCCTCCCCGTCGAAATCCTGCCCGTCGAGAAAGCTCTTTCTCTATCCGAAGCAGGCGGCGACCTCAACGAAGCAGATGAAACAGAGGGATTGGCTCTGCGTCGTCGCACTTGAGGAGAGTAATGACAATCGTGTGGCTTTTGACGTCTGGCGCAGTAACTACATGGTAATTTGCCGTCGCATTTTACTTTGCGGGATTTGCAGCCGTCGCAGGCGTTTGCGATGCGGCTGCGGATATAAGTTGTTGGTTCTTGCATTGAAGGAAGGGTTGAAGTAAGTGTTCGGAAGACGGAGGCTGGGCAGGGCGGAAAAGAGCGGATGTTCGGGTGGATTATTGTTAGTGCTGTTTTTTTCGGCCCGCTTGAGCTTCCGAGGCTTGGCTTATGTGATGTCAATTGAGTCTTTATCTGGTCATGGATTTATCGCAGATTGCAAAAATGAGACTTGGTAGTTCATAGTGATTGTATTGATTGAGGGAGACTAATTATATGCACTTTTGCGGATGTCGCGTCGGATATGCAGAAAGGCGGCTAAGTTCTGCATTTAATGTGCAACCCTCACGTCAGAATTGAATGCGACACAACGGGCTCTGCTAAACGATGATCGACCTTGTATATCAGCGTAGCGGACGTGATATCGGTCTGAGGGACCATCTCAACCGGATGATTGTCCTTGGACTAGTTATTAATTTTATAGACCTTGTAGTATTAGCATAAAATGCAATAATTCTACTGTATTCTTACTATCCTAAATATTAAGTATGTAAATAAAATAATAAAATAACAAAGTATTGCACTTATTGCTCGAATCCTCAATCTTCTCTGTTAGTAGAGGCTGATATTATATTAAGCGTTATACTAGCAAATGGAAATCTGTACCTCAGTTGTTATTATACTCTATTGGCTCTTACAGGGGGGTCAGCTATGTCTAGCACTTTATTTCTGCTTTAAAAGTCGCAGTGGAGGTTACGTGAATTTTATTTAAGTCTACGTACACCTGTACTTCAAGTTTATAAACAGGTAAACAGGTAGTTTCGATAAAGCGCAAAACTGCACAGGGATTAGCAGTGTAGCATATTAGGCGCCCGCTTTGAGACTTGGCAATCAGAGGTCATGCCACGTGAGCAGCGTTCAAGTCAGCCTTACTGAAAGCCTAGAGTAATGTCTTTAGGCAGGAAACGAAAATCAGGATAGAAGAAAGTTACACCTTTGCAAACCTCAGCGCACGTAGCTTGAGCTATATCTCGTCTAAATTTAAGTTCTCTCCCTTTTCGAGGATCGGGTCCTGAAATATACAGACAAAACAGCACAATAGCTATGTCTCTTCAACGCTCTCTCCACCATTACACCGATCTACCAGATAACGATATCCGCTTGCTGCGCCTACTACCGCATCAAGACGCGGATGCCCCCATAAAATGCCAACTTTTCAACTGCGGCATCGTGAGTTCGGGAGGCACCCGTCCATATGAGGCTCTGTCCTATGTATGGGGCTCAGATCATGAGTCTCAGTCTATCTCAATAGACAGCTGCTATCTGCCCGTTGGAGGAAATCTATTCGCTGCGTTATTGCATCTTCGAGATCCCGATATTGAACGGATCTTATGGATAGATGCCGTGTGTATCAATCAACAAGACAATACGGAAAAAGGACATCAAGTCCAATCCATGGCGAAGATTTATGCCAAGGCGACTCGTGTCATTGTTTGGCTTGGAACGGCGACGCCAGATATCGAACAAGCGCTAGAAGACATCCGCATCGCAGGCTTCGCGGCAAAGCAGACCATAATGCCTACCATTAACGAAAACGCAGTCCTCAAGCTACTCGAGGCAGCATGGTTCCGACGTGTTTGGGTAAATACATCAGCACTTGATGATATACGCAATAGTTGCTGATAAGATGATTTAGGTACTCCAGGAGGTTGCCGCAGCTCGGCATATAGTGGTCAAATGTGGTCATGCTGAGATTGACGGTTATGCATTCTTTTCGGGGCTAAATGCTTTGGAACTACCTTATGAAAACCAGCCAGGCCTAAAGCCTCTAGTCATGTCGGTAGCTTACCTGGCAAAAGGCGCGGCCTTTCGGTCGAGATGCACAACCAGTCAGGCAGGCAGATTTTCTCTCAACATATGTCGCCTGGCTCAGCTAGTAGATATGTATCGCAATCGCCAAGCCAGTGATAATCGCGATAGAATTTATGCTTTGCTTGGTATGAGCTCTGATGATCCTGGCACTTCGGGCTTATTGGCTGACTATGATATCTCATGGGCAAAGCTCTTCAAACAACTTGTCAACTCTATCCTTGGAAGTGTACCTGTGAACACTTGGGACGACAAAGCGGTAGCAGTGATCAGGGGCAAGGGCTGCGTTCTAGGTCAGGTGGAGTCAGTCGACGCTAATATTGATCAGAACGGCAAACAGCGGCTGAAGGTTCGTCGGGACAGCCCGTTTGGCTTGGGAACGAATAAATCCCACTGGAGATTAGAGGTCTCAGCAGAACCAGTGGAGGCAGGCGATGTTGTCTGCCTCCTACAAGGGGCGACATTGCCTACCATCATCCGGATACACAACGATTACTGGAACATCATAGTAATTGCAGCTGCCTCTCCAAAACGCCTGCAAGTTGCAATGAGTGATGACAAGTCTGAGCTTCCTCAACGGCCAGAAAAATTCCCGCATGAATTCCTGCTTGTCTGGGACTGGGATTTGTCGCGTGATGGTTCCAAGAGAGGAACTGAGTACGAGGACTTGATGGGACACCTGGTATCACAGGCTCCGCAAGCCGGATTGCAGACCGACTGCGAGAAGATAGCCAGGTTTTGGAATAACGGAATGGCAATGCGAGATGCGAAATTGTTAAGATGGTCAAGGGGGGAGGAAAATCTTCGAAAAGCGTTAGAGATCCTTGAGCATGTTTTGAGAAACATGGACAAAATAGCGTTGGCCGGCCTAGACCGTGGTCATCGGATGGTGGGAGATGACATGAAGGAACTGCAAGGGATAGTAGACTTGATTCTCAAGGACAAAGGCGGATCGAGAGCACTATGTCTGGCGGCAGAAGCTGGATGCGAGGCAGTCGTCAGCCTACTGCTAGATACCGGCGAAGTTGATCCAAATACACCAGACGACTCAAAACTAACGCCCTTACAGAAAGCGGTGAGGAAGGGGGATGAGAGGATTGTGAAGCTGCTGCTCAGGAGCGATGGAATTAATCCCGATATTACCGGTCATCCATTCGAACGAACGCCACTAGTAGAAGCGAGTGGCAATGGGTATGAGGAGATCGTCAAGCTGTTGATCAACACCGGAAAGGCTAATGTAAACGGTAGGGGGTTTCAAAAGACGCCTCTAATAATGGCAGCAGAGAATGGTCATACTGCATTTGTTGAGATTCTATTAAGTACCAGTGAGGTGGAGCCAGACTTTGGAGTCGATCCAAAAGGTACATTATACACGGCACTATCACTGGCAGTGAGGAATCGGCACGAGGGGGCTGTTAAGTTACTGCTCGGCGTCACTCAAATCCCTTGGATTTTCTATATGGGAAGCATGACTTTGGGGATCATATACCTATGTATAGATACACGCTTTTATCAATGGCGAAGGAGAGACAGCATAAGGGCATTGTTAAGTTATTGCAAAGAGCTATGGAATTAGAGACAGATGTAAAGGACTTAAATTAACACATATTATAAGTAGAATAATTTATAACCTACGCTTTTCTATTATCTTTCTGGACAGATAATTTACTAGATTAAAGTAAGATATATTAGGTTGACTATCCTGATCTCCTGTTTTGCTTGGTGTTTGTTAATGTTCTCCAGGGAGAAGTATACACCTGTGAGCATGCGATTTGTTGTGTAAGCCTAATTGTTCTACTATACGGTCGAACAGAGCGCGAATGCAACGACCTACTGTCTAACTACAACATGACGTTCGAGAGGCATGAGACGAGACTGACGCAATGCACTCCTCACCTCGATTTGTTGTACTTCAACAAGATTCCAGAGAAGTTACTCTATTAATATGAATGGAATGCGGAAGAATAACGGCAGTCTGATAACGGTTGTCGCAGCCAGCGTGTTAAGTAGTTAAAATCTTTCAGTCATAATACTAGAGTACACCTACGGCTCAAAGCTAACTGAATCGAACCAAGCCGTGGAGCCCGGCAAACAAACAAATCCCACAGCCAGGTACAAGCCGCCCCCCATGACCTGATCCCGACTATAATTGCAGGTATTCGTAATCAGCAACCACTGATCTGCCGTGCCACCCACAGCAACGTCCTGGATCTCAAGAGCATTGCCATTGGGGTAACCACAGAAGAGATACGCGTGGGTACACCCAAGTCCAGCACGAACCCAGGCTGACGCCGAGTATGGAACACCTGCTTCAATAGACGATACAAGTGGTTGCTGGACGTAAATTGACGCCTCATCCATAAATGTAAGTTTTGCCGAGTTTCTACCCTCGTGCTTGGTCGTGCTAGAGAGGGATAGCGAGACCGAGGTGGTGCTAAAGAGGAAGTCCCATGGTTGTGTGGTGTCGGATTCGTCGTCCAGGCCCGAATTGACGAGGAATGTAGGAACGATGGGTGCTTCGATGGTAGTGGTGGTGGCTTCGGCGGTTGTTGTACTCTCGGTGGTGGCAGGGCTTATCTCCGTGGTCGGCGTATCGGTGGTAGTAGCATCCATAAAGACAGTCGAAGTCTCGATACTGCTCTCGTCCACAGTTGAGCTCAAGTCTGCAGTCGAAACTGCAGTAGTGGTGGCATCCTCGAAAGTGATAGATGCCTCGGTGGTGCTCTCGACGACAATGGAGGTCAGGTCCGTAGTCGCAACAGCAACAGTCGTAGTAGCATCGTCCGAGATAGTAGACGCCTCGGAGGTCGTGTCAAATTGGCCAGCAGTGAGAGCCGTGGTTTCAACGGAAGAGACACCAGAAGAAGAGACGAGGGTCTCAGTCGCAGCTGCTGTCTCAGTGGAAGTTGCCGTTGCCGTAGATGAAATCTCACCAACGGTCAGCGCATCAGTTGTTCTGGAGCTGACCTTGCATGGACTAGCTTCAGAGCTAGCCATGAAGGACGCTGCGATAAAAGCAGTAACGAATGTTTTGGCAATCATGTTGCAGAAGAGTAACGACGGTAATTCGACAGTAACGAGCGACGAGCACAACAAAACAGAGATGCTGGTGAAGAAATAAAAACAAGAACAGAATAAGGGGACAGAGCTGATTTTATCAATGATAGCAAAAATCAATAGTCCAAGACGCTAGACTCAGCCGTAGAAGACATCGAATAAACTTTCAGCTTTTAGTGTGCTTGGGGTTAGATCGATTGCCCAAAGTCAATAGTCTCACCAGGTAATATAACTGACCCACTTCCCGCCACAGCACCCAATACTTTATCTTAGGCGGTGACCGAAATAGAAAAGAAACGAGATCTAGACCTACAAATAGTCAACTTTTGTTGAAGCTGGAACAGAGGAATGCAAGGGGATGCGGCCATCGCGGGGTAGCTTCTCCATTTGACCAAGCCACAGCGACTCTTCAAAGCTGAATCAAATTCCTCATGTCTGGCACCAACTATAAAGGTTCAATCACCTGCCATGTAATTTGAATGGAATACCGGATGAACCATGAGTCAAAAAAATCATATCCAAAATCACCTTTTCAAGTTCCAAGACCTACTTGCTCCGATCTGTTCGCATCATCATAAGAATCACCGCCACCTGCTAACATGATGCCTGGCAGTTCTCCTGTTACCAATAATGGCAAAGAGAACAGCGATATGGGCAGCGATTCTTCCGTTGTTGATTCCGATGTACCAGATGATGTCACGGCGGCAAACGAGTCTCAGAATGACCCACGTACTTCTTTCTCGGTCGACGGGTCAGCACCTGGCACCTGGAAACAGAAAGCGTGCAAGGATATGGTGCCTAGGAATTTTGAGAATAAGCCGCTTGCTGGCGGTAAGATGATGTTCAATGCCGGTCTCAATTACGCTATTGGACCTGATAAGGTTTCCACGGTGTTTGCAAACGAACAGAATTTCTGGAGCGGCACACCGCAAGTCATTTCTTACTTCTTCATGGGTGGAAGTCAGTTGCAACATGAAAAGGTGACACAAGCAATCGAGGAATGGTCTTGGTATGCCAACGTTACTTTCAAGGAAGCACCTTCGGCCGGGGAAAGTAACGTGAGAGTTACTTTTGATCCCAACGATGGGAACTGGTCGTACATCGGTCGCCAATGCAATAGCATTCCAGCAACAGAGGCCACCATGAACCTAGCCTGGTTGGATAAGTTCTCTCCCATTACCGCAAAGGAGAGATCAGTCATCCTACACGAGTTTGGCCATGCACTAGGTCTACTCCACGAACATCAGTCCCCAGATCACGGAAACAAAGCAGTTCAGAACATCAATGCAGCTTTCAAGCTTTATGAAAAAACTCAAGGGTGGACAGCGGAGCAAATCTCTGACCATGTCATCAACGTCTACAATAAGTCTGATATCACAAACTATGCCCATGTCGATATCCACTCCATCATGCACTATTCCCAACCAAAGGAGCTCACAGGTCTTGACGTCGATATTCCATTCAACGGGAAGCTTTCAGACCTCGATAAGGCGTATATGATTCTACAGTATCCTCGCAAGACCATGCACCCCGAATCAGCAAAAGCTGGGTGGAGCATCGAAAAGGCATTAAAGGTGATCGGAGCTCCGACAGAGGTCACTGACAAGATCCTCGCCTTTGTCGAAGATAAGCGTGACGAGTTCGGCGAGATCTCTACTGCCAACATTCGAGAGGTCATCAAAAACTGGACACGGGCTACGCATGGTCTGGTCGTGGACGGAGGACAGAAATTACCACCATCCCGAAATGCTCCACCTCCTACTGCTGGTCCGTCACACGCCGAGAATGCGGATAAACCCCCGACCAACTCATTCATCTACCAGCTCTATGATAAGCTGTCCACACTATACTGTAAGTTCCACATTGAATAGTACTACTGGGCTACAAATATCGCTGACATATTATTCATTTCAAGGTCCTGGCGGTGGACAATACTTTGCATTGCAATTTCCCACTCGATTCCTGGACAAAGACACCTTCGCATACGAGCTTAAAGGACAGTTTTCGCGCTTCAATAAGCCTATCGCGGTCTCCGAGGCCGAGTTCAACCTCACCGATGACTTGTACGCCCCTAGCCCCATTGTAGGCGGACCAAACGGACAAAGGCTGTCACAAAACTACAGCAAGGCACTCAACAGTCTTATCCCAACCTTTGAGAGCTCGTAAGTACAGAAGCAGCAAGAGAAGATGCGTAAGTGGCTTCTAAAGGAGACCAAACTAGGCAATGCTGCCTATATTGGCGAGACGCGCTCGCCTATTCCTGGTTTGAACAAAGGTCGCGCCAACGACTTGCCTCAGGGCATGACTCGGATGGATTATTCTGATTCATTGATGCAGGCGTATCTCCGTGATCGCCAGGACTGGGAGGAGCGAAGAGACAAGATGATCTTTGAGGCTTCTGGCCAGGCCGCCACGAACCCACAGGTCATGGAAAACATGACAAGACGTCTCGCGCATCTCGGTGCTCTCGAGGAGGCGAAACTGAGTGCCAAGTATGCCGATGCTGTAGTGCGAGGTTACAGGCATACAGTACGCGGCTTCTTGGGCCATTTGGATGTCAAGAGTGTAGCTGAGTCACTACAAGATGCGAAAGACTCGTTCCGACAGTCTGCTCTCTCATCTCTCTACACGGCTTCTAAAGTCTACCCCGTGGCCATGCAGCCCACGGACTGGTTCCAAGCCCTTGACACAGGCTTCACGCGCGAGGAGCTTTCTCAGGACCCGTTGCTGATCAGTGCTGCAACCACGGCTTATTGATGCCTTGCGTAAGGCTCTCGAGGACGGCGAGTTTGCTGATTGGGCAGCAAAGCAGTCCGAAGGTGTTAAGGACGAAATTCTGGCCAAGGTGAGGGAGGCTTTGGGGAAGGCTGCCGATAGGAAGTGAGGTTTATTCGGCAATCAGGTAGCTTACTTCGATTATAGTCAGCTTTATGTAAGAATGAAGAATACGCTTATAGTATTGGTCCTAGTTACAGTTTCCCTTTCCCCTAATCTGAGATCTCAGATTACCCAGACTGCTTGTGATACAACTGATGTTCTACCTCCGCACTTCGTCTTGTCTTTGCCACCCTTACATACTCTCAAATATAAGAAAACCTCCTAAAGCCTGACGACTTCCTAATACATCGGGTCTCAAGATTATTCCTCGCTCTAGATCCCAATTCAGAAGAACAACTCCCACGCTGCCTTAGCAGTAAGTCCTAGAAGCGCAAACGAGCTTGTCGCAAAAATGGAAAAGCGCAAGTTGAGGCTGTTGGTTGTAACGTGGATCAAACTGTGAAGGATTCTCAAACCAACATAGCCCCAAGCTAAGCGCACGGTAGTCTTGTCCTTGACATCCAACATGCTCAAGGCAAGAACAACTGCGTAGTACTGGGTAGGTTGCTCAAGCAAGTTGTTGAAATTGTCCGCTGCCCACTGTACGTAAGGAGGCAGTTTCTCAGCTTTCTGCTTTTTAACAGTGGCTGGGTCGAAGACGACGTCGTACTTGGACAGCGCTGGAATTCGGCGGGCGTAGAGGAGAGCTTCCATTGCAAAAATCCAACTGTTGAGAGCGACGAGGGGGCCAAGGAGTGGCTTGTTCGTAATGAGATGAGACATGATGTCTGATAGAGTTTAGTGGTATGAGGTAGTGAGAGTAAGGCAGGATTCATTCAAGTGAAAAGAGAGATAGTGTTGATACTAATATGAGGAACTTGAGTTAAGAGAATGACAACCTGCTAGATATATAAATCCATCTGTACACAGCTTATAAATCTATATAGCTATTTAACTCTATTTACCGGCACTAAAAGGACATTTCCCGCTGACTAAGGTGTTCCTGCCAAGTTTTGAATAGACTTTTTCCGCGAAGATTCAGCAAGGATCCACAACGCTACGATGCCACTTAGTCATTCAATGTCGGCGTTAGCATATCGCCGTGATCAACCGACTTGTAACTCCATGAAGCTGAAAACAGAAAACTTTATCGAAGCTAAAGCACGGTGACAAACAGAGGCTGGGCAAATGAAAATTACTAGCAATAAAGGTCAAGTTGCATTTCTTTTTTTCTCTTACTCTGAACCTTATCCTGATATCTCAGTCGACACCGATCAAGGTTAAACTGCAATAAGTTGCTCTATTTGTAAGTTTTAGAGACCCTGCCCTTTGGGAAATTGTTGGAAAAAGACTTCAACTGCTAGGTAAGAATGATTTATCCAAGGATTGTAGTAAATGTAAATACATTGTTCTTTACCCTACCTAGGTTAGATAAGACGGAAAGCATTGGATCGGGATTGCATGAGTTGTACCAATTGACCTGAACTGTATATAGAAGTAGTACATGTAGGACTAGTAGCTTTTAATATCATCTCCCTCCGAAGAACCATCAAGGTCTAGATGAGGACAATGACTAGGATTATGATAAAATGTTCCCCCAAGTTTCTCAATCATCTTGCATCGTTCCTCCATTGTGAATGCATTATCAATTCTCCCTAAACCCTTTTGTGCAGATTGTGTTAAGTTGGTATTGAGGGCCCAAACACCACCACTGGAAGGCCAGCCGACATATAGAACTGATGCATCTCGTTCTTTGTTCCGGTATTTCCGCCCATAGCGTAGTTTGTGGTCAGGATCACGAAACCAATACGCTCCAAGCTGGCGCAATTTGGCGCAGTGTGCTTCCTCATTCTCAGGGTTATCCGGTTTGTCGGATGGCTCGAATCGGTCAATCCCTAAGAACTCAAGCTCCACTACAGAGCAGAGACGCGAGTAGAAACCACCTTTGGCTGGCCATCCGTATACAACGCCGCCTACACTACCGCCAAATGAGGATCTGGGAAACCATGTGAAGCCAAAGTCACCGTTCCACCCGCCTTCTGTCAGCATTGGGGAAATCTCTCGGTTTGATGAAGGAAAGAGAAGTTCTTGTCCAGGTTCGTGAATAGCGTAAGAGAATTTGAGAAGAAAGGATATTAACATAAACAAGGCGTGTGTGAACATTGAATCAGGTTGTTGATGAGATGAGGAGATAACATATGCAAGAGTTCCATTGCTGATACTCAAAGAGGGGTAAATATATTCTCTAGGAACATCAGAAAATCCAGTCCCGGAGTTACGTCACAATATGTTATCTTTATCTCGTTGGTAGTGGCTATGTTGGTTATGCTTGAACTTCCAAGAAGTAGTGAATGTTTCTAGAAATAGAATGGCAAGGCAGACAAGTAATAGGAAAAAGAAAACATGGCATGACTACTGGTTAAATTGAATTAATCAGATTATTCAGAACTAACGTTACTGCCAAGCCGGTGTTGGTTATGCTCTTCAAGAAGCAGCGAGTCAAATTACCTTCCGCTTCCCCGCCCGACCCTTTGAGGATCTGCCTTTCGAAAAGAACAAAAAGGAAAAGGGACTTTAACGAAAGCTTCATCTGCTGAATGCAAACCATTGACTCAAGAAGAATGTAACGGAGAGTTAAACTTTGTTCTATTTGCTTTGTGGAAAGCTGTGAAGGGAACAAAACGTCTCTATTGAAATGCGAAGTTCAGTTCACTGCAGCATATTGTCTTGTCACACTGACTTGTGCAAAAAGCTTATAGTTTGCTGTCGAATATATATTCGGAACTCGGATGTTTTACGAAATCACAGGTCCCACAATTTAGGAAAAAGCCGACGGAAGAGATCTGAGAGTTGATGGTTGCATTAAAAATCTTAGTCCAAGCTCCAATCGAAGTTGTCGTTCAACGGCCAAGTCCTCGTACAACCTCGTTTAGCCTCGCTCCACCTCGCTCCGTCTCGTTTATCGTCAACACCAACCACGGTAGATGCCGAAATCCCCATACATTCGTGGCAATTCTGCATCATGATCAAGATGCCAAGATCTATCAACGTCAATTCGAGGCTGAGTTGAAATTAACTATCCACTTGAACGTTTTCTGTCAAGATCATCCGAGGTATATATATGTCGTGTCGCAGAAGGTTGATGATGGATAGTAATACACTCGTTTCTTCAATTGCACTCTACTTCGTTGACTCTCATTAATTCTTCAATTTCTCGCTATGGTTCGTTCTTTCGCGGTAGCTTTGCTACTGCACACCACCCTTGTTCTTTCCAAAGCAACCAAGAACCCGATCATCTACGCCAACAATGACACTATTACTCTTTCGTCCAATGGTTCCAAGGCTGATATCGTAGTTCTCGACTACGGCTACAGCGTCGAAGGCCATCCCACCTTTGAAGTTGTTTCCCGCTCAGGCGACACCTCTGGATTCGAGCTCACATTCGCCGAGTCCAAGGCCGCCCTAAATGCCTACATGGTAAGTCACCAAGATATTCCAACTAACTTCTCAGCTAACACACAGTACAGAGCGACGGCCCTCTTCCTCTCGCCGCAGCAATGGAAACCTATCGCGTGAACAAATACAACATCTCCACGCCCGGTCTCACCACCAACCGTCTAATCCAAGGCGCCTTCCGCTACCAAAAACTCAGCCTTTCATCAGCCGGTGACCTTAAGCTCCGACGCATCGGCGTGAAGCCAACCGTTCACACCACCCCTCTTACGGAACTTCCTGGATCTTTCGAATGCTCTGACGCCGATCTCACTCGTATTTGGCATACCGGCGCTCGAACTGCTCAACTTACCGAAATCCCTAAGGATACTGTTCCTGACTTTTGGCAAGTTACTGACGAGGGTTCTTTGGTCGAGAGCGCGGCTCCTCAGGCGTTGAGCGGTGCTGGTGTTGCGCAGGCTACCAGTTATGAGGTTGACTTTGAGGTTAACCCTTTGACCGGAGAGTTCGTCTTTTCTGTTTTATCTGATACGTTGAACGACGCTGTTTTGATCACCTGCAATGTTGAAACTGGTGTCATTTCAACGAGCACTTCTGCTTCTGGCACGATTCCCAAGGCTGCCAACGTCACGGTCGGAGAGTGGCTCTCTGTCCATGCCAGAGTCAACATGACGGATATTCGAGTGTCTATCAACAACCAGACCGCTCTCAACTTCATTCAAACCGACAAATTCTACGGTTCCTTTGGTCTCGGTGCACCACTCGGTCACTCAGCTTACTACCGCAACCTCCGCGCCACAACCCTCGAAGGCGAAGAGATCTACTCTTCCAGTCTCACAGACCGATCTTTCCTCGATGACTTCCTCATGGGTAACAACCCTCTCGACACAATCGTCGACGGATCACGACGAGATCGCATCGCCTATGCAGGAGATCTCGACATCGCAATCTCATCCACCTTCGCTAGTACCTATGGAAAGTCCTTTGTCGAAGGATCTCTCGATCTTGTAGGATCATACCAGACAACAGCTGGCTTCTGGATTCCCAATGCCAAGATTCAACAAGCACCTCTCCCTGCACCTCTGCCTGTCAACATCACCGGTCTTATCGGCTATTCCTTCAACTTGCTCAACGGCCTGGCTACCAACTACGAAGTCCTCGGCAACGTGTCATTTGCCAAGGAATGGGCACCTCGTGCCGTCCAAATGCTGGACTGGGCTCACGAGCAGCTTGTCGGTGGCCTTTTCACTATCGATGATCCTTCTCTCACCGGGGATTGGAACTATTACGATCCTCCTCAGACGGGCGCTAGTACCAAGTTCAACGCCCTGTACGCTTATTCTCTGCAGCAAACCGAGAAGCTTCTCAAGGCTGGTGGTGTGAACACAGGCAAGTACCAGTCTCGTCTTAAGAAGCTTCGCAAGGCTGTTCACAAGCAGCTTTGGAACGAGACTATGGGTGCATACGTCCTCAGCAATGAGATCACCACTGGTTTCTCTCAAGATGCGAACGCTCTTGCTATCTTGGCTGGTATTCCCCAAGCCAATGGCGTTTCAGCGAAGTCTTTGCTGTCTACCATGGAAGCAGAGCTTCAACTCCTCGCTGGACCCCTCGCTTTCAGCAACAGCACTGCTGAGTCTGGCTTTGCCCAGAAGATCAGCCCCTTCTCTTCAGCATACCACCTCCGTGCTGCCTTCGAGTCCGCTGACGAACACGCCATCCGTCTCCTTCTCAAGACCCTCTGGGCACCAATGGCAAACCCCTCCAACGCCAACTACACCAACACTTTCTGGGAGACCCTCGAAGCCGACGGTACACCCGGTCTGGGAATTATGACCTCCCTCTGCCACGGATGGGCCGCCGGTCCTACCGCTGAACTCAGCAAGCATGTTCTCGGCGTTCAGCCCACCAAGGCTGGGTTTTCCGAATGGAAGGTTCAGCCTATGCTTCTTGGACTTGAGTGGGCAAAGGGTCGTGTTCCTACTGAGAAGGGTACTATTGAGGTTGAGTGGAAGCTTGTCTCTGATCTTTTGTATATGAAGGTTCAGGTTGTGGGTGATAAGGGAACTAAGGGAACTATTTATCTCCCTGAGAATCTTCCTGTTGCTGTGAAGGATAGTGTTTTCGAGGTCAATGGGAAGACTGTTAAGAAGACTAGCTTCTCTGTCAAGAAGGGTGAACAGATTGAGATTGTTCAGACCAGGAGATAGAATAGGTGATCATCTTGTCTCATCAAGGCCCTGTTACCAGCCCTCTCTTGGTCGTTGTAATCTGCCAACGCCCTGATGAAGCCATCTGTGGCCTTGTTAGTTGGCATCAGGATACGCATTTGCCCCGGCTTACTAGGTAAACTTGAGAAATCTAGTTTAATGATATGTAGATAGATAGATATTACAGAAGATAGTCCAGTCTTGCAACTGCCATTTCTTCGGCCCACGTCGCATCAACCATATTCTCAATCAGCAGGTTCCCACCCATAACTTCTATCTAGACCGGGTCCATCTCCTTCAGATTCTGCCAAAAACTCCATCCACTCATTAACAGCCTCGGTAGCACGCTCCACATCAAATGCACCCGGCCACCCATGATCGCGATAAATCTGCCTCAGATACTGGATATCCAAGTCCGTTCCCCAGTCCTCCGTCTGTGCATCAACTTCCATCCTAGCAATCCTCCCCTCACGCTCAGGTACGTGCTCCACCTCTCTAGTAATCCTTCCCTTTCCAGGAATAAGTTTCAGAGATCTATACTCCTCCTTGAGCTTTTCAAAGAATTCCTCCACTGGCACTGAACTCAGCATGTCAGCCCTGTTCATATCCTCAATGATTTCGCAATCGTTGACAAGCAGATAAAAAGTCCGACCGTAACTCTCAAAGCCTAGAGAAAAACAGAACACGTCGCTAGGGTCCTGTTTGTCTTCGGTAGACCAGAATTCCTGATCCATGGCATCATATTCTTTATGGTATTTTATATCCTCCTGGGTATAGGCTGTGAGATCTAAAGGTCTGGACTTATAGTGGATATGATCTCGACATTCATTGCTGAAGTAGGGCAAATGACGGATGACTTCAATGGCGTAGTCTGATTTGAAGTGATTGTATGATTCGGGTGTAATATGTGGCCAGCCGTTGGGTGGAGGGATTTTGAGATGAGCTTTGTTGAAATGGAGGGTTGTCAAGAAAGTGTAAAAGTCGAGGAATAGCGCGCCGAGTTCTTGGGGTGTTAGACGTGGCTCCGCTTCTTCCGATGAATAGTCGGATTCATCATCGGATGGAGGTGGTGTAGGTAAGTCGTCGTGATCAGACATTGTGATGAGAGCCCGTGGTGAAAATGTTGATGGTCCGAGGATGGGAGAGGAAGGCGCATTTATATCTCAATTGCGACGTCTTCTGCCTGGAACCGTACATGCCCGAGCGCGCTGCTGCCTTCAGTGCTTACAGGGGAGATCTATTAGCGCCTCGTCGCTGCTGAATGTCACTGGAGGAAATTGGGTAATTAGCGCTCGCTTACAGGGGCCAAATGCGACATGCGACGATGGAACCAACAGAGCGACAGACACATTGCAGGACAAACAATATTAACTGATCAAAAATTCATTATCCAAAACTCATAAACTCTATCCTATCCTAAACGCCAATCCCAAGATCCCTCCTAGATACCGCTATTAGGATCAATCTTAGCCGTAATACAATTATTCTCAACCCAACCACCCTGCTTCCCTCCCTTGGCCGAACAATTACAAGAATCAATCGGCACCTTCATATACCGCATACACTCATCATAATCCGCCTTCCACAAACATCCTTCATTCACCGAGAACAGCAACTTAAAGTGATATCCAGTGGAAGGCGTCTTTTTACCTTCGAGCTTGTCGTTACTCCAATAGTATCCGTTATCCTTGTTCTTGCTCACCACGTCCCGACAGAAAGACTCGGCGGCGTAGGTGATGGCTTCGTAGTTGGACTTTTGTCCTGAGCCGTAGCAGTGCTTGATGTTCTGGCTTGCGTCGGGGGAGTCTAGCGTTGGGGTGGGGCTGGGTGTTGTGCTGGTTGTTTTGGTGTTTACCCATGAGGCGCATTCTGAGTTGGTTACGCAGGCGTCACCGTGCTGGCCTGTACCGAGATTACATTGGGTGTATGTCGCGGTAGAAGCACAAGAGCTGCCATCAGGTGTTGAGATAGACAGAGCAGGGGCGTTGGTAAGAGTAGGAAGATCCGTCAGTTTGATGGGAGCTTGAGTGGTAGTAGTAACCTTATCCTCATCGTCAGAAGTAGCCCTGGTAGATGTCGCAAAGGTAGTAGACTCCGCAGACGTAGTAGTCTCCGAATCAAGAGGACGATCACACGAAAGACCCGAGCTTCCATCTCGCTTCTGAACATACGACCAATCCCAAGCTGGCTCAGGAATCTCCCAAGAGCGAGTAGCAGAGTTCATGTTGTTGAAGCGTCTGTTGAAACTAGCGAGATCCGTTTTCCAAACCGCGGGATCCTGGCCCTTGATCTTGGCAGCAGCAGCCAAGTCCGTCTTCAACTTGGCGAGAAGCTTCGTCTTCGCATTTACAACCTCGTTGTTCAGCGACCAGGCGTCAGTTCCCTTGAAGCGGGTCTGCATGAAGGTCTTGTACCGGTCGGCGAAGGACCAGAGGTTGTTCTTGACTGCGGCATCGTTCTTGCAGCCCTTGGCGTCGTCGTCGATGTCCTTTCTATATACAAGTTAGAACAAGGTCTCAGCAAGAAGGGTTTGTACATACAGTCGTGCGTAGATTCGTGTGTTCTGTCGGACCATGGCTTCGATGGCCTCTGGAGCGCTGAACATCTCAATACCAATGGCCATCCTCTCGAGTAGGTCAAGCTTCTTCTCGATTCTGTCATAAGCTGTCGTGTCCTGGGTGGAAGCCTTGACATCCTTGTTCTTGTTAGTCCACGAATTGGCCTGATCCCTGACCACAGTAGGAGAGGCGACGAAACCCTAGAATTTGTTAACATGACTTCACCAAGAAGCGGATTAGTATCTTACCTTTGCATCGCCGTTCGTCCATTGATCCATACCGATAAAGTCATCCAGATACATGGCATCGGTGACCATAACTTTATCAGCAGTATTCTCCACGGATCCAGGATAAGCATCAAAGACCTTCTGGAGAAGGTTATTTTTGCTGTTCTGGCCAGCACCGCCGTAGTACTCCATATCCTGACAATTGATCTTGTTGCGAGAGCCACCGGTGGTAGCACCCTTGACAGCAGGGGCGTTCTTGTCGATGATCGCCCTGAAGAAGTCCAACAGCATACTCTTCTCGTAGACATGATCAATAGAAGGTCTATCGCTCCCCTTCTGGATATCACCAGAGAAATCGGCAAGGTATGTCGCAGCGTCTAGGTTACCCCGCAGAAGAGGTAGGCACTGAGCGTCGATGGTAGTGAGCCACCACCTCTTAATGGCTTGAAGAGGGGAGTTCTTGGGGAGAATGTCACCCTCGTTCTTCAAGACAGTAGCTCCACCTGGATACTCGGGGAACTCGGGCATGACAGCCAACTTACAGCCACCCACGTTAGGAGGAGCCTTTCTGGGACCTCGTTTCTCAAGACCGATAGCTCGTCGCTCAAGAATCTCGGGATCGGCTTCGGACACTAGCTTGCGCTTACACGTCGAACAGCTCTCGTCCGAAGGCCCACAGGCAGCGGCTGATGAGGTGGTGGTGGTTCCAGTAACGCTGCAGCCGGTGTGGGTAGCTGTGCAGGTTGTAGAGCATTCGGGGGTGATTGTGGCGCCAGCTGGGCCGGTGTAGGTAGTGCAGGCGACGAAGCAGTCGGTAACGGTGGCGGTCTCGGTACAAGATGTGGCGGTAGAAGTAGGCTCGTCGTCATCATCTTCATCCTCATCCTCGTTGTCATTGTTGTCGCCATTGTTACCACCGCCACTGCTGCCACCGCCGCTGCCACCTGGACCGTTACCTCCACCGCCGATGATACCACCACCACCATTGTCATCGTCGTCGTCATCATCATCATCATTGTTGCCGCCGCCGCCTCCACCATTGTCATCATTATCGTCATTGTCGTCGTCGTCCTCATTGTTACCACCACCACCGTTGTCTCCACCGTCATCATCGCCGTCATCACCATTACCACCGCCAGTGCCAGGAGCGGCGGTAGTAGTAACAGGAGCAGGGTTCAGAGTGACACCTGGACCATCAACGGGCGCAGTGGTAACAGGAGCGTCATTACCAGCGTCGGTGGTGGGAACAGCTTCAACGGTAGAAGGGCCGTTGTTGTCTTCGGCAGGCTCGGTAGTGGCAGGAGGAGCATCATCAGTCTCAGAAGGTTGGTCTCCGTTGACAGAAGTCTCATTCTCGACGGGAGGAGTGTTGTCAGGGCCTGGAGCCGTAGTCTCGTCGGCATCATTGTCGGGAGAGCCGGCGGTAGTCTCATCAGGGTTGCCAGGAGCCCCAGCAGTGGTCTCAGAGTCCGCAGGCGCGGTGTTGTCTGGAACAGCGACAGTGGTTTCATCAGCACCGCTACCAGGCGAGCCAGCAGTGGTCTCATCAGGGTTTGTGGGAGCACCAGTAGGAACACCGTTCTCATCAGAAGAGACAGGCTCAGGCTGACCAGGAGCACCGGTGGTCTCAGGCGAGTCGCCACCAGGAGCCTGAGTAGTCTGATCACCGTTACTGGGGACATCAGATTGCTCAGGTACGGCACCAGTAGTCTCAGATCCGTCACCATTGCCGGCACCGGGAGCTTCAGTGTTGTCACTTACAGCACCGGTGGTGACAGGAGAGGAACCATCATCGGGGCCAGGAGCGCCAGCAGAGGTCTCTTGACCTCCAGGAACGTTGGTCTGGTCGGGTGAGTCTGGAGAGCCAGTCTCACCAGAGCCAGCAGTAGTAGCATCAGGCTGTCCCTGGGTGACATCGGGGGAGTCGGTGGAGTCACCGTTTCCGGGAACAGCACCGGTAGGAACGGCACCATCAACGGTGGTCTCGCCGCTGCCGTTGCCATTACCACTGCCGTTTCCGTTGTCTTCAGAGCCGGGTGTCTCTACAGGAGAGTCGGTAGAGTCACCACTGCCTGGAGTGCCTTGGGTGGGAACGGCGCCATCGACAGTAGTCTGGTTGCTGCCGTTGCCGCCGTTTCCATCGCCATTGTTGTCACCAGAGCCGGAGCCAGGTGTTTCACCAGGGACGTCAGTGCCGGTCTGAGTAGCAGCGACACCATCAGCGAGGCTGGAGCCATCAGAGGAAGGAGATCCACCGTTACCGTTGCCACTGCCATTGCCGGCATCACCGGTAGGCTGACCATTGGCACCAGTCTCGGGGAGCTGAGTAGCATCACCATTGTCATTGCCGTTGCCAGAGCCCGAGCCAGTGCCGGGAGTCTGGGTAGCGTCACCGCCAACACCAGGAGCAGTGGCATCACCACCAGCACCCTCAGTAGCATCGCCAGTCTGAGGGAGCGCAATGGCGTCACTACCGGCCTCGGTACCGGTTCGGGTGGCAGCGACACCATCAGCCAAGCTGGATCCATCTGAAGAAGGAGATCCATTACTGCCGTTGCCGGGGCCGGAGCCGCTACCGTTGTCGCCATCGTCAGGCTGACTAGGTGAGTCGGTAGCGACACCATCGGCGCCAGTGGGTGATCCAGAGACACCGACACCGTCAGCATCAGAAGCTTGACTAGCCTCTGGTACTCTGGTAGTCTCATCAGGAGAGACAGGATCGGCGGTCACATCGCTTTGGGGAAGGCCAGTGGTCTGAGTACCTGAACCTTGTGTGAAGGTAGGCACTGGGCCTTCCTCATCATCACCGGAACCAGACCCTTCCCCGGAGCCAGAGCCGGAACCGGAGCCGGAGCCATGTGTCTCAACAGCACCCGGTTCTGTAGAAGCGATCAAAGTTGCAGCCTCTGAAGAAGGAAGATCATAATCATTGGAAGGAGGAGGAGCATAATTGTTTGGTGGAGGGGGAGGGTAGTAACTATTGCCGGAAAGATCTCTCGCGGGCTTGCAAGGACTGCCCAGAGCGCCTGCGCTCCAGAGAGCCAAGAGCAAAGAACGTTTCATTTTGAAGTAAAAAGAATGTATGAGTCAAGAAAGAATGACTTGAGTAAGGGACTCAATAGAGAAAAGACTGTACTTCGAATGAATGTGATGTCGCAAATTGAGGGCGTTTCTATGTCTATAATATACAACATCGGGACTTTAGAAAATACACCGACATCCTGGATGAATTGCAACACCAGCATTTAGTCGCATCCTTGACCATGTCGGCATCGCCATGTTGGAAAGATCGTAAGCAGGTCTATTCACGGGAGATGAGCGGATCAGCGGAGCCATCCACTCTACAGTTATCTCAAGGCTGTATTCTAGAAGAGCACCAGTAACGGATATGAAAATCCGATACTGAGTGTCACTGCATGAATACAGTCAGCTCTAGGATTCAGTCCCACCACGTCTCGTTTTGAAACGAGGCTCTGAGATTAGAGGGGACAATAGAAATCCTTCAGAAGGAATCTAGCGCTAAACTAATCCTGCTTCAGTGTAGTCGCGCGCGCCAATGTCATCATGGTGGATGTGACTAGCATGCGGTGAGCCAGTAGTCAGCCCTAGCGGGCATATCCGATTTAAGGGTCCTACATCCACCCTCAACTCTGCGTGCGTTTATCGTAGATCTTTTCACTTTGTTTCACATATACCGTCTTGTCCTTTTTGTGAGACGTGCGCACTAGGTCTTTCCTTGCACCGCAGTTCAGCGGCTCGGAATTTTCGCAAAGCAGGTTTCTTTGTTGCATCATAGGAAAGGTCAATCGCCCCCACTTCCATCCTTTGTCCTTTCCAGGCCAGCCAGGATACCATTCTCTCCCAAACACCATTCTTCTCACATCGATCCCAACATCATCAATCATGTCTCAGAACCCAGAATATGTGTATTGCACCATCTGTGGTATGCTCCTTGAGGACGACTGCATCGTTCTACGAGGCCCCCACTGGCCAGACGCCAACGCTCGCACAGTCACCGACCAAGAAATAACCCGCTACACGGGCGAAGCAGACAGCTGCTACGGTAAAATCCACATCCTACCCGACCGTGAGCGCATCTACCCTCAAGAAACAACCGACGAGGATGACGAGCATGTCGGGGACGGCCCTTCTGCCAAGATGTACCATGGCATCCACCCAGCCTGCGAAGATCTCGCCAATCGCGTCATCGCAACCTCTCCCAATGCTAAAATTAGTGGCGTCGGGGATTTGTTCCTGACGCTTGAGCGACGCTGTGCAAGTTATCACTCTCAGAATGGACGTCAGAGGTCGCTTCGGAGGCGTAGGGATGATAATTTTGTTCCCCCCATTTTCAACGAAGACAAGAATGCCTTCACATACGATGGATATTACGTTCCGGTGAATTGTATCGACCAATGGGGTGATGAATGGGCAGGATGGGTAAGTTCAGCCCCCCACACTGTTGATCTACATATGTACTAACAGTATCACAGTGGGATGAGGATCCCGTCAACATCCCTGACCTTACCACCCGTCTCATCTCCAACCTCGAGAAGGCACCCGAGTCGAGCAGCAGTCAGAAACCCATGGATGATACCCCCAATGAGATCAACGACCACATCCGCGGTTTTGTGCAAGGTCCCCTTCCGTTGGAATGCACCTACCTAATGCCTCAATCCCAATGGGCAGAAGTTTTCTTCCGTATTCCTTTCCTGTGGGATCTTGACATGGAGATCATCCGCGAGAAGACAGGTTCCAGCAAGGAAGATCTCGAGAAGTGGAACTGGGAGAAACTCACTCGGCAGATCATGTGCCCTGTGCCATCCATGGCCGATGCTGAGGATGAGGAGGATGCGTGGGATCATTCCAAGGTTGGACTTGAGGATATCCCGGGTGGGTTGACCAATCGGCGACGGATTTGGCAGGTTCTCGAAGAAATGCGCCCGGAGACTGAACTACGGGGTTAGGTTTGAAGTAGATTGACGCTGAGAATGTGAACACGGGGTTACGGGTTGTACACATGGGCAGGGTAGGAGGATTCTGTGTATCTGCATTAGTGATACTCAGCCCCACGGGAAAAACTACAGATTGTAGAGAACAGATTAAACCTTACGCAGCTTATACACAGTTGACATTTGCTATCCATAGGATTCCGTCTTGCTTAGGCTCAGTTGAACAAAATGGTGTTGCTACGCATGTCGTGACCCACAATGCTGTTCTAAGATACAAGGAGGCATTCAGCAAAACACTGAACTATTAACACGATTATTTATTCTCACGCTTGTTTCATTCGAGTCTTGTAAGGCAAAAACGCAGATGTCGTGGTGATACTACACTGTATGCTCTCCACGGCCAAATCCGCTGGCCCCTCTATTCAACTTGTTACCACGATGCCGCCCCCAATCGACCAGGTTCATCCCAACTCTCCAAATCCCATACTCCGCCATCGTCAGCTCAATGCTCATCGAGAACTTTTGATCTGCAGTCATCCCAAGGCTGAAACACCTCCACCTGTCAGGATAAACCTAGTTCTCTATCACAACGGCGTTCAAAACAGCGCTGCCTTAGGGCGTTAGAAGAATTGGGCATAAGAGACGAAATAATTTGGTCGCATTGTGCTAGCTTAGACTAGCAGTTAGGCTACTTTATTTTGGTAGCCTAAGCCTTAGAGGACGATTCTTCTGTTACCCACCTGCGCTGTAAAATCTAGACAGCGATTGACCAGGGCGCAATACCACGTCGGCCCCCAAATCCTTCCGATCAAGTTGAAACAGCGGAAATGAGCGACAGCGCTGCATTGTTCCCTAACGGCACGGAGCATTTAATTGTGGAAACAACCTTGTTTCATGATCGACGGGTGGAGACTCGTTTAATTAGCCCCATGTCAGCTTATCGACTTGGCTCCATACCCTGGCTTACATCTGGACAGCAGCATATTATATCCAGCATGGCTCGCAAAAAGACATATCGTGTAATTGACTCACTACGCTCTTTACCTGACAAATCCTCAAAATGGTTCCTTCATGGATTCTTCTTTTCGGTCTTTCCCTCATCGCCCCCACGCTCGCAGATGAATGCCAGCCCGAAACATGGCGAATGGCAGCACTTTCCAGCTCAGGCAGTATAAACTGTCGCATGAGCGAAGTCAGTGGTGCCAAAGTCGATCCCAAGACTTGTGCCACCTTGGCCAAGAAATGGGATATTTCTGTTGAGAAGTTTTACGAGTTGAATCCCCGCCTTGAGGATTCTTGCGAGAATGTCCGTCCCAAGATTCGATACTGCGTTGATGGATGTAAGTCATCCGAGTGAGGGGATGGGGTGTGTACTGACGTGATATGGGTAGTTGTTGAGCCTCTTCGTGCTTATGATGGCATGTGCGGACCTCAGAATAAGAACGCTACTTGTGTCGGAACGGATAAGCAGTGCTGCAATAAGAAGACTTGGACTTGTGGTGACAGCGAGTGTGTTACGATCTCTCTCCCCATTTTTCCTATCGCTAACATCTTACAGGGAGGACTGTACTGTGAACTGCTACGAGGGAAACTGTTACTAAGTTAGATGGGATATCGGAGTTTTGGATAATCTTTTCTTGATGTAGTTTGCTGATTAATGAGGCTTGTTTATCTGAATTCTTGTTATCGCTGAATATAAACTGACCATACAATCGCTATTGCCCGATCCTGTGACGAGTCACCAAATTAGCCCTCACACGGGCGCATGTGATCATGAGCTCTTCGACGCTTAAAAGGGGGAACTGCACTCCAAGTATTTCCAATTGCCGACACCAGGAAAACATGAACCATATTTCAAAACATCTCATGGAGTAATCCAATGGACTGCGACCCCCATTATCTTTAGCAAGATAATCGGGCTTCCCAATGCTGAGTAGCCAATAAGCAATCACGATGTGGCCGTGTTCGGACGCATACGAGAGAGGTGTACGTCCCTGATCGTCCTTGGAATCGAAGATGTTCTGTATCTCGATCCGGGTGAGCAGATAGTGGACAGTCCAGACTGTTCCCGCACGACAGGCAGCGTGGAGCGGTGTCCCGCCCGAATCGCGGGGATCGCTGAACGTAATAAATTGTTTGGCGCTATCGGCGATGGCGATGAAGATGTGGAGGGTTTCGTCGGTGGCGGCGGCCCTGTTGAGAGGTCCCGGCATGTTCGGTGGCCCTGGTTATCGCAGACGGTTAATAAGTGAAAGCGATGGTGATGGAATGACTTACCGATGGTCCAGTCGAAGAACCTGCGCTGTGCATCGACGAGGACTCTGACAATGCCGATATTCCACTTCTCTGTGATAGCCGCGGACAAGAGCCTAGACCCCAAACCGTTTGAGTTGAGCTCGTCGTATAGGTGAATGAGAGAGTAGAAGTCGTCTTTGTTACCCGATTTCCCGACTTTCAGGATATGTTCCTCCAGGGGATCCACGCCGTGGCCGGTAAGGTTAGCACGGCGATCACTCTAATCATTCCGGTGCCTTTCGTCATGGCGGCGCGTCAATTCTTGCCGATTGGTCGATTGCGGGTCTGACATTTTGATAATTGTAGATAGATGCTGATAAGCTTAGCGTGCTGATGATGTTTGATGTTGATGAAGGAAGAAAGAAAAGAAGGGCTGGTGTTGTGGTGACGGGATGTGCCTTGATAACCACCGTCGCGCCTGCCTCTTGGACCAGGCAGCAGGGTCCATGACATAAGAATGAGCCCCCGACAGCATAAGAGACGAAATAATTTAATCACCTGATTCCAGCTTAGGCTAGCATTTAGGCTACTTTATTTCTGTAGCCCAAGTCTTAGAGGATATTTCGTCTGACACCAACCTGCTAGGGCTGTACTTGAGACTTGACATTCGATACAAAACATGCAAACTCCAATTGTGTTGATTTGAATTGTACGACGTGATGACTGACCTTCAAAAACCTTAAATAGACATGCAAACTCCATCAATTACCCAGTCTTTCCATCCAGACCTCGGACTTACTTCACCTCATCATGCTCCAACCCAGCCTCCTTCGCCTTCTTATCCGCCAACTCACACAAATAAGCAAACTCCTCGCCACTGACTTTACTCACACTCAGTCTCGACTGCTTAAGTAACTGCATCGTTTCGAGTGGACCACCCGCCTTGCCTAGCTCTTTCAATTCCTTGAGACCGATGGGAACGGCGAACTTTTTGCGGAATTCGACGTGGACTAAGTCCCAGATTGGTTTTTCTTTGCTAGATTTGGGGTCGTAGTATGGTGCGCTTTTGTCGCGGGCGGTGCCTGAGACTGTTAGTAGATGAGACTGAGGGTGGGTGAGGGAGGACGTACGGTCTTCGGAGTATTCTTTTACGATTTCCATTATACCGACGATACCTGGTTCTTTGCAGTTACTTGCGTAGAAGAAGGCTAGATCACCAGCATTCATCTGTCTCATATTATTCCTCGCTACCAAAGTCAGTCTTCACTCTCACGCACATCCTCAAGTCAAGTGACTCACCAGCATAAGCTCGAATGCCGTCCCACCCTTCAGGTTCTGTTTTGGCCTTGAGATCATCGATTGAAAACTTGACATCGACTCCGTTTTCGATACGGGTCTCTGGTTCGGCTTTCATGAGCCAGTACCATTTTCCGTCGTGCCTCTCGCAATTGGGGTTTGTTGTTGGGATTTCTGGGGATGGGGACAGAGAGCGTGAGCCAGCGTCAGAATCTTGTTTCTTTGCAGCCTTCTTTGGTTTGGTTTCCTTTGGTTCTGATTTGGTGGCTTTTGGTGCCGGGCTGCTCTTCTTGGGTGTGGGTTTGGCTTGTTTGGGTGAAGGCTTGGGCTTGTCATCTTTCTTCACTGCTGGCTTTGATGTCTTCTTTGGTGGGCTCTTCTTGGTGATAGGGACAGGTTCAGACTCAGGTTCTGGCTGGCTTTTGGATGCGTTTCTCAAAGATCTTCGCTTTGGGACAACATCTTCGGAAGATTCCCGGGCACTTCTCTTTCTTGGAGGCATGGTTGATGTGGTGTTTTGTGCTGTGATGTGAATTGTTGAGATGCGAAATGCTGGTAGTTGCTCTAAGGAGTACAGAGGACCGACCAAACACGCGACGCGTTCAAGTGAGGCTGGTGAGCGGATCAGCCACAATCGACGTTACTGAGCCACACTTTGGGTGATGAGGAACGGGTGCAGGGTAAAGCGACGCTCTCCCAACACGACGTTGGCAGTTCTCTGCAACTATTGATTGCGAAATGGTATTACACTTTAATACTGGGATCAACACAATTGACCTAATTTTCCTCTTTCCCCAAATACTATGCTCGTTCCCCTTTCATTCCTAGACATTGTATAATTATTATGTTTGACGTGATCTTGTTTTGCATCCAGTTTGCGTCGGGCGGTCGCACATGAGGTCACAGCTATCAAAAAGACACAACACTATAAAAGTCATAATCTCATGAATTAATCTCTAAATCAGATCCCAAATAAAACGCCAAAACAATATTCGACCGAAATTTATCACTCAGTCGCCCAATCTTGTCCCCTCAAAAAGCTGTCCACCACAGTGTCTCACTCTTAACCCACTCATCCGTCCTATTCCCACGCTCCTTGATCTCATTCAAACTCTCCACCGCGCGCTCATGCTGAGCTTTTGCATATGTGTATTGTTGTCGCATCATATAATATGTCATATAATATGTAGCTATTCATTTATTAGTCGGATAGAATTGAAGATGTAGGGACTGTGGTGCGTACCTGCTGCTGTTGCGACGAGTGCTGCTGTGGGTAATGATTTAGCGGCCCTGGCAGTAAATCTGGGGGCTGCTGGCTTTGGGAAGTCAAAGCGGGGAAGAGCTGATCCGCATGAATTTGTTGTCATTTTGGTTGTTTGTGTAATTGTTGAGCAATTGAAGTTGTTTGTTGTGATGTAGTTGCTTGATATGAATGTTGATACTGAATACAATTGAACGGTGGTGATCAATTCATTTATATTCTCTGGTGTTCGGATTCTCCCGCTACTTGATCATGTCATATTAGCTCACGGGCAGTTTACAGTGGGTCACCTCGAACGGTCGCTCTGCTGAACGTGGCGTGATTCAACTGCTGACATTCCCCGGGACAAAACACGGCCTCCAAACCGGGTGATGTTGGTCTGAGGTCGCTTTTAAAGTTGCTCGTCATTTGTTTTAAGTTTGGCAGGCAGATCGTAGATCTATAAAATGTGGCGTGGTGCTATCGCGAAATTTCCCGGCGCGGAGAACTGCGACACTTCAATTGAGACTCGCCGCTCTTGGTGTCTTGTCGCGAAGCCATGAGATGGATCAGATCATGCAGGATCAGAGCAACAGCGAGCGACTCAATTGGAGCACATTTACGCGTTTAGAAGTAATTATTACCATGAAAATGATTGACTCTAACTAAAGCTTAGATGATTGATGGGGAAATGACTATACAATTAAATGATTGGCCCAAATGGCATCTCGAATGACCTCTCAGCTCAACACAACCAATGTCTACTCCATATGCTTTGCAAACCACTCCAAAAACACATCCGGATTCTCCTGAAAGTACGTATACCCCTTCGCCCTAACCGTACCCTCCACCCAAAGCAACTTCTTATCCTCCACACCAAGTCCATCATACATAGTCTGCACATCCTCCTCCTTTGTCAAAACATCATCCTTCACCGAATAAATAAACGTCGGAACCTTGACACTCCCCATAACAGGAATAGGCGACATTTCATCAATGTCGAAACTCGTCTCCATTTTGATCATCGTGTTGACTTGGTCGAATTTGTCGTCCAGGCCATACATGCCCAGTGCTTTCTCGACGAAGCAGCGGTAGGAGAGAGGTTCGGGGACGAGAAGACAACGGATGTCTGAGAAGATTTCGGGGCGACGGTCCATGGCGAAGAATGTGGCGATACCGCCTAGACAGCGACTGAATAATCCGACCGTCATATCTTTGAGATCATCTCGACTCTTCACATACTGCATCGCCCCAACAACATCCCTACTCTCCAACCGACCATTCCCGGTAACACCACCATTAGCACTCCCACTCATCCCCGAGTTCCTCATATCATACGTGAGGACATTATACCCCGCATCATGCAAGATCTTCAAGTCCGGAATAAAATTCAACTCAAAGTTATTGCCAGTGGCGTCACCACCGAGAAATGCCTTCCATGGCTCAATATGTAGGGGATAGCCGGAGCGGGTGCAGCGGAGAGGATGGTTGGCGATTATAAGCTTGGTGGAGCCGGGGCAGGGAATGTACCATGCTTCGAGGGGTATGCCATCTTCGGAGGGGAAGAAGACGTCCGTGTAGGATAGACCGGCTTCGCTGGGACGGTGGAGGATTGGGCTTGGGATCTTGTTACGGAGGGGGGCGACGAGACTTTGTAGGACGCCTTGGGTTTCTTCGGGAGTCATGGTGAGGATGGAGATTGAGTAAGTGATGAATGAGTATTGTCAAGTAAGTTGTACGCCTTGATTGTTGGGAATTCAAAAAGTTTACTGTCATAATTGATGAGGAGTCGTCTTGTATTAATACGTCGCAGAAGCAGGATCGGAAAGAAAAAGGCTATATGGGAAATTTCCTGTATTGTTTCCCTCTTTTGGATTGTTTCCCTTTTCTAGAAAAGTAAGCTGACATGCATCAAAGGATTTAAACTAAACCATCGAGTCTCACCATCTCGGTCTCAGATCAATTGGATAGGGTCTTACAAAGATTGATTTGGTTCGCTGCGAACATGTGGCGTCGGATGACCGCATAGGCTACTGAGTCTGGACCGGAGTTAAGACGAGAAACAGTCCTACCATTGCTGTATTGCCACCAATAGATGTAGGAATCGGGGAGATGTGTCAGCTTTGGGGGCGGTATCCTGCATACTCGGAATTTCCTGCATCACCGAAGGTATCACCTTCCTGTAAAGGTTTACAATTGCACATTCATTGAATACAAATGACTACCTATTGAAGCCATGCCAAATTCCATTGCTTATTGCTTCAACCCAGAACCTTCCATCCTCCATTTAGATCCTCCCTACTCTACAGAAACAGCCAAAGCCTTCTTAAGCGCATCCGGATTTCTCGGCGTAAAAGTAGCCTTGTACCTCCTAGGCATAGCAACAAGACTAGTAGGATCCAGATTCCCAGTAAGAGGATGACAATCGACATCATCAAACTGCTCAATCTTGACACTGTTCAAAAGTCTCATGTACAAAAGATACAGTTCCCGGTTCGCCAATAGTGAGCCCGCGCACATGCGGTAGCCTACGCCATAGGTGAAAAGTGGTGCGTCGGGTTGTTCGAACCAGCGCTCGGGACGGAAGACTTCGGGGTCGGTCCAGACTTGGTCATCTAAAGATATTAGTACGAGCTGGGTTCGAGGGTAGAAGAGGGGGGACATACCCATATTGCAGGCCCATGCATTGAGGAAGACTACTGTTCCTTTGGGAATTTTAACACCGTCGTAGACGACATCGCGGATTGAAGCTCGTGGTAGAGCAAGGCGAAGAACGGTGTAGTATCGCAATGACTCCTTGACCAAAGCAACGACGTACTCGCACTTCTGATCATCGTTGACATCACACATAGGCTCCTTCTGACTAAACGTCTTTCCAATTTCGGCAACAGCCTTTTCTTGGATCTCAGGGTGTTGACTCAAGTATGCGACGAACCAGGCGACAAGAGTAGTAACTGTATCCAAACCGCCTGAAAGCATGGTGAGACTGATGGATGTGAGTTCATCTTTACTCAGCTTCGCCTCCTTATCCATGATGACGTTGGCTTGAATGCAGGGTTTGTAAGTCCCATTTGCAATTCTCTCATCCAGGCCGTCGTTCAGAGCTGTGAGGTATTTATCACGTCTTTCTCTCATCTCCCTTGCTTTGGCAGAGTGGAAGTTGAATGGGTTTAGACGAAGAAGAGGGATGTAATCTTGCAGATTACCAGTCGTTGATCTGAACCGGCTGATCTCTTCTTCCACGTGTGTGATTTCGGCAAACATGTCGTCCTTTTGACTCTTGAGACGAATACCCCAGTTGAGAGTCAGCGCTAGGGAGAGGGAGAGACGTTGAATCATGGGCATGGGGTCCACGGGGGTCTTGCCACTGTTACCATACTCGACGAGCTCTTTGATAAAGTCTCGAGTTTCGACGTCAAGATGGTCGACGTAGGTTGCTACGGATGGACGGTTGAGAGCTGAGGCAGCGCCTTTGCGACGACGTTTGAGGGAGTCGCTGTAGGGCGAAGTACCAATTGTTGTTCCAGCCGTATCCGAGAGGATCTAAGCAAGTCAGCATGTATCCCAAAAACGCACAATTTATGGGCATACCTTGTGAAAGGTATAAAACTCAGGTCTAGAGCTCAAAGCCTGCGCATTGGCGCCAAAGATAGTTCTCGCAGCAGCAGCACTATTAACCACAACAATCGGAATATTGCCAAGCTGAATCTGATAAACCGGGCCATATTTCTTGGCCCACTCGCGATATTTCTCCGAAGCATTGACTTTAATATCGCGAATATTGCCGATTAGTGGTAAACCGGAGGGACCGCGGAGATGGCTGATTCGTGCATTGCTGCGGATGATTTCGTTGATGAAGACGTAGATCAAAGGTGCTATGAAGAGCGTTATCAGGAGGGATTGGCCTTTGTTCTCTTGCACCTGGTGGGTGAGGGATAGAAGGAGGTTTGCGATTGTCATCTTGTACACCTTCAAGAATCTGTCTCTCGAATAAGCTTGAGTAGAAGAGAGTGGTGTTGATTAGATTGTTGGATTGCTGACTGGCTGGTTCATTTATACCAGGACAAACTCAAGCTTCACAGTTACACTAGCAAGCCACCATCGTTACCCCACACATTAGCGTTGGGATCGACGGTCGAGACGTTTGCGGGTCTAGAACAGCCATCTCGGAAACTCGGAACCATTCCGACGTTTCCTCAGTCAAAACCCCTCATATACCCACACTCAATCACTTTCGCTCGGAACTTGTTTATTCATACTTACAATGGACGAAGTGCAAGAAACACACTCGGTATCGAAGCCGAAGAAACGGAATAGTGCTGACGCGGAAGATGCAACTCCGGGTGTACGTTCCAAAAGAGGAAAGTATACTTCCGCGGCGTGGTAAGTGGATTACGGTACACTCTGTTATGACGCGTCGCTAATGATGGTAGTGATGATTGTAAGAAGAAGAAACTCAAGTGTGTGCCTACCGAGAATAATAGCTGTGAGCGATGTATGGCTGGTAGTTTGGCGTGTACGTTTGCTACTACTACTACTATTCATGTCAAGGATAAGGATAAACCAGAAGAGTATGTACCTTCTACCAAATACTTCGACAAGACTAATATCGGCATATAGACAACAACCTCAGAGTCTTAATAATGAGTTGTCACAACTTCGGCAACAAGTTTCGGATTTGGTGGGCATGGTGAAAGAACTCAAAGAAAGCCAAATCCGTCACCCACATACACAACCACAGCTTCATCAACCATCACCAGCATCATCAACCTCCAACATCGCTGTCATCCAAAACGCAAACTCTCCCGCAAGTACTCGTGGACCTGTCCCCGTTCAACCCCAATTCGTCGGACCAACACGCTCAGCATTCGGTATCCTCGTAAGCGAACACTCCCTGAATCGTATGGGTATACCCAAATTCGATTCCATGCCCCCCAGCGGTGCACAATCACCCATAGAACCTCAAACAAGTCATTTAGGTTTCTGGGATTCTTGCAATGCGAGTGACGTTACCAAGTATTTGGTTCTGTACCAAGAGGAAGTGGACAGTGTGTACCCGTTTGTGGATATCGGAGAGTACATTGCCCAGAGCAAGGAGATTCTACATATCATCCAGGGAAAGAGAGGATTAGATGAGACTCTCTGCGATAAAGATATCGCACTTGCCAGAGTCGCTATGGCTACGGGTGTTATACTCGATGAACCAGGTGGTGTTGAATTGAGTGCTGCTATCGTTGAATCTGTGGAGAACAGTGTGTCGTGTATAGGCAGTCCCCAAGCTGACCTCAAGGAGATTCAACTACTCACTATGCTGGTACGTCTCTCATCCCTTCTAAATCCTCACCCACCTCTTAATACAATATAGAGCATATACTATTTTCACTCCGGCGAAGAACTTCTCGCCTGGCGGACTATCGGTATCGCAGCTCGCGAATGCCTCGAAATGGGCCTTCATCGCAAACGCAGTTTGTTTGATAATTTTAAAGATCTTGATACTCGGAGACTTGCTACGCGAGTATTCTGGTGTGTCTATGTTTTGGATAGACGGTGGAGTTTCGGAACGAGTTTGTCGTTTGCGTTAGTCGACAAAGATGTAGATCCAGATCTGCCAAAGCCGGTGAGTAATACGTTGTGTTGATAGTAAGAGTGAGGTGGCTAATGTGCAATAGGACGAGGAATATCTTTATTTGCAGTGCATGGTTGGTTATGGGCAGCTTTGTTCGCAGATTTGGGAAGCGATTCCGCCTTTTGGATCTGCTTCGCAGAGTATTCCTGATGATACTGCTGCTGCGCTCGACTTGAAGACGCAGGATTGGCTGGATTCCATTCCTTCTCATCTAAGACTTCGTCATCCACGATTAGGTCTTGCACCACGCACACAGCCTAGACAACCACATCGTCTTCGAGCTCTGTTGTACCTACGCGGAAACTACATTCGAATTCTCATTTACAGACATCATCTCATGAGTACAGCCAGCATTTTAGCCAACCCGCAAAGTGCATGGCTGGTCGTCGACATTGCGCAAGACACTATTCAAGTTTTGGTGCATCTGCATGATACGACAGATATTTATTCACGACAGCAGAACGTGTTCAATTATTTCCTTCTCAGTGCGCTGGCAGTCATATTCCTGGCGGTGTGCCATGCGCCGGATATGTTCTCATCGCCGTGTAGACGGACATTCTCTGATGCCGTTGAGCTTGTGAGGGGTCTTTCGAGACATAGCACTGTTAGTAAACGGTTGTGGAATAGTATTCGGGGTATGATTCCGCGGATGAAAACATTTGTTGGAGACCAGGAAGGAAACCATGAAGATGGGCCTCAAGTTGAGAAGACAGGTGAGGATAATCAGCTCGCACAAGGAACGACGGAGATGGAAGACCAAATGCCAGTACCGATGGCTGAGAACGAGACCTTCACGTTGGACAACATCATGATGACACCCGGGGACATATCAAGTTCCGTCCCAGATATGTTCCGGATGACAAACGAATTACTAGATCTCTTCAACGCATTCGGTCAAGGACAACAATTCTTACAACCAGTACCAGGAACATTTTCCGAAGACGAAGATTTCACAGTTGGAACAGAGCAAGGCAAGGATATATCAATGCGATTCCAAGGTCTTATATAATACTCTACACAACCTCATTCTCAAAATAAATCATGGCAAATCCCTGATTAACACCCTTCGCGAAAGTCCTCAACTCCAAATGCGCCTCGCATTGTGTGTCGTAGAAATTGAAATCTTCTTGGGAGTTGAAGCGTGATATGGCGACGACTGTGAAGCCTTGGGCTCGTTGGTCGGGGTTTGCTTTTCCTGCTTCAACGGAGGCAATGTATGGTTTTCCGTCCTGGTTTGTTAGATGGTGATAGGTAAGGTGAGTTGAGGGAAAGTACCTTTGTGGCCTTTTGGGGCATTTGTTTGTAGAGATCGACTAGGTGTTGTTGGTCCTTCTCTGATGGGACTTTGAAGAGCGTTACGCGGGTTACTGGCGACATGATGGACTTGGACTTTTGAACAGACTGACATTTAACAACCTTGAGTAAATAGTCCTATATATATGTCTACAGTCACTACTCGGAATGTGTGGTTTGTGGTTCCGGACTGTGATACACCACCACTATTGCAGCCTTTCCGATCTCCCGATTGGGGTGGTAGCTCAAAGCCAAATTACCGGAAATTCTAATTGACAAATCATATTCATTGAAAAATGGCTTTTAGAGTGTACGAACTTTCAAGATAGAGACTCGATGTCTTGTTTCTTTTATAGATTGCCGTGAACAATTGACGATCGTGCTATTCTTACCATATCAGTATTATACGTTCGACGAAGAGCAATATTTCCATGGATATTTTGAACTTGGCATACATTTTGTAGTCTATCTATTTTAGGCAATTGGCCACTCGAGTAACCCAAACAGTCTAACTAGTTCCTCTTAATAGCAGGCAAAATAGTACCAGAACACTCGCCAAAACCAACAATTCCATCGTCCCTCTCCCCAGCCCAACCCGTAATAGTAATAGTATCACCATCCTGCACAAACTTCCTCTCCTCTCCACCTTCCAACTGCACAAGCACCTTACCGCCTTGGGTTTGTTCAAGAAGACTTCCCTGCGTACCGGGCTCAAGACCAGAGATAGTTCCGGAACCGAGCAAGTCACCCGTCCGCATGTTGCAGCCGGAAATTGAGTGATGGGCAAGCATCTGGGCCCAGGACCAAACGAGATTCTTGGAATTCGTTTGTGTGATCTTGGTCGTGTTACCCTTGGCAGCTTTTAATAAATTAGAATTTATTTCTCGATAGCAGTGGAATGGTGTTGACTTACTCGTGATAGAAATATCGAGGTTCAGATGGAGAACTGAGTCTTTCCTCTTCTCATCCAGATACTCCTTCAAGGGAACATCATTAACCAAAGCCTCCCCATGAAATCCCTCCAGCGCATCCGCAAGTACAACCCAAGGGCTAATACTCGTACCGAAGTTCTTCGCGTTAAACGGACCTAGCGGAACATACTCCCACTGTTGGATATCCCTTGCACTCCAGTCATTCATAAGAACATATCCGAAAATGTGCTCTTGCGCGTCATCAACCGCAATTGGCGCACCGAGCTCGTTGCCTTTGCACACAAACATACCGAGCTCAAGCTCAATGTCCAATCGGGCGCAGGGTTGGAACACAGGGTCTTTGGCTTGGGGGTTGGGAAGAACCTGACCCCAAGGTCTGTGCAGTGGTGTACCGGATACCACGACGGAACTTGCGCGACCGTGATATGCGACAGGCAAATGATTATAGTTTGGCTGAAGAGCATTCGCAGCACCGCGGAACAAAGTACCTACAGTCTGCGCATGGTTCCGCCCAGCGAAGAAATCCGTATAATCGCCGATACTAAGCGGCAGATGCGTCTTTACATCAGCGATAGGAATCAAAGCCTCCTTTCGCAAAGCTTCATTATCCTTGAGAAGTTGAGGATACGGCGTTTCTTTGTGAAAGATCTGTTGAAGATAGCTTCTTGTTGCACGATGAACGGGTCTACCGAGAGCGGCAAAGTCGTTCAGTGACGTTTGGGAAAACACGGAGAGCTTATCTGCTGGGAAGTCGGATAATTTGGAGAAGCCATTGTTTTGGGCAAAGGCGGATAGATCAAGGACGTGGTCGCCGATTGCTATGGCCGGACGACGTGTTGAGTGAGTTGAAGATGAGATAATGCCAAACGGAATGTTGGCGAGCGAGAAGTGACTCTTTGGGGGAATTGGTAGCCAGGATGCCATTTTGGATAATGTTTGAAGATTTGGTCGCGTCTCGAAAGAAGCAATTACCTGAGAAGGAATATTCTTTGAAACTTTCGACCTTAGAGTCTTTATTATTGAACATAACTTCATGGTGGAGACAATTCCGAGTGCCCAGTATCGTGTCGATCATCGCTCGGAAATCTCAACTTCGTTCCGAGACACGGGTGATCGGTCGGCAATTCGGTCTCGCGCGGAGAACAAACAAGTCTGAGATAATCATCCGGGAATTTGTGTATATCTATCTATCTAATCTACCTGACATGCTTTTATCAATCTCAAGACACAGCTATTCAAAATGCCCGTCACCAGTTTTTCGACTCCTGACAAGTATTCTTACTTGAACGGCTTCGATTCATTCCACGAGTAGGTGAACCCCCCCACTATTTTGCTTCGTTTAGTAACATCATCAGATCGGAGTCCATTCAAGGTGCTCTTCCAATCGGTGCCAATTCTCCCCAGAAAGTACCCTACGGTCTGTACGCCGAGAAACTCTCCGGCACAGCATTCACGGCTCCACGTCATGAAAACAAGCAAACTTGGCTATACCGGGTTCTTCCTTCAGCATCACACTCAACATACAAGCGCTTCAAGGATGCAGCGCCTTCCCTCAAAGCAAAGCTGAACTATGTTCCGCAGCAGTTACGATGGGATCCTTTCGACATTGATGAGAATGTCGATTGGGTGCGTGGCTTGAACCGAGTTTCCGGCGCAGGAGATCCTACTCTCAAGACTGGTATTGGAATTTATATCTTTTCAGCTGGTCGAGATATGGATGAGAAAACAGCCATGTATTCCTCCGACGGAGAAATGCTTATCGTTGCGCAACATGGTGTGTTGGATATCCAGACGGAACTGGGACGTTTGCTTGTTCGTCCCAATGAAATCGCTGTCATTCCTCGTGGTATTCGATACCGCGTAACACTTCCGTCTGGCCCTGTCAGAGGCTATATCCTCGAGCTGTATCAGGGCCATTTCCAGTTGCCTGAGCTGGGACCTATAGGATCGAATTGTCTTGCTAATCCTAGGGATTTCCAAATTCCAGTTGCGGATTTTGATGAGGATACCAAGTCCAAGTGGACGATTCTAAATAAGTTCAACAATGATATCTTCGTGGCGGAACAGGGACATACGCCATTTGATGTGGTTGCCTGGCATGGAAAGTGAGTGAACCATTCGTTTCAGTCATGATCGTGTTGACTAACTCGTGACAGATGTGAGTAACGCACTCGGAGGAGGGTTATATACATCTTACTAACTTGCGTAGTCTACCCATATAAGTATGACCTCGGACGGTTCTCCGTCATCGGAAGTGTATCTTTCGACCACCCCGACCCATCAATCTACACAGTCCTAACAGGCCCATCCGACCACCCCGGCACCGCCGTAGCCGACTTCGTCATCTTCCCACCGCGCTGGCTCGTCCAAGAAGACACCTTCCGGCCACCATGGTACCATCGCAACACCATGTCTGAATTCATGGGTTTAATCTGCGGACAATACGATGCCAAGACAGGTGGCGGGTTCCAGCCTGCTGGAGCTAGTCTGCATAATGTCATGACGGCGCATGGACCGGATGCTGACACGTTTGAGAAGGCGAGCAATGCAGAATTGAAGCCTATGAAGGTTGGGGAGGGGAGTATGGCTTTTATGTTCGAGAGTAGTTATATGTTGGGCATTACGGACTGGGGACTTGAGACTTGTCAGAAGGCTCAGCCGGATTATAATAAGCATAGTTGGGAGGAGTTGAAGGTGCATTTTAAAAGGCCTTCCTAAGTTGCCTTACCTTAACAGATGTTACGATAGCCCAATTGAGTTTATAAACAATTAAATTGCAGCATTCGAAGTTGACGTAGGGACATAATCGTGTTGGGGTTCGGCAATGTGCCTGGAGGTAGCTGACGTGGTATTGTACCCATGTCGCCTCGAGACTGTAATGGTTATCTTCCTTATCATTGCGTTAACCTCAATCGACGTCAAAAAAACCCGTTATCTGACCCACCTTTGACTACTTGTTCGGACCATGTGGATATTCCCATATCAAATCTGGGGTTCGTTGCCCAACGTCTATCGGCCCCATTCTGCATGTCAATTCCGACAATATTCCACGTCAACCAACTACCTGATGACGGATTACATATTGTACTGTCATTTAAATTTAAATGATAGGCAAGACTGACTTGACTTCGGAATCAATGGAATCAATGTAGGTACCGGCAGACCACAGCCGCTTGGATCTAAAACGCGGGGTAAACCCTTGTCAGCCGTATCTCTCCCCCAGCCCAGACTGACTTAGCACGATCGCCACTCGCACTTTTTATCCCAAAATGGAAGGCTATCAGTCTGGGGTTGTCGTCGCGTGTACTTGGTCTAAGCGTGATAAGACAAACACGCTGAGATAAATAGGTCAGCGATGGGCGAGAATGATTCTTGGTTCAAACAGACATCGATCATGGAAGTCACATCTCCCGCACCGACGGACAATGAGAAGCAGTTGGGGCACACCAATCCCAACAGCCAGACTCTGGAGAGTCTTGGCTATGCGCAGGAAGTAAAACGCAGGTTCTCTCTCATGGCGATGGTAGCTACGTGTGTTAACCTGATGTGCACATGGGAAGCCCTATCCAGGTATGTTCATTCGCTCGTCATTCACGAATATACTAACGGTGATAAGTACTCTCGCTGCTGGCCTGGTCAGCGGTGGACCTGTGGCTCTTGTGTACGGGTCTATCGCCGCCTTTGCTGGGTCCATCTGCGGCGCCATGTCCCTTGCAGAACTGGCATCCAGCTTTCCTACAGCCGGTGGACAATACCACTTTGTCGCCAAATTGAGCCCACGAGCTACACGACCGTTGACAAGTTGGTTCGCCGGATACATTTCGTGAGTTACCAACGATTCGGTGTCGCGTAACGCAACATGGCTGACAATAAACTCACAGAACTCTAGGTTGGATCTCCCTCGCAGGCAGCGCTCCCTTCCTAGCTGGAACCCAGATCCAGGGCCTCATAGTCCTCAACAACCCCGACTACGTCTTCGAACGGTGGCATGGAACAATGCTCTTCTGGGCCATTCTCATCGGTGCAGCTGCTATCTGCATCCTCTGCAGCAACGCCCTCCCTCTCATCGAAAAACTCACACTGGTCATCCACGTCGGCTTCTTCTTCATCATCATAGTAACAATGGCCGTCGTATCTCCCAGCAAGCACACTGCCGAATTCGTCTTTACAAAATTCGAGAATAATTCTGGCTGGGATAACGACGCTGTTGCGTGGAGTATCGGTCTTCTTAGCTCGTGCTACGTTCTTATCGGGTACGATGGAGCGACTCATCTAAGTGAGGAAATGGATAAGGCCGAGACTGGTGTTCCAAGAGCTATGGTCGGTTCTATTCTCATAAATTGGCCACTTGGCCTTGCGTTTCTTCTTGTCGTCTTGTTTTTCATGGGCGATGTTAATTCCGCGTTGAACACACCTACGGGCTTTCCTATCATTCAGATCTTTTATAACATGACGGGAAGTGTTACAGCGGCTACTTGCTTGGCTGGTGCTATTACTGCTATGGCGGCTTTGTCGACTGTCCCACTTATCACGTCGGCAGCTCGTATTATGTGGGCTTTTGCCAGAGATGGAGGTAAGAGGAACCGATGATCACACGAATCCCTTGCTGACAGATACATCAGGACTACCCTTTTCGCAATACATCGCCAAGGTTGACAAACGGCGCGAGATTCCTACTATTTCCATCATGGTCGTCACATTCCTTCTCATTCTACTTGGTCTCATCAACATCGGCTCTACAACAGCCTTCAACGCGATCCTCTCGCTCGCCGTCGTCAGTCTGCAGATCTCGTACCTCGTGCCTATCATTCTCCTGATATGGCGTCGTTTCTGTCGACCCGAGACATTGACTTGGGGACCGTGGCGTTTGGGCAAGGCTGGTCTTTACATCAACGTTGTGGCGGTCATCTACTTGACTTTCACTTCCATCTTCCTCCTCTTTCCTCCTTATAGACCTGTTACTGCGGCAAACATGAATTATGCTTCGGTGGTTCTCGGTGGAGCGCTTTTGTTCGGTTGTGTTTATTGGCCGTTCAAGGCGAGGAGGCGATACATCGGGCCTTTGACTGGCACCGAAGTACTGGAAGGGAGGCTCAACTAGGGTTGTCGGATGGGAATCACCTAAATAGCATCGCCGTTCTTTTAATAAGTTCCACATTAATATCCACCTGTCCCTCTTCCGTCTTTTCGGGTATGAAGGGTGTCGGAAGAATTGACCATCAAAAGCACAAGAGACGAAATAGTCTAGTCGTCTTGTGACGAATTTAAAGAAGTATTCAGGCAACTTTATTTTGGTATGCTAACCCTTGGAGATCATTTCTTCTGTCACCTACTACGTACCTAGTGAGTATCGTCTCGTATCAAATTATGAGGAGATAAGGTTCATCATGAGATCCGCTTTCCTCGCTATTTAACCAATCCACAGGTGGCGGCTTATCAAAGCATCCACACAATAAGCCATCTCGGAATCTACTTCCGTATTCCGGCAGAAAACAAACTTAGCAATTACACTGACAATGAGGCTGATAATAGTAAGACAAAGGCCACCGCTAAACCACTCAGCGGACGACATCCAGTGATATGAGCGTTGTCGTCCATTCCTCTGCTTTCTTGGAACGTGATGGAACCAGCCTCGGCACAACCAGGATGGCATTCCAGATGCGTTAAATCGAGGAGTAAGTAACAATACGGACCTCATTATGCTCATCACTAACACTCACATACCAGGCGGATGTGCCACTTGCAAGAAAAGGGTGGGTCTTTTCCCTTTCTACTAATCCAGTCTTACTCATATCTCCAGAGGCTCAAATGCGATGAAACGGAACCCTTTTGCACACGCTGCATCAAATCAGGCCTGACGTGCCCGGGATACAATAAACCTGTGAAATGGTCAACTAAATACGAAATAAACTACAGTCCTGTTTCTTCCTCATCACAGCTCACCCTTTACACTCCGAAAGATGAATCGTCAACACTTCTGTCGCATTATTACTCGGACATTTGCCAGGTGGCTTCCTCCTTTGACTCAGCCCAGAATCCGTATCGCTCTGTCATCTCAGAACTCATACGCGATTCTCCTGTTGTTTTCCATTGCGTCATGACAATGTCTGCATCACATCTTTCTCAGCTTGGGAATAGCGGGTCGACGCCTCTTACCTTTCAGACCGAGGCGATTTCACAAATATCCAAAGGCATAACCGAGATAGAATCTGGGTCGAGGACTAGAGATGATCTGTTGCTAGGTATCATCCTTCTTGGTATGACGACGGTACGTATAGAAACCTGTTATTACCTTTATATGACTGACCGGATCCACAGAATTGGCACGACCCCTCTTCATTGGGCCTCTGTCACTTCCACGGCGCACGTCAATTGTTCAGGCTCTGGATGACACAGAATGACATGACCCTCTTACAGCATCCAGGCTCTTACACACATCGTCTGATAGCCTCATCCATGGTATACTGGGAGGTCATGGCAGCATGTTTGATCGACCAGGATATTGACGATCTCTCATACCTCGAAATATTTAGTACTCAACCACGCATATTCTTTTCGTATCCTTGCCCATGGACAGGAATAGGCACCGGAATCCTTATACATCTTGCCAAATGTCTAGCTCTTGTGCGACAGAGTCGGACAAGACATCAAAGCGGCTCTGCAAGTTCGGGTTCCACATTGCTCGACCAGCCTTTCGCTCTTTTACAAGGACTTGAAACAACTCAGATCCCGGCCATTGAGGAGATACAAGACACGGGTGATCTATTTACACCTGCTGATCACTTATACAAGATTGCGTTATGTCATCGACTTATCGCCAAACTTGAACTTTGCAGGGCTTTCCCTGAGCTTCGCCAGGTATTCTCCCAAGCAGCGATACAAATCGACCACGACATAGAGACACAAGAGTTAGCCATCGAAATTCTAAAAATAATGGAATCCATTCCAGAGAATTCCCGAACCATCGCAATCCAAACACTCATACTTTTATCAGCAGGTAGCTCTCTTGCACCAGCCGGGGAGATCACCATGGAGTGGAGAAGGTTCGTGATGAATAGGTTGCACAGGTTATACCACCGCCTCAGACTACAAACTATAAACCATGCTGCTGCGATTTTGAAGGAGGTCTGGTTACGGATGGATGCGGGCTGGGGAAGCCATGTTCATTGGATGACGGTAATGGTTGATAACAAGCTAGAGACTATTCTTGGATGAATTAACGGTACTCTCAATGTCCGAAACTGCGTGCTATGCTTCGGAAAGCAAGTCGGAAACAGATGAGTGTTCCCGATAGCGGACTTTCGGCATTTTTAAAGACAGGGCTTGAACGAGGGGTTATGTCTTGGTTACGACTCATATCTTGCCTGTCATATCTTGTATCGTAGTGATAACATGAAATCGATACTCGGTACTGCATCGGGAAGATGGGGTAGCTGTTAGATGGGTGGGCACCTCGCACTTTTAGTCTACAACGGGTAAGGCCTATTTCTTAGTACGAGGGGAAGCTCCACTACTGACAGAGCCGCTTTCAAGTCTAGCGGAACTTCGGACTTTTGTCCAGCAGGCATGAGACCGTGACTGAGGTCATGATGGATATAAAACAGCCTTTCAGTTACCATCCAGGTACTTTTGACTAAGACATCACAAATACAACTGTCATAATCGCCTGCTTCTGTTTCTCACAAAGCCAACTGTCACAATGGCACCATCAGCTATCACCGAAAACCCAGAGTTCGTCCCCGTCGCCGATTGGCCTACACTTGAAGCCATGGCCGACGGCTTCCGTCAAAATCTCATACCTGCAACTACCAAACTCCAGGGCAAAACCATCGCACATACATTCGACAATGGCATGAAGATCTCACACACGTTCGAAGCCGACTCCCTGACCTGGACAATTCTTGAGGGTCAAGACAGCGGCAAGTCCGGGAAGGCAGACTATGAGGCCTTTGAAGTCCGACCAGACATTTTCTTCATCGACTTCCTCAAGCCAGACTACAACGAAGTCGTCACTATGATCGCAGATCTCAGCACAGGTCAAGCCATTACTGGTGTATCCGGTTTTACAGAAAAGGCCGGTGAGCGCCGAACATACACAGCCTTCATGAACGCAAAAAGCCACGAAGAAAAGCCCGTGCAGGCCTTTTCCACCACAGAAGACCTAATTGGCAAACACGTGCTCTACCGCTACAGCAACAAAGATGCCTACGAACACATCTATCTCAACAAAGGAACCTTCGTGTGGCACTGTCTCGGCGGAGCGGAAAGAGGACTTGCGGATGTTGAGGAGTGCAAGACGCTCAAGCTGCGGGAGAACTTGTACTTGTTTTTCTGGACCGAGACAGTTCAGCCTGTTGAGAGTATGGTTGTTATTGATTTGGAGCATATGAGGTCTACGGGAAGGTTTTATTGTTGGGATCCTAAGCCGAAGGAGGCTGTGCATTTGAGGTTTGGAAGTCTTGCTACTGTTCTTGCTCAGACGTCGCCTATGGAGACTTTGAAGAAAGTCTCGGATGGGAAGTCGTAGTCTTGAGTTTGTCAAATAGTATGTTCATTATTCATGCACTTAAACTCCTAAACTCCATAAACAAGTTACCAACTAAGCCTTCTCGTATTCTGTTTTAGTCGCCAGTCTGTTCCTATTCCAATCTCAGACTCATCAGGCGAATGATATCCACTCATAAAATCACACTGTTCTTCCCAACCTCACTCAGTTAAAGTCCCAAGATGAAGTCCAGACTACTAGTCCACAAACAACAAACTCTTCGTAAACCCAACAGTCTCCTCAATCTGATTCAACATCCCCGCATGGATCAAAAGCCCAGCCTGATGATTTCTCATAACCTGCAGCGAATAAGAGCCCTTATCTTCCCAACACTCGTCATCAAGCTCATCCAGGTACATCTTCACATGCGACGCAACATCGTGCAGAATCTCGGCATCTAACGTCGCAAACTGTGCGTACGTCATAGATTTTGAGCATGTGGTGTCGCTTTCGATCCACTCTGAAGGATTGTTGGTCAGAATCTTGGCGATGGCTTGCACCACGGAGACTGCGGAGTCTAGAATCTCGTCGTCTATTGTTTCAGGGAATTCGGGACTGTTCTTTAGGCGCCTGAGGAAGTGTGCCATCAAGATAAAGTTGTCTTTGAGGTTGTAGAGTTCGTTGCGGGTGCGAAATATGGTGGGATTGGGTGGTGGACGGTGGGTTTTGTTTGGAGAGTCGATCGTGGCGGGTGGGAAGCCCATGTGCTTAGTTCGAAACTCATCAAAGTCACTACATAGATCAGTAAACCCGCCTCAGAGACGAAGGAGATTTGACTTACACCTTCATCATCGGGAGAAACTCCGCAAAAGAATCACTCATCTGTCCCAGCGTCACGCCATAGTCTCCAAGATCCTGATTCACACGGAAAGGAATATCGGATGCACCCAATAGATCATCGTCCTCAGGCTCAAGGCACTTCAACTCCACCATCGTTCTATGGAGCAGCCTGGTTAACTCGGCGAGCATGTCGGAAACCTCAGGGCTCAATGGAATCTGCACCATGCCTTGTTGCGCCGTCCAGTGCTTGGCGTAAATGTCTAGCATCGTCTCCAGTTCATTTGATTGCGCTGATAGATGGTCGCATGTTTGTCGAATTTGACTCATTGTAGAGATGCGATGGCCGCCGAGGGCGTGGGCGTACTTGGAGACGCTGGAGAGGAGTGTTATGGTCTGGGTACAGGATTTGTGGTATTCTCTCGGGTCGTCGATGGGGGCAATGTTTTCGTTTTCATTGTCGCTTTCGCCATCTTCATCTTCTTCGTCGCCCTTTTGGCTTTCTTCGATGTAGTAAGAGAGAAGGGAGCGAGGCTCGGTATGCGGTGATGATTCTTGACGCTCTTTGCCCTTGACAAGTTTGCGCTCGTCATCCTTAGCTTGCGCGCGATTCTCATCATTTCGGCGCAAGGGGATGTCTCCCTTTTTTATGAAAATTGTCGAGGTAGCCTCTTGATGTGACTGTGCATCCTCATATGGAGGGGGTTCTGATAATGGGACTTTTTGCCCAGCATTCGGTACGGAAGAAGCGACTGATGATGAAGACGGGACTCTGGTTGACGAAGATGCGACCGCTGTTGATGAGGAAGCTACTCTTGTTGATGAAGAGTTGTCTGCTGTTGGTTGACTTGCCTCGTCTCTCGGTCGCAGCGGCAGTTGGATCGCTGGGGTCACGGTTGCAGGGGTCTGGGCCTCAAGCGGGGCAGTGGGTGAGGTCGAACCTGACTGTTCATCAAAAGAGATGACAGATGCGGCGCTGTCGAGCTCTTCCCAGTCGTCGCTGATGGATCCTGGTCTATTAGTCGACATGTCGTTAGTTGTACTCGCCATGTTGATGTTTTTGGAGATGATATTTTGATGAAGAGAATGGAAGAAATGATGGTCGGCTGTTGTCATGGCTGATTTAGGCAGACGTTGCCTTTGGTTGGAGTGAATCTGCCTTATGTCAGCAGTTTCCTGAGTCACTGCCACCTGTCGGCTTTCGCATTCAATTGGAGGGAAAGGCAATCATCAATTCACCAATCAAACAAAGAAGGCAATAAAAAAGACAAATTATTACAGTACTGTGCTGAACGGAAGATGAAAAGTCAATCACGGTGATCCGATAAAGATAAGATCAAGGTATAAAATTAAACGAACTAATGAACCTAAATGATTCATACCTTGTACCACTTCTCAAGCACATCCAAACCCTCAACTAATATACAGAAAATCTTCACTGTCTAGCAGTAAAGTCACCATCCCCTTGATTAACCATCATTGTTGGAAGCTTAGAACTTCAGCTGACGAGCATGGCGGCGGGCCTTCTTGGCCTTGCAGCCAGACTTGGAGGCAACAGGAGTAGGAGTGGGGGTGACAATAGGCGCGGTACCATTGGCGGGGGTGCTAGGGACAACAGGAGTAACAGGCTTGGTAGAACCAGAGCCAGAGCCGTACATGGCAGGTCCAGGAATCTCGTACTTGGTGGCACCCGAGTAAGGGTCGAAGAGAATACCAGGCTCAGAGTCAGTGTAAAGCTCAGTGGTCAGAGTTCCCTCAGGGCTATCAGTTCCAGAGCCAGTGATGTCAATGTTGAAGCACTGAGGGTAGTTCTGAGCACCGTTCTTGGAGCCAGCGCCGTGAAGAGCGATGATCTCGTGACGGAAAACGTAGCTACCGGCAGCGAGAGTCTCGGGGACGGTGGTGGTCCAGGTGTTGTTGTTCTTGATAAGATCGGCAGCAGCCCAAGTTCCGTCAAGACCACCAGCGTCGATCTTAACCCACTTAAGCTCAGCAGGGTCAGCGGAAGTGCACTTGCCCTCGCACTTGGCAACGTAGGTCAAGACAGGACCGATGTGGGACTCAGGCCACTCAGACCACTGGAACTCAACAGAACCACCAGCCTTGACGCTGGCAGAGGTCTTGCCGGGCGCGGCCTTGATGTGGCAGGCAATGTCAGAAGTTCCGTAGGCGTCAGGGGCGACGAAGCCGTTGTCGAGGTTCTCGGCGGACCAAGCGGCTTGGACAGGGGCCTCGCCACCGTTCTTGACCTTGTAGTAGGAGTCGAGACTGTAGCCGGCCTGGTAGACGCCGTCGACTTTGATGCCGGTGACGGTTCCGTGGGCGAGGACGGAGGAGGCGAGGGCTCCGACGAGAGTAGCTGCGATCTTGAAAGACATTGTGATGATTTCTTTTTTTAAAGAGTGAATGTGAAGTAGGAAGTAGGTAGTAAACGAGTGTGATAGACCGGCTTCACACAGAAATGAATGAAAGTGAGAGTAAAGAAAGAATGGATGCGTTTGGAATGAGAGACCTAAGCTGAAGAAACAAGACTTGGAAAGGGCAGCATCTTGATGTATATATATTCGCAACCACGCAAGCATTTAGCATCTCTAATCTCATGTTTCCGAGTATCGCTTCGTCGTTTACTCTGATGCAGGAACAAATAAACTCCCAGTGGTGGAATTGTCACTGGTTTCAGTTTCGTGGAGCTAATTCAGGTACCCCTTCTTGCCTTGCAGCACCAAGCGCGCGGCTCACCTGTCAAAGATTAATTGTTTGGACAAAAGACGTGGGGCCCTTGTTACAGAGTCAGTTCGGATGAAAGATTATCGCTGCTGAAGAATCTTGCTAGGAGGGATGTTCGTATGGACTTCGGATTGTTTCTTAGTACGCGTATAAGGCTCGGGGATGGAACGGCTTTGGAAGTCAGCCCCGAGCTAAGCGACCGTCTCCGAGGTTTGTTTCATATAAATAAATTACGCGTATTCGACACGAGGGGTTGACGCGTCGGCTTCAAGATGGCGCAGCGTCATATAGAGTCTATCCACGATCTAAGATCTTGAAATTAAGATCACTATGTGGGATACATTTAGTTGCTTTAGATCTTAAAGCTTACTGCGACATCGAGTGAAGGAAACTGTGAGCTTGACCACATACCTGGGACGCTAGATGATAAGGCTTACAAGCTAGTTCCACAGTGGATAATTCCTCCGTAGCGAGATTGTGACGGCGATTAACGAGAGGTTCATTTACGTAGCTTCCCACCTCCCGAACCATCATCCCTGTTGACACATCGCGGACCAATCTCTTTTCGTGGTGGTGACCTGCGAATTTCTCCACAGATGGTCTGACAGTGACATATGTAGGTACTCTGTGACAGAGACCTCCGAAGCGAATTCATTTACTGCACAGATAACCATTTAGCAGGTTGTATCCAGTGCACTAATTAGATCTTACATCGATATTTGTCGCGATGTACGGACGTGTTACTCAAATGTATAACTGCGCACTTAATTGATCAAGCAACGCCAAAGGAACAGAAGATATGTATGTATACTAGTCGAATAAATTGAACGATGCTCCCTATTCGATGTGCTGAAGACCCTGTAAAGAATGTAGAGATCGTGTTACAGTCCTCGCCACCAACCCTATATCGTTTATTATGTCTTATCGTTGATTCAGATAAGATTAGATAAGAACTTCTTAGTATTGCACAGATTTCTGAAAATGTACTATTACTCAGTATCTTTATATTTTATACTAAAGTTCCACCTTTATTTTCGCTCCGGATTCAGCTAACAACTTGATAATAACATGATTCCCAGTAGCTGTTGCGTGGTCAAGAGGGGTTTTGCCTATCCCGTCCAGTCCGTTTATATCCGAACCGGCCTCTATAAGCTTCTTGGTAACCCCTATCGCTACGCCCATGGTAGCGTGGTGCATTGCAGAGTGACCATACCTGTCTTTCATCTCAATATCGACCCAACTACGCTGGATAAATAAATCAATGATCTTTTCGCAATTCTCAAAAGCAGCATCAAAGAATAAATGACATGGGTACTCTCTATGTTGTGCCTCAAGGTTTGCACCCATGTTTACCAATGTCTCGACTGCGTCAACTGAGTCGCGATCCAAAGCGCAGGCAAGAAAAGTCCGGTTGCCCATCGACTCGTTGGGGTCCATTCCCCAAGAGATGAGCAACTCGATGACGTCTGATCTTCCAGCCTCAACGGCACAGTGTAAAGCATTCCCATACCAATTTGACAAGTAAGGATTAGCTCCACGCTCAAGGAGCAACTTCACAGTCGGGACATGACCAGTACCTGCGGCCATGATGATAGGTGTGCTACCCATCCTTGTCAACTCATTGACATCCTGCATCCCGTTGCCAAGAAGTGTGGCGACAGCGTGTTCCAGTCCGTGGCGGCTCGAATGGTGAAGTGGCGTGCAACTCTTACATTCCGCGGAATTCCAGTACAACTTACGTCGACCTAGTGAATAATGATAGACTTGGTTTGCCGAAGCTGTTGCCGCGAGAGATGTGAAGAATGTGAACAACGTGGACTGGACCTCAACATGGCTTTCTGATTCTCTTGTATGCTGTCCCCAATATCTTGCGGTGTATTCGAGGAAAGGGTAGGATTGCATTCTTGACTCGATCTCATCCTTTGTGGACCATGGACCCTCTTCGAAGTCCTGGAACAGTAGATACTGTAGACATTTGCAGGCAATTATTCCCTGAGCATGAGGGAACAGGACTTCTTGATGAGCATCCACGTATTCTTGAATCGCATGGTGTGCCACTCGGATGTAACCCTCTGAATCGACAATAACCAACCCTTGGCAGGACTCAATAATTACCCTGGCGCCTGGACGATACTTGGCGTTGACTGCCTTTCGGCCCTTCTGGATTGCCAAGGCATCGCTGACCTCAGACAGGGTCAATGGCCGCGCTGCATGGGCAAGCCACATAAGAATCTCCATGCCGATGCGACTGTATCCTTCTTGCAGTCCTTGAATGCGAGTAATGGCATCTTCGAAAGCGCCACCGAGGCTATGAGATAAATGTTCAAGTTTGTCCTCCATGTCGCCCTGGGTTGGCTGTTGTAATACGGTACGAAGTTGCAGAACTGGGAGAAGAAACCTGTGCAGGCCAGTCAGTACCCATCTATAACAATCACGGGGGGGAAAGGCGGAGCAAGAGAAACGTAGACAGCATTACATACATTCCCTCTGCACCTTCTGTTAGTTTCTTGACGAGTCTTTCGGCGAAATCAGGGTCGGCTCTGTAACTTATGGACTGTCTGTCTAGCTCATGATCGAGGTACATCTTGATGTCTCCCTCTTGAGCTTTGATCTCAAGCGTAGGGCAATGCCCAAATATTTCAGCAAGATCCTGAATGTGAGGGTGGCTCGTCACGAGTAACCGCACGTTTTGTAGCTGCGATACCTGACCGATAGACTGTAGAAATACTTTTCTCTGTTCGGAAGCACACTCATCCAAGGCGTCCAATACCAGATACACGCTTCCGAGATTTGTCGCAACATTTGTCATTATACTTTGACAGTCATGAAGAGAGAGTTGTCCTCTCGGGCTGAGCGTTTTGTGCAACTGAGCCAGACTCTCTGGGAGCTCTGGAAGGTTCTCCAAAAGCTGTCTGAGGATCGACGATAAGACTGCCAATGCACCTTGACGATGCCGGTCCTGGTGGTCAAAATAGAAGAACGCCGTGTGAAACGGTTGACTCGAATCAGAGCTGATAAGATCATCGATGATAAATGATCTAAAAAGAACATTAGTATGTACAGTACGTAATAATATCGACAATAGAATAGTTCGTACACAAGGTTTGTTTTGCCAGAGCCCTGGATCCCGTGACAAAAGAGAACGTTAGATGTGGCTGGGTCATCACGCCATCTGATATACTCATCTGTCTGCAAGATCCATGTACCTGTATCCTTTACCCTAGATGATTGCAGTTCCCAGTGCTTCTGAGAGTAATTCGCATTTGATACCCAGTCCAAGATAATCCTCCTTGTCTCCCGATCAGAGCTGTCTTGAAGAACTTTCTTCTGATCCTGAACGGCATTATAGATCTGGGACGTCGTTTGGTGGGTAGACTTGGCCAGGTTGAATTGATCAAGCTGTGTGCTCATGATTTTCAGCATGTCATCTGAAGCTCGCGAGAGAAGTCTGCACCCGTCAACAGACAGCGCCAACTGAATCCAAGTCGTAAAGTTCCGCAGTTCTTGGACAGCCTTCTGGTGCTCTTTCTCACTGAAAGGCCATAGGAAGCGGCTCCTCTTTCCATTTGTTTCTTGTCCAAGTCGGTTACATAGTGATTGTAATTTTGCCTCACAGGCTGTCCTGCAAGACATCAAGACTGAGTTCTCGCTGAATATCACGTGAGTATTCCCCAGAGTCTCACTTTTGAGAAAAGTCTCTAGGTTTGCGATATTAGATTGCAGCGCTTCAAGCTCCGTAATCAGGGTGGTAATTAACTCTCTCCTTGTACGGACAGAGTTCATGTAGCTCTTTGCACTGAAAATTGCTTTTGCAACTAGCGGCAGGATGCCAGCAATCCCGAAAGACAAAGAAAGTGGATCCATTGCCAGGGCCGTTGAGACTTTTGCGATAATTAACGCACGAAACCAAAACTTAACGTATAACGATGTGTAAGCCTTCTGTCGCTTTTAACCAGTTGAGAGACAGTGTTCGTTGCGATAATTGAGGGTTTTATCGTTCGGCGGCAACCGATTGTTCGTCATAAGCTGGACAAAGGGTAAAGTTGCAAAGTGAGGGGTCAAGCTGAATTCTTGAAAGTGCAAGCTTCAATTTCAATAGCCATACACTCGCCTATGCAAGCCCCTTTGCAGGTAATTGGACGAGATATGGAGGGCCTCAAATTCGGCTCACGTCAGCCTGCATGACATGCACTTGCAATTGTTGCTATGTGGCAACAGTCCCAGCCTATACATTACGCCTTTCCTCCGCACTTGAAGCACGATGGGAAGTGTGTTAAAAATTCTAACTCCCTTCGTGCTTCAACCTTTCTTACAGATTGTACTACAGCCAAAAGCGTTTAGAAGTAATAAACACCGGCCTTCAACGACCAGAGTCCACAGAAATCTCTTACATGAAGTCTGAACTGGAAAGATGGAAGCTGGAAGCTCTTCTGGTGCCGGGCGTTCGCAAAACATGTTCCCCTGTGTCATTGGAGATAATTACCCTGAGTTCTGCAACAAGAGCTTCCTTACGATCGCAAAACACAAGTCAGTCCTCACCTATACCATCTGAAACAAGACCTACTTACCGGCCGTTCTAGTAAGCATCTAAGAAGGTCTCATAGCCCAGAATACTGGTGTGAGGTTTGTTTAAAGAACTTTGATTCTTCTTTGCCCAGAGCCATCGTTCGTATTGTCGGGGCACAACATAAAAAGGAGCAGTGCCCCGGGAAGAGCTCAGAGGGTAACAGACAACTGAGGTCAAGCCATTTCGTCATGAGCCAAGAACAATTTAAGCGTTTGGAATCTTGGCGCAAGATTCCAGTTCGAGAACTGGCTTTTGGGGATGGTAAAATAGAGACGTTGGCTGAAAGGTCGTGGAGGCGTGTCCGCGAAGCAATCTTCCCAGACACTAGTGGAAACATGCTAAAGACTCCCAGTCTCGGTTTCCTAGCAACCAGCGGTATGAGGAATGTAAACTTGAAAACACGACATAAGCCCTTACATGTCAATAAAGGCCATGAATCGGTGAAACGAGATGAACAGGTGTACCAGCCTTGTACCGTACAGGAAGAGGAACCCATCGAAGTCAAACCTATAGAAGCCCAGCAACGTACCAGAGACTCGCTCCCGGATCAAGATAGGGCTACGTTCCCTGGCGCTTCGAATATGTCCGCCACTGAGCTCGATGATCTGAAATCAGAGCTCCCCGAGAGGCTTTACAGTGATCTGTGTCTGATAGATCCCGCATTCAACACCGTGGCAACGCTGAGAGATGCTATTCCTTCACTTCTTCGTTCATTTGCTATCCGATTGGGTTCACACGGCTCATCTAAAGTGCCAATGGAAATCATGTTGTTTGTTTACAAAAGCAGGGAGTTTGTTCACTCACCCGCTCTATCAGGGTTTGATACTGACTGACATTCGCCTAGCAAAATAAGTGCTGCGCTTAGTGAACTTGTTGAAGACTCGAACCAGCAGGGGGACTCCTCAAAATCTCCAGATAAGAGCTCGGTAATGTTAGATGATGCCATCTTAGACTGGAGGGCCAATATCGAAAGTGGGGAAGTCCCTACAGTTCCTCAACCTGATATCGAAGAGCGACCGGCGGTGATCAACGAAAGAGGCTATCGAGAACTTGTTTTCAATTCTGTTGCATACAAGTGGCTGGTGGCGGGCCTGGTACAGAAGTTGACACTCGAAGTGGCTGATGCGAATCTAGATGTGCATAGGCGGATTCATCGGAATATCTGCCGCTGCTTCAAACATCCACGACATATCAGCAGGCGGAAACCATCAAAAAAGTACCACATAACCTTTGATGTAGCTTGGAACCCCACGACTTTCTTATGTCAACAATTCGAAAGCCAGTGTGACATCGGGCGCCTTCTTGGCGAAACCCTTACTTTGACTGGAACTGCAACAGACGCCCAGATACTTCCTTGTTCGGAATATATGAGACAAACTTGGCCTAATACCGGTCCAACCTTTCTAGAACTTTTGGGTAGAGCCTTGGTATCCGATGAACACGTATCTGGTGTGCTACCACAGGAAGTATAGGTGGATGTAGCGAGACTGGCTGACATATATCAGGCGAGCTAGAAGATGATACGACCGTCCGATGCGAATTCAAAAAGTCAGGCCTCACAGTACAGGTCGAAGGCATAACGGACTCTATAGCAACCATAGGTGAGCAGATTGGCTGGCTTGGTGCTGCCCTCCGCCCGTCATCGTCAGGAACGGAATTTGCAACTTGTCGGCCGATCTTCGGTACCTGCAACCCCAGTATCTCCAAGTCAAGGCCTGCGGAATGCTTTATCGCATTTCTAACCACCCCTATGGGTGCTACGAAGGATAGGCCTGGTCAATGCTGGCATGCGATCTTTCGTAACCCGGTAATGGTGGAAGGTTATCCGATTCCAAGACGCAAGCGGTACGGATCAGGGTTGGAAATGCCCTTAAACGTCATGGCGGGATTGAATTCGTCTCCTCGAATCCACAAGTACGGAGGCAATTACTACCTCAAGGGTTACTCGACTGCCTTGGTTCCAACCGAGAAAATAGGTAATATGGTTCTCTGGCATTTCTACTATAGCGACGACGGAAGCCGTCTTCCATATCCCAATCCAACTGGCCTACGTTGCGTAGATCTTAGCATGCAAGATCTTACGGCTGCACGCCACGTTGTGGGTTGGTGTTCGAACGCCAATTTCAAGACGGGTAAGTTATCCATGAAATGATTTCCTGTTAGACTTACTTATATCCATCAGGTGCGGCCGATATGAACTATGCCATTGGAGCTTCTAAGCTCCAGCGACCGGGGAAGGAGTTTGCCCTGGAGAAGATTTCTTTTTCTTTTGGTCAATTCATCACTGGAGGTTGCCAATTCGCGATCGGTCGAAAGGACCAGCATGTACGAGCAACTAAAGGCACATACATCGACAAGTTAAAGTGGCTCGACAAGAAATACGTTACGCTGTGGGATGTTGAATATGAGCGTGGGTGGTTGGTTAACGGTAACGCGGCGCTGTTGCATCTCTTGAGATCATCGCTCCATCATTCAAGTACCGACAAATTCAGCTCGGACTTTCATTTTCAACCGCAAGATTTCCAAGAATCCAAAAATCCCCACACTCTAGATTCGGCACTTGAGGTACTTCGCAACAGCAAGAATCAACAATTAGAGCTATACGACAAGGATATAGATATACGACAAGGCTGCGCGACCAACTCTCGAACGACAGTCAAAGACCGTGTTGAGGAGTTGTACGAGATATTGGAGAAGCTCTTCGATCATACTGCGACTTCAGAAGCCTCGTCTAAAGGTCTCAATGCTAAGTCTCGCTTCCAAGATCATCTCGAAGGCTGGGATTTTATAGATATCGCGACAAACAGAGACCCATTCTTCATCAAGAGGACAACACTAGGGCTCTCCATGCTAGGTTGGCCTGATCTTGTGAGGGCTACTTCTGCAATTACCTTATTTGGCAAAGGCTTTGGCGAACTTATAGAGGCAGTCGAAGCTCAACAAGGTGGGGCATGCAAAGAGTGGATGACGATGCCCAAAAATAGGAACCTCCTCTGTGTGAGTAGCAGTCACCTAAAAGACATCATAAATGATTTGGGAGGGGATCTGGACACGACTCCTATTACGGTTATGCCCGGTACCTTTTGGAAAGTTCCGTCTTCCACCAATACATTCGACATATCTTGTCAATGTGATACCAGGGAACCATCACCAAGAACGCACCACGCCGTTCAAGGTCTCATATCTACGAAACTGTGGACTGGTCGTTCCCAGGCATGCGTCAACTTAGATGATCACCCTCATGGTGCAGTCATATTTGGACCACTGATCGACCGGAAACGCCCTTGGGGTTCCTCAGTAAGCATACCGCGGTCTGGGAGTCAGTCATCGAGCCTTTCAGCGCTGGGAGGGAGTACTACCTCAGCGCAAACCAACACTAGTGATCTCGCTTCGCCTTCCTCGTCGTTTCCAGCCTCTTCCGCTGAGCCTCAAGGACAGAATATCTCGGGGGCTTCTGCTATTGGTTCGGAAGCTTCTCCACCAGCGCCAGGGTTCAGAGCCAGGTCCCTAAGTCCCCCAGAGGAAGGACTAGGGATGAGGGAGCTCAGAAGATTCAGAAACCTGTTCCCCTACAAGAAAGCTAGAAGACATTGAGGGGACGTTTCAGTATAACACGATGTATGAATCTAGAACGTTACATAATTCGAAAATTCTTTTGTTACGGATTGGAACCCCACCGGGTTCTTGCTTTCACAATTTGGAAGTCAGTGTCACACCAGAAACCTTCTTAGCGACTAGCAATATGGATCGGAGGCTACTCCGTACACAAGTGACCTTCCGTAAGTGGTGTCCGGGTGAACTGGGTGACATTAGTTGAGGCAAGGATCGACTGGAAGGGGTGGAGATCAAACATATGATCGGCGCAAACTTAACCTGACCTGCCTAGGGTAACGGCGGACCCAAGTCAAGACGTTGTCATCGTTAGCGTAGCTAAGGTTTTTGAAAGTCACGCCTCTCAACGCGTACAGGTTAAATCAACACAACGGTTAGCGTAGCCGCAAGTTGGAAATCGAGAACTTGATAGGATAGAAGCTTTTAGTATATCTCAGGCCCGATACGAGCAATAATGACGAGATTATGCACACGGTCCCGCTCTCGGCTCCCGATTCCGAACGCCGTCACTCATGGTTTCACGGGCCTTAAAATCTTTATAGTTATTGCTAAAGTCACCTCACCTTACTTCACTTATATCCTAACTCTTGCTACAGAGCCTCTTATTATTATCTAACTTACATTGTATGCACTGTCTCCATTCCACCAACATCCAGCAAAGCTCAGTGGAAAGGTCAGAAGATTGTAAAGTTAAGATAAGAGTGTGAACCAATCAGTGATGTCCATCCTGATGATAAGACATGGCTAGATGAATTGTTCAGAGTAGGTACCCATAGAAGAAACTAATCTAGTCCATGACTCCCCCAGTCTCAGCTTCTCCACCTCCACTCCCTTAAGACTCCTCTTCCGATGCCGATCTCGACTCCCATTACCCCATGGGGAATGAGTAATGGGGTTTACAAGCCTTAAAGGAAGGCAGGGCTAGGTGTGAATTTTGCTGAGAAGGTATAAAGACAAGTAATGCCGCAGCTTACTTTTCTTTCTCAGCTCTTTCCAAGATATCTTTGTTGTTCTTTCATCTGTCTTAAGACAGGTTAACAAATATGGCCGTTCTCAAGTCAAACTCCATCTCAGAGGGCCCCCCTCGTTATTCCCTAGAGAATTCCGGCAATGCCTCACCTGCAAAGGGCGCCGGCTCCATCCCTGGGGAGATCTACCCCGTCACCACCGCCAGCGAACTACATCGGGAGATGTCGATTCGGACCATCTTCATGCTTGGTATCGGTGGGAGTGTTGGCACAGCGCTATTTGTTAGTATCGGCAGTGCTCTATACTCTGCGGGCCCTGCCAGCTTGCTTCTCGGGTTCATCGTCTACAGCATTGTCCTCGCCAACATCAACAACTCCATGGCTGAAATGACAACCTACATGCCTGTCACTGGTGGTTTCATCCGATTGGCTGGCCAGTGGGTTGATAATGCCCTTGGTTTCGCTGCGGGTTGGAACTTTTACATTTACCTTGGCCTTATTGTTCCTTTTGAGATTACTGCTCTCAGTCTAGTTTTATCTTTCTGGAGTCCAGATATCCCTGCAGGAGCCATATGTGCAGGCTGTATTGTCCTTTACTTGTAAGTCTTCTTACCCCTACACTTTACTTGGATTAAAATTGAATTGTGCACAGTGTTATCAACATTTTCGCCGTTCGAGTCTATGGCGCAGCTGAGTTCTGGCTTTGCTTCGGTAAAGCTCTACTCCTAGTTATCCTCATGATGTTCACCCTTGTCACCATGTGCGGAGGGAACCCTCAACACGATGCTTACGGCTTTCGACACTGGAATCAGCCAAGTCCTTTTCTTGAATATTTCAGTACCGGAAACACTGGAAGGTTTGAGGGATTCCTTGCCGCTCTGTGGACTGCGTCTTTTACTTGCGTTGGACCTGAGTACCTCAGCATCGCAGCCAGCGAAGTCAAGCATCCGCGTATCTATGTTAAGAAGGCTTCCAAGGCTCTCTTTGCCCGTATCTTGATCTTCTTCAACGGTGGCTGTCTGGCCATCACCATCATCGTCTCGCCAAAGGACAAAGTCCTTGAGCAGCTGTACGGTCAGGGAAGTGAAGGTCATGGAAGTGCCGCCGCTTCGCCCTACATTATAGCTATGGGGAATCTCGGAGTTACCGGCCTCCCGCATTTGATCACGGCTCTCTTTGCCACCACCATCTTCGCCGCTGGTAATACTTCCCTCTACAGCGCCACTCGCTGTCTTTATAGCTTGTCTCTTGAGGGTCATGCGCCTAGAATATTGAGCAAGGTCACCAAATCTGGGACCCCAATCTGGTCTTTGATTGTCACCATGGCGTTTCCGTTTCTTGCTTTTCTGCAACTTGGAAACGGGTCTTCGACCGTCCTGACCTGGCTCATCAACCTCGCCACTGGCGCCACCCTGATTTACTTCATCTCTGCCCTGATCACTTACCTCCGCTTTTATCGGGCGTGCCAGGTTCAAGGTTTTAACCGGGACAAGCTGCCCTACAAGGGTTGGTTCCAGCCATACAGTGCATGGTTTGCTCTCTTCTTTGAGATCATGATCGTTATCTTCCATGGTTACCGATCCTTGCTTCCTTTCGATGTTAGTGGCTTCATTACTGCATACTTCATGCCTCTGTTTGTTCCCAGTCTATTCGTCTGCTGGAAGGTCTTCAAGAAGACAACATTTGCCAAAGCAGAGGATCTGGATCTGGTGTGGGAGGCCCCTCTGATCGACGCCTACGAAGCATCGTTGGAGGAGGCTCCTGTTGGCTTCTGGCGCGATGTTTGGCAAATGCTGCGGCCTACCAAGAGAAACAAAACGGCCGAGGTCTAAGACTTATTGCAGCTTCCCAAGACTGCCCTGTGGCGTCAAGCTTTCGGATGTATGATAGATCTGCATCAAGTGATTGATACAAGATAGAGAGTGAGCATAAAAGAATATAACAGGACTTATATAGCAAGGAATTATCTCTCGACACGTTTTACAATTAATACGCGAAATAACGCTGACGTGTCTATGAGTATCGTACCATCGGGAAGGAAACCGAACACGTCGGGTTCATGGAGCCGTTACAGACCGTTCGGAACTCGAAGCCGAGGGCGGAAGCTGACGCGAACATTCAGAGACATTTCTGGAGCTCTTCGCAGCTTTATTATTAGCTCCAGTGTATGAGAATCGTCTCCACTTCAAATCATGGCCGCAAGTTCACCTCCGCTGCTAAGTCTCATTCTATATACCTCCGCCAACATCGGCTCAGCTTTTATAGCTACCCGACTTCGCCTTTCCCAATAACTTGATACTATTCTCCGATTCAAGCCCGAGTTTCTTGTTGGTAGCCTCTAAAAGCCATTGGCTACCAATATTCTGCTGCAGCTAGAGAATCTTATGATCCGATACCAAGACGACCCGCGGTTCCTCGTAAACACCATCCTTCAAATCCTGCCTGATCTTGTCCATCTTCTCTTTGTTCTTCTCCAAAACCTCCAAGCTCTCTTTCCTAATCTCTTCAGGTGTTGGCGGAGGAAGGATGCCCTTTGGAGGATTATACCAGTACTCTTTGGGTACTTTGGTTCCATCAACGCCACGGAGGGACTTTTCTGCCTCCTCGTCGTAGGGTAAACGGTCAAGAAATCCTTTAATCAAAGCAGGTCGTAAGCCCTCGGCGTAAATAATCTTGTTATCGGCATCAATTTGGCGGATGACCCCATCATCGCCGAGGTGTGTGTAGGCCATTAAGTAAGGGTCGCACTCCATGCGGCGAAGAATGTCGCTGACTTCCTTTTGTTCGGGCGAGAGATCTTTGTATTCGAATCCATCGTTTGAGCAGCAAACTTGCGGCTCCGTGTGTTCTTTCTCTTCGGGCTTTGTTTGTGACATTGTTCACGCGCCGGTACCAGTTTATTAATTAGAAAGAGGAGGTTGTTTGCGGGGCATGCATGGATGGAGGAAGTGCCTCTTATCAATCAGTGGGCAATGACACATCACACTAGTTGACGTTGATCCTTGTGAATCACTGGACCAACAAATGACGCAGACAGCTCACAAGCATTTGAAAGCCCTGTATTAGGACCGATTAAGCTAAGACTGCGTACATTCCAATGGCGACACATGTGACACATCGGAAGATATCCACAAAGCCGTACTCAACAAATGTTACTCCAGCCTTTGCTAAGCTATTTCTACCCATGATCTTCTAGATACACCAACCTCGTCTGTAGATGGCAGAGCCCCGCTTGAGACAATAGTGACAACCTGTATAAGTGAGGCAATGCGGATGTTCAAAGCAGCCGCTGTGGGAACACCTATCTTTACGTCTGCGGAGTGCGAAAAGGTCCCCGTCGCGCTTTTGGGGGGTCTGTTCTTCCTCAGCCGCCGCATCATCCTTCGCCCCCATCTTGTTGAAAAAGTCATGAAGACTTTTGGTCATCTCTTCATCGGTTGCCAGAACGATCTTGTTGTCCACCTCAAGAACAAAGCCTCCGTATTTCTCATCCAGGAACTGGTCGAATTTGGGCGCCTCAGCGTGAAATTCGTCCCAGCTAGTGACCCAGATAGCGTCCTTGGGGATATCGACTGTGTATTCTGCGCTTGCGAGAGTGCCTGCGAAGGCAGCCGCAAAGATGGAAAGAGCTGTGATTAATTATTTAGCAATGGTTCAGCGCTTTGGAGATGCGATGGAGACCATACACGGCTTCATCTTGCAAAGTTTAGTGTCTGGAGTTATAGAGGCCGATGGCAAAGAAGGAGATGTTTTTTGAATAATAACACTCCTTGACTTATGCCGCTTTATATACTTACTAAATGGTGGAGGCCTTGAGGGAGCTGATACCATGACCTCCTTGGCACGGCAAGTTTGTATTTACCCAACATGTGTAGAAACAGCTACTCTGTGGTCCTTGTCGGCTTTCACATGCACGCCCAGTGTATCAGTTCATGGCGAGTTCATGTAACATGGAAGAGTGCCGATATTGCCGGAAGTTATGTAACTAGGAGTAGCCTTTGAGTTCACCGACCATGTGCCACCGCAAGTAGGACTTGCTTCTTTGAGTCTTTATCGTACAAGATATCATCAGGTTACTACTATTCAACAAGGTTCTCGATCAGCAACATTGGCTGTGTTATTTTTTAAGTACGCCTGTGCGCGTAGCTTCCATGGATCTTTTGTCCTCAGTACTTCAACAGTGTGTCGGGGGACTGGATCTTATCAATCAGTCGAGCATCACATGTCGCGTCAATTGAGCCTAACCCATGTTAATGCTGGATCAACAAATGCCTCAAGCAGCAGCTTACAAAAGGTCATGTTGTCAGCTCACGGCGTGATTAGGTAACAAAATCTGTTGAACAGTTGTCAAGAGAGCCAGGGTTTACTGACGCCGACGTTGAATCAAACATGCAAGCTCATACACATCAAATTCTCACTATACTAGCTATTAACATATTACTACTATCGATCTCATCATAAGCCGACTCGCTCATCCCCAATTAAACTGCTTCATCTTCTCCTCACTATAATCCTCAAACCTGTCCCCATCAAACCTATAAATCGTCGCATCTTTCGCCATCATAGTCTGCGCCATACAATCAACCTTCGAAACCTTCCCCTCAGCATACCATTTTCTCAACAGCATCAGCAGTCTATCATCAGCCTCCCTCATCTCAGGCGTATTAATCCAAGTCTTATCTCCAAAAAGGCTGGCTTCATCGCCGGGGTAAGGGACAATGTTCATAGCTGCAACGACTTCTTTCTTATCATCTCGTGCTACCATGAGACGAGTGTCATGATCTAAAGTCTGGCTTCCATCGGGGTGGATGACTGGAAAAGGACCCTCATCTGAGATCTCGCAGTTGGGAAAGTTGTTGGTGAGAAACCTTTGTGCCATCTTGTAGGAGACCATTATCAGTTGTGCTCGTAGTTCGTCTGGTGATCTGGTCTTGGCCTGTTCGGCCACGTATTTCTTGACGGCTTGGAATTGACTCTCGGAACCCATGAGATCGTGTTTTGGGAGGAGTGAAAGCTTGAGGTTGAAGTCTCTTGCTAGACTCTCGTCCAGAATGGGGTCTTGGGCTGCTGACTCGCTTTGTATGGCCAGATCATGAGGACCAGGAAGTGCTCTGACTTGCGGGAACAGACTTGTTGGATCGCCAACGAATTTGAAGACTGTTTCGTCGGTACCCATGTAAACACGAATGGTGCAACGATCCAAAACTCCCTTGGCATGTAGGCCGGTCGCATACTCCATTACAGCCTTTTCGCCAGCTCGCATTATTGAACTCTTGATATAGTCTCCAACCTTTGGCCAAACGACAGATTTGCTGATTCCAATGATCAAAGCAATCCTGACAATACCACCAGGGTCTTTCGCCGGATCAGCCTTTCGTACCAGTGTGACTGACTCAGACTCTTCCTCCGCCTGGCCGGGAAATGGTGGTGGCGTCGCAGTGAATGGGATCTCCTCAACTCTCTCAACCATGTTCTCATAAACCCTCGTAACAAGAATTCTCGTTGGTTCATGATACATCTTTCCATTAGGAAGCTTAAAAGGCAACTGGCCTTCATCCCAGACTGTACTTCCCTCAAAGTTATTCGTGGCGGCTCGAACAGTCTGTCGGAACCAACACGGCGCAAAAAGACCTCGAAATGCATTCGGCGCCTTCTTGGTGTCTTTTCGCATACTCTCCAGCGTATCGATCAACAATTGTGGCCACACCTCGTTGCAGGCATTGATAGTCGGCGGTTTGGGTGAAGCGTCGAAACGGCACGTTATGAGATCGGCGCCGATGAAAATGTTGATCAGTGCATGTTTGAGGTTTACGCCTTCGGCTCTCATGAGAGTGAGTCTTTCCAGCATAGTATGTTTTGCACCGGCTAGTTCGCCGCTGTCGAGTTCGCTTCCTGGAACTAGCCAAGGTTTTTGGTCGTCAGTGGGTTTTTGAAGGGGCTTTGCTATCACCAAAGCTATAGAGTGAACGATGCCAGTGAACGACGCGTCCATGACCATAAAGGCTTTTGTGGGAACCTTGCATTTGTCGTTTTCCGAACAAGCGCCTGCGTCCATACAAATATGTAAATCCCCCATGTCTTCAATTGTCCCATTGCCCGAGCATTCAGGATATCTTGTTGCCAGATATGCGCGAGCACCAATGAACATGAGTTCTTGATATAGCGAAGGCAGTTCATTGTGTTGTCCAGATTCAATCAATTGCTGTTCCTTTGCGCAGATCCAATAGGACCATCCTAAATCTTTCTCCCATGTTACTTCAGGTCTTGTGACATTTTCTGGGTCGACATTCTGTTGTTTGGCTGGTCGAGGGGCACGTGGGTCGTCGCCGACTGGGGTTGACGAGCTGCAACCCATGATAAGAATAACGAATGAACAATGTGAGAATAACTTGATAGAGCTGATCTGATGGGGACAATAGAGAGCCTTTTATCTTCCAAGTTAACAGCTCATGACTGGAGCTCTGACCGGGTGACTCACTTCACTGTTAGCTCTTACCTGCTTAAAATGGCAACGTAGCTTTTGCAACGTGCAACCAACAGTCAGCCCTAGCCGAGAAAATTCGTATCAAACGAGAGTGGCATTATGGACCCTGGATTAACTAGGCAATTCGTCCGTCCAACGAAAGGTCATCTGATATGGCATTAAGTCACTCATCACTGAGAATAGGAAAACTTCAGTCTTTCAGAAGAAAATGTCAAGTCGAACAACGGGTCCAGAAACATGGAACTGCGCAGTCAACTGCTGAACAAGGCAATAGAACGGATATACGTAGCGTGGTGAGCAAGGTGACTTAGCGAGCCACTGAGAGCCTTGTATCTTATCTTGTCTTATCGAGCGATAAGACCATCTCCAGATCACCGCGAGAGCTGTACCAAAACAGCGGAACCACCACTGACTGCAAGACCATTTTCTTTCCTCCTTCACGCGATGAGAGCTCGTTTAGTTGACTACAAACTGCCCTCACATATCTAGAAAATTGCAACTCACGCTACTGCTTTTTCTACTACTATAAATAATGTTCACGGCCATGATTTATGTCAATCAATCTGCTGTGCTCTATCTACAGGGTAGCCAATCTTCAAATTTTTATGTTCTGTACGCTAACGCGCTTGTTACGCGACGACGCGTCGAACTCAGAGGAAATACCCATGCACAACCATGGCGCGCTGCGTGCTTGCCACTTAGATTTCTATTGATACGTGTTACTCACCAGACTCCCACGATCTCCAGTGATTTTCGACATTAAAATATCCCATGAGCTCGTCACGGTCAGGAAATATCGCCAAGGATGAGACGGAATTGAAGCGGCCCCAGCGGTAAGGCTAACTCTGTCTGGCCAAAGCTCTCGGCGATAGCCCGGTCTGTTGAAACTCAAAAAGCACGAGGGACCTTTTTAGGATGTGGTTGAGCCGTGCTGTCCCTGCAAACTGTATCACGAATGACAGGACGGTGTCTCCACCGACGGGGTCTAGGCTCAAGATTAACAACCAGCACATGGTCAAGCATCCCAGTGAAGAGCATTGACCTTTGCTAAAAAGTCTGGCGATCGGCTGACTGGAGAAAGAGATTGATAAGATCACAGAGTAAAGAGTTTACCGACTGATATTGGGAAGATGAAAGCACTAGATGCATGATGGTACTTTATGAATGTGATACACGGAATGGCTGAAAGTGGTACAGTACTAATTGATCTATATTTTGTTAAATCATATCGCTAAAGTCCGTCGGCCGACATGTCTCTTGCCGGTGCCAAGAGTTAACCACCCAACCAACAACAAACGAATTTTTAAGCGAGATGGAAATGTCAAAGTGACCAAAAAAGATGCGCATTTACGATTTTTCTTTCGAGAGATGTCATTATATGATATATTAAGAAAAAGAAGATATTGACAACTCTGGTCGCGACCTCCAACTAGAAGGCATAACACATATCCGTAATGGGAACCTCAACATGGTACAAGTTACCCTTAGCCCATCTCGTAGCAAATCCATCAAGATCAAACACAAAGTCAGACTTGAGCGACATACCGCATTCACCAGGAGGAGTATGCACAGATCCTCCCACACCATCATTAGAAGCATGACCCTCCTGAACAGCACTCAAGCTGAACTTGTTCAAGATACCGGGTGTAGCTGTGAGTCCACTGCTAAGATCGACAAGACCTCCGAGTAGTTTGAATGTAAGTTGAACAGTAACCGAAGCACGTGCGTTCAAGCCTACTTCTACACTCTCGCTGATGTTGGCGTAGGAAGTGTATTGTGGTTCCCAGCCTGTAGCGCTGTTCTTGCTGCCGTCTAGAGCGTCGAGGTGAACGTTTCCTGCAGGGATGGAAATTCCTGCGCCGACGTGGGCGGATACTGCAGCTGAGGTATCGACATCTACGCCTACGGCGAAGCCAATTCCGGGACCGAGGGAGAGAATGCCTGGGACTTCGACAACGGTGAAGGAGAGGGTATCGGGGTCGTAGAGGATGGAGCGGGACCAAGCGGCTGCTACGTCAGCGGACAGAGCGACGTCGGCGTTGAAACGGGTGTCAAGATCGAAGTAGAGATGTTCCATCTATCTATGTTAGTAGGGTCGGAAATGGTGATGATAATGATGAATTACCTTGAACTTCCAGAAGTTATACTTGGCGCGGCCGGAGAAAGAGACAGTGGATGAGAACTCTGCTTGCTCAGCTCTGATGTTGACAAAAGGCTCTTCAGCGAACAAAACAGTGTCCTTCTCGAGACCAGTGCCGAAATCGAGGGAAAGACTGGGGTTCAAATTGAGGCGCTTTCGCAGTTTGGTGGCGGGGATTGAGTTGAAGGACATTTCGCATGTTTCTGTGAAAGGTCAGTGTTGTTCATCATTGCGAGTGAGATACATACCAGCGATGTCTTCCAACTTCTGTTCCGAAGCATGGCAAGTAATTGACTTCTGTCCCTTATCCGCCGTGACGCGATCGACGAGATAGAATGCTTGACCATTGGCAGCCTTGCAGTTGCCCATGTTGCCAGTGATGAGAATGAAGGTATCGAGCCATGATTTGACTGCATTGTTGAAAGCATCGGACTTGCCGAACTTAACCTCAATAGAGTCGGACGAGCAGTCTACTGAGGTGATGGCATCAATGTAGTCAAGCACAACAGCTGGGTGGTTCATGACGAGATCCATATCGATGGAACCCTTAGGACCATTCTTGACGGTGGTGTTCTTTGGTGCGTTGAAGGCAGAAAAGGTTCCGTTCGAGGGCTTGTTAGCTTCCTTGTGAGGCTTACCCTTCTTGTCAACAGTCGCCTCCTCATCGTCGTCAAAGTCACCGTAGGACATGACAATCTTCTTCTTAGGAACTGCATTCTCAGGGTTACTGCAGTCAACCTTCTTGGGAGTCTTGGGAATGAAAGTAGCGGTAGTATTGTGGGCAGCCGTAGAGGACGCGTGGATGGTAGTCTGAGAAGACTTGGAACGAGTGGAGGTAGGCTTAGCCTTGACAGACTCTATCTTTTGAGCAGCAGCAGCGATCTTAGTAGCGACAGTCTTGACCGTAGTCGACGCCGTCTGAGGAGGCATCTCAACAACAATGTACTTAACAGTGCAACCACATGATTCGTCAATAGAAGTACGGATCTCAGGTGCAGCAGAAACAGTAAGGCAAAGCAGCCAAAGGCTGAAAAGAATGGACGAGAACGAGGTCCTCATGATGAGAAATGAATGAATGAATGACTGGATGATTAGGAGTGAAGAGCACAACTTCTTGACAGCGACATCTTGAAGATATATCAGCTTCAAAGTCAGTGGATACGAAATAGAGTTCATCAAAACGGTGACTTGGCTACCAATCAATCCATAATGTCAGGTATAGCATAATTCTCAAGTCTATAACGAGGACGCCCTATAGGGGGCCGCATCTTGAGATGTCATAAATCTTGGGACTTGCAGCTGGAGTGACAGAAATACTCAGCCAGCTCCCCCCGCATTAACATGGTTTAAGCGGGTGATTGAATCTGTCATCTGCCAAGTCATTCTACACCCCTCAGCCACTTGGGACCCTTAAACCTGTCAAGACGGGCCACGGCAAAACCGACCATCCAATAAGGAAAAGCGTGGAACGGTGGTAAAGTGGTGGGAATAAGTCGTCAGGTGGGTGGTTGCAGTGCAGGGGTGGTAGACCTTCCTAGTTGGTGTTAGCGGGTCTTGGTTCGATATCAGCTCTGCTCTTTGCAGACTAGACGATATTGACAGATAACGCGACGTTTGAGATCCATGTGAAAATGGTACTGTGATGAAGGGCTTGGCAGGGGAAATCACACGCTTTTATCGCGGGTTCCGTTGCACGTGGGTTTAAGAGCTTGATGTAATGTTCGGCAGTTGCGATTCTGAGGGAGGGATAAATAGCTCATCTGATAACTCACTTCTTGTGTCATGTCACTGGGGTTCTCTCTAGGTTAATTCGATGTTATATGTACCTGCCTCATCGATGGAAGGTTGCAATATGGTGGTGTTATCCAGAATTAGGACCAATAGACACAAGAGTGTAGAAGAGCTTCCGGTTTTGTCTTGGTCTCTTTCATGTGGACTTTCAGTCAACTGAGTAGCTTCAGATCCTATTAACTCATATCGGTTTGGTCACTGGCTTGGTCGAGCATAAGGTGGCTTCAGTGATCCCATTCCGTCTCGGTACACTTGGAGAGGATTATCCACCGGTGATTGCAATCCCGTGAGTCTCTACCGTAAGGTTGAAACAGGTTTGAGCTATTATTAACCTGTCATCCACCCATAACATCCTGTCTTCGTTGTAATGCCACCTTCCTGTAGTACCGTCAGGTAGAAAACAAATGAAACCAAAAGAGCAACCACCACAAAAGCAGCATAGCCACCGTAGCTTTACAGTAAGCATTCAGTATTGAAATAAAAAAACAGGACCCCTCTATCCGTTGTAGGTATCACTACCGTCGATCCGGAGATCTCAAAACGATATGTTTCGTCATAGGATTGATGACCTATCGGACGAATTGCCGGAGGAAGCCAGAAGACCTTGGTGTTATTCCATAGAATCCAAGACATGTCGTTACTAAGGCCAAGTCCGACGCGATTGCACTCATCCAGGCATGTATCCCTCTTCTGTATATCAAGCTGAATATCGCCAATGTTGGTCGATACTAGATCAGATCCAGCCGTAAAATCGAAGCGTGTGGGTTTCTTAACCATCTCCACGTCCGTCAGTATCTGCCCAGTGGAGACTTTACTTAATGTCAGTTTGTGGTATAGTCCCGACCAGATACATGTCGTGTAACTACTGTCGAAATTGACACGATCAACCTCCCATCCAAGAGTAAAGTCATGTCTCACTTCTTTCGTTTTCATATCGATGATTTGGATACCATTTTCTGTGTCAGAAACATTCGTGAGTAACACAACGAGGCCTAAGCTCGGGCAAATATCCACAATCTTCTCGATCATTCCCCATGGCTTAATTATTTCAACCATGTCGGCCTTTTCGATGTCGAAGACATAGAGTAGACTCCCTTGATCATGCACCCAATCAGGCTTACTGGACTCGTGGGATAGTATAGTAAGGAATTTTGAATCAGAGGAAAACATGAGGTCGTGAGTTTTGTCAGGGGTTTGGATGGTATGCATAGTGACATGTGTATCAAGCTTTGAGATGCGTGTTGTGTCACGATAGGCCACAGCAATGAGGAAGCCGTCGGGGGAAATAGCTATGCCCGGACAGCTAGTAGTAGTGTATGAGAAAGGGCCTGTGGCAATTCCCGAACAAGCCTCGACAGATGTTCGGAAGCTGCTGAACACCTGACCGCGATATTCAAGGAATTCGTCTCCTGTCGACAAAGAGGTCGCCCATACGCTCTCTGTTAGAAGTTGATAGCGTTGAAGATTTGGCGAAAAAGATGACCGCTCTTCCAACCTTTGACCGCGATGGTTGATGGCAAGGTGAAATATGCTGTCTCCCGTCTTGATGTCCCAAATCCTTACTTTTGATTTGTAAATTGCAGCCACGAGGGTTTTGTCGTTAGATAGTATCAGTTCCTCGAATTCCCAATCAGAATCGTCTGCGATGCTGGGCCGCTCGTTCGGCGTGTACGATACCACGCTAACAGTATTGGTCTCGACCAGGGAACATGCCATCTTATAACTGGGGGAGATTCCAATGAAGCCACTTGAAGTGAACGGTACGAATCGAGTTAGGCATTGCCCTGTCTCGATGTTCCACGTCCTGATTTCATTTTCATCATCGCTTGACCCAAGTACCGTGCCTTCTTCCAAGAACCCAGTAGTCACAACGCGACATTTGTGACCATCAAATTTCTGACCTAGATCTCCCGATGGCAGCGCCCGAATCTGAATCCGTGTCTCTAATTCCGGAGGACTGAAAGCCACCATCATGGAATGATCAGCACAAAGCATAACTGAAATTGAGTAAAGGTGGTCAACACCAGTGCTTAACTCAGGTATTGCATTGTTGCTATAATGTTTGATGCAGGCGCCAGACGCAATATCCCAGACCAAGATTTCATTATGGCTCACATTTGAATACAGAGCCAGATGTTTTGAGTCCGTGGAGAACACAAAGAGGGTTATGTTACTGAATTTATGAGCATCATACTCCAGTCTCGAGTCATCGAGACTTAGTCTTTCTGGAGCGCTACCCGATTTCAATTTGAGGAGAACAACACGATTGGAAGTATCCATGAAGGCACAATATCGGGCGCATTGTGAGAAGCATGGCTCGTGTCGTAGGTCTGCGAGCAACGCGTATTGTCCAACCATCTCCGCCGATTCTCCCTGCCATAAGTACATATTGTGCTGATTCTTTAAGTATATCCATAACGGCTCAGTGGCTATGGCAATGGTTGGATGGATAACCAATGGCACATCCTCGATCCACGTCTCACGGATACACTCACTAGTATCGAGGCGCCAGACTCTCATATTACCATCCTCCGACAAGGATACCATATATATGCTGTCAGGGGAAAATGCAGCGGCGATTATTGGAGCCTCGTGTCCCTCCAAAACATTTTGGTGACGGTCCCATTCGCTTAGGGAATCTGGAAGTTGCGATATCCATTCAGGTGTACTGTTGGCAAAGATAGGCTGCATTGGACTTGTAGATGGGACAGTGTAACGTAGTGAGGAGTAGAGCTGAAGAGGGTATTGGTCGATAATGGTGAAGTTGATACGAAGAAAGCGACGAAGATCCTTGAGTAGTTCACATAGCCTGGGGCATTCGTTTTCCTGCACTGCCGTTAGTTGAGATATCCTGGGAGTGGAAGTCGTTTTTATTACCCTCTCCATGGCTTGCAATCCTTGAATCATGACATAAATCTCCGAAAGACGGTCTATAAAGCTCAGACACTCGAGAAGATGTAGCAGGTGGTGCTCAAGAAATGGCAGTATATCTTCCGATCTGATAATTAGATCCGGAGCCTTTGTGAGATGAGTGACCCAATAGCGACAAGCATACTCCAAGTCTGGAGAGATGCAAGAAGATACACGGCGCGCTGTCACTTCTGAACGTGCAATTCCTGGCGCCACGAGACCGCATATATCTTCTTTCAGTGAGGATTTGAGAATACGAAGGCAGCCGGCAGAAATTCGACCATGGCTTTGCTTCTCGTCTACCCAGAATCTGTTTATTCCCTCCTTCTCCGGGTCTAGCAAGAAGTCTCGGAAAGACAGATGAAACAGCCGTATTGGTGATTCTGCTGTTTCGGGGTAATGCAGCACTGAGCGAAGAACCTCCAACCGGTGGTAAATACTTCTTTGGGGCACATCGATGAGTTTTGACAGAGCAGCAACTGTTAAAGGGGCTTCGAGAAGTATGATAGTGCCCACAACCTGTTGGAAGTTGTCAATGACGTCCTTCTCTTCTCGCTTTGAAAGGCCTCCCAATTGCTGCTCAAGCGACGGTAGATAAGTGGCATCCATTTTTGACTCCTGGCTCTTGGTGTCAAAGGTCAGCACCTTCTGCAATTGGACCTCGGGGTCTGCGCTCATCCATTGCCGGATGAATCGACACACGGTTGCAGCGAAAATAAAGAGCGGCACGGCTTTCTGAACAAGAACGGCTGTCCTCTCGGGGCCTGGCCACGTGTCTGGCAGACGGAACTCCTCCTCAGCCATGAGATTATAGTCTTGCCGTATTCTGTTTAATTCCTCTGTGAAGAACGTACGAATGTCGCGCTCGATAATGTCGTTGGGGATCTCGTGAAGAACAAAGTCTTGGTAGGTGCCAAGCACAGCACGGAAACCCAGTCGAATATGCAGTTCCGGCCGACTCGTAATGAATACCTTGATTGTCACATTCGAGACATCCTTAATACGAGTAAAGATCCTGATAAGTCGCTTAATTCCCCCGTCCCCCTCGCATTCGTCCAGAGCATCAATGACAATTGCGATAGTTTCCCTTTTGGCTGGCTGTAACCCCATGATAGGTTGCAGTATCAATTTATCGAACTGCTCCTCAGCCACCTTGGACATGAGGGAAGGATCGCGGTCAACAGCTGCCTTGATACTTGATGCAAGACCGTGGTGGCGAATGGCTAATTGGAAGGCGATGGTGGTATAGAAGCAAGAAAGATTGCCGCAATCGCCACCACCTCTCTTGAAGAAGAAGCTTGCCCCAAGGTGATTTTGGCCATCCCATCTTTTGGCCATCGTACGAGCAATAGTTGACTTGCCAGTACCAGCCATTCCCTGCAACCAAAAGATAGTCTCAGTGTTGGTATTCTTGAGCCACTCATCAATATCGCCCAAGAGCTCCGAACGAGTGGTCTTAAGGCAGATGTTGTTCTCTTCTTCGGCCTGCGAATCGTGGGCCGCGCCAGCTACCACTGGAAGTTGAGCCATGATCTGGCTGATGTCGACTTTATCCAACTTTGTGACAACACCTGTCAAGTCGGATCCTGCCTTGTCCAGTTTGACGTGGGATTTGTCGAGTTTAGAATGAGCATCATTCATTTGAGACTCTGCATTGTTTAACTTGTCATCTACGTTAAGCAGAAGGCCACTGTACATGTTAGTAGATGGTATATAGGTGAATCAAATGGGAGTTTTCTTACGTTTGGTCAACCTGAAGTAGGTGCGAGAGTGAGATTGAACTTCTGTTGAGACGACCAACAATGCGATGAACTTCCCCACTTTGAAATGGCCATTTCAGCGACCTGAAGCCTCGTCGCCAGAGACTATGTTTGGAGGAAGGTTGAAGTTTCCCGTTGACGTCTGATAAGATAGAAAGAGAATCTTCGATTCTAAGCAGAAGCTCTTGGGATGCTTCAAGTCTCGTGCCTTGGGGACTTTGAATGAGCTTTTGCACTTTTTGCGCCGTGTCACGCAGATTCTCCACCTCCTGTCGGAGCTCCTGGATCTCGACCTTGGCATTTTTGGCCTCTTTGGCGTACTCAGAGCAGACCTGTAATACTTTGACTGAAATGTCAACGACAGCAATGACGTTGGCAGCTACGCCGAGTGCTTCCATTGCTGGTCGGGCGGATTGCAAATGAGTGGAGGGAGCAGAGGGAGGAGAGCGGGGTAAAACTGAAGATGCAGATAAGCCAGGTTCTCAGACAGTAAGTTTCTTGTTGGTGCCTAGAACATTCTGCATGCAGATACTACAGCATGATTGGAGAAGACTGTAGCAGCCACGTGCGTACACAGTCATACTATTTATAACATGATATAGATGTGTTAAATACTAAGTACTTAAGTAGATAACTTTATAAGTTAGAATTTCACTAGTAGATGAATTTATAAATATAATAATTGATAGCAGAAAAGCTACTATATGTTCTTAAGGGGAGTTATCTTGTTAATAGCTGTACCCTTTAATTTACCTACGTAAGTAACTAAAGACAGGGCTGATAGAGCAAACATAACCTCAGCATCACACAGACTTCAGCAAGGGTTAAATAGATAGTGTGACCTATCTCTCCAGCAGGATGGATGTCGCTTATCCCTGTAGCTTAGCTATTGACTAACCTACAGTCGACATGCCTAGCCGGGCCAAGTAAAGCCCGGCGCCATGATGCATTTCCCTCCATCGTTCGTTCTTGAGACTGGCTCTGCTTCATAAATTCAAGTTTCTAAGAAAATTAAATTTGCCCGGAAGAAATTCCTTGCCTTCGTTGAGAAGCCACCTTCCTACAGTACCGTCCAGTAGAAAGTAAATGGAACCAGAAGAGCGACCACCACACAAGCAACATAGCTACCGTAGCTGCAAAGACAAACGCTATAGAGAACAGCGCTATTCCGTAGGAGAATTGTTGGAAACTCTCATCACTCCCAAATCTTTCCGTACCCAGAGCGACCTGCATAGCTGACAAGACCACCGTAATGTAGACGAAGACACCTAGAATCCAGCTGAAGTTGCTTTCGAAGAAAGTCGTATAGCGGATGGAGCCAGACATGTAGCCGTATACAAGGTTCTTGAGAGAAAAGCCGGCTAGTCCGAGACGATACAAGGTATTGAGACGAGAAAGGCGCAGTTCCCCATATCGATAGCGTCGGTTCATCGCATATAACGTTGTATCGTTCGAGTGTATGTTGAGGCCAGTGACGAATGCGACCCATTTATTCCAGCATATATCAGCTGGTAATAGGCCTGTTTCAATTGCGACGCGCAGGTCACTCTTATGTCTGACAAGCCAGACATAGGACACCAGGAAGCCAAAAGCGTTTTTATACAGTTCTGGATCCCCACATAATTCTTGTTCCCAGAAGTCGTAGTCTAGGAGGTATTCGGGCATAGGCTTGATGAAAATGGATTCATCATGCCATACTAGATGTTCATCTGGGTTCTCGGTCACAAAGATGGTTCGACGCAGTAATATTTGCCGATGAAGAGGCCTAGCTGGCTTTGGAAGGCCGGCAAGCCAGAGATAAGAATAGATCCTGTTCAGTCCAGGGGTTTTCAGGTCTAACTCGAGGTACGTGCGTTTGTCTTTCCCTGAATCAAGGAGCGAGGTGACTTGTATATCACAGGCATTCTTGGGAGAGATTGGGGGTTTCAATCGATGAGTCTAGAAGTATCAGTCAAGATGATTCCTTTCTGTAGCTCTTACCAACTGACCAAATTCTCCATTTGTCAAGGAAGCTGAATGCTGACGTTGGATTGTTTAAGAAACAATTTACTTTGATGTATTTTGGTATTTCATTCCTTTGTAGATGATCTGCTTACTCCGCCCACCTAAGAGGGGGCCCAGTTGCAGATTCCTAAATAACCGCGCGCTCCAAGCCGTCTTCCTGTTGGTCAAGTTGCATTACCCTTGTCATTAGGCTTTGTCGGCAGCTTGGCAGCGGCAGCGGCCGGCCCCCACGAAGCGACACTCTGGCCACTAAAATGTCGGCAACGCAACTGCTGGCTCGCCGCAAGGGCCTGACACAGGTCGATTGGCTATCAAGCAATTGCAACTCGTTCGTTGGTCGCGCAAATTACTGTTTCTGTAGATCCAGGGCCCAGTTCCAGTTTCAGGTCCAACTGAATACCCCTCACCCATCTTCTCATCTTTCTCACTCGCTCTCGCCAGCCGGACTTGAGTCTTTCTTGTACTTATAAGAATCCTTCTTTCCCTTTTATCTACGTCTTGTCATTTGTTCGCTGGTCTATCCCATCTCTATTTCAAGAGCTGAACAACAAGTTTATCTAACGCTGGCTAAAACATGGCTGCTAAGAACAAAGGTGCTGTCTTTCGTGTCTCGGGTTTACTGGCTAAGAAATCAGACGAAGCCGTGGAAATCGATCTCAGGAAAACCATCACTGAGAACCTGTCTGATGTGGAAGCAAAACTTCGTTTTACTGCGGGTATTGTGCCCTCTTGCAACGATGACGCGCGAAGAGTGGCACTGGTAGAATTTCACGATGGCGTTCCTAAGTTCTTGCATGCATTAATGGCCAATCCACTGGGAGATTGGCAAATCAAGACGAGCCATGGCGATATCAACTTTGACCGTCACTTCTTCGGGTTTACTCAGCTGTACACCCCGAATCCGAAGACACCTATCACCGCTGAGTAGGTCCAGACTCTTCAATATCTAGCGGTTGCTAATTTAGTTCGTCAGTATCATTGCGATAACCGGTCTCGATGGGCACGCATACGGATCATGGAGAGGAAAGGGCAACCTTGGAAGAATGTGGCTACGTGACTTTCTAGCTCAGGACTTGCCATGTTGCCGAACCATGATCTACGGATACAACTCTAAGTTGTCAAGCCATGGTGTCAGTAAGATCATGGACTATGGAAGGGAATTGGTGGAGGAATTAAAGAAAGTTCGAAGTTCAAAGGAGGTACGTGATACAAGAACGCTCCGCCTCGGCTGTTTGATCACCGCCCTAACAACATGGTGCTCCAGGCTAGACAACGACCGCTTTTTTTCATCGCCCACAGCTTTGGTGGAATCATTCTTGCCCATGTAAGTTATCCTAGCCTAACATGGAAGCGACTTTGAACACTAAACGTCGACACAGTGTCTCATCAAGGCAGCCCAGACGACCACAGACGACCACCCGACAATAGCCGCCCTTCACAAAGCCACGTACGGAATGCTTTTGTTTGGTATCCCGCACAAAGGGCTTGTCGTAGATGATATCCAAAAGATGCTAGGAGATGAAAACCATCCACGCAACTCACTCCTCCAGCAAATCAGCAAAGAGTCCGAACTACTAGCATCTCAACTGATAGACTTTAAAAACCTTATCCGTGATCGGAAGGTTGTAAGTTTCTATGAGACAGGCCAGACCAAGCAACTCACCTTTGTATGGCTACCTATCAAACAGATGAAATTTACGGATGACTGGCTAACTGTTCCAGAACAACGAAAAGAAACGTTGGGAGAGAGCGGGGAATTTTGTTACGGCGGTGGACGCCGACTCGGCCCTTCTTCAGCTACCGGACTTATTGGAAGAGAAGATTCCAATCGATGCTGATCATTCGATGATCGTCAAGTTTGACAACAATAATAGCAAGACGTACGTCAGTGCGCGGGATAAGCTGAGACAGTTCGAGAGAGACGCCCCAAGAGTGGTTGCGGCTCGCTTTGGTAAGTAGCTTGACATCACACAGTTGCAAAAATAGCTATTCCTCCAGGTTCGGAGTCTATCCCCTAGTAGCTCAGTTGTAAGGGCGTTTGGCTGTCAATGTTATATATCATCACACGATTGGATAGTTTGAAGATAAATGTTGAGCCAATCAATTTAGCTAACACATGTTCCAAGAACTGGTAACAAATGGACCGAAACCAACTATCATGATACCATTTCAACAGGATCTTAGTTTCGTGGGCCGAGAGCGCATCATCACAAATATCTTCGAGTGTCACGCGACAGACAACCACTGTCGAGTGACTCTCACTGGCCTAGGGGGTGTAGGGTGAGTATTGCTATGTGTCATCGAGTGAACCCCCGTGCTTATATCATCTAGGAAATCTCAAATTGCTATCGAGTATGCGTACAGACTTAGAGAATCCTCACCACAGACATGGGTTTTCTGGATACACGCGGCAAACACTTCACGAATTCAAAGCCATTGCCGATAAAGTGAATATACTTGGACGCGACAACCCGAAGGTTGGAATCCTCAAGCTTGTGCACAATTGGCTAACTGATGAGAGAAATGGTCAATGGCTCCTCATTCTCGACAACGCTGACGATGACGGGCCTTAATTCGATCCCGACAGACCACTTGAAGGTTTTCTCCCCCAGACGCCAAATGGGAAACTCTTAATTACCTCAAGGAACAGATCCGCAGCAACGAACCTTGTTGGGTCGCAGGGTCATAACCTTCAAGTGGAACCAATGGGTGAAGACGATGCCCTAACGTTACTTGATACAAGGGGGTTACTCGATGAGTCCAATCATGATGATGCAAAAACCCTTGTTGAGGCGCTAGAATACATACCCCTCGCAATCAACCACGCCGCCGCTTGTATCAAGGCAAGTGCCTTGATGACAATGGCAGACTACACCAGGCGATTCGAGGAGAGTGAAGCACATCTGGTGAATGTCCTAGGCAGGGAAATGTACAAGGATATTCGACGTGACAACAGCATACGTCATGCCGTTATTGCGACTTGGCAGATTTCTTTCGCCCAGATTCAGGAGACAGAACCACTCGCTGCAGACCTTCTCGCCCTGATGAGCATGTTCGATAAACAAGGCATTCCGTTATGTCTACTGCGGTTTCACCGCGACGAACAATACGATCTAGATAAACTTCTGACTATACTAGTGGACTTCTCTCTTGTGAGAATAGAGATTGGAAAACAGTCGGTAGGGATGCATGGGCTAGTCCAGCTTTCTATGAAGAAATGGCTCGAGGCAGACAGAGACACAACTCAACCAAGGCTACAGCCAAGAAGACTCCTAAATGCTGCCTCCGCCAGCGGAAACTATGCTACTGTTGCTGCACTTGCCCTCATGATTATGGCATACGTCTTCCCCTTTCCCAAGTTTGAGACTCGTGCAATTTGCAGCATGTACCTTCCTCACGCTTACGCCGTACTGAATAATTATGGCAATGGTCTTGCAAAGGGACGTGCTGCAAAAGCCAGCCTTTTGTATAATATTGCTACCTATCTCGACCGGGAAGGACGGTACGAGTTGGCTGAGCAGCGCGCATATGAAGTATTGACTCTGTGCAAAGCGGCTTTCGGTCCAGAAGATCTCCGTACGATGATGTCTATGAGCCTACTTGGGAGTACATACCATCACCAACATCGATGGGAAAAAGCAGAAGAATTTTTCTTGGATTCTTTGGAGATGCGGAAGAGAAATTTTGGAGAGGTACATGTCGATACCCTGGAGGCTTTCTCTGATCTTTCAAGTCTGTATTATAACCAAAGGAAATTTAATAAGGCGGAGGGTTTTGCATTGCAAGCCTTCGAGGCGGGGAGAAAGGCTTACGGTGAAGATCACCAATACACTCTAACAAAAGCAAAGGAATTGGGGTTAGTATATAAGACTCTGGGGCAATGGGAAAAGGCAGAGGAGCTTATGCTTCAATCTCTGGAAGGGTACAAGAAGCTCTTTGGTAGAAAGCATCCTAGAACGCTGGTGATAATGGTATCAATGGGCGCGATATATCTAGAGCAAGGAAGATCGAAGGAGGCAGAAGGACTTATGGAACAAGCGATGCAGTACATGAATGGCAACATACCAGTTGAGGATTGTTATCACACATTATTCGCTTTGAATGACTTGGTTACAATTTTTATACATCAGAAAAGGCTAGATGAGGCAGAAGAGCTTTGTACAGGAATACTGGAAGTTTGGACGACGATGTTGGGAGAAAAGCATCCCGAGACGCCCAAGGTTATGTGCACACTCGCTCGGATACATGCGAAACAAGGTCATTCAAAAAGGGGAGAGGATCTTTGAGCCAAGCTACTGTAGGTAGCGAAATGGTTGGGGAGGAACAATCGCAAGTTCTGGCATGTATAGATAACTTAGCAATATCACAGAGAGTCTGGGCCGATATGAAGAAGTAGAGAAATTCCGGGTTCAGTCACTAGAGGCGCGGAAAATAAAGTGCCAGGAGACGATCACCGAACGACACTAACATACAGGAATGATGTCGTTGTTCTGTTGGGTGGATGCGGTGAGACTGGGAGAGCGGTAGCTCCGTTGAGGGAATCTTTCGAAAGGCAGCAAAGAGTGCTTGATATTAGCACGGACCATTCCAGGACACTGATATTAGTAGCGTGCCTTGCGACGAAAGATTTAATTGCAGGCATTCGCTATTAGTCTACATCCTAGGTGCAAAGTAGTGTTTTTTTTTTTTTTTTTTT